CTTGCGAGCAAGCACCGCACAAACATCCTCCCGATTGGCAAGTTCGGGAGAAGCACAGACATTCTTTGACCAGATAGTACAGCAGTATGCCACAGACAACGGCCTCAACCTGTCTGCGTCCGCGCCGGCCGCGGAGGCAGCGGCAGTGTCGGCTCCTGTGGATAGCAAGGCCCTCGGCTTGGTAAAGAAAGACCAAGAACGGCTTCGGAAGGCGCAGATGGAGCTCTATGCACGACTGCTTGGAAAGGATCTGGGCCATGATGCGCGAGAAGCGCTCAAGGCACAGCTGGCGACTGTTAAGCTGCAGGAGCAGTTGGACTTCATTACAGCCGAGGTGGGCGATGTCTTTATCTCTGGTATCCGTCCGTTATGGGCAGCTGCCAAGGTTCGACGCTACAACTCCAGCTGGAACTGGGTGTTGCAAGATACATTGCATCTGTTCCATCGGATTCTGCGAGGGAACTTTGGCAATGCCGATTTCCCTAAGTACAGTAACGCCATCGCCAACCGATCCAGCCCTCGCTTACTGCAAATGATCAAGTACCTTTCGAACAGCCCATGCTCGCTCTGGGGCACTCGTTTCCCAGAAGCCAAGACCGTGATGCGTCGCTTGGTAGACCTCTGCGAGAAGCCGCGCGCGCCTCGATTTGAGCCGTTGGCAGCGAACTACGATGCCTTCATCAAGGGGCCTAGCACTACGGTGGACGAGAATGGCCATATCAAGTACCGCGAGGTCGCTCGCGGTGGATCCCCCGTTATCGCATCGATTCATATCAAAACCCAGCGACATTCGACCTGGCTGACCGACCGCTCGGTGACGGCGCTGTATCTGGACGAGGTACAATCATCCTGGAATGACGGTATCACCTTCATCAATAAGTGTGTGCTCATGACCGGGGTGAGTATTGGATCGATTGGAGCCGAAATCCTGAAAGGCCTCCTGAGTGGAGGAGCCAAGGTCGTTGTCACCACCAGCAGCTACTCCTCGGCCACGACCCGGTTCTACCAGCGTCTCTATGTTGAACACGGTTCGCGGGGATCCGAACTGATCGTCGCCCCATTCAACCAAGGAAGTCAGCATGATCTTGATGGCCTTGTGGAGTACATCTACACCTCGGGGACTGGCCTGGGCTGGGACCTGGACCACGTTGTTCCCTTCGCCGCGATCTCCGAGGCTGGACGCGAGATTGACAACATTGATGCCAAATCCGAATTAGCCCACCGAATCATGCTCACCAACACCCTTCGGTTGCTGGGGGCCATCAAGAAACAGAAACAGCTTCGGGGATACCGCACTCGGCCGACCCAAGTCATTCTGCCCCTCTCGCCCAACCACGGCGCGTTTGGTAATGATGGTCTGTACGGCGAGTCGAAGATTGCCCTCGAGTCCTTGTTTGAGAAATGGCACTCGGAAAGCTGGTCGACATACCTGTCCATCTGCGGTGCGGTCATTGGTTGGACGCGTGGCACCGGCCTGATGGCCGATAACAACATTGTCGCGGCAGGGATTGAGCGTCATGGCGTGCAGACCTTCTCCACGGCCGAGATGGGGGCGTACATCTTGGTGCTTATGACTCGGAAGCTTGCGAACCAGTGCAACGTACAGCCACTGTATGCCGATCTGACCGGCGGTCTGAACACGATTCCGAATCTGAGGGCGACCTTGGATAAGGTTCGGCGCGAGATTGTCGATAAAAGTGCCATGCGCACCGTCCTCGCGCGGGAGCAAGCTGCTGAGCAGAAGCTCACTACCTGCAGCTCTCCGACGACCCAGGAGAAGGAAGCACGGACGCGCCTGGCCAATATTCGGTTCTCATTCCCCGCTCTGCCCGATGCGAAGACCGAAGTCGACCCTTTGCGTGCAACCTTGATGGGCATGGCAGACTTAGAGCGCATCGTGGTGGTCACAGGATTTTCAGAGGTTGGCCCGTACGGCAACTCTCGGACTCGCTGGCAGATGGAGGCCACGGGGCGTTTGTCCTTGGAAGGGTGTATTGAGATGGCCTGGATTATGGGCCTCATCAAGCACCATGACGGCCCGCTGGACGGGAAACATTTCACCGGTTGGGTGGACGCCAAGACAAAGAAGCCTGTGCAGGACATGGATGTCAAAGCCCGATATGAAGAGCATATTCTCAATCATACGGGAATCCGGCTGGTGGAACCGGACCTGGATCCTAGCGAACCACCCGGCAAGAGACGTCTCCTGCAAGAGGTTGTGCTTGAAGAGGATCTACCGCCCTTTGAAGTCTCTCCTGAGGTAGCACAGCAACTCATCCACGAGCATGGGGAGACTCTGGTTGATATCTCACCGCAGGGTGAACAATGTGTCGTCAACCTGAAGAAGGGCGTGGTGTTGATGATCCCCAAGGCTCTGCAGTACCAGCATGCGGTTGCGGGGCAGGTCCCTACCGGCTGGGATGCACGCGCCTACGGCATACCGGAAGATATTGTCGCCCAGGTTGACCGTGGAACCCTATTCACCTTGGTGAGCACCATGGAGGCGCTTGTGGCCTCTGGAATCACCGACCCCTACGAGCTATACCAGTATATTCATCTCTCTGAGTTCGGCAACTGTATTGGTTCAGGTCTTGGTGGCGTGCACTCGTTGAAGAAGATGTTCCGGGATCGGTACCTGGATAAGGATGTGCAGAAGGACATTCTCCAGGAAACCTTCATTAACACCACGGCTGCCTGGGTTAATATGCTGCTGATCTCCTCCGCTGGCCCTATCCGCACGTCAGTTGGTGCTTGCGCCACTTCGATTGAGTCTTTGGAAACTGGATTTGAGACCATCGTCACTGGACGCGCCAAAATCTGTCTTGTCGGTGGGTACGACGACATGACACAGGCGGTAGCGGAGGAGTTTGCCAACATGAAAGCCACTACCAACCCCGAGGAAGAGGCTAAGAAGGGCAGGCTCCCTCAGGAGATGTCGCGGCCCGCTGCAGAGAGTCGAAGCGGCTTCGTTGAGTCTCAGGGCAGTGGCGTCCAGGTTATCACCTCGGCCCGTCTGGCCCTCGACCTGGGTTTGCCAATTCATGGCATTGTCGCCTGGGTGGGAACTGCGAGTGACAAGACGAGCCGATCGGTGCCGGCACCAGGACAGGGTATCCTGACCAACGCACGCGAGAAGCCCAACAGTCGGTTCCCATCACCACTGCTTGACATTCGTTACCGCAAGCGCCGTCTTGAGGCGCGACTGAAACAGATCCAAGAATCGGTTGACCTCGAGGTACAGATGCTTGAGGAGCAGATGACTCAAGATGGAGAGGTTCCGAACGAGCTTCAGGAAGAGCTCCAGAACCATAAAAGCTTTGTCGAAGGCGAAGCTGAGCGCCAGCGCAAGGAGGCCTTGAACACATTTGGTAATGAATTCTGGAAGAATGAGTCCGCTATTTCTCCCGTTCGGGGTTCTTTGGCCGTTTTCGGTCTAACCATTGGTTCGTTATGCCTCCCTTTCTGCATTAACTGTCTAGATATCATGGAACTGACCGCCTACTAGATGATTTGGATTTCGTTTCCTTACATGGAACTAGCACTGTCATGAACGACAAAAACGAAGCCGCAGTGCTCGAAGCCCAAATGCGACACCTCGGCCGTGTCCCCGGGAACCCCCTCTACGCTATCTCACAGAAGTATCTTACGGGCCATCCCAAGGGTGCCGCAGGAGCATGGATGCTGAATGGTGGCCTACAAGTGCTGGACACGGGCCTCATTCCCGGCAACCGCAACCTGGACAACGTCGATGGGAAGCTGGAAAACAACGAATACATTCTCTATCCCAACCGTAGCATCCAAACCAAGGGGTTGAAGGCATTCTCGGTGACTTCCTTCGGCTTCGGGCAGAAGGGCGCGCAGGCCATCGTGGTGCACCCCCGGTATCTCTACGCTATGCTCGAGGATGGCGAATACCACGCATACCGGACACGCCGCCTGACGAGATACCGGAAGGCATTCCGCTTCTTCCACCATGGGCTGGCCACGAATACCATGTTCGTGGCTAAGACCGAAGCTCCCTATCGACCAGACCAGCAAAATGCGGTCTTATTGGACCCCACGGCGCGGATGCAGTCAAAGGAGTCAACGGAGTCGGCCGAGCCAACTATTGGGGTTTCATTCTAAGCCTTCATACATTTTTCTTTGCTTTCTTTTTCTTCTTTTCTCCCACTTTCTTGGAACCATGCTCAATCCGTGGCAGTGTCCTATCCTTGTAATATGAGCGGTTTTCTTCTTTTTTCTCCTGGAACCAACGGAGCCTTGCTGCGGGGAAGAGCAATTGGGCATTTCTGTACATACTACCTAGCCAAGTAGTAGTAGACTAGACTAGACTGATCGAAAAATTGACACCATATCCACTGACTCGCGTCCACAAAAGGTAGCCTGGGGCCACGTGACAGCATCAATATTCAGATCCATCCGTCATTGGCTCCTAACCTGATAAGCCCTAATAGAGGAACTAAAATCCCTCATGTTGGATTCCTCCGTTGTCTTTGGGGATAGATTCCGGAGTGCCCCACTGGGAGCTGGTGGGTTTAAGTCTAAATAAACAGGGATCGACCACAGCCCCAACCGTGGAGGACGTTGCTATGGAGTCCTCGAACAGTGCCTCATATACCGAAGACGACACGATAGTGCTCCCTCCTGCTACTGAGCGAAGTGAAATAAATGGGTAATTGGGGACAATCTTGGGGGCCGAAGTCGCTGCTATGGCCTCCTGCAGCCTCGACGCAATCCAGCGGGATCACCGGCACAATTGGCTGCAACCCTTCGCAGGGGTGCGAATACTTACGTTGCGGACACTTAACCTTGCATCATACCATTTGTTGTGGCAGATAATCCTGGTTCGTTTCTCTGGAGCACTGTCCGACTTTGATTGTTCTCCTTGTTGAAACAAACCGCTAAAAAGTACCCTGGGACTTGGCACCAGGTGAGGCTGAGCCAGCCCTACAGTGGATCAGCCCTGGATGGATAACGCCCGTCTTTACTTCTACACCCAAATGAAGCTCCTTCAGCTATCATCGGTCCTCCACTTCCTGGCTCTTAGCTCGGCTCTTACAGTTCCCTTGAATCGTCGCAAACGGTGCGATAATGCCTTGGCCCGCACTGCCTCCCTTCTCGCAACCGGTGGCGGCCACAACTTCGATGTCGACGTCATTGTAGGCGCCAACAACCAAACCTTCAAGCTCCTGGTCGACACAGGAAGCAGTGATCTCTACATTATGGGAGACGGCTTTACCTGCATCAATGCCACCAGCAAACTGACCATCCTCCAGGCGGACTGTGGATATGGTCCCGAAACGTACCCCCCCTCGTCGAGCTACAAGCAGGTTCCGAACGAAGCGTTCGGAATTGAATACAGAGCCGGTCGTGCCAGCGGAGTCATGGCCTACGAGGATATCACGATCGCAGGCATCTCAGTGCGCGCCAAATTGGCAATCGCAGATGTTTCTGAGCCGATGGGTCGAGAGGGGATCAGCAACGGGCTCCTGGGCCTTGGCTACCCCAGCTTGACATCGGCTCATCCGGGCACACCCGTCCCCAATGACACGTATTTCTACAACCGGGTGGTGTATAGCCCAGTGTTCAATGCCATGTTTGAACAAGGCCTGGTGGAGCCGTACTTCACTATTGCCCTGGCGCATACCGCGCGGGACAGTATCGCTACATTCGGAAGCTATCTTACCCTGGGCGACCTGCCGCCGGTGGAACCCAAGTCGGATTTCACCGCTGTTCCAGTGGAAATCATGACGAACGTTCCGGCTGAATTCACATCGGGAAGGCAACAGAGAGCCTACTGGGCTTTCACCATCGCGGGCGTGAACTATGGGTCGTCGGGAGAAGAGGAAGCCGCCCTCAAGACCGACCACAACCCATGGCAAGTCTTCGTAGACACCGGGAACGACTTCTCCATCCTCCCCGAGACAGTCGCAGACCCAGTGAACAAACAATTCTCGCCCCCAGGCATCTGGAACGACAAGCTGAAGGCTTATGTAGTCGATTGTGACGCGAAGGCGCCTGAGTTTGGTGTGACGATTGGGGACCATCTCATCTATGAAATTGGAGATAGAGTCTGTGTCTCAAGTCTGTTGCCGGCAGAGAAGGAGGGGATGAAATACGTCGTGGTGTACATCTTCGGAGCGCCCTTCTACAAGAATGTTATGCCGTGCATGATTTTGGAAAGAATGAATTGAGGTTTGCCCAGAAATAATGCATAGACTCTTATCGAGGAGGGCGAGGGCATTGCCTGGTTCTATAGCATTATGTGCCGCTCACGATTTCTATATCCATGTGATACTACGAATTAGGCTCAGTCCCTAGGAGGCTAGGCCAAATGGTCCTGCGTGTAGATATAGTACTAGTTAAAAGAATTGGAACGATTTAATCAATTGCAGCTCTGGAAAAGCGTTGTGTTGGCTTTCTAGGTCCAATGCGGAATGTACCAAGGCAGGTATTGGGCCATAACACCAGCGTCCTAGCACGATAGTCAGCCAGTTAATAGAGCCACCATGCCTGGATGGATGGATGGATGCAGAGCGATTTACTGACAGTCGAATGCGCGTTGCTAGCACCCATTTCTCCCCTGTGAAACATGTCAGCCAGGAAGCATGCGCGAACTAACTCCGTTTTAGTCATGCCCTATACATTCTGTCTCCAGTGTCCTCCGATACCCTCGACCGCGTATATAACCATATCGACGTGATGATTGTGACGTGACCTTAATGTGCTGTGTTATTTCGAATCTCTTCTTTTTTTTTTTTTTTTTTTTCATATACGTTTCCATAGAGAAGAATCGGAAGCATCCGATGAAGCACATGAATTAGATTGGACGTAACCTATCATATAAGTCAAAGCAACGTGTGGTCATTCCGTGGTTTCGATCAAGTGAGCAATCTACTCCGTTAAATTAGAGAAAGGATCTTCACGTCTCTCGGTCTCCCAACGGAAAAAGGCCGACAGGTCTTCGTGCGGTGCTGAGTTGCTGATGGGCATGCGTACGGCAGCCCTGTACAGCTTATGCACGGATGCAAGTTTATGACGGTCGTCCGATCCGCATAACTGGTATGCATGTATTCTTATGCTTGATTGAATGGCATTATGGAACAAGCGTGACAATAGGGTTATCGCGATGGGTCCATCATCTCCCAGCGGCAATGATTCAGTGCTGGACGAAAGGCCGCCATGATTGGAGATTCTTGACATGCAGTGGGGCCACTGCGTCAGTGCTTGTCGTCCAGCACGACAAATGAAGCTCCTTTTCCTCCTCTTCGCCACAGACTCTAGGTAAGCCAATCTGGTGGTGGGTTTGTTCCAGCGGACACATGGCCTTGCTGTGGAGGCTAATCACGCCGTGTGCATCAATCTCTACCGGCCCTATATCTTATGCAGAATATGCAGATCTGGGCAGTCTTTAGGCAATCCCTCCAGGACACATAACTGGAATGCACCGAAATTAGACATTATTCACACAGTTAGACGATAGACCTATTGAACTTCGTGAGAGATGGGCTGCCTATCAATCGACTTAACGGGTGGCCAGTGAACATGAGGATTGGTCAAGAATCGCGGGATCCAGACAACGGCCGCGGCTTCGATCCGATATCCAATCTTGGTTGACATGACCAGTTATGAAGCTTGGCTGGTATAAGCACAAGCCGAGTCCCACTTGCTGGAAATAAGTTTAAGATACTTTCGTATATCATGTCGGCTCCTGGCTTCCGAACCGATGTTTACAGCCCCAATACTCTTTTTCTTTTGCCTTTTTTTTTTTTTTTTTTTTTTTTTCTTCTTCTTTGCCTACTCTGCTCCTTTATAAACCAGTCACTCGTTTCTTTTCATTTCTTATGTCTATTACCTTTCAGAGTACGACCTGTCGAATCGTTCATTACCTGCTTACACCGAGCCCATAGCTACGTGGATGGCTCGTTCGGATTAAGAGATCTCTCTCCTCTACCATGGAATCCGCCGACTATAAAGAGTCAAACTCAAGCGCCACAACGATGACGGAGAAAAAGCCCGGATATGAACAGCCGGACCTCGAGCAAGGCAAGACGCAGACGGCAGAGCCATCTCAACTCTACCCGGAAACGGACCTCGACCGGGGAATTGTGGGATGGGAAGGACAAGACGACCCTGCGAATCCGCTAAACTTCGCCCCCAGCAAAAAATGGGCTCTCCTAGCACTGATCAGTGCATTTACCTTCGTTAGTCCGCTTGCGTCGAGCATGTTCTCCCCGGCCGTCAGCTATATGGCTGCCGACTTCAAAGAAACCGACGAAACCATCCTTTCCTTTACCGTCAGCATCTACCTTCTGGGCTATGTGGTATGATTGAGTTTGCGTGCCTGAATATCAGATCAAGAGAGTTTGCGGCTGACAAGAGATGATGCCTCACAGTTCGGTCCCCTAATCCTAGCGCCGCTCAGTGAGATCTATGGACGACGGGTTGTACTTAGCATAGCGAACTGGTTCTTCGTCGTCTGGCAAATCGGATGTGCGCTCGCCCCGAACATTGCATCTTTAATCGTGTTTCGGCTCTTCGCAGGAATCGGAGGATCAGCATGCCTCACGTTGGGCGCGGGGGTCATCGCGGATCTCTTTGAGCCCCAGCAACGAGGAAAGGCAACCTCCATCTGGGGCGTGGGACCTCTGATCGGTCCGGTTGCGGGTCCCATCGCCGGAGGCTTTCTCGGTGAGGAAGTCGGCTGGCGGTGGGTGTTCTGGGTGCTGTTGATTGTGGGCGGGGCCATGGCATTGGGAATTGAGATCCTCAATCGGGAAACGTACGCCCCCGTCATCATCCGGTGGAAAACCGCCAAGCTGTCCAAGGAACTAGGGAGGACAGACTTGCGCAGCGCATATGAGCTCAAGAGAGGGCCGGCCTCCACAGGTGAGCTCCTGAAGCAAAGTCTGGTGCGGCCTATGTTGCTGTTGGTCAAGTCACCCATCGTGTTACTGCTGTCGACGTATATGTCCCTCGTCTATGGCCTTCTTTATCTGTTCTTCACAACCATCTCGAGCGTCTTCACGGAGCAGTATGGATTCTCCACCGGTCTGTCTGGATTGGCCTATCTGGGTATCGGTGTTGGTTTTATGCTGGGTCTTGTCTTTGTGGCGGGCACGAACGACCGGATCATGATGAAACTCGCAGCTCGTAACGGAGGCAAGACGGAACCGGAGATGCGACTTCCCCTGATGATCGTCTTCTCGTGTATCCTCCCGATCAGCTTCTTCTGGTATGGCTGGACCGTCGACAAGCATGTCCACTGGATTGTACCCATTATTGGAATGGCGCCGTTTGGGATCGGAATGATGGGTGTGTATCTCCCCATCCAGACGTACATCATCGATTCCTATCCCGCCTACGCCGCATCAGCGAACGCAACCTTGACGGCGACGCGATCCCTCGTGGGCGCATTGCTTCCCTTGGCCGGACCGTCCATGTTCGAAGCGCTCGGCCTTGGCTGGGGGAATTCTCTCCTCGGGTTTTTGGCGCTGGCCTTCGTCCCGATCCCTATCGTGTTTACCAAATGGGGCAAGCTCATCCGAGAGAAATACCCCGTCAATTTCGAAAAGGTGAACGCTTGATGTTGGCCTGTTTGTGATGAGAACCACACCGCCGCCATCGCACACATTCATATATAGCCCCAAATTGGTGGACACATAATAAGCATAGACCTGTATATAGTTGCGACCATTTGCCAAAATACAAAATTATAGACTAAGATCACTTTTCACCGTGATAGAATTCTTTATCCACAAGCTCATAGCTGATAGCCTCGAGGTCAACACCCGCAAGAAGTTGAGGATATCTTTGCATAAAGTCGGGTGTAAGGCCCCATCCTGCTTCACTCATGAATGTTTCGAAAAATTTCTCTTTAATGCACAACTCGTTGTCCGAGTTCCGCTCGAGGATGCTCTCCCCCCAGGGCCACCGAACCTTGATACAGCACGAAAACAGCCCGAAAACATCGTCGCGGATATCGCTGAACACATTCCAATGTTGAATCAGGTTCACTCGGAGTTGCGGCCAGGGTATATTGTCGAGCACCATGGGATGTGTGACCTGGAGCTGGTCTGGAACCGGTCGCAGAAAGGGTGGGAGGTTTGCGTAGGTAGCAGGGCTGGGCGATACAACCCATCGTGTAAGATGATAGCATAGCCAACCCATGGCTAGGCGTTCGGGGTCACGGATAGGGCGTCTCTGCGTGGCTTTGTAGATCATGTCCGCGAGGTAGTTTGTATTTGTGCCGTAGAGGAGGTCTAGTGGCGAGGAAGGGGAGTCGGGGCACAGGGCTATTCGCTCCGGGTATTCAAGCCAAGGGCAGGAAATGGTTCGCGGGTCCAAGAAGTCGTCGTCGTGCAGAGGGAGTTGTTTCCAGATGGGACTGGTATCCGCCGTCGGGGGTTCTCTGGAAAGTATCTGTATGTGACGGGCTTGCTGATGGCTTAATTCACCACCCAACCGTAGTGAAGATGGGCTTGGATCATCGTATGGGGTGTTAGTTCTGCTCGATTGGATCGGATTCGAACTAGAATCAGTGTTGTTCATGAGTCCTTCTGGAATTGCGATCAACCCCGGTAAACCTTGGTCGGGAGATTCATTTGTGTTGGTCGGTACCCCAGCTGGATTTGCATCCCAGGAATCGACGAGACACTTTAGACGTTCCTGACGTGACCGCAGGGCTTCGTTTTGCTTCCGGAGACCGGTAATTACTTGCAGGAGGCGCTGGATTCCTTGATCGTCATGGTGTTCCCGACAATGAGCAACTTCTTTCTCGAGCACGGCCATCTGCTGTGAACGCTTGCTACGAAGGTTCTGCTGTGCGCGTCTATCGCGTAGTCGTTTTTTCTCAACTGATGACATTGTCCGTAGCGATCGGGGGGTAACCGGTCGGGGGATAAGACGGGGAGGAGAGGCTTAAGGGCGAGGTTCTGGTGGGTAAAGCATTGCAGAGAAGCCGGCGAGGGATTCAATAATTCAGCAGGGTTGCGAACCGTTATAGTAGAAGCCCCACGTTGAGAGGGGACTCTTGTGTCTCTTGAACGAATATAAAGTCTTCCAAGTTGATTTGGAACTTCAGTAGCTTCAGCTGCTTTCCACTTCGGGCAGAATGAGACTAACCGGAGATGGAAAGCGGAAGGCTTAGTTAGGCTTAGCCTCCTGTGACATGACATCCATGATATTCTGTAGACTCGCATGAAGTCTCTACACTCCTCTTGTCGCAAGAAGTCAGACAAGAGGCCGGGCGAACATCCACATCAATCACCGCTTTACGGTGTAATGCCTTCAGACTTCCAAGAGACTGTATGTGACACTGACTCTGAGTTCCCTGGAACCAACCCGTAAGCACCATGTGACAGCAGCCCAAGCTGACGGACGGATCTACTACTACTAGTATATCCAAGGCTCCTCCGCCGGTCTTCGCTTGCTTCTGCCTCCCGTCCCGGAACCAAAGAAGACTCCGGACTAATGTATGGGGCATGAGAATTTCAGCCACCATTCCTTCTTCATTTCACCACGTGCCCCTGGGGTTTCTGCTGGGTTGGCCAATCATAGCGGTGTAAGCCCTAAGGTGCCCGGATGTGGAGATCTTAAACGCATATAACCGACGCTACGAAGCTGCCTAGGAACCACTTAGCACCCTCTAGTCAGCCCTAATGCGAGTAAGTAACATTGTGTTGCCGCCAGGAGCGAGAGATTAGTTCACTCGCTTCGTTTATAAATACAAGGCTAGCCAGTGTGCCACTGAATGGGGACCTGGGGCTGACCGGAACCATTACCTCGTCACTGTTTAAGATGCTTCTGCCATACTATCTTCTAGCAGCCGCCGCTACGGCCATGGCGTCGCCTACCGTGTACCTCATCCGACACGGGGAGAAGCCTGATGATGGCGGCAATGGTCTCAGCGCTCAGGGGGTCGAACGCGCTCAATGTCTCCGATCAGTCTTTGGCAAGGAATCAGGGTACAACATTGGCTATATAATGGCACAAACACCCAAAAAGAGTATGTTCAACATCAAGCGACCGGTCTTTCCTGACAGGTCTGGATCGCTAACAATGACTGCTACAGGCGGCAAGCGCGTCCGTCCCTATGAGACAGTTCTTCCCTTGGCTGACGACTTGGGCCTTACGGTGGATACTTCTTGCGACCGCGACGACCCCAAATGTGTGAAGAAGGCCGTCAAAAACTACAAAGGAGACGGAAATATCTTGATCTGCTGGCAGCATGAGGCGCTCACGGATATCGTGAAGAAGCTTGGAGCCGACGATGCACCTGAGTATCCAACTGACAGGTGCTTAAGCCCTTTTCCTGCCCCCTTGTCGAATAGAAATCACCATACTTCAAATTACTTCAACGTGCAGGATAACTGGCGATCCTCTACTGACTTCAGATGCTAGGTTCGACTTGATTTGGACTGATCCTTCGCCGTACACGAAAATCACGGAGATTACGAGTGAGCAGTGTCCTGGACTGGATAGCTAAGCATCAGACGTGTTGAAAAATAGTACCCGACTTGCGATCTTTCTATGAAACAGACCAGCAGCTATGGCTTTTAATTATCATCGTTGGCATTCGATGTCCGTTACGCTTTTGTTCTTACTGCAGTTTAGTTTGCTCCAATGATTCCTCTGGTTTATTTGACTTGGACTTTGAACATTAGAGAGACAGCCTTAGAGGAAGATCGTTCATATAGGTGATTCTCTCAGCAATATACAAGGACACTGCTCCTAAACTGGGATCTCGAATCAATGGCAAAGCAATGGATCTTGGAGTGTTACGTGCATCATGGTACTGCCTAGTGCCTGCGTGCAATCATTTAATCTGAAACAGGGTTACAGTTCACACGTCGCTGACCACGATATGGTTCACGGGCTCATTGCAAAACATGTCAGAGACCTACCGAGATGAAGTGTCAGACAACCTCGAAGGGTATCCTGCCAAGCCAGTAACACATAAAACGACAGGGTCCTAGGTTACATTGACGCAAATTAATCCCGCGTTATATATCGAGACTATTTCTCTTCCAAGAAGGGATCTTCCCCTAAGTGCCGACATTATAAAGCTTGGCAGGGCGGGTTCCCTACGGACCCCCGGCGGTGAATCCCTGATGTACCCCGACTCTCTCGTCTGATAGGGTTGGAGACAGTCGATCTTCATCGCCTCCGAATGCTTTCCCTTGGATCCCATGACTTGTTAGGTTACAGTGACTTCTGCAGATATACCTGGTTTCCCTGCGTTATAGGACGATCGGAGAAGTGCCAAGTGTTGCCAAGCAGCTCCTCATATTTTGCATCATACTCGGCTCGGAATATTCTATGGCGTCAAAAGTAATGCACCGTACCTGTCCATGTGACTAGCTCGCTGGTCTATAAAGCCTCGAGTTCCGTCTCTTCGTAATGTGGAGCTTCTTCTCATATCCAAGCTTCCTCGGCTACTTGAAGATCCCATTCGTACCGGCTTGGTGATACAGGCTTTCACTCCCTCAAGATGCGCTTCCTCCCCTGCATCGCGACCTTAGCGGCTACAGCCTCTGCCCTTGCTATTGGGGACCATGTCCGTTCAGACGACCATTATGTCCTAGAATTTGCCCCGGGGGAGACGAAAGTTGTCACGGAAGCAGAGAAATGGGCTCTCAGAGCTGTACGCTGCAATGCCCTCTCTAAGCTAACGCGCTGCATTCCGCTAATAAGATTGAACAGGAGGGCAAGCGTTTCTTTGACATAACTGGACGGACCAGTAGCCTGGAATTCGCTTCGAACAAGAAGCAAAAGCTCGCGGTCACATATCCCGACTCGGTGCAACACAACGAGACCGTGCAAAACTTGATCAAGTCGCTCGACAAAAAGAACTTCGAGACGGTTCTCCAGCCGTTCTCGGAGTTCCACAATCGCTATTATAAGAGCGACAATGGCAAAAAATCGTCCGAGTGGCTGCAAGGCAAGATCCAGGACATCATCTCCGCCAGTGGAGCGAAAGGAGTCACTGTGGAGCCTTTCAAACACTCTTTCCCACAATCGAGTCTGATCGCGAAGATCCCAGGCAAGAGTGACAAGGTCATTGTGCTTGGAGCACACCAGGACTCCATCAATCTCAATTCACCTTCACAGGGCCGTGCACCGGGTGCTGGTGAGTTCTTCAGATGTCTTGTCCATCGAATACCATAGACGATCAACAATGCTAACAGAGGGGCGTGGTTAGATGACGATGGATCTGGTGTTGTTACCATTCTTGAAGCCTTCCGCGTTCTCCTGACGGACGAGAAGGTTGCAGCCGGCGAGGCTCCAAACACCGTGGAGTTCCACTTCTATGCCGGAGAGGAGGGAGGTCTCCTGGGAAGTCAGGATATCTTCGAGCAGTACTCACAGAAAAGCCGCGACGTGAAAGCCATGCTCCAGCAGGATATGACTGGCTATACGAAAGGCACCACTGATGCTGGAAAGCCGGAGTCGATCGGTATCATTATTGATAATGTTGACGAGAGCCTGACCAAGTTCCTTAGGGTCGTTGTCGATGCTGTAAGTTCAGTCCTTGTCTTTGATCGACCGTCCGTGCTCACTGAGATTGCCTGTAGTATTGCACTATCCCAACCGTCGATTCGAAATGTGGATATGGGTGCTCCGATCATGCCTCTGCCACGAAGTATGGTTATCCCGCCGCATTTGCCTTCGAGTCAGCCTTTGGCGATGACAGCCCGTACATTCATTCGGCTGATGATACGATTGATACTGTCAACTTTGACCATGTGTTGCAACACGGAAGACTGACTCTTGGATTTGCATATGAGCTTGCCTTTGCAGATTCGTTGTAAGACCTATGATGACAGGGTTATGAGTGAGAAAATCAACATATTCGTGTGTATAACATGTGGGCAGTGTTCAAATAGCACTTTGAATCTGCCAGCGAGCAGCCGTTTTGAGGAAAGTAGTGGCCGATCCCTAGATAAAATCTAGCTGGAGGCTGTTAGAGACGTATCACTACACCATCCGTAGTCTTCCCTACCCTAAGCGGATTCTGAAACTCGGTGAATTTAGCTATTTCCCTTGCTGTGAAAAGTGAAAAAGCATAAGTATCAACTGGGAAACTCAAAATGCAATAACAAGTCCTCTGATACCTAGAACGTAGACACTAGAAACACATACTGCTCGGAACAACCGGTGTTTACATCACGTCCAAGTTACTGATATCTTAGATGAAAGAACTACGGGCTATGCCACGGTTGATAATCAAAGTGAAAGACCCTAGAGGAGTTCATTTGAATATAGAATCTACCAGTTCGATAGAGAAATGTAAAATATTAGACTCTGTCGCTCTCACAAGGGATAGAAGGACGAAAAGAAACAGGTAAAGGATTGGATAAGCCATATTATAACTTGACAGTGGGTTTTGATGTAACGAGAACCAGCACTGAAAGATATATATCGGTCCAGGGAGATCAAATGGAATGAGATGCCCTCGCCAGACCGGTTTAAGCCAGGTTCCAGTTGCCAAGCTTGGAGCCACCGTCGAGCGTAATAACCTGGGTGTTGTTGTACACGTTCTGCAGGAACTGCTTGGAGTTCTGCTTGCCGTCCTTGATGAATTCATCATTCCACACCATCCAGTAAGCCCAGTTGATCTTGTCGCGAGCCTGGATGGTGGGATCGGGAATGGGACCGACTTCGGCCAGAGCCAAGACTCTCTCGTTGTTGGTGACGGCCTGGAGCTTCTTGTATTTCTCTGCGAGGACGCCATGGTCACCAGCATTGGCGTAGTGGTCGACAGTGGCGATGTCACACTTATCGTTTCCGGGATACCACTCAGCCTCAGCGGTGTTGCATACCCAGACTACGTTGTGGAGGTTGTGGAAGCGAGTGATACGGTCGTAGATCATATCCCAGAGCGTCTTGAACGGGGCAGGACCCTGGGCACCCCACCAGAACCATCCTCCCTCGGGCTCATGAAGCGGGCGGAAGAGAATGGGAACATTGGCCCGATCAAGACGCTTGATCTGGGCGGCGATGGCATCGATATCACGCAGTAGGAGGCGATAGTTGGTCCCGTTTCGGCGGTCGTTGACGGCGTCGGCAACGTTGAAGCAGGTGGCCTTGGTGTAGAATCCGCTGTACCATGGCTGCTCGGCATTGTCGAGCAGGCAGGTCGGAGCGTGCCAATGCCAGACCAGTGCATTAATTCCGTTACGATCCGCGTGTTGGATCACATCCTCGACGGCGTGAGACTTGCTGCCGTGAGCAACAGCTGAAGGCGAGTAATTCATGAAGTCGCTACCCAGGATCGCTGGGGACACTCCAATGTTCTCCTTGACCCAGTCCCAGCTTCCTATATCCTGCTGGCCGGAAATATAGTGCGATCCGTACTGAGACTGAATGTACTTCAGAAGCGCTCTGGCGCCGGGGGTGGCCGACTTGTCAATGTTGTCGTAGGACAGACCCTGGCCGCCAGCGGCCAAGGCAGTAGAGGTGAGGAGAAGAGAAAGAAGGGAGAATTTGGCAAGCATGTTGGAATATACCAGCTATTCTATAGAAAATGAGCGAATGGTCTGTAGGATGAACCAATTTAGTATGTCTAACGTCTAGGAGATGTCCTGCCCTTTATACCTTCTGTAGACCTCCAGAATCCTTGTCTGCTTAGTGACGAAGAGGCTCATCATATGATAGAGGTGGAACCTTAATCTTGTTCATGACGATCTATGGACACTGCCATCTTTGCATTATGGTCTTTTACTGTCTGAGGACTACTAGAGTGTGTTCTCCAGTTCTTCGTAAGCGATTCCACTACCCCTTCGCCCCCACAGAGGACCCAAGCGGGAATACCGGCTTCAGCTTCCCTCTTTTGTATGTCATTAGTATGTGATAGAACATGCAATAGGCCAATCACCACCATTACTCATGGGATCTATGTCGGTATGTAGGGTTGGGGTGTGTTAAGCTTACCGTTCGGGGCAACCGCCGTCTGGCTCCACAGGCACGGCAGCATCGCATATGGATCTAGATTACAATTTACAACCGTTGAGGAACCGTTCATTTGTGTTAGCCCCAACTTGATTAAGGCTTTAATCAGGAAATTGCCCAAAATCTATTTCACTGACTCGTTTGAAAGAGGGGCCCTGGTTGCTGTGGATTCTCCGATGATCCGCCGAAAATATTCAAAGTCCCTTGGAAAAAAAAAAGGAAGGAAAGAAATTCTATCTTTTTCTAACAATTGAGCCTACAGTATATACAGTCTTTGAAGCCTTGAATTAGAACGGTTTGACCTGTCTAATCACTAGTAGCCGTACCGTGACCAAAATTCCGATCAGGATCAATGCCGTCCAAGATGTTCCAATGTCGGAAACTCAACATTTCCTGGAATATGACTCTATTAGCTTCTCAGAAGAAACATGGCCTGCTGATCATCGTTCATATATCCCTTTTGGTTGATAATATTGCACGTAGAAACGTCTGTCTGTCATGAGATTGGCTGGGATTCTATGCCAAGGTAAATGTATACGATACAAATTCTAAACACTGGGCCCTATTCCTTTAAGTGCCAGAGATCTGCAGGGACAGTATGGGATCTTGGATTGAGTTCCCTGATAGTGATACGTAATTTCTTCAAACAATTCTCAGAGAATTACCTACCGTAGGGCCCACCCGCATCTTTGGCTCAGTATACTTTAGCGTGTTGTTTAACGCTTTCCAGAAAGTCTGTGCCATGGCTCATGGTGGATGGTTTCAACCCTGACCAAATCCTAAATGCGATTCATTGTACTGCTGATTATGTTGCAACCAATTCAAAGTAGGAAAGATGTTATTGAGAAGAAAGTGCTGTACAGGCCGTTCAGGATCCCACCGGAATGGCTTCAACGCACAGCCAACGATCACATCGGGTACGGGCCGATCTCCTGGACAAATAGGGATACTATCTTGTCGTTCAATTCCAACAGCCGTTCCTGGTGTAGGGTTAAGCCCTGCTCAACAGTCAAAAGTCTCGCTGGGGTGCGCTTGTTGTTGCTATGGTTTGGCTGTTTCATAGTGACACAAGATGCTCGGCAGTTATGAACTCCCTGTAACATACGATCTAACGTAGTTATACTATGGCTTGTGTTCAATGATTCCTTGTCATTCCTTGATGGAATTCGGGCGCTCCTCCACTATGGGCTGTGTTTATTTCCTGGCTGTAGCAAGCTCCGTGTAGTAGTGACCTCTTAAGCTTGGCCGGGTTATCATTATCAATATCATGTAAAAAATGGTGGCCCATGAAACGCGTTTTGTAGAACAGAATGCATGCCGGACTCGGATAATCAATTCTATTGAATCGCGGAAGCCTCGATACTATCGAGTCACAGACTCGAGTGGGTCCCTGCGGTGTCCGGGACAGTCTCCGTGCCCTGAAAAGACTGAAGTTCGGTAAAACAGTGGCCGCACCCAGATCAGAGAGTTCCCGTTGACTAGACGGCCGATAGGTCGTCTTGCCGTGAGGCTTGGCCAATGTATGTTCGTTGGTATACTCTCCATGTAAACGTATATAGTCCAACAGTTTGCCAGAAACACTTCCGTGATGGGGACAGTTTAGTTCCTTAAAGTTCTCTAAGGAGCTAGGATTTGCGATGTCATTAGAAGGCCCATGGGTATAAAATCATGGCTTCATTCGTCATCTGAAACATGGCTTGTTCTTAATCAACTGTAGCGTCATAGGTACCGCACTACCACGCTCTTCCCTGGTTCGTCGATGCCCACCTCTAACGGATATATAATCAATATGAAATCCTCTATATATGTCCTAGTATCAGGTAAGGGTATTACTCCTTCGGATCATTGATTCTTGGCTTCATTATCATACTAATGGCAGAGAGTGAGTACGGGGACTACGACCCGCGAGCTACGTGCGTTCCCTGATTTGATACTGAGTCGACGTCAAAAGTGAAAGTCGGCGTGTTCCTCTGTGCTGCATCCAATATGCCGAGAGCTTGAACCCAACCATCATAAGTTGCTGTGACTGTGAGAGCTTGCGATCTAATTCTCTAATTCTTCCGTACCCGAAGACCTCGTCTCAACGACAACCAGTCCCCGACCTGGATTATATCACGGCATTTTCACTATCTCCCATTAACATCTGTGTGTATTATTATGGATATTATATTTGTTAGGGAAGCATATGCGACACCTTCCGTGCAGGATCTAGTTGGTGGGGTGGTGGGAGCGATGAACGATGAATGATACAGGGCTACACACAGGCTGAAAGTAATGAATTGTACACAGATGAAATTATTTATCTCTGGAGAAACAGCAGAGAGAATGAACCACTGCGCTTGAGCCAATACTCGGAGACCATTCGTCGCCTCGGAAGAGATACTTCTCACACTGTATGTAAGCTGCGGGAGGGTCGGTTCCGTTCCCCTCTTGCATACATTGTGAAGGGACGTGGAACCGAGACAGCCGATAAGTACTGGCCAATGTTCATTCGATAAAGATAGATGAGTTTTTCGCACTGGGCATCTCGCGGTAGCTGACATCTGCTAGACTCCCTATAGAGCACAGACCCAGAACCTCGAGCTGCGGGGAAGCAGTTATTTCCCCCCTCATTCTAGCCAGTCTGGTGAGCATTCCAGTTTAAGCTACAATTTCCCAGACTGCCAAGGGCTTAGTTTATCACGCCCCGCGGGAACCCTGATAGCTACCCAAGTCGCAGCCCATTCGCCATGGGAACGGCAATACTAGTACTACCGACGCCTCTTTGCGCTTGAGTAGATGAGATTACGAACCTGGTCGGATATGCATTCCGTTGAACGATACCCGCTGACATGCCGATGCACACGAGAGAGGAAATGTTTTACGCCCCAGGGGCTTTTAACAAGCCGAGGGTGACCGCAATCCATTCGGTACCCTCGCCTTCATTCCCGAGAGCTAGACTATATAAAATCTAGGTTTCCCCACGGCTCTCGCCTCGGACGTGTGAAGTTTTGGTCTACTCTTATTCACAGCACGCTAAGACGAGCCGTTTTCCATCCCCCCTCGCCGCGACTTGCTCCAGCAACTCAGCCAACATGTCAGACCTGAAGATCGCACGGATTGATGTTTTCCAAGTCGACCTGCCTTATTCAGGCGGTGTCTATTACCTCTCTGCCGGGCGAGAATACCGGAGTTTTGACGCCACCATTGTGCGGATAACCACCAATACCGGCCTTGAGGGCTGGGGAGAAAGCACTCCATTTGGATCCAACTACATTGCTTCCCATGCACGCGGCGTCAGGGCTGGTATCGCTACAATGGCACCAAGCCTGATCGGTCTGGACCCGCGAAGAGTCGACCGCATCAATGATGCCATGGATGATGCACTGCTCGGGCATGAAGATGCCAAGACAGCCATCGACGTGGCATGCTGGGATATCTTTGGCAAGTCGGTTGGACTGCCCGTGTGCGAGCTTCTCGGTGGTCGCACAGACGCTCGACTGCCGTTGATCTCTTCGATCTATGTCGGAGAGCCGGAGGACATGCGCGCACGAGTTGCCAAATACCGCGCAATGGGATACAAGGGGCAATCGGTCAAGATCGCAGGAGAACCGGTGATTGACGCCAAGCGGGTCGCAGCAGCTCTTGCCGATCAGCAACCCGACGAGTTTTTTATTGTGGATGCCAACGGTGGATTGTCGGTAGAGACCGCTCTACGATTTTTGAGGCTGTTGCCTCATGGTCTCGATTTTGCGTTGGAGGCCCCTTGTGCCACCTGGCGGGAGTGCGTGTCTCTCCGACGCAAGACCGATGTTCCGATCCTCTACGACGAGCTCGCCACGAATGAAATGTCCATTGTCAAAATCCTCGCGGACGACGCGGCGGAAGGCATTGACTTGAAGATTTCCAAGGCTGGTGGTCTGACCCGAGGCCGTCGCCAGCGGGACATCTGCCTGGCAGCGGGCTACAGTCTGAGTGTTCAGGAGACGTGTGGCTCGGACATCGCATTCGCTGCGATCGTGCATATGGCTCAAACCGTGCCGGAGCGATCTTTGCGTTGCATCCTGGAATGTCGAGAGATGGTTACAGTCAAGACCGCGGATGGAGCGTTTGACATCCACGATGGCTTCGTCACCGCGCCAACCACACCAGGATTGGGGATTGTGCCGCGCTTAGACGTGCTGGGAGAGGCTGTTGCTAGCTATTTTTAAAGTGTACATAGTTGGTTGATTGTCCTGAAGAGATAGTTGCGGTCGTTTTGCAATAAAGCTATTTAGTATCATAAACGGTACCATACCTCTAGCTCAACCCTCGTAAGAGTAGTAGAACACACCTGTCCTCCAGATCTGTGGATAACATACCTCGTGAATACTCAGTTTCCCTGCTTCAGCACTGAGGAAATGTTCCCCTCCACTGTGGAAAACTGGCAGTCCCATGTACCGAGACCATCTCCCGATAAAACGTGTAGAACAGGTGCTACTCGTGCTGCAGACCCAGTGGCTGGGATTGAGACGTAATGTGAGCTCTATCGCTTAGCAACATTTGCTTGTATCAATCGCTATCGGTAGGAGGGTAACAGGTGTCGGGATCTCAGCCGATGCACTCGGCAGAAGATGATGAACCTCAATTAATAATACACTAACCCCGATTTGGCGAAAATTATGAGAGCCACATCAGGACATGAGTATAGATTCAACTTCACTGTACCAACGTCTTCATTTCCCCCCCGCACAGTTGGCGGGGTAAGTTTCGTCATAGGAGTTTGGCTCCGACTCAAGGATGCCATTGATAAATAACAGGATGCGACCTGCTTCTACCACATATAGATCGCGAACCATATATCCAACAGACACAAGATAATCCCACACAAGCAAACATGGCTCAACCACAACCAACAACCCGCCAGGCTTTTCGCCGAACGGATGATCATACTCCTGGCACCCCTAAGGTGAAGCTTGTCACCGAAGCAATCCCTCCCCTATCCCTCACTGGGGTCCTGATCAAGGTCCATGCCGTGTCGCTCAATTACAGAGACGCCAACATTGCAAACGGTGGCAACCCTTGGCCGGTTGTACCACATGGGATCCCCTGCAATGATGCAGCGGGTGAGGTAGTCGCCGTTGGCGAGAGGGTGAAGCACCTGGCGATTGGGGATCGGGCAGCCCCAATCGTAGACACGGAGAACATCACCGGACGGGAATCTACTCGGTCTTGGTTAGCAGCCGATGAGGATGGAGTACTGGCAGACTACATCGTGTTCGATGAGCACAAGCTATGTAAACTGCCCACGTACCTCGACTGGGTCCAAGCGAGCCTTATCCCTTGCGCCGGAGTGACCGCGTGGGCAGCGCTGAAGGATATGGAAATTGGTCAAACTGTCTTGATCCAAGGTCTGTCCACTATAACTGAGGACTAGGCATCTTTTCCTTTTCTGACGACTCGACAGGTACCGGCGGTGTGGCCATGTTTGCGCTCAAATTGGCGCGAGCTGCAGGCCTGAAGGTGATCATGACCTCCTCGAGCGACGCAAAGCTGCAGAAATGAAGGAGCAGTTCCCCAGCCCCCCGCTGTTGACTGTGAACTACTCCAAGAACCCCGAGTGGCACGAGGAAGTTCTGAAGTTAACTGAAGGAGCCGGTGTCGACATCGTTGTTGAAGTTGGTGGATCCTCCACGCTGGTCAAGAGCATGAAATGTACACGACGTGGAGGAATAGTTAGCCAGGTGGGATATCTCAGCAAGCAGAATACCAGCGAATTCTCAGAGCTTCTTTCTGTTCTCATCGACCGGAGAGTTATCCTAAGGTGAGGCTTGATCACAGACTAGGGTCAACCTGAGCAGGGGCTAATATTCATTATAGGGGAATCAACGCTGGATCTAAGCAGGATCAGGACGATCTTTGCGCTGCATTGTCTGCCACCCAAATTCAGTTCAATGATATTATCGACTCAGTCTACCCATTTGAACAGGCCGATGAGGCGATTGAGTATATCTGGCAAGGAAAACAGGTTGGAAAACTGGTGCTTCGTCTATAGTGCTTCCCGCTAGCTGGTTTGGATAGTGATGAGTTTTAATATAATCGAAAATGTTTCCATAACATTCGGAATTCCCTCTCGCTCAGTCGTTTGCGAAATAGTATGCTGTTGCTCACATATAATGAGCTGTAATGAAAACAGGTGGCAATCTATGAGCTGTTATCATCTTGTGGATGATACGTAGTAATGATTGTCTTAGGGAGGACACACATTGGCAATTGGGGACGTACGCAACCAGTAGTCCAATGCTACTTCTGTCACATCTATGGATCAATTAATTGATGCCCATACCATCTTCAGACTTTACAACCTACTAATATACCTTGGTATGAGCGTTCGTAACCGTCGAAAGATCTATGCGCCAAGCCTGCCGAGTGGCTGTTTCTAGCTCCCAAAATCGGTCTTTTGTCAGCGTAGCTATACAGGGTAGGAGTGTAGCTCTCATATAGGCGTCGATGTTGATAATGTGTGCATATGGTTCGTTGCAATGTGCTTTTCGCCACCGGATCCTGTATATTATTCGAACCCTGCGGAGATATATATATCTTGACGCACTAGCAAGCAAATTAGTGCAATACAAATATATTTTTTCTAGGCATGTTTAGTAATTACTCGAACAATCACTGCTGCAGAGAAGTTTACTTTGTATCTTACGGCATCAGAAAACCTTGGTGCTGGCAAGGAAGACTGTAATCCAGACCTGAGTGATAGACACCCCAAGATTGGACTATCACGGTCGCGATTGGTGGTCGCTCAAGTATGCCATAAAAATGAATAGTGTCGCAGCTAAGAAACATCGATTGTAATCTACGAGTAAGAGCATGGGAGTATTTTATCGCTATGGGCCGCTGAATGACAGCGATACTGACAACGACATGCGGCCATAATGGAATGCGAGGAATCTATGTTCATTTGACTTCATGTCACATGCAAAAAATGAAGCTCTCTAGATATTCTATGTACAGTACAGATGCCTTGACGGTTTCTAACATACCGATCAAGATGCTTATATATATAGTAACCATTAGAACAGCCTTGACTCTGGTGACTGGGCGACGGCCAAGTCCCAGAACTATAGGCCCGCTATAATCGAAATGGCTGTTTCTAACATGTCCATCCCAAACCCTTCTTATAGGAAGCCATCGACACGCTAGGTGCGTATTGCGTGGGTGGAAAACGCCGTAGAAGCGAATTAGATGGCGTTGTTGGCGCAGGTCCAGCTAGAAGAAGAGGAGTTCTCGTTGATCGATTTACCCGAGACGTAGAGTCCCAAACCGCACTGCAGGAAGGTTAATACCATGATGGAAAGGTTGAAGAGGGTGAGCACATACAATGGCACAGGCAATACCGAGGATGATCACATTGACAATGGTCAGGAAGATCTTCCGGGGAGAAGAGAACCAGACACCCTTGTTCATGACCAACCAGAAAATGGCAGGGAATCCATAACTGAACCAACTACCGAAAAGGGCACTCTGTAGGGGACATGAATTAGCAACCGACAGCGAACATGGGGGTTGAGGGCACATACAATCAGACTCAGAAGGTCGTTGAAGACGGGAATAGACTCGGCAATGACCCATGCGATCACCCACAGAGCGAGCGCAATACCAATCCAGGTTCCAACAGAGAGGAAGCTCTTCTGGTGCATGTGGTCAGAGCCACGGAAAACGCGAACGTAAATGTATTTGCAGGCAACATGGCCGTAGATAACACCGGCAATGACGACCTATGGGAACAGTTAGGAAATTGAACCGGTGAGGGGAGCCAGGATTATGAAACGCACAGTGGGCATGGCAATGCCGTAAGCGACCTTCTTCATGACGGGTCCTGCAGACGAAAGGGCGGGGGATGCCACATCTGGGCCTGCATAACGATAGGCGACGATCGCTGTGACGACGTACATAGACGTATCGACCACTTGAAGCATGGTCAACGACTTGGGGAATTCCCGAGGGTCTCTCATTTCCGAGATGAGTCCGAAGAAGGCGACATGAGTGACTGTGACGAGGTTAGCAAAAACTGTGGGACATGCCAGAGAGGTCAAGCCATACTGTAGGCAAAGATGATGTTGCACACGGCCAAGAATGCATCCTGGAAACTAACGTCCCTAGTCGCATCGACTTGGACGTGTTCGGGGGCCTGGACTCCAATGGAAATCATGGTGATAAAGGTCGCTGCGATGATACTGATGCAAGCTGGAAGGTGTGTCAGTAATCGTCCGCAAGAAGCCCGGGGTAGGAGAAGTACTGACAGACGATGGACATGTAGTACACCTTGTTCATGGTACGGGGAAGGGCGCCGATGAAGCTGACTACCATTCCAATGACAGCGAAAACAATGGTGCAAGTTCCGTGATTGGTGATGGTGTTGAATAGAACCGAAAATGTAAGGATATGACTAGCCATCAGGAAGATCAAGAGGAGCAGTTGGCCAATGCCCATCAGTTCCCGTCCAAAGCGACCCAGAATAAGCTCTCCGGCATCACCCATGCTGTGCGTTTGAGGGAAGCGAAGCTTAAACTGTCCGATAACATAACCTGTGTACCATGATACGCCGGACATTCCGACAAGAATAATCACTCCACTGAATCGTTTGTCAGTCTTTCTGTTGCTAGTTGGGTTACGGTGAGGTGACACCTACGGAACAAGTCCTAGTGTTGCCATCGCGGACGGAAGAGATAGAATGCCTAGGGACATATTCTCCGCGATCATCACTACATGGACGGGTTAGATAGCACGTTCAGAAGTATGGTTCAGGAACTGAGCGTAGGACTGCTTACACATTCCACATTGCCTGTAATCAAATTGCCCATATTAGCCACCGCATTGGTTCCACGACACCGTTGAAGTATAACGGCAGTCTTATTGCACGAGCCGAGCATTGGAAGCTTACCACCAACCCATAACACGATACTTGACTTCTCCCTCTTCCTCGCTTCCGAATGGGTCGTTTGCTGGCACATCCTCACTATATTCCTTCTTTTCCACGTCGGCATATTGGTCACCATAGTTGGGGCCATTCTGAATGGCAGGCGACTCGGTGTGTACAGTCATATTGTCGATGGGGATGGATGAGTCGCAAAAAGGATCATAGGAAGAAAGAACAGAAAAACAACGGCGCGCCGCAGTATTTTAGGAGCAGCTGGGGCCACTGGGGAGGCGGTTGGAGTCGGATATAACTAACAAATAGACTAAAAATCCCCAACCGAGCGGTTTCGTTCCGTTCATTTTTTTATTTTTTCTTTTTCCTCTTTTCGATATTCTCCATAATTAGGGTTTTAGGTTTAACTTTTGCCTCTCCATCCAGAATTTTCTTTTCAAGCGCTGATTGGCTGGATGCGCTGAGTCAGCACTGGCGGCACGCCCTTAAAACTCTTATTCTCACGCCCCGAAAGGCTCAATTTTTGCCCTAAATCCTTGACGATGATCTCACAGTGCAGATCCTGCGGTTCTTTTGCCGCATGCCGCCTTTCCCCTGGCGTTCTTGTCTCATTGGAATGTGAAGTAGTATTGTTCACGACCGCATAAAATGGACGAATACGGAAGGAAGGCTAGAATGATTACAGAACAACGTTCGGCGAGGCTGTGTGCCACTTTGCCTAGAGACAGTCCCACGGCCGAATGTGGAACACCCGCCGAGACGCAGCACAATTCGAGACTCGCATTGGCTCACTGGGATATCTTCCCTGCAGAAAAGTGGTACCGATGGGCCGTGACAGAACACCTCCTGTTCGGCACTGCTGATAACAGCGGCGTCTGGCAGAAAATCTCCTCCACATCGGGAGGCCAATGATGGATTTTCATAACGTACGGATATTACCACTCGGTTTACCGACGATAGGAGGAAAGAGACCATTTCTCCACGTCTGTACGTCACCGGTTGCCTCTCTCTGGTTAGTGAGTTTAGAAGCGTGGAGTGAGACAACCTCCGCATGGCCACCTGGATTCGGTCTGGGGAAGGGACTTCCTCTCGGCTACTATTATGTAATTGATATATTATGTAATTGGACACTTTCTTGGACGATGCTTGGCTGCCTGGAGTTGACCGGGGTAGCAAGAAAGGCTCAGTGCTCATTCGAGTCTACTGTGTAGTGTTTGTGTATTGATTTCGGTGGCGAGACTGATGCCGTCTGGGCAGCACAGCGTGCCGGATCCGGGCTGGCCGAGATGGTACGTCACCCGAGGGTTGCATCAATATCCAGGGGAAAACAGGAACAACACAATGCGAATCAAATATCGTTTGTCTTACTTGTTGCGGGTTTTTCTGCGCAAGGGGTGGAGGCGAGTTGCATACCACCTTAGGGCTTGTGGTTTGATACCCTTCTCCCCGCATCGCTACTCCGGATTTACTATTTTTCGACTCAGGTCGGTCACTCTTCGGTGGGGGCTGGACTCCGGGGGAAGAGGCGATGGAAGACACACTCCCCTGGGGAAGGACTCGGCACACGGTTAGCGGCTGCTTTGTGCCAATAACGACGCCGTGTCGCGGAATATGATGGGAGATTCTCCAGTCGGTTCCTTAGGCTACCGCTGCTCACATGCGCTATCTAATTTCTACCCGGTCGGTTCCACCGGTATGCTGCCGGTCCCCGGCCCGGTGCGCTTCGGTGTAGACTCGTGAAGCCGGTGGATACCTTGATAGTTAATCCTCGACGTCTGCCAGAACCTCTTTGAGCTGCTCGGATTCCGTCTTCCGTCATGAAGGACGTGTTGCGATGCTCAGCTACATCTGAACAAGAACAACGCTCACCGTCGATGTTGCCATTAATCAAACTTCATCAGAGAGCGAGGTCTGTACAAATTCACTAGTCATTACGCATAAGGACTTCCGGCATCCCGACTCAAACTTGCTCCACACCCTTAATAATCTAGATCTGGATACAAGCTTGATATCTGTATCTAGGGCGGAGCCTAAACGAGCTATCGGGCTTCTGCTCCACCGAGATAGTGAGATAGGCCCTGTTACTCTAATAGAATTATAATACTACTCATTGTGTTCACTTATTTTAAGGTACTATCTCTTATCAATATCACAACCACGTTGTTCTATAAGCCCCGTTGCCGCGCTTAGCATGGTTCGAAACTATCGGTGCAGATCTTGGTAGCTTCCATGCATTTTCTCTTTTAGATTACCTGACTGGGAATAGCCCTGGCCGAAGATCTTCCGTACTCCGATAGTGATGAGGCGTGGTTGCCAAGAGTCAGTGAAATCTTTGACCCCTTGGGGCAAACGCCGAGGATTGAATATAACGGGGTCAATCGATCCGAACCACTGGTAATTGTACACGTTATGCGTAGCCTATTTCCATTAAGAAAACTTTTGGTTCCCACGTTCGGCAACCCCGTGAACCACCAGTTGCCGCAGAATCTCGGCGGCCAAGACAATGTCGCCACCTTCGGCTGTAACGCTCATCTCGCTTGTGGGAATGATGATGATAGTCATGGTGGATACCAGCGGATTGGAAAATGATCTTAGCCGCCACACGCTAAGGCCTATGCTCATCTCATGGACTTCATAATCCATGCTCCATCAGGGTGCGTTAGACGTCGAAGAACGGAGTACTCCAACTACAATATAAACGATCTCCGGTCGGCGTGTATGCCGGCGGCTTGGCTCGCTACTTTATATTGGTTTACTTGAGAGAACGGCGTCATCGACCCCGGCTTTAAAGTAATAGAAATGAAATTTAGTAGAGTAATACCTTTGCGAACCGGCCATATTTAATATTGCGCTGTTTCGCCCGCAACAGTGAAAAATGTGTTGGCACATTCGTTGTCTCGTGTACATTTTTTCTCACTCGGACACTGTTCGTTCCGTCTCTCTCTTTGAGAGCGGTCTTTGAGATTCCTCTTCTTTATGAGAGGATGGTGTACGGCTATCTCATAGCTTGTATTGTCTTCTTTTATCAGCTATGCCGCGTAAATGCTGCCATCTCCTACCTTGAGAGATGCTCGATGTTACTAGTTGAAGTTCTCGGATAAACTACTTTTCTTCGATAATGTCAATAGTCTCCGGGTAACTCACTTCAGTCGCTACTTTATACACCGGTTAGGTTCACATAGCAACAGCTATAAAACTTCTCAACAAAACTCAGATGACATGCATGACAGGGGTCTCAGTTAGATTCAGCCACCCGCCAGCCACTGTTGATATTATTCGTTGCCCTAGCCGTGCGCTAAGATATTGGCAACACCAAGACAGGAACTTCGCTTTACTACGGATCGAGTCTTCTGGTTGGAGGTCATACTGCGCAGACCCGGATGCTTACCCCGAAGATGAATTGTGGATTATCGAGCAGCAAGCAACATTTACCTTACCATGGAGGTTCCGTGTGATTTTAGTCCGCCAAGGGTGTGTGCCGATAGCAGAAACAGCTCTCTTGGATCGCTATGTTGATGGACGACGTGAATGCGATACGCGCGTGATGTATTTCCGGATCGACTTTTGACGAACACATCATATCGATATGTATATCCGTGCTGAGCTCGTGGCGTATAGCTCCTAACTCGAAGAAGCCGAAATGTTGCCTCGCCGTTCCGGATAAGCTACCTTGCCGAGAGTTTGGGGTACGCCCTTGTCTTTTCACGGTCGCATATGCTTGGGGCCACATGGAGAAGTCTCGAACCTCGATGGAGGGCACTTAAATGGATGATCTGCGATATTCCGGGTAAAACACCGATGTCTAACGAATTATCACGATGCCTTACGGCCACGAGAAGCCTGTCATGGCTCAAAGATGTCACATCCTCCCTCGTCAGTTGATAAGTCTACAGAAACGGATGCACTTTCGTTCGAGTTCTTGACAACGAGTCAAGGGTTGATAGGAAATCCAGTCATGTCCAGAGGAAAACGGCGTTGAGGGCAGTTTGCAGAAAACAGACGGAAACATTTGTTCTGGGACCGACATATTGCACAGTGCGATATAATAACAACGATCAATAATCTTGACGTCGAAGCAATTCTCGCCTGTACAGAACAGAGCATCGATATATGCATATATCAGGGCAGTTAGCTCCAGAAGCACGTGGTTGGACTCGTGGAAATCGGTGCCCTAGACAATAACCTCACTGAACTTCGTCTTGCAAAACGGGATGGACGCCGGGTATTTTATAATACAAAATGAAAAAACTGTCAACAGTCAATTCTGAAGGATGAGATGCAATGACAAGTATCTCGATGGCTGATAGTCTAGCTAGTCGTGAGTACTCGGGCTCCCAGATTAGAGTTGGGGGTAGGTCGCCCTTTAATTACCCCGAGGCTTTTGTTTACCATAAGACAATAACAAAATCCGACTTAAATATACAGTGGGAAATGGCTAATACAAGGCAATCAGTTGGAAGGCGAAGTCCAGCATTCACTAGCTAAATCATGCTATCGGGACATCAGAGCTCCTCTGTGGCATAACGGTCTCCGTACTCCCTCACAACCCACTCGCAGAAGGCCTCCCACTTCTCGCTCCACTGCTGCAAACGCTTGGCCTTGATGCCATCCCCATTCTCACCGAAATCAATATCACGAACCCATTCGACCTCGTTCTGATCTTCGAAGTTGCTCCACCGGATGCTGTTCTGCGCTAGTGCTCCCTGTTCTTTTTGTTAGCACCGTCTGACTGTATATGAAACGCCACGGGAGAAAGCTTACCAGGCCAGCCAGACCGACGTTATCGAAAGCTTGGATTGTCTGGTAGAAGTCGTAGCTCAGACCAGCTGCGTTCTGGCCGAGGATCGCCGGGTCGTCGTTGCTGATAGCCGTCGGAATACCGTGGGCAATCATCGCCGGAAGGGGATGGTGGAGGATATCGGTGGCGAGACGCAAGACTTCGTTGGAAATGGGGCAGACTTCCACCATGATACCGTTCTCGATCACCTCATCAATTAGCCTCGGGTGCTTGTACAGGGAGAAGCCGTGTCCGATACGGCGTGTGCCGAAGAGGACCGCGTCGAACAAGTTGAGGTCGGTCGAGTTTCCATCGCCAAGAGTTTCGCCGGCGTGGAAGAAGAAAGGAATAGTGAGATTCGACTCCTCGGCCTGCTGCTGGAACCAGATCAATTCGGGTGCCATCTCGGCGAGAGGACGACCCAAGTCTTCTTGCGCGACCACATCGTAGCCCGAAAAGAGCTGAGGGTGTCTAACACCAATCTGTTAGCTAACAAAAACTTCCCCATGATCGTGATGGACAGTTAGGAGTCTCACCTGCGCTTCCGCTCAAGAGCAATTCCCATGCCTATACCAGCTCGTTAGATACGGAGAACAATAGTCGCGGCAAGATTCTTCTTACTCTTTGTCAGCGAAGCACGGTTCTTGCCTCTGCTGTCCGACCAGATGACTCTCGCTCCCCAGAACTCTGCGCCCTGCGGAGTTTTCTGAAACTTCTCCAGCTCCTCCAACAGGACGTCCCACCAGATATCCAGATCCGGATCGGGGTCCTCCTCGCCCTCATGGACAAGCTTGCCGCTTGAACCACCAGCACGGATTTCCACCCAGTTGATGTGGTCCTCGGCCAGGCGCGAAAAGAGCTTCTGGTAGAACGTCCGGACAACGGGCTCGTACGATAGCATGGTGTTGGCGGGACCGAAGGCTGTCTGGAAGACACGCCAGATCTCATCGACTCCCAATTCGTGACGCACAGACTGCTCGGGAGAGATGGTCACCTTGGTGTTGATGAAGTCAATGAAACCCTGTTGGCCACCCGGGAAAGTGCTAGCAGCCACAGTTACGGGGATTGGCGTGTTAGGGACATAATCCTTTGAATAAATCGACGATCCATTGGTCGCAATGGTATGATTGACATGGGCAAACTCGATGGAGGCATTCTTGCGGTTGTCCTCGGTGGACAGGTCCTGGGAGGCGGAGAAGACCATACCCTCGGTGTGAAGAATGGTTTCCAGCAGAGTCTCATAGGGAAGCATGGCAGCCAAGTGCGCGTGCAAAAGGGCACCCTTAGGCATGTGCTTGACCACTTCCCAGAGTTTGGTACCATTGATCAATGGCCGGGCTTTCGGGAAGACCTCACCGGCGAACCTCTCGTCGGTATCATTCTTCTCCGGGGTTCCAGGCACTCGCCAGTACTCGTCGATTTCCTCCTGGCGAATCGCTGCTACAATGGCGTCCGCTCTCTGGGCTACAGAGGAGAGGTTTTGACGGAAAAAGTGGTCTACGCCATGTTAGCACTTTCACCGGAGTTCAGTCAATATTCCTGGGAACAGACCCTGTCGCTGTCTCTTCTCGTACGAGATCAACGCCGATCGCGAGCGAAGATGCTTTTGCACAGCAAGACTGTTGACATCAGGCACACCAGTCTGCGCAGAGACCAAAGAGAAGAGGAGGGTCGCTGTCGTGACGAGGAACTTCATGATGGGCGAGTGCCACTGGCGTGGTGGAAGTAGCCGTGGAGTTACACACGGAAGACTAGCATGATGGCGTCTTCAAGCTATATATACGTTGCCCCGCAGACCTAATCGGAGTCACGCAATTTAGGCCAGTCAGAGGAGGTCCTTGAGATGGGGAATTCTGATCTACAATCTTGCTGCCGTTCTGACGATAGTCAAGCCATTCTCAGCTGCGGCTGATCATCAAAGGTACGGGGAAAGCAAGGAACGCAGCTACACAGGCACCAATTGCATCGCAGGCCCAATCGTCAAGCCCGGATCCCATGGAATCCTTAATTTCTGATATCTAACGGATTGCTCTTACGAGAGGCATTGGTCAGATCACACGCACGGTGGAGACGGGGTGTTTTTCATTCGTATTGGGGCCAGTTGAATGGCGTCTTCCCAATCGTGGCAAGGCCGTCGATAGTTCGAACCTATTGCATAATATTAGTTTGTTTATTGATAGGCCAAGAGGACTATCGCTGCAGCTTGGCCCAATCTGCGCCAGTCAGGTTACATTTGCTCAAGCTTGATATTAATCGCGCTACCCTCATTGTCTTGGCAATGCGAAATTTTCACTGGAAATTCCGTGCTGACTCAAACAATCCTGCTGCATGTCTCACCTTTGGAGGCCGTTAATTTGCTGGCCCAAGCTCGTGTGGGTCTTTCCTGCCACTCGATTTCTTGAATCCTCTGCAATCCTTCTGCTCCGATTACACTTCACGGAGTACTCCGGCAAGTATGTGCGGAGTAATTGGACTAACTAATAAAGCATCATCCCCCTACCAAGTGACCACTGCAGTCTGACCTGAAAGCCCGAGTAGCATGAATACATATAGACTCGGTCACAACCATTAGTGAGGGCTGGAGCTGCACAGTCTCCTGCCCGGTATGGGTATGCAAGGGACAAGGCGAGCTGAGCCGTTCAATAGAGAATGGAAACGAGGGGAAAACGAGGACTAATTCTGCATAGCAATCACATTTTTTTCCGGAAATTACCTAAATTGTCTGGAGACACGGGAGTATGGGGAGCTGACTGACTGACATTCGGGTTGATGCAGGAGGCTACTACCCGTGCTTTACCATGCTCGACTACAGGATGCAGCAACCATTGGATCACGCGAGTGGACTGATGAGCTGGCTGAATGCAGATTTTTTAGAAAATTGCAGTCAAGCTAGGGTTAAGTCCATAGTCCAGTGCCGGCTGAAACATCTTCAGCTTTTAGAGCAAGCCCTGATCTATCGTGGGAATTTGATACCCCGACTGAATTTAGTTCCTGGTTAGCAATTTTTTGCTTTTTGGGTAACGTATCTCGTCTCCAAACAAGACATTCAGAACAGCACCCATGGCCCCATAATTCTACTCAGCGAGATAACAGGCCATCAAGATCTGGTCATTCTCACTAACGGTGGTGGTTCTACTCTAGCGTCAGTCGGACCCAAATCTGGCGATCTTCGAGACTGTTAGTCGGATCAGAAGTAGTACTGCCACGACTGGTTAGGCTAGATCTAAACTGCCTATTGCGCCTAGGACTAGTCTGCTGCAGGAGTACTAAGTGGGTTCTCAAAGGCCTATTTGTCTTTCTATTCTAGATAGCCTTCCTTAAGTCACAGATCGTGGTTGAACTTTCTTTTACCCTATTTAATAACATTGGATTATATCGTAGAAGAACTGGCTATACCGGAAATTGAATGCGGGTAAGCCAACATTCGAGTTCTTCCATTAGCCATGAAAAAGCGAACTCACCGTTACCGTCGTCCTGATGGCATAAGACTAGTACTGATGTATACTCAGAATTATCAGTGGCCTATCTCAGGCTTGAATGACAGGTCCCGCCACAGCATTTCCATATATCGTCACCTGGGTTGTAGACAATATCGGGGATTGATGTGCCACCTTTTCGGCAAGCAGGATATTTGAAGTAGTGTCGCTCGTGAGTGTGGAATGGTCAGGAAAGCTAGCAATGCTTTATACCGCACATTGAAGAAGGTCAATTAGTACTGCTTGCTCTGCCCATCTAGGCTGACTCCACGCAGGTCGTCCCCACGATCTTACATCTTCACTTTGCAGGGAGAATGTAGATAATCCAGCATTGAAGCTTGATCCAAACAGTAGTGGGGCGAGACTCTTTCGGTCCGTATCGGAAACTACGGATCTGGAGGCGACCACCCAAGCGTTGAGCTTCATCTACACAATTTCTTGCACCTCCAGTACGTCTAAACCCCTGATGGTCTAGTTGGATATGGCGTCTGACTGTAATGGAATTTATAACCTTGTAATCAGAAGGTCGCCGGCTCGATTCCGGCTCGGGGGACGACATCTTTTTTTCCCTATCATCACAGGCGCTCGTCGAAAGCAAGAACGGTAACTCACTCACCACATCGATTTACAGACAGGTTTACTCTCGGTGTCATCAAAGCAAGTGGAATTAGCCGTAAATGTAGCGGTATAGTAGGCGGTGGTCGGTGAGACAGGTGTTGCCGCAGGCGCAACATGGTAGCACTGCAGGGGTTCCCTTAGGAGTCGTACATGGTACACCACCTTGATATCCGCCGTGACTCCTTTCGGATAGGCACAATTCATCATCTTGTACAACTGGCCCGGGTAACCTGAAAGTAATGGCCGTGAGGATGACACGTGGAGCCTTGAGAAGCAACGACGTGAGGACCAGGTGAACAGACGAGGCCGAGATATGCGAGGTACTTTGCTGCCCAGAGCAACTCAGCCTGACTCTCTCTCCTTTGTTGTTATTGATCGCTTGGATAGTGTTATTGGGCTGTGAAGGCAGGAACGATCTGCAATTATCCAGGGTATTTTTGCACTATAACCATCTAGATTAGATTCGATCAGTCTATCTCATCTAGAGTTGATTCGAGTACAAACAGGCTATGACTTATCATACCATATCAATTTCTCATCGGACGGGTGATTTACAGACCTATAACGCCTCAACCTCTGTTTCTAGGAACGTTCGCAGAGGTGCCCTTAAATGCGGAGACGAGATTTACGCCAGGGTACGTATTCAGCCTATTTACGCCAGCCTGGTCTCCAATATTTTCCACCAACCCCGGGGTGCCATTTCCCCACATGACTCCATGAACTGTAGACTTTATATTCCTATAGGGACGACGTTGCCCACAACCATCTGGCTCGAATTCGTTCGTCTTTGCATGTGTTCCTAGCAAATAAGAAAGGAGGCGAAACGTCTACTTTCAAGGCTCAAGAGTAAAACAACCAACCTACTTAAACAGTTCAGATAGTAAAGTCTGGGTGTTCGCTTTTAATATGGCCCTCCCTAAGACCATTACACTACAAAGCGATGTCTTGCGTGTCAGTGTCGTCGTTGATGAACAAGGATCTGCTTTCCTTCAGGAAGTGATTCCCATGCCTGGTGCTTCTCGACCGTCAGTATCTAAATACTTCACGAATTCATACGCACCGCTGGTGGAACTGCGGCTGGCCGGTGAAGGCACCGCAAAGCATAAATCATCCAAGTCTCTGATAGCCACATATGTGGGGACCCGGCTACGTTACCGATCGCATGAGATCAAGCAGCAAGCGAACACCCATACACTGGACGTTACATTAAAAGACCCTGTCTCCGAGGTGACGGCAACTGTCCACCTGATAATCTACCAAGGCGCCCGTGTGCTCCGTGCGACAAGCACAGTCCGAAATGACAGTGACAAGGACATCGTGGTGACACAGCTGAGCTCCTTGGTCCTGGGTGGACTAACAACTGGCGCAGAGAAATGGTGGTCTGACTATGTTCTCGCAGTCCCCAATAATTCATGGTTCAGAGAGGCACAGTGGATCGATCACGATCTACCCAGCTTGGGTATAGACGACTACGGCGTGTATGGGCGTCCCGAGGAACATGCAGCTAGCTTAGGTCACTATTCGGTTTCCAATCGAGGAACCTTCTCAACAGAGGGCCATTTGCCTATGGGCCTTTTGAAGCGTACTGACAATGCTGAAACATGGCTTTGGCAAGTGGAAAACAATGGCTCCTGGCGCTGGGAAGTCGGTGACTGGAAAGACAGCGTCTATCTGGCTGCTGGCGGTCCAGTCGAGACCGATCATGATTGGAGACAAACGCTCTCCCCCGGACAAGAATTCAGCACCGTACCTGTTGCTTTATGCCATGTCCTGGGGAACTATGAACATGCCTTTGCGGAGATGACCCGTTACCGGCGACAGATGCGGCGGAAACACGAGGATCATAAGACACTACCCATCATTTTCAATGACTACATGAATTGTCTGATGGGTGACCCCACTGACAAAAAGATCACGGCCCTCGTCGATCCCGTACTCCGAGCTGGGGCTGAATACTTTGTCATCGACGCTGGCTGGTATGCAGATGATTCCGGCTGGTGGGATGATGTTGGGTTGTGGGAACCATCAAAGAAGCGTTTTCCTGCAGGGTTCAGGGAACTGCTTTTGCACTTGAAAACGCAAGGCCTTACCCCAGGCCTCTGGATCGAGCCAGAAGTCATTGGAGTACGCAGTGTCGTCGCACAACAGTTGCCCTACGAAGCGTTCTTTCAGCGAAATGGCCAGCGCATCGTTGAAAAAGGACGTTATCAGCTAGATTATCGCCACGCAGCCGTCCGGGAACACATGCATGCTGTTATACACAGACTAGTCACCGAATATGGCGTGGGCTATTTTAAGTTCGACTATAATATCGAAGTGACCCAGGGCACAGATATCAACTGTTCAAGTCCGGGTTCTGGTCAATTAGATCACAATCGGGCGTATCTGCACTGGGTGAATGACCTGCATGACCGGTACCCTGACCTGGTGATTGAAAATTGCTCGAGTGGCGCCCAGCGAATGGATTATGCTATGTTGGCTGTCCATGCTTTGCAGTCAACTAGCGACCAACAAGATCCCGATCGCTACGCAGCAATTGCTGCGGCGCTTCCAACAGCTGTTACCCCCGAGCAGGGTGCCATTTGGGCATACCCTCAACCAGAGTGGGATGACGAAACTAATGCGATGACGGTGGTTAATAGTCTTCTCGGCCGCATACATCTAAGCGGACGGCTAGACAAACTTAGCCCGCGTCAGTTTGAGCTTATCAAAGAAGGTATGGGTGTATACCGTACAATTCGCGCTGATCTAACGATGGCTACTGCTTTCTGGCCTCTCGGCCTTCCTCGCTGGCATGACGATTGGGTCGCATTAGGGATGGCAGTGCCTACACCGGACAATTGTGATTCGGGAGCTTACTATTTAGCTGTCTGGAGACGAGGAGGTTCAGGCTCTATTGAGCTACCTATTCCTGCTCTTCGTGGGAATCCTGTAAAGGGAGAGCTGCTTTATCCTCCTACCTTTCCATGTGAGATCTCATGGGAACTCGCGCAGGGAATTCTGCACATCCGGATGCCATCGAAGCTCTCTGCCCGCTTGCTGAAACTCACTAGTGGCGATATTTAGTTCAGTAATAGTTTACTATTTAGCCTATAAACCATACAGGTCTTCCATCCCAATGTGGTCTTTGGTTCTTTAATATAGAAAGAAGCACTTACACACTTTCACGTCACAACTGAACCTCCAACGTAGATTGAATGACCTAATATAATCTTGGATAATTGCCACTAATAGTTGGCACCCTCTCGAATTGGATCAGGTCACTAATCCTATGAAGTCGAAACCTAAAAGGACAAGCCTTAAGTCATTGGACTCGAGAAGTCATTAACTTCAGCTCTAGGGGCAGGTGGAACAGTAGGGTGTATTATCGGAGCATTCCTGAACGGCTATCTGGTTAGACATTTGGGCTTCAAGAAAGTATTCACAGGTGCCATGTTTGTTATGGCAGCGTTTATCTTCGTGTCCTTCTTTGGCCACACGGTGGGTCTTCGGGTGGCTGGCCAAGTTCTCTGCGAGTGAGTCCTCATGGCAGCAATGCGGAGTCCAGTAATAACTGTGCAGCAGTATTCCATGGGGCATCTTTGCCACGATCGCGCAGCGTACTCTTCAGAGCTTTTGCCCCTGGCTTTACGCTCCTACCTCACGGCATACACGAATATGTGCTTCACCATCGGGCAGTTTATCAGTGCCGGGGTGCTTCAGGGTTTGATAAGTCGCGACGATCAGTGGGCATATCGTATTCCGTATGCTGTGCAGTGGATATGGCCAGTACGGTTGCTCTTCATTGGCATCCTTATGCTAGAGTCCCCCTGGTGGCAGGTGCGCCATGGTCGGTACGATGATGCCTTGGCGACGATACAGCGCCTAACAGCAGGAGAGGAGAAGACCAAATCCTGGCAGACTGTCGCGATGATGATTCACACAAACCAAATCGAGCAGGAGATTGAGGATGGGAGCTCCTACTGGGATTGCTTTCGTGGCAGCAACCTCCGACGAACCGAAATAAGCTGCATGAGCTTCACAGGCCAAGTGCTCGCTGGCAATCAGTTTGCCTACACGGGGACCTATTTCTTCAAGCAAGCAGGAATAAGTCCAGCGGACGGTTACAATCTTGGTCAAAGGTGGGACAGCAATTGCCTTCGTGGGAACGATTCGTTAATGGTTCTTGATGAAGAATTTTGGTCGCCGGTCCATGTATCTTGGGGCTGATGAGTTCCTACCTGCTTGTCATCGGATTCTTGACACTGAAGTCGAGCAATAGCATAGTCTGCGCTCAGTCGGCACTATTCATTGTCTGGATACTCACATTTAGTTTGACTGTAGGACCGATGGGATGGAGTATAGCGCGCGAAGTGTCATACACGCGGCTACGCTCTAGGACAATATGTCTCGCTCGCAACGCCTACTATATAGCCATCACAATGGCCAACATTATCAAGCCATACATGATGAACCCAGCAGCTTGGACCTGGCGAGGGAAGACCGGTTTCTTCTGGTCTGCATTCGCGTTCCTGACGTTTCTCTGGAGCTATTTCCATCTCCCCGAGACTAAGGGTCGTGCATTCGAGGAGCGTGATATTACGTTCGCCACGGGTGTGCCTACTCGGAAGTTCAGGACGTATCGTATTGACCGACCCGTATGCAGGAGATATAGCGATCAAGGACTGGGCGCGAGAAGGCCCACTGGAGAAAAGTACTAATATAATAAGCCCAAGATATGTTGGGTAATGAATCAGAATGGTATCATCCCCTTCGAATCAAAACTTGGTTTACAGTCGGTCTGGGCAGCAACGCAGCGTTCTATCGTATTGCTGACACCTTGGGCATCTCTCGCAGTTGGACGACAGCATCGCGAATCCTGGAGATTCCCCGAGGCTGAGAATAGGGCTTTCCATCGCAAACTTCTGCCAAGCTCCAACCAACCGCGAAGAAACCAATAATCTGGCCAAGTACCGTATCATAGGTGGAGCAAATACTGTCAGCTTGCATTCCTCATCGCAGCCATTGGTGACTTAAAATAGGCGGACAGCGTGGATGAGCCAACCCGGTCTATTGGATTCGTATTCCATTTCTTGGCTCTCGCACAGACACCAGGGCTTCTGCGTATAAGTATTTGTTTCAAAGTTTCTCGTAGGCGCAGCTTTGATGGAACCCCCAGCCACCGACCAGACTTCACTTTGACCGTAACATTGTGAGCGCCAAGGCGTGACATCCCATTGCACCATGACAACAAAACCCTCGAGCGCCCCATGGGCCGACGAGCCCTTCCGCTTGATCGCAACGCCATCAAAGAGCTTTGATGTATGGGCTCATAGTCCAGCAGAACGAACTGAATGGCGCCGGCTAACTGAATGCTCAGGAATCGCTCGGCCACATCAACGGCGCCTCTGTGATGGCACATGCGCACAATGTTATTATCCGAGGGCTAAATGCCATTCTCCAGCAGGCGCCCTACGTGCCGATCGTTACTGACGAACAGTTCAATGCGCAGGATGTCAAGGACCTTCTCTTCTACGTTCAGGCGTGGGTCAAGATGGTGCAACACCACCACTGGGTTGAGGAATCTTACATGTTCCCAGAGATTGAGAAGTTTACTGATCGACCGGGATTTATGGATGACCCAAAGCATCAACACGAGCTGTTCCATGACGGACTGGAGAAATTGCTTGCATATTCCTCCGCCACGAAACCCGAGGAGTACCGGTGGAAAGGGGCTGATGGCATGGAGAAAATAATTGACTCTTTCAGCAAGGCCCTGACCGATCACCTCTACGCTGAGATCGATATCTTCTTATCTATGGGAGACTTTGATAGTGACGGGTTGAAGAATATATGGGAAGAATCCGAGAAAGTCGCACAGAAATCAGGGAATATCGCAATGCTTGTAGGCTGCCACTTCGCTCTCTCTTACACGCTGTCCATATGATGCCGGAAAATTGGGTGCTAACTCGTCCGCCACAGTATGATACCTTCCCCATAGTGCTTGGCTGTGCCGACAAGACCTACGAAGGCGGCCATGACTTTCCTCCCTTGCCTTGGGTGTTACCCTACCTGATCAAGTATTGGTTTGCCGCGGGCAATGGAGCCTGGCGATTTAACCCATGCGACTGGTGGGGTCAGCCAAAACCCCTGGAGTTTGGTCCAAGTTGAAGTCCATGGGAGCCATCACTGATATTACCGGTAGTTAGCTCTAACCTAGGCGTACACTAATGTATAACCCAATCATATCCATGGCTTGCATATAGTTTTTGTGAGGTCCTCAGGGCAGAAGTCCCATCACTCATCAGGTCCATCCATCGGTTCATTAGACTTGGCAATTATCCGCGCCGTTATGTCTGGAGGCTGCGGGAAAGTAGTATCAAAAGGCCACATCGGTCGACGAATGCGCTTATGCCCCAGTCGCTTGATATCTTGGTCCACACCACCAGGAGTGAGCCCGAGCATCCAATCTGCAGCCATATCAAACAGCTCCGGCTCTAAGTATCCAATTTTCACGATCACTATATCTGTAGCACGAGGGTTCAGATTGAGATCAGTAAAGTCACGTTGGTGATGGTAAGGTTTGCGAAGCTGAGTAAGAATCGCAAACACACTGCCAACCTGCAAGACTGCCTCGGTAACGGCATCCTTGTCGCCATGCTTGATTGAATGCACACGCCCTGTCATAGTGATAGGACCAGCATGGATATGGTCTACCTCCGCTCCCGCAGTAACGGTTACTGTAGCACCGACGCCTGCCTGAACCATTGTCTGGACGGCCTGCGGCCCCGGGACACTGGCATATATAACTTTCGGTCCCGAAGGACTTTTGAACTCAGATCGATCGAGCAGCCGTGTCAATCCCCAGGTCACATCGCCTGAACCGCCCGCAGTCGGGTTATCTCCGGAGTCAGAGATGAAGAAAGGGTGGACAGGTGAGGCCAACGCAGTGTCGATACATTGCTTGAAAGACCTTGTTGGTGCAACAAACTTGAAATCCTTGCGCGAGTCCCAGAACTTCTTTGCTAAACGCTCCGCTCCCGCAGCGATAGCTGTTGCGTCCCAGCCTGTGACAACTATGGCGCCGCGATTCCGTGGCTCGTCGGCCCAGGGATATCCGACCCATATCGCGGCATCGACCACGCCAGGCTCTGCCTCAACTTCAGGCACAATCTCATAAAGACTCTTCGCTGGCTCGATACGCGTAGACGTTTGCTCTCCCGGTAGCAAGATGGGCACCGGAATCCACGCTTTGAGGGGTCGTAGCGGACCTCCAGCGACGTCAGAAGACTGCGTAAGAAGGTCAACAAGATTGCGACACGCTCGCTCTTTCGTCTCAGATTCATCCTCATGCGGAGCCGTCCGATAACATGTTAACATGTCCGACTCGTGAGCTAGTTCCCTAGAAACATTTCCGTGCAAATCCATCGACGCCGACACAATGACATCAGGACCAATAACGGCTCTAATCCGCCGCAGAAGTTCAACTTCGGCGTCATCGATGCCCTCCACGCACATAGCGCCGTGAATATCAAACCAGAGGCCATGAACGACCGTAGTCGCAACAATCTTGCCCAAACGCGTAACAATCTCTCCTGCCAGCCCCTCGAAGGCATCATGCGTCACCATTCCACCCGGTAATGCATGGCCAATTAAAGCACCATGCCATTCTGCTGCCTCACCTAGAGGTGTGCCCGTCTGTAAGAAGTTGTATTCGTCGATCACCTCGTTTCCCCTGCGGGGATGAAATGCAGGCGCAAGGGTGCGCGAGGGGGTGAAGGTAGACGTTTCACAGGCTAATCCTGCAACTGCAATAACAGGACGCTTGACCATGACTATTTAGAGGCTCAAGGTATAGTGTAAAGATTTGTAGGCTGTGTATAGAAGACTTCGCTGAACTACGAAGGGTTGTTGACATTTCGATGTTAGGTTAATTACCCGGCGGCAATCGTCAACCCCGCATAATCCTTGATACGCCCGTGAGCCCGAGCGATTGCAACAGAGCTTCTACGGATACATGCTCTGGTACAGTTGACGAATCGGTCTGTTTTAGTTATTTAGAACGAGCTAGCGAGCGAGCTACATCGAAGCAAGTTAAATGTGCTTAAAGAAGGCTACAACTTGGTGATCCTATATATTGTGGACAAACTTTGGTCCGATAGACTCCAAGTATGCTAGATGGGGCCTCGTACAGCGCTGAGGAGATAGTACTATTGACTATAATCCAGTGATTCACAGCCAGCTCATGGATCACGTATGACGAGAGTGAAAATGTGCGTATATGGACACAGCATCTCTAGCTATGGCAATATCCGACATCACCGGAACGGAACAGCTTTGATTCCGAGGTGCCTGAAGAGGAATGGCGCAAGAGGCAGACTTGCCCGAGGCACCAAGGCAACGCTCAAAGTCACTTCGAGTTCGCTTGGCCCTGCTTTGGAGGGGATATTTAACCGGTGATATTAAACGTAAAACGCAAGTGACATACACACAAGTACGGTTTTCACAAGATACACATGGAGTGAGCACAGCCATTCAATGGTCACTGATACTGCATAGAGAACATGGAACAAATCCAGCCAGCCTCGGCGTCGCGCGACTCGAGCCAGAACGGATCTGACAAGAATGCCTATCGGCCGCTGTTAGAGATTGCCTGCTTCAATCAAGAGTCGGCTATAATTGCTGCCAGAGCTGGAGCGGATCGGATTGAGTAAGTCGTTTCTTTCTGAGTCATGAACTCGTCAGTTGAGGACCGCCTCTGCCTCTAGAGGGCTGACCAAAATACTCGATGCTGGCGCATAATCTGTTTAAAACTAAACACTAACACCACCAAGGCTATGTCGGGATTATGCATCAGGTGGACTGTCTCCAGAGCCCGAGACCGTGGCCGCATTGAAATCGCAGATCTCCATCCCAGTCTATGTGATGATCCGACCACATGCGCAGAGCTTCTATTACAATGACACAGACTTTGAAGTCATGAAGAGTACCATGCATTCGTTCATGGAGAATGGTGCGGATGGATTTGTATTCGGTATTTTGGCTCAGAATGCACCCGAGGAGACCGCTGCTCGGATTGACGTGGCGAGGAACAAAGAACTGGTGGACCTCGCGCAAGGCAGGCCATGTACCTTTCATCGCGCATTCGACCAGATATCGGAATCGAACTGGGGTACTGCCCTGGCAGACGTTGTGGAGTGCGGGTTTACTTCTATCCTGACAAGTGGTGGCCCATCCGGTGCGACAGCGGTTGAATGTGTCGCCCAACTAGACCATCTGATACATGAACGACTCGAGCGGGTAAGGGAACGCGTGGAGGGTCATGATCGGGTACCTCAGATCATTGTTGGCGGAGGTGTTAGAGCAAGCAATGTTGGAATGTTATGGGAGAGGACGCGTGCTCCCGCATTTCATTCTGCAGCCCTTGCTCAGTCGTCGGTGGAACTGGTCAGTGATGGTGAAGTGGAGGCGTTAAAGGCTACCCTTAACAACGCAACCTGAAAGTGTGCTATAAGACAAGTAATATATCCTCGGTGATGATCATCACAAACAGAAATATCAATCTGCATTATGTGTCAGGTGTCCAATATTCGTTACGTACAAGATATGATCGTTTCACGATATTGGTTTCTTCTTCCTCCAGCCAGTTAAGGTGCATGTCAGCTCGAAGGATCTGGGACATGGTAACCGCCATGTTGACCCCCACGACATGTCCGATTTTATCCAGACACTGCGCAATCCACGTACGCATCTTCAGTGACGCACCCGAGCAATCGGATGCAATGAAAAGGGGCCACATCAACCGAAGAACACCGCCTGCGAAGGGAATACCCAAGGTTGACCCACCGGATGAACCAGTCATGCCCAGATGATACGGCACACTGGCACATATATCCTCCGCTAGCTGCTGCGAGATCGCGGCGCTGTGCCTCTCGCTTTGCCCGCATGACCCCTTTTCAGCTGCTGGAAAGTACGTGGCGGAAACGTATCCAATGATGCCGTGAAGAATGATGCGAATGAACCGATAATGGTTCCAAGCCATGCTCACTGCGATGTTGGGGTAGATGTGATAATGATCGCCGTATACAGGGTGTAGTGTACTGTTTTCACCTTCGAACCGTTTGACCTTCACAACGGTATATTTCCATTTCGCATCGATGCTCATCGCCCACGTTATCAGCTCTGCATCCAGGTTGAGAGCTTTCTGAAGAACTCTAGCCGGGTGGGCGAAAGCGCCCTCGTTGATATCGGCAGCCAGATCACCGACTTCCACCAGGATTCGAAAGAAGTAGTCAAGCACCTGGTCCCCGGTATCGCCGCGGTGCTTGAGAGCCTCTTTGGATAAGTCGAGCAGCCATGACGGAGTACGTTGCTTCTTGTATAAATTTCCCAGTGCCTGTTGCAATATATAGTTAGCCTATTGCTATTTCCCTCGACGCATGTATGTCATACAATTTGCAGCCGAATCTGAGTGAACAGCTCCAAGCCCGCCTGATGGTGTATTTGCTCGAATCCGCGAAGCTCGATCAGTTTCACTCCGCCTTCGATATGGTTCAACCAGCGCCCTATTAACGGTGGGCCCTCGCACGTCACGATCTATGCCGCCCATTAGCCTAAGGGTAATTGTCCGACACGCCGTCTGCACTCGTTGCCTACCTCATAGAGTGACAAGAGCTCAACTGCTGCTAAGGTTGAATCAGACCGGGCACATTCCCGGTCGCGTAGGGCTACACCAGTCGCTGACAGTGCCGCACTATACTCACGCCGTGCAGCTGACATTAACTCGGGCGACATATGGATATTAGCCAGGGACGCGAGCCCTAGGGCGCTGATGCAGGCTGTGACCGCGGGACTAGTATCTGTCCGAATAAGGGCCGGAAGGAAGTCAAAATGACCTCGAGTGTGCCTTCCATTTCGGACATAATGGGAAAAGATGAAACCCGATGCTTGATCATTCACTGAGAAGGTGAGCGACGGCAACACTGTAGGCGATAACTGGTGGTGACCATTGGCCATGGAAGGACTTGGCTGCCTCGAGCATGACAATACCTTGGTCGACGGCTTCGTATTCTGTTGGCGACGGGCCTTTCCTATTACTTCCTCGCTCTGATCATGAAAGTTGAGGGTCGCTACGTCGCGATACCCCGAGCATTCTCGATGAGCGCGGACGCATTGAGAACAAGACGGTCTCCGCTGATCGCACTGCATAGGCTTAGTTACACCGGCACATCAAGACTAGTATAGATTGACATTCCACGTACTTTAAGGCGTCGAGTCCGACAGGGCTCACAGGCGGGACTGGGCTTTCCTCGATAAACCATTGAGCTGTAGACTGAGAGAGAGAGTCTGGTGGAGTTTTACGAGTTGGATACCCGAAAGAGTAAGATCGGGACCAAAGTAGTGGTGGGGTCGGAAAGAAACGAGACGTTGGCTCTTACTTAAACTGCCAAGAGGAGCGCCAAATACTCAGGCTGCGAGCTCCGCAAGAGGCTGTGCACTTTCGTCCTTACGAATTGTATGCTCATTTGGGTTTAGTGAGGTCCAGCCTTGTCGGAAACAAGCATTCTGCTGCCTATTCCTGAGCGAATGAGGTTTCTATCCTCCCACCTACCGTGCTAAGCCTCAAGCTGGCCCCGAAGCGATTGCCGTAGAAGCATTTTTTCCTGAGGTTCCGGTAAGTCAAGAGCGTTTGGCATTTGTCGAGGGACCGATCATAATGCCTATCAACGTCGGTCTTGGGCTCACTCGCATTGAGTATCTAGGTCCGCCGAATAGCCACAGCCAGGGGAGATATTACATTATTCTCCACCGGTCTGAGAAACTGCTGTGGGGTCTGTGCATTGGCTTGTCCATACGCTTTTCGTCTCTTCCTTTTTTGCTTGGAATTCTTGTGTTCTTTAATTTAGCTCATTTTTACTCGACCCATTCTACTGAGCCACTGCTACGAGCTATATCCCAAAAGCGGAAAGTCAAGTAGAGCCCTAAGTTGACCATGGCTGTACAAGTTGCGTAGATAAATACTTTTGCACTTCCTGTCCACATTAGAGAGCCATACTGTATCATCATTATTCCTTGCATTGTCAATTCTACCCCAGTCCCTCCACTAAGTACTACTATACTTTGTTCTATCCTATTGACACACTCTATTTCCCTTCAATAATCACAAGCGACCAGACTGATTCTACGACCAAGATGAACGGGATATTTCCGGCTGATCTTGCTGTTTACCTCTTCCTAGCCCCTGTTGCGCTGTATATTTATTGGTCCCACCGATGGATCGGCTGGCTTCCTTGGACCAACCTTCTCACGTTCTGTGTTGTGCGGATAGTCGGGGGTGCTATAGGAGTGAACGACAGTACTAGCATTGCGGCGAACATCATCTCCGGGATAGGAATATCCCCACTGTTATTGGCTATCGATGGACTTCTACACGAAGCGTACGTTTGGACCGTCTCCCTGGGTAGCAGAGGCTTCCTAACACACTCGGGCTATTAATAGTCGGTATTACCGTCACCCAGAACACAATGTGCTCCTTGGTCGGATAGTGGTAATTGCGATCACTGGTCTCATGGGCGCTGGTCTCGGCCTTAGCATTTCAGGATCATTGCAGATCTACCAAGGTCAAGGGACGACCGAGGACCTTTCGCACTGGAAGGTGGGAACGGGCTTAGTTGTCGCTGTCTGGGCGATGGAAGTAATGTGGGCACTCTTCTCCCTTCTTCCATCCCAATGCAACAAGAATGCGCCGGGTTATAAGGATGGCACCAAGGCATGTAACCCTGTGGATGTATGAATGTTGTTTCATGAGAACTAACGCCTGTCCATTTCCTAGCTGATGTATGGGGCTCTTGCTGCTATTGTCTCCACCGGTGTTCGCGTTATCTACAATCTGGTTGCCGTTTGCACTCAGAGAAAGGACCCGAGTCCCGTCTTTGGATCCATCGCTGTGCGCGTTGTCCTCGTGTTCCTCCCTGAAGTCCTTGCCGCGTTGTCCATGATCCTTGCGGGGCTCTGGAGTAGAAATATTTGCAAGCACAACGAAGCGGCGGAGAAGTATGTATCAATATCTGCCTAAAGGCTGATATACGTTATACGTTGGCGACAACTGTGCAGAGATTCTTATGGAATTAGTGCCTGAGCCTTCCTGATACCCGTTTCTATCTGAATTGTTTCCTCTATTTGGCTACTTTAAGCTATGGTATAATGTCGGAATTAACAATAGAATATTCTGTGGGGCTATACTTTCAGCATAGAGTATGCACAATAAAGTACTGTATACCTTTTACTGCTCGAATAGATAACTTTACTTACACAATTTTCCACAATAGCTAAGAAATCGAAGCATAATCTCTCTGATGTACTCAAGGGCCCGTAACCTCCTCCTATTGAATAAAATGACGCCCAGCGAAGAATTGCTGATATTTCCAAACCGTAAGCACGAGCAAAGGTGGGTACTTTGAAACGATCCTCGGCAGCTCCTTGACATACTGAGATGCATCATTAGCACGGAGTAGCCGATCCTGTGGGATCCCACTCCGAATTAGTTACCGGATTTGGAAATAATCGACACCCTGACCGATTATCACGACAACGTAGAGCCTTATAGACTCTATAAGCTTCCGCTAAGCCTTGCAATGCGTGAAGACACGTGGATCTGTGCAAGGGTAAGTCAATGCTTATCATCCATGAAGGGCACAGATCATCCTGTGAAGTGGTTACCCAAAACGTAAACCAACGGTCTCGTCATCCAAGCCACGTTGAGGCCATTTTCGTTCCTTGCAACAGCGCAGAGAGTCAGCCCCAAGCGGTATAAGTACTGGGGAATAAATGGTGTTCAGAGACAGTATAGAAGACAGCTACACTTTTCAACCAGTCCAATGCCAAAGTTCCTGCTGGAAATATTACTCAGACACTCGATTGTTCTTGTTTCCCTTTCTTCTTTGACGTCCTGTACGAGAGAAACAGCTACCCGTTCACCATGTGTCTTCTGTTACCATTTCTGATGCACAAATCACGCAAAGTAAAGAAGGAATCAGCCTCTAGGCAATATGCACATGAGCAGCAGCCACGCCCAGTCATGAGGGATCTACGAACACCCGAGGAACAGCACCGGGGTGAGCCGAATACCCATTCGGGCCGGAGGGTCTAAAGGCGACGCTTAAGTAGGTAAACATGATAGATGAGATCTGGTCGAGCTATGCTAACACGAATCTAGTGCATTCCCTGTTTTCCCACTAAACCGCGACACACGAATCAGGAAGGGGAGCGATGGCCTTAGCGTATGACATGATGAGAGGAAGGATATGAGTGTTTTCTTCATTGCGTATTATATTCTATTTCACGAAGGATAAAATAAAGATCATTACTTTATGAGACATTCCTTATAGTTGTGCACCATCCGCACTGGCATCGAAGGTCTTCCGCCCTCGAGCCCAGGTTTGCTGTACGTTTGCCTTGAGTAAACTCTCTGCCTTCCAGTCCATATCCAAAACCACAAAGTCCGCGCTCAACCCAGCCTTCAGGGACCCGGTCCACGAATCCGCCCAGCGGGAATAGGCCGCCCCAGTTGTGGCGGCACTAACAGCAGCAGCTAGAGGCAACCCAAAGTGGGAATTCACCGTTTCCGTACACTCAGGCTCAATGGCGGATCTCCTGGTGGTGGCATTATACAAGTTTGGCAGGGCGGGATGAGATGCGGTGGGTGAATCTGTGCCGAATGCCACTGGAGCGCCGCCCTCAAGGAATTCGCGGTAGGCAAATGCACGGCTACAGCGATGCTTTCCAATGAGCTCCGGCCAGGCACGGAACAGAGCAGGGTCCGAGTGGACCGGCTGAACCGACGCCGTGATTCCAAGCTGACCTAGGCGTTTTGCGTCCTCAGGCGAGGTGAGCTCGAGATGTTCAATGCGATGACGACGGCCAGGCTGTGCTAGAGATAGTGCATCGATGGCATTCTTGACGGCCTTGTCACCAATAGCGTGAATAGCGATCTGCAGTCCAGCCGCATCCGCCTTCTTCACAACAGCCTGCAGAAGGTCCACGGGCCAGATCGGGTCCACCGGATTCTCGCATCCCTGGTACGGATCTGCCAGAGCTGCAGTACAGCCGTCAACGACGCCATCGCACATGAGCTTAATCCCTGCAATGCAAAAGTCGGGGGATGTCGTCGGATTATATTCACGATGGAGGGCGATAGCCCGGTCAACTTCACCAAACACCACGTTTAGGTCATCATTAGGTGGAATCACCCAGTGCGCCGCAATATGGAATGGAAACTTCTCTCCATGTCGCTGGCGCCAGGCCTTCAACACGTCCCATTCAATATCGTCCATCCCCATGTCAATCATCCCTGAGTACCCAGCCGCAGTATACGCTGCCGCCGCATCATCCAGAGCGTCCAGCTTATCTTCCAGCGAGGTAGCCCTTACCAGGAACTGTGGAACAATACCCAGGTGAGCCATCTCACTCAACAAGCCGGATGGCTTCCCATTCTCATCCCGATGAATCGTTCCACCGGGGGGATCGGCCATAGTGGCAACGCCCAACTCTTGCAAGGCAGCAGTATTACACCATCCCGAATGCATGTCATTGGCGTGGATATAGATGGGCCGCGGATCCAGGTCGTCCAACATACTTGCCAGCGCTTCCCCCCCTGTAGTCGACTGAACCCAGCTTTTGCACATAATCCGAGGCTCCTTTGGATGAGCCTTCGCAAAGGCTTTGATCGCCTGCCGAATCTCCTCCAACGAGTTACACGAGAGAAGGCTCAGCTTGCGGCGTGACAGCGAAAAGTCGACAATATGCATGTGGCTATCGATGAAACTTGGGACCACGATCTTGTCTTGCAGGTCTATCTCGCGGGCACCGGAGTCTTTGGCTTTCTGAATAGCGTCGTGGTTTGGGGATCCGACATATTGGATGCGGTCCCCGCTGATTATCATGGTTTGTTGGAACTCATATCCTTCCGAGCCGGTGCTCGGCGTGAAGATGCGACCGTTAGTGAGGATTGTTGTAGACGCCATGCCGGTCGTTCGTTTATGTATACTAGATAGTCACACCCTGGCTAACAAGAGATTGCCCCGTGAGTTGCTGACATGGAGTGGGAGGAATGGCGATTTATATGCCTTGCCCTAGTGGCATGTCGAGCAGCAAGATGAAGGTCGCACTGCGCAAAGTGACGCCATTGGTCTACACGGCCGAAATTCCCCACATCCAGATCGGCTTGGCAGGTGGGATTCGATATGCGTTGTGGAGTATAGTAGTTAAGGATGGTGGTGGGTAAGCAATGGAAAAGGTATGCATCTGCAAGATACGGTGTATACACTCATGCGGAGGATCGATAGTAATCTAGCTCAATTCTATGAAACACCTGCCAATTCTGATTAAACTCTCTCTACTACTCAAAATCTTCTCCATTGTCCATCCCCAATCCCACTATCCCACCCTTTAACAATATTTTGTACACTGCAGAACCCCATATGCATAGACTCTAACCGGCAGCCACGGCACTCAAGTAATAGTCGGCGGTACTGATACGCGCCTTTCGGCCCCAGATCATCATGGGAATGATAAAGACCATGGTGCCAAAACACACGCATCCAGCACTGATAAACATATTCTGAACTCCGAGCCCCATCATCCACGGATTGATAGCGAATGAGATACCCATCGAGACTAGGTTGCGGATGAATGTAATGACAACGAGACCTTCCGCGACAAGCTAGAAAATAATCAGCGTCCATGACGTTGCAAGACCAGTGAAGAACAGAGACGGAAGGCGCAGATTACGCATACCTCACGATAGGAATCTCCATAGTATGGGAGAATAATCGATGTTACCGATCCGATTCCAAAGCCGACAAATGAGGATCCAATCAATGGGACAATCCACGGTTGTTCCTAGATAACCATTCTGTTAGCGAGGGACTGTGATTCCCACTCGGGATGTAGTGGAACGTACATTGGCAATACTGATGCCGTAGAGGAAGAGACCTAGGGGGCAGACTACCAGGGGCACAAGTAGCATATGCAGTCTGAGCTCTGGGTCATAGACTCCGGCTCGGCGCCGGGCCATGTGCACGACATAGTAGTCATTAAGAGGACCGCCATAGATGGACCCGATAACGGCACCGATGAAAGGTGCAATATTAATATTACCCACGCCCACTGATGAAAAGTTGTAAGGGGGCTCGGCAAACAGGATAGGTTGTGTTGTGGCGAGGATGGCCACCCAGCACATCATGAGAGAATATTCGATACCCACAAAGGCCACTGCTGGGATGCGGAAGAACAGGAGAAAGGGGGTCCACATATGCCGCCAGTATGTTTTGAAGCTGATGCTGTCGGTAGGCCCAAGTGCAGTGATCCGTTCCCAATATGTCTTCCGTGGCGGGATAGGCTCCTCTACAGCCCTCCGTGGGATGGTGTCACAAGGGGATGGTATCACTTTTTCCTTGTCGAATTCAGAAGCTGCAGTCTGCTTCTCCTCTGTTCCCAGTGCCCCCGGGGGGTCTTCGCCAATATAGCAGTTACCTGCGGGCCTGCCATAGCGAGTCTCTTCGTACGCGAAGATTATCAGGAGTAGTACCAGTGCGTTAAGAATGGCGCACCACCACCATACCCAACGCCACCCCTGACTATTGATAATATATCCGGCTGGAATGAGGCTCAGGTATGTCTAGAAACAACGTTTTTAGTTGAGAACTGAAGTGGTTTCGGAGCAGTAGAGCCTTACGCCAACCACCACCATGGTGGAATATATACCATTCATCGTTGCACGCTGGTGCACGAAAAAGAGATCCACGATCTGTTATCTCATATAACGTAAGCTCGGAGCTAGAGAAACGAACTATTCAACAAAGAAAGGGGTACTTACAGTCATCTGAATGATAGTGTCGTTGACTGACCCTGCGAGCCCCGCTATCGCCTGTAGCACGATATACTGGACGCGGGTTTGAAACGTCGCTTGACCTATATTCGCTAGCACCAAGATGAACGAAGCGAAGATGTATACAGGCTTCCGCCCGATTAGGTCTGCCGCAGGAATGAAAAAGATGCATCCAACAGCCATGCCTGCCAATCCAGACGCATAGCTGTCATTAAGATACTTCGATCCATATCCGAGCTCTTCTGTCAGGGAAGGCCAGGTCACTGTTCCAACGTCCAGGCTAGCCGTGCGTTAGTAGGATGTGAGGGTGTCAATTAGGAAATGGATTCGTACGTTGCAAAAACCATCAAAGTGAAAAGGCAAGCAATCGAAAAGTTGATGGCCTTCTGGTAAGTGGGCCAGTTCTACCCGATACTTCTCGTCAACTTTATTCAAACAGACTATGCTGGGGCGTTAATAAAGGCATATCACATCCCGATAACGTACCAATGGCTCATTTGGATCGTTTGACGGTTGTGGTTGGAGAATAACATGGCCGTCGGAATCTTGTTCGACGCCGTCAAGATCGATGCGTCCTTGAGACCATCACAGTTAGCCCCGGTGTGCGAATCTTGCGATAGAACCATGTGGCATATGTACCCTCTCCGAAATAAACCGTCCCCGGTGGTGTCCGTGGCCTTTCCACATTATCTCGTCGTATCTCAGATGACTCGGTCATCGAGACTCGCAATCACCAGTTATGCTTAGCAAGATTTCAATTGTTTCAAAGATGGACGATGAAAGGGAATATCAATGTTGACACTGAAAAGCCAGTTATCCAAGAGATGGGGGTCTTTGACAACATTCGCCGAGATAGTCTCTATGTCTACAAGGAGGTATCGTCAAATGGAGAGTTGATCGCAAGGAGACCCTACGTGAGCGAGCCGTGATATATACGATGCATTATCTTTGTGTAGGAGAGGGGAGGCGCGACGGCTAGAATGCATGAGTAATGCAATATCCGATTCCAGAGATTCGTATAGACGATCTAATAAGGGACAAGCCTTCACCAAAGGACGTGGTGTGGAAGCGAAGAAGAAATGGTTTCTGTTGTTGGAGAGTTTAATATCCACCTGACGACCCAATCGGGCGAGAGTCGCGCAAAGTGATGCCATTGGCTCCGTCCGTCCAAATGGTGGGACCTCTCGGTCGGATTCACCAATGGGAAACCCTCGGACATGGCCCGTCTTCACGGCGGAGGCAAAAGATTCAACGATGGTTGAATCCTGAACAAACCTCCTGGCCTTGTTGAACTCCTAGGACCGGCCATTCCACCTTGTTAACAGACTTGACACATGAACTGCTGTACAGATCCCTGACGTGCACCCCGCAAAACCCCTTATAGGGTACTCCGGAGTACGCCCAACCCCACAACCTAAGATTCCCCCACAGAAGAGATAACCACTCGATGATAGTGTGTCATTGAATCAAAATGCTGACGCCTTATCAGATAGTGGATAAGCGACGGCAGCCCTTGACGTCGGTTTGTTGGGTCCTGATATCAATTTCAAAACATCGCCGCCACGGCTTTCGCAGCCGCGTGAATTAGTGTTGCTGCTATACGGAACCTAGAGTCCATAGGGTACACATTCCCCATTCGGCCAAGTGCTAAAAATACTCATTTTACTGGCAAGGGCTTTATCGGCAGTAGGATTGCCAAGTAGATTCGGAGTCTCCTTGGCCGTCGCAGGAGGTATCTAGCCTCTTGTTAGCCTCTTGTAACCACGAATACCAGGGAATTGTGCATCTGTTAGGGAATACCTCCCAGATCGTGCGCATAATACGCCCAAACTCAACCAGTATGGTGCCGTGGCAGAAGAGTTGGCTCTACTAGACTCGGGATTTGATTCCAGCCCATCGGAAATGACACCTCGAACGAAAAACTACCGTCCACCTCGTCGACGGCCGGCGCATCTGCGCACGAAGACTGGCTGTCTCACATGTGGGCCACCCCACTTCGCAGTCTCTGCTGGAAGTTTATAACCGTTCGACTAACGAACCCTTATAGGCAGGAAGAGGAAGAAGAAGTGCGATGAGACTCCCGGGACGTGCTCTAATTGCGCCCGACGATGGCTCTCCTGCGAATGGCCTGCGAACCTCTGTGGCAATCAAAAACAGACCCGATCTGAACACCGGTCGACCAGCAAGGCCCATTCAGAGCATTCCCCTCAAGCTTCTATCAATGAGTGGCATGTTAACCAACATGGAATTGTGGTGGACTATGCACCCAGCGATTCTCCTTCTTGGGATACTGAAGGAGGAAGCGATGGACTTCTTTCTCCCACCAACACCACTACTCCAAGTAGCCAGAATGACTATACAATGACTACCCATAATAGCCCTCCATCTATCCTCAACTATATCTCCCCATTGATTTGTCTATCACCCGCCATAACCCCTGCCAGCGCTCCTTTGTTTGAGTTCCTAAGGGCGGTGTTTCTACCGCAGTTAATCCGGCCAATGGCCCATGATGCTGTCATCAGATCTGCCGCCAATAATTCATTGACGCTGGCATTACGTACCCCCTTCTACATGCATGCCCTTCTCGCATGCTGCGGTGCAGAAATACCGGTGGACGACATTTACTCACAGACGCATTTCCAGAAGCTGGCCCGCATGCATTACGTCAAAGCGATAGCAGGACTACGCGAAAGTCTCGACAGTGGCATGTTCGATGCTGCGAACACAGCAATCATTCGAACATCCTTGATCTTGTGTATCTATGAGGTGAGCTTATAGATCGAGAATGAATCGAGCATTACTAACGCCGAGATATAGAGATCTAAACCGCGCCTCTCAAGGGGCGTGGATGCTCATATACTTGGCCTCGCGCAGTTGATCCAGTTACGCTTTCAACATAACCAAACAACTCCCGAGCTGCAATCAGACGAGGAGACCAACACGTCTCGTGTAATATTAGAAGCCTTCATATTCCATGCGACTACGAGCATTCCGTTTCAACAAACGATCAAGCCGCCCGAGCCTGTCGAGACGGCCCTTTCCCTGGCCGAAACTAAACTTCAAGAAATGTACAGATGGAAGGAACCGGTCTACCACGAATCGCCGGTTCTTGGAGCCCCACCGAAGCTGTTTGTATATGCTCGGGAGATTGCACTGATGCATGAGCGATCCTCTGCCGAAGGCATCGATGTCGCAAGATGCCACGAGCTACAACGGCTATTGAGCCGCCTCAGCGATTGTGGGATTGAGGAGCCGCATCCCCCGTCCGAGACCGATTGGTTGGCCCCAACGACATATACGCCGCTTCTGTTAGGTCCAAGACTATATATCATTGTTTCCAAGATACTTTTGGAACATATGATTAACAACAACTCGGCCACAGCTGGCAGCGACCTTCCAGAGTTAGTCAGGGAAGGTATGCGTTTGGTCAGCGAACTCGACCCGTCGACCGACTATTATGCCGAGTATTACTGTTGGCCCATGGTAGTCCTGGGAACCTATACAACGGACGACGCACACCGAAATTGTCTGTTGTCCCAAGCCATGGCCTTTTGGAAGGCAACGCGGAACGGGACAATGAGGCGGTTGGTGGATATGCTCACGACCTTATGGCAGATATGAGAGAATAAACGAAAATGACCCAATACCTGTGTACTATTTATTTCAATTTGTTCCCCCTTAGATTTACCCATCACTGTATGATACACATGTTTAAACCACGCGATTTCGGCTGAATCTAGATCTTTGTAACATACAGACCTAAAATTGTCAAGACTGTTCGTACCATACATTTGCTAGTTTTACAGGGTAACTGTAGATCTACTATCCTTATTAGATATGGTATCGCTGTTATTTAAAGCGCATTACTTGCGCCACAGTAGAAATATATATATCTGGCCGAACATAGAGCAACCTCAATTTCAGCATATTGCTCGCAGGAGGGGCCAAGACGCGATAAACAGGCAGCCGCGTAAATGGGCGGGAAGTTCTATAAATATATTTGGGGGCCACTCACGACGTCAGCACATTGGATGCGATGCGACCAGCGATCATTATATTGTCAGCATTGATGACCTTGTGTAGGCATTTCTTCACACTATCCTTCTGGTTGTACCGTCGTCTATCTAGGGGGTTACTCTTTGAAAGAGAATCCAATTACATGCTAAGATCGCCAGTTATGTTGAACTCAGAGAGGATTGGTTCAGCAGGACCTATACTCGATCCGCTTCCTGCACTGCATCTCTGTGAAAGCACTCTGAAATTCCTTGCCTTTAGCTGTGCGCTCTTGTCTCCAGCTGGGGAATTAAACCAGTCGGTTGAAGGCCTACCTGTGGAATATACCAATCTTAACCACATCTACGACACACTACGACTGCTGAGAGGCGGTTTGAAAGGCATGCTTACTAATGAATGGTCCACCGATGAATCCATATCATACGGAGATTTTGAACTTCAGAACCTGGCGCAGTGTTGTCTGGGAATATGTGAAAAATTACTTGTTACAGTTAACCAGCTAAGATCTCATGACAGCTCCCCAAGCACCGTCAGGTCTTTCCATGAGGCACTGCGAGGGGTCTGGAACGCGAAACAAGTTGAAGCTCTAGAGGAAGGGTTACTGGTGTGTAGAAGGCAAGCGATGCGAGTTGTCATGATTGTTCTAAGGTATATCAACAGGTGCTATAATACAGACGGCGGAGCTAATTGGAAACGAGCAGAGATGATCAATCTAGCATCTTAGAAGAGATACAAAGTCTAAAGAACCGGAATCGACAAATAGACGTGAGTCGAACGAGATGGCTTGCGGACAACTTACAAACCCTTAGCGACGTAAGGTATCAAGCGGCCGAGGAGTACATAGGGGATCTGCTGTCTGGCGTGGCGAACACCGTCAATCTAGACCAGCTTAGTTCTATGGCCTGTAAAATGACACATGTTGTGCAAAAAGCATCAAAAGTCGCCTTTGTGCAGAGATTCCTCACGACACTCCACTTTCGATCCATCAGAGACCGCCATGCGAGAATCACGAGGGCCCACGAGAAGACCTTTGTGTGGGTCTTTCCAAGGGATATAAACGAGACAGCCCATCGTTTGCCTAGACCAACAATCCTTCCATGGCTGCGGGGACAAGACGGCAACATATATTGGGTCTCTGGTAAAGCAGCGTCAGGAAAGTCAGCTCTGATGAGATATCTACTCGCTCACCCGCAGACCCAGGAGAATCTCAGATCCTGGGCTGGAAGTGAGAAGCTGGTTATTGCCAGCCACTTCTTCTGGGGTGCAGGAAACACTATGCAAAGGTCCAAGATTGGCTTGCTCCAGTCTCTCCTCTACGGTATATTCACCCAGAGTCCGGACCTGATTCCTATCGTATGTCTGCGAAGGTGGGAGGCGACAATGTTAGGTGAACACGGGGACAGCCCGTGGTGTATGGAAGAGCTATTAGAGACGTTTGAATGTTTATTTAGCCAAACCGCTATCCCAACCAAATTCTGTTTTTTCATCGACGGTCTGGACGAATGCACAGGAGAGCACTCCGAGGTGATCGAACTCTTAAACTCTCTTGTTCACTCGAACGTCAAGATGTGTCTCTCCAGCCGGCCATGGCAGGTGTTTGAAGACGCATATGGAGTATCAGCAGACCGGAAGTTGTACTTGGAAAGGCACAACCGCGACGATATCCACGATTACGTTCGAAGTGAACTCGAACAACACCCAGCGTGGGGGCCACTTGTTAAAATCAATTCGCAGACTTATGAGATTGTTGCTGAAATTGCCGATCGGGCTCAGGGTGTCTTTCTCTGGGCCGTTCTGGTCGTGCGCTCCTTCGGCGAATTGTTGAGTAACGGTGATACTTTGTTCTTCTTGCAGAAAAAGCTCCACATGATCCCGGTCGACCTTGAACAGCTGTTCGAATTCATGCTTGGATCAGTAGATCCGATTTATACTTCTTATGTTTGCTATACATTCAAGGTCGCATCAAGTGCCCCTGAGCCCCTACCCGTGCAGCAATATGTGTCCTTCGAAAAACAAATTGAAGGTGAAAATAATATCCATCAACAGAAGAATGAACCTCTCACTTACAGAGACATCTTACTACGGGTTGATCCACTTAAAAGACAACTGAAGAACATGTGCAAAGGACTACTGGAGGTGTATTGTCGACGTAATGAGGAGGACCTGCAGCGCTACCGGGTGGACTTCTTGCACAGAACCGCTCGGGAATTCTTCAAAGGAAATGAAATAGTGCAAGATACGCATGCCATTGGTTGGGACTGAGGCATAGGATATACGACTGTGTTTTGCCCGCTCTAACATGGAAAGCACATAGCGTATGCTACGATATCTTGTTTTCATCGATACCATCCTTTAGTAGATGAGCCGTAGCACTGCGAGCCCAGCCCTTCACTTCTTATGCAAAACTTTTATATGTCCGTGAAAGAACTTGGAGCAGCAGACTGTTTAACGCCTGCGGGCTAGGAATCCTTCCGCACGCTCCATATCTTAGCCCCCTGGGCAGCGTTTCAATGTTAGCATCAGAGATATAGTGAGAGAAAGTACGAATAGGGAGGGGTGGGAAGAAAACCGTATTGAGGGGATTCTTGGTTCTAAGCAACTGTGCTTTGATATAATGATATGACTAATGTTTCGAATGTAAGTGGAAGGAGGGAGTCCTATCGCTCGGGGTGGGTCGACCGTCAAGCCCCTCAAGCAGAACACGGTGGCTAGTCAAAAAGGTTGGTAAATTCTAACCCGGGCGCTCGAGAGAACTCGTCTTACCTTGCATGGATGTAGTCTGTGTACATCAGCTATTCTATACGGCGTTCTACTGCATTTTGGGCTTTGCGAGCAAAAGGGGCTTGAAGTCGAGGCGTTTGGGGGGGGGGGGGGAGTTGTTTGATTCGGTGTTTGATAGGAGACCAACTATCGAAGGGCGCTACATGTTGCTGAGAAGATCGCACTTCACTAGGCACTCTGCATAGCCTTAGCGCTGGTTCTTCAGTTCGGTTGATCCCAGAACCGTTTTCGTAGCCTCAAGGCTGATCGTCACCCCACTGTGGGTTACTCCTGAGCAGATTCACAGAGTACGCACTTTTTGCCTTGCTCGTGGGCTCCGCATGGTCCGAAGAATATTCCGTGTCCATAGATATTGTGAAATGTTATCTTCAGTAGCATTACAGAGTACTGTAGGGCTACTCCAGGCTATACAACCAAGATTGCTTGACTAACCATATCGCGACTTTGATAGTTATTTCGGCGAAGGCAATATCTAATACCCCCCCTGGTTCAACCCCAACCCCAGGCTATAGTTGGCCGACGCACACTAGCGCGCGACTATACGCTCTAGTAAACAAGTCGATCACAGGCCAGAAATCAATCATGGTCACTCGACTGTTCATGGTGGGAAGGAGAACATCAGGGGTAGGTTCGAGATCTGCACCCGCCAAGAGCCTCCGAGAATATCATTACCATGTTGGCACAAATAGCGCCAATCAGATAGACTAGGGCTCAACGACACCCACAGCTTCTCCACGTTCTCCCTCAGGTCTAACTCGCCTTGCCGGCAAAACCGGTTATGTGGGTTCCCGTAGAGGTCCGAAGGGGTAGAGAGCATACCGCTATCGTCCTTCCTGTCTACCTTTGCTCAGTGTATATGCACCATGTTTTGCGTTCATACTAAGGGGTATACAGATAAATCAAATAATGACTAAGTGGATATGGGATCGAGGAAAAGACTAACAAATATGACATTGCCTGTGATCCATACATTAATGCCTCGCATGCCGGATTGAGTTACAGCCCTGCAAATCACGCCCATTGTTCAGACACTATTGGAGTCACACGTACGTGGCATTCATCCACTACGGTGGAGTACTGAGATCAACCTACCGAGTATATATAGAAACAGCTGTTATATAATCGAGTCTCGGGAAAGACATATAAAAACCCCAAGCGACTCCATCAGCATCTTTCTCAACAGTTCCAACAATCTACCGCAAGAAAGAGAAACAATTCATCCTCTAAACCACTTCTTCCAAACCCCCAAATCCAACCACCATCAAAATGCGTTTCTCCTTCCTCGCCGCTCTCACCCTTATCAGCGCTGCTATTGCCGCTCCCCAGCAGCAAGCTGGTAACGATGCTGCCCAGAACACTGTATGTCAAGAGTGCGATGTCATTTTCAAACCACCTACTGACAATGTATTAGCTCGCTATCGGCGCTCCCTGCAAGAAGGACGGCAGCATGGGAGTCTGTGAAGGTGGATTTTGCTTGGTAAGCTTTCAGCCCCTAGTCAACTCGAATCACCAGCGACTAATGCAGAATACAGCAAGACGAGAAGGCCGACCAGGGTGTCTGCCAGCAAGCCCAGAACTAAGCCCATTCTATCAACTGGTTTAGATTGAACGAAGGGAGGGGAGGAAGAGTTTATCCCGGGCTTGCCATTCGGAATGAACCTGTACATATGGCCCTGACATCTGTTGAACTTGAAGTATAATATATAATACCTCTGGAATCTTTTTGCGGTTGTGAACTTCCATTATACAAGTACCAAATTTAGCGAAGTAAGGTTGTAGAGATAAGTGCAATTGGAGCCGAGTGACATTGTTGAAGATGGGGCTAGCTCAGACGGCTCGCATGGTTATCGCTCTATCGTAGACATCCACCGAGATTTTGGGTGCATTATAACGCATTGTGCGATTCATATACTGAATAACGCCAAATTTTATGCAGCGAGCAAAGAAAAGAGACATGGAGATAAAAGCCTTGTAGAAAGGGCTTCTTTTCAATTAGAGTGTATACTGTGTATGCCAGGTACTTTATCCATACAAAGGTCTAAGCCCAGTCTTGCACGATCATCCTATTGTATCTTCAGCAAGAGCGAATATGCGTATCGCATTATATATATAGAATACATTACATTCTTTCTTTTCAGCCTATAATGCTCAATAAATACCAATATCTTGGATGACGGTTACCTTGCTGTCTATAATTTATATTAGTAGGAAAGTACAAAGACTCAGTAATACAACAGGCTATTGGCTATCTATTTTAAAACCTTTACAACCTGAAGCTCTTCTAACTCCAGTAGAAATCTTATTCAAAGCGAACAGTGTCTATAATAGTAGGCCTGGTTATAATATTATAAATTTGATGCAAGTTCCTGGACTCTATTCAGAAAGCTGCTTGGTTTAATCTTCTATTATTAAAGAACATAGCTCTGTCTAAATTAATTTTGCTAGAGATTGGCACAACTGCTATAAGTCCAGATATTTCAACGCCTCGACTTTGTACGGTTTAAAATCTAAGTAATATTCAGATATTCTACTATCCAATCCTTTTATAGCTCTTCAGAGATCTGCTCTAGCTGGCTCAGAGACTATTCTAAATTGACTGGGAGCTTGCCGGAACAGGCTTGAATACTATCTGTATAGCTGACATTGTTCCAGTATAAAGACTTATTGTTTTACTTTTCTAGGAGACCAGCGGCTAAGATACCGGTGACGGTTAAATATATATTAGCTATGAATCAGGACAATCTGGAACTTGTCGACGAAGTTTCTCCTGGCTGAATCCTAGAATCGCATCCACCAGCGTCAATTTTACTCAGAAGCACTTTACTCCTCGGATGAGGTCCACAGGGTCTGTGCCAAGTTAAATACGCTACCATATCAAAAAATGCTCCACCGAGGTAACTTACAAGGTTGTCCCGTAGAAGCTGCAAAATGAGTGTTGAGTCCTTGTAGCTCTCCTCAGTTAGAGTGGGGAGCTCTGTAAGATTTCGTCAGCAATAATGGATCAGTAGTACACCACCATGGAGAGCCATGTGATGCGTGCGTACCAGCAATGGCATCGTCAAATGCCTTCTTGGCTAGATGGCAAGCCCTGTCGGGGGCGTTGAGAATCTCATAATAGAACACGGAGAAGTTAAGAGCAAGGCCTAGGCGGAGAGGGTGAGTAGCGGGAAGGTCGACCTGAGCAACCTGAGTGGCGGCTTCGTACGCCTCGAGCGACTTCTGGGCGTAGTCCTTGCGGCGGACTCCGGTAGAAAACTCGGTAAGATACTTATGATAGTCACCGCTCCTATAGGAGCTCCGTTAGAAAACATGACGCTACAAAGTCAAAAGGCTTTGTGGGGCCGGGGGGAGGGGGAAATCAACAATGCGCACATCTTGTAGTAAAAGACTTTACCCTCGACAGACGTGGCAGAGGGGATCAGGTGCGTGTTGATGATATCAAGAATACCCTTGCAGACCATGGCGAGCTCATTTTCAATCTTTTGGCGGTACTCTTTGATGAGATTAACCTCAGCATAGTTGGCCTTGATCTCATTCTGTTCAACCGAAGTGACTATTCTCCAGGAAGCACGGAGAGGGCCAGTCATATTCTTATAGGCTACGGACAGGAGGTTGCGCTCCTCAACACTAAGTTCGCGGTCCTCAGATGCAACGCTCACCATGTTCTCAGCCATATCTGGAGGCGGGTTAGCGCGGGCTTGGTTGCTGAAGGTGTATCGGGGGAGAATAAGAATCATTACATACCCTCATAGCGCTCCGCCTGCTCCGCGAGCTTGGCCAGGTAGACAGCCTGGTTCGTGACCACGCTGCCACATTCGAGCGAATGGATGACATTTGGAATGATTAAACCCTGATGCAACATAATAGCCTTTTCGGCGGCGGCATCCATGATTTTGAGCATTTTATTGCGCATTTGATGATACCCAAGTCCCATGCAGATAATCTGCCCAAAGCCAGGTCCAATATGAACTACCTCGGTACCGCTTTCCATCGCTGTGTCTTGCACGATCTCCTTCCACGTCATCACAGCCGCATTCAATGCTATTCTGCAGGCCATCTCTGTCTTAGGATTATAGATATGCTGAAAATCTTGAACTGACTTTTTATATTCTTGCAGCTTGTCCAGGTCCCCCAAGCCGAAGGCTTCTAGCGTAGACTTTGCAAAGTCTTGGCCCAACTCCCACTTCATCCAGGCCCCGACACCTGGGATACCGCTGGCCAGGGTTGCTCCAATCTTGTTAGAGATATACTCATCACTATTGTGTAGGGCTATTTTCTTCTGCCTGACAAGTGAGTCACATGCAGTGTTAAGCCTCTGAAGGAGCACGGCCTGGTCATCCGGTGTGTCAGTGTTAATAGCAGCGAGCTCCGAGACTGCAACTCTTCTGTAAGCTTTGACCCATGAATCGAAGGACCCAAGGTTATCAATGCTGATAGATGAAGTGTCTACTGCCATCTTACCATTGACAGATTGACACAATTGACATGGTTACCTTAGAGGACAGTACGCGCTTCTTTATACTTTACTCAATCCTCTTCCAGGATTTTTGACATACTGTATACAACCAAATGCCAGAAAGACTTTTATTAGGCTTGGAAGGCAATATCACCACGATGTAGCTAAAGTTAAGCCACGACTAGAGGCCACAAAGACTCTTGTTAGGGTTCGATGGCAATCTCGTCACCATGTAGCCATAGTTAGATCACGCTAGATGCCAGAGAGACTTTTATTAGGTTTGGAAGGCAATCTCGTCATCATATAGCTATAGCCAGGCCTAGTCCTTGACAATGGAACACAATCGGACGGGTGGTCACGCAACTATTGTATCTAGCTGCCTACGTAACTGGTACTCATTCCGCGATATACTGCTATTGAGAGTACAGGAGGTGACCTATCATACCCAGCCTGAATGTTACCATGTAGTCGATCATGGAGGTGTCATCTGACAATAACCTTTGAACCATGGCCGGGAGGTATACTACTCGCCTGTGGAGTAGTTATTTAACACAGGACGATTGAGGCTATGCCAGTGCTGAGCCCCAATGAGGACCGGTTGTGATCTACTCCAACAGTCTTGCGACTCGTCTTCCCTTTCTCTTCCTACATCTCTTCCTATAATGGGGGAACATGGGGGCCTCTGCAACACGAGTGTTTAAAGATATTTTGGAATACACGACTGGACTTGACAAGGTTCCCTGAGACCAATTGAGAATGAATTATGTCTAATCAAGCATACGGCCTCTAGTCAACATGATAATAATGCATGCCTTCCCGAATATTTGAAAACGACGTAAAACGATTTCGATAATGTACCACACACTCCTGTTGTACAGATTTTATGGATGCCTGCTATTATTCTCGCGATCCCCAACTTTTTGTCCTTTGGATAATGACATACCCTTGCGTTCCTCTCTTTTCGCAGTTTGTTACATAGACCTAATTCAGTCCGCATGTCTCCCTCATCAGACATAACATTGCTTTGCGAAAAGGCCCCCACCCATCTCCAATATCAACACATCCAAATGGGTTGTTTCGGGCTGTCCTCTCCGCTTGTAGCGAACACTTCTAAGAGAAAAAGGACCCAAAGAAATCCACCACACTACTCACTATTCCGTCATCACCACCTCCGTCACAAAGATCTGCGCTAGTAGCATCTCCGCCATAACTACCTCCATCATAATCAGTACTATCATGATCACCACCCGCAAACTTGGGTGGATCTGGAGGTTTGGTAACAGTCTCGGTCTTAGGGATGCTGTTTCCCTTGAGGTCGAAAATATTACTTGACGCGTCGGAAGTTGTCTCCTTCCCCTCGTTGGTAACTAAACCCGTATCGAATCGGCTCCTACCTGTGGTCATCTTAGTGACTTGCTTGCTTTTTCTGGTGTCCAGCTAATCTGAGTAGGGTGAAATTAGTTAACCTTCACCGATGGCAAAAATGGTTATCCAACCTTGATGTTGTTACGTTGGCTGATTGTGATGTGATTTTTGCAAGCTGTATAGGAACCGTTGATAGTAATCAGGCGTTCAAGCTGTGTGGTCAAGAGAGAACGAGGAGATTAGGATAGGCGGGAACCGTGGCTTAGATATAGAAGACAACCTAGGGTACAGGTCACCTGACACGAAGTTCACACCACTCATCTTGGGGATATCAACCTTGGGAGGCTGGTACTGCCAAGACAGGTGGGGTGACCTGTATACTCCTAGACCTACGGTTGTACCCTGAGGACAGTCGACTGCAATACATCTTTCCAAACCTAGTCACCATCCTTGGTGGTGTCCAGCCTCGGCCTGGATTGATCGAGACATGTAACCACCAGAAGCGTCCTAAATGCCTTTTGGGTCAACATTGTTCCCACACCTCTACTCATGGGAGGGTGGCATGGAGCAATGGGTATTCAATAAGTCTCAGGTCATGATTTCACCTTGCCATTTCACATAGGCTGTGGCGATTATGAGCCATTGAACGATAAATTAGTCGTTTCATTGTCTCATCCAGTATAGCCTTGAGTATAGCTTTCACTTAACTCACGTCTGCCACTCTAACGAGTTCACGCTCTGGTTGTAAAATCATTACTCCTGGTATACTAGTCCTTTCGGCGATAAAATGCAAGTCAATTGTGATAGCGCCGACCTCGAGCACATTGACTCCCTAGATGAATGGGCTACACTTTACAGGAAACGAGCTGTCGCGAAGCTCGCAGGCATTCCTCCAGGAACACCCAACGTCCAGGATGTCCTTCTCGAGTATCTTAACGCTGACTGCATCTCTCTTATCAATCAGAGAAAACAGTGTCTACACTGCAGCAGTGATTATACTGGTAATAAGATTGCAGCTACGATTTGCGGCAGTATTCCATTCCTACGGCCCTGGGCAGTGCACGAGCTGGGTACGGACTTTGCAAATATCACCCTCAAAGCCTTTGGCTTAGCCGATACAAAGAAGCTAGAAGAATACCAAAGGTTGTTCCAGGCGACTCACAACTCCACAGAGAAATTTGTCAAGGGCATGGCTTTTTCGGTGGGTGGATTAACAGTCACAGAGCTTCTGCGGGACACAGCCGTGGATGCTAGTGTTGAGGCTGTTCACATTCAACCTGTCATTGGACAGGTCGTTTCTATGGGATTTGGGTACCATACAATGCGCGAAAGAATGCTTAAGATGATGGATGGCGCTGCTGCGAAGGCTGTCAAGGTGCATCAGGGTTTGATTATCCCGGATGTCATTCATTCGCTCAAATGTGCCGGCAGTACAGTCATGGAGCAAGGGAGAATTCGCAGGCATGTTCAATCTCACAGCTTCTAGCCACCTACCTCTTCCTGATCCAGTCTCTAGGATGGCCCCAAGCTGCGGACGCTGTGATCGATGCGAACGAGGTATGGCCACCGCAGGCGCTCACCTGTCCCAGTTCACATATACGTGGAATTTGTCTGAAACACGTTTACATGAGTTCATAGTATGAGACACAGCTGACTTTCTGAGCAGCTTTTGACTGGGATGAATGTGTCTGGCTGTTTCGGGGGGTTCCGGAGACAGTACTGGGGGTGATTACATATTGTGAAAGTTGTCAACTTATGGAAAACAGATTAGACAGCCCCACAAGTGGCTGGCGCCTTAGCTGTATCAATAAGGTTGCCACTGAAGACGTGAATTGTTGGACTTGCATGAGTCAAGAGTGCAAAAGTGACTCAAGTAAGCCTTTTCATCCGCTCTTGAAATGTACCGAGATACACCGGGGAATCAGCTGCTAACATATTCTAGACGTGCGATCCTATAACGATGCCCAATTTGTCTGTCCAGACGGTTCCTCCCGCCACTGCCTCCCGTGTATTTTATCGGAGGAAGGCCGAGAGTGCCCCCGGTGCAAGTTAGATTACAATGACAAATGGACACCGCACCAACTCATACAATCCAAGCAAATGGCTCAGGCCTGTACGCGACCACTGATTGTTTGCTCCATTTGTCATGAAATCCAGGGCCGGGGAGGTGCCTTCCTTATTTGTGAGGGATGTATGGCGAACGGGGGACGTACTGTCTTTTGTTCCCAGTGTGTGCAGTACGGCCACCACACCCTGCACTTCGATTTATGCAGATCTAGTAGGCCGGATGCCATCCTTCGAGAGATAGCGGTTAGCCTTGTTCCGCAGGCGAAAAAAGCAGCCTTTTGCTGTTTGGCCTGCCATATCAGTATGTCCCCAAGCCTCAACTGATGTCTCCACTAGTATCGAATACCACATGCTCTGATGAACAGGTAAAGCCAGAAGCCAGTAAAGCTGATATAATATTACGCAGCATACAGTTCCTCCATCCCCTACGCGCATTGCACGTCGGTCACGGATAACCAGTCATTATATATATGCTATGTCTGCTTCTTTACCACCTTCAACGATACCTCAAAATACTGCTTCGAGAACTTGCCCGTATCCAGCTTTATCCTCTACCTCTCAGATGTTCCGGAGCAGAAGCAGACTAGGGCAGACGGTGACGCTAGCGATACCGCAATCATACGTATCCCAGGTCCGTCCTATTTCTCGAAGAGAGCAAACAAGCAAGAAGGAAAGGTGGTTCTCCAAACCTGTATGATAGAAACAGTCAACTGGTTAACTAAGTCTTATGTCGGATGGCGCGACGCGGCCCGAATTGGCCTCATGGGGCCAGCGCGTGTAGATGCCACACATGTGTCCTGGCCTGGGATGGCTCTGCCACCTATGAAGGAAGCCGATTTCCACTCCACGAGTACGTCCTCGAATATGGAGTATGAGATTCCGCATTACGAGCTTGGGTACTTGAATTGTGGTATCGGGTCTGTAGTCAAGAGATGAACCTCTACCCGGCAACTACGGTGTCAGTAAGCCTAGATATCGTACTTGCCGGGAGTATGCCTTCCAGCTGAATATGATGCAGTGCCTGGAAATAATCAGGGTGAAACGGAGAGCGGTCCTCTTAGTTCCTTTTATCAAGTGATAAGTTTCCACAAAAGTCGATCATGGGTTTCCCTGAGAATGTGATTAGGTCTTGACGCTTCTGGAACGCCCGCTATGAGAGATTGGAAATATATAGTCCAGTGGCCTGGTCGGCGGTGGAGTAGTTAGTTATAGGGAGACGAGGCGAATGCTGAACCTCATAGGGAATAGTGGCAATCTACTCCAACAGTATGCACTCTGCCATATTTTATGTTATGGTCCTAAACACCACAAGACCCTGTTAATATTTGGTTTCTGAAAGAGCCAAGAGTTATGATAATAAGAACCTTGATGGTATTTTGAACATAAACTGTAAAGTTGACACGACTAGTTTTTGAAATTAGCTGGGCTTACTTTGACGTTGCAATGGCCCGGTGGCGAGTTACTCCTCTGTTTCAATAAACCGACACCTATCTCTCTTAACAGGGGTAGTGGTACATCATACTGCTCCAAATATTATTGATACACAGATTTTTTATTTTGTTTTAGATATTATATATTGACTTGAGGATCAATAATTTATGAATTGAGATCTATAAATATTTGATTTATATATATGCTACCTCTTTAGTAATGTTATTGCTATTTTATAGACTGTGCTATTACTAAATCAATATGTAATAGGTTTCACAAGTATACTAAGTAAACTATATTATAACTAAGAGTGTAACTCTAAATCAATAGATAGATCTTAAATCAGTAAATAGTAGATATTACTAGACAAGACTATCTGGCCGATTTATCTACAAAAATAACTAAGAAATAGACATATAACCTACCTGGCTGCTTATGGAGATATTCTAGGATTGGGTCTACAGTTATGCCTTCCTCAAACCGCAACGCAATGCAAGTAATATGATCAGGGGTGTGATCTTACTGATGGCCATGATGACACAACCACATCCAGAATAGATTAGATGCAACGTCGCGTGGCTTGCACAAAGCACTTTTCGACCTAGGGTTGAGATTCTTAGAAATCGAGAGTTTCAAAACACGATCGTCGACGAATGCGTCGCTCCTTACTCTGGGTGTGTTGTGTATATAGTATGTTACGCAATTTTGCAGCAAGGAGTAGCATTCTTGGCAGATATTGTCCATGTAATATGCGGATCCTTTGCATACTATGTAGGGTGCGGTAGATCTGCAGAGATCTACTTGAGACATTCACCCACCTGAGGATAGGGCAATATCACTATAGTATATCGAACTAGCCGATTAAGGTCATGAGGCCCATTGCGTAAGGGAATTTACTAGTTTACTGTTCAAGGTAGAAAGCCTGTCAATCAGCTATACGAATGTGGGAAGAAGGTGAATAAGGTATGGCCTTGTCGATATTGTTTATTGTTATTTCTTCATTTTTCATTTTTCATTTTTCACTTATTTTAGTTATTTTTATGCCCCTTTCAACGGCGTGACACAATGAATAGAGTCTAATTCTTGGCGGTTTTCTCATCCTAAGATAGACCTATTTGGTTTACTAGATTCGACCGCCGCCAGAGTATTGGCAAGGCGGCAGTGAAAATAGAGTGCGTGGCTTGCGTAGAGTTGCGGCCCGTCCACGGATAACAGAAGACGGCGTACAACGGCCACGCCGAAACAACGGTCAATTTCTGCCAGCCAAAGTTGCAGAAGTCTGGTGGTGATTCTGAATATTTTATATTTCTGTATTTATGGGGGATTCGCTACTGTACTATACTATACTGTATTGTACGACACCAGACTATGCGATGCTAGGTATGGTATGCTATACTATACTGCTAAAAGGTAAAGAAGCAAGGAAACTGCATCTTCTCTCAATGTGGATTCTGACTAAGGAGGCTGACGCAAGCTTGCTGTTCCAAGGCTTCCGTGAAAATGCATCGGCATGGCAATTGCGTCATGTTTAGCCCCTGGGATGGATGGTTGGTGAACTTATTTGCTTGCTGCAAGGGGTGGTTGAGACTGTTAATCTTAATATGACTCTCGCAACAAAGGGCCATGATTGAAATACCAAGTACACAACGGAGAGGCGAAGAGTCTAAGCGGTAGGCGCTTCCAACCCTCGAATGGGCTCGCTTGCCTACTTTTCTTCCCGTCGCTTACCCGTCCGGATAACGTCTCGCTCACAACGTACAGCTAGCCTGTGAGCGCACTGGGGAAGGTTGACTATCGAGAACGAATAGCTGTTCGCCTGGATAACCCAAGATCTTCACGAGATCCTATCTACCGGAATTGCAAGGCCAAACTCTGTGGCCTGCGCAAATGCCGGATTTCCATGCTGCTCACGAACGGATCATTAAAGGCTTGATGAAAGTCTCCAGTACTATTCGCTCCCTCTTCGATGAGTTTCCAGGCATCGGCCCAGCCTTTGTAGACGGCATGGTTCGTGAGGAGGCGCGTCAGAACCGCGATTCTATCATTCGCTACCCTGAGCCCCCAAAGGCCCAGTGCAATGGGGAGAGTTTGTAGGGGGGCCATTGCCACAAGGAAGTGACGTTTGGGGCGATAGGACACCAGGCAACGGACCATGCATCGCTCTAAATCCAGGGCCCAACTGGAGAAAGGGTCACGGCCGCCGAAGTCGGGGAGTTTGCTATACGTGATCAGGGCAATTGGTGAGCCCATCACGCGTGGTGTTTGCAAAGCATGGTTTCATCGTGTTCCCTCTGCTCCTTGCTGGGTGGTTGTTGTAGATGGAAGCCCTCCCAGCAAGGGGGTACCAGTCCATACCGTAGAAAGCCCTGACCTGCAGCATTCCGCCCTGTGTCGAATAGTGTGTTTATAGCACAGCATAAACCACGCCTTATTAAATGTTTCATACAACCTATATCTATTGGTTCTATCGCATTGCAAGCTTCACCAATTTACCACCATGAGCGAAGCTCCGCCTGAAAAGTCCGCCGCATCTTATAGCTTAACACCGGGCACTCACGCTGAAAAGACTTGTGATGAGCAGGCATCACTCCAGACAGCTGTCGTTGACTTCGACGACGAGCTTCCTCACCCAAACCAATGGCCCATTGCTCGACGTTGGGCTATAATGGCGGTCATCACCCTCCTTAATGTGCTGGTTAACATATCCACAACGATCGTGGCCCCATCGCTAGACAAAATATGCGCCGAATTGGAGATGGATCCAAATATCGAAGGACCGCTGACAATATCCGCATATATACTCATGCTTGCGCTGGGGCCGCTGCTGCTGGCGCCCTTTAGTGAGCTGTGGGGGCGCGTACCCTTGATCCATGCCGGTAACCTGATGTATATGGTATTCAATCTTGCCTGCGGGTTTGCGCAGAACAGGGCACAACTACTGGCATTCCGAATATTATCAGGATTTGGAAGCGGTGCAAGTCCAGTGGTGAGTAGAGCAGGTGCGATATGAATTACGCTCTCTATGACTGACTGCCAGCCTACTTAGGTTGGAATCGGAATGGTTAGCGATCTTTTCTCAGCTGAGCAGCGTGGCAAAGGGCTCGCCGTCATCAACATGGCCTTCATCGTCGCGACCCCAATCGGTGCCATCGTGGGCGGCTTCACCAGCTATTCCTCATCCTGGCGCTACGACTTCTACGCCACGTCTGCCGCTGCTGGTGTGTTAATCATCATCAGCGCCCTTGTCTTTCGCGAGACCTATCCCCCTGTCATTCTTGGGCGCCGGAAGAAACAGCTTCTCAAGAACGATGCTAAACTACCGTACGATGACGACCGCCCCAGCCTCGCAGCCCTCTACACCAAGACCATCATACGCCCCATTCAATTCCTCACTACGCAGCCTATCGTCCAGCTACTGGCACTCTACGCCGCCATCATCTACGGAGCCGCGTATCTCATCTTCTCGACTTTCCCGACACTCTGGGAAAAGCACTACGGAGAGCCCAAGGATGTCGCCTCGCTGCACTTCATCGCGCCTGGAGTCGGCTACTTCGTTGGCATTCTGATCGGCCTCTTCACTGCCGACCGCATATACCTCGCCCTCAAGCGACGGAACCACAATGAAGGACGGCCGGAGTTTCGCCTCCCACTGATGGCCGTCAGTGCCGTGTGCGTGCCACCCGCACTGTTCTGGTATGGTTGGACGGCCGAGGTGAAGCTGCATTGGGCGGTGCCCAATGTTGCCATCGTAGTCCTGATGTGTGGAGGCACCCTCGTCTTCCAATGTGTGACGGCCTACTTGATCGATGCGTTCCCGCTATATGCCGCCAGTGCATCGGGAGCGTCGTTTCTCCTGCGAGGTCTCTGTGCCTTCGGGTTCCCCTTATTTGGGCCTTCCATGTACGAGCGCCTCGGCTACGGGTGGGGAAATAGCCTGCTGGGCTTCCTGACATTGGCCGTAGCGGTGCCGGTGCCCTTGGTACTATGGTTTTATGGGGAGCGGTTGCGGAGAGTCAGCACTTATTCCATGTAGTTTTAAGGCAGACAAAGAGTGATTCAAGATCAACTCAACAAGAGTTGACATTTCGTGTCATTTTGCGTATGATCGCACCGCTATGCACAAAGTATTCTAATTCATATAATACCATGAACATGACATTTGATACGCCCAGAAAACAACCGAGATGAGATGACATAATAGCCAATTTATCACTTTACCAGAAGAGGCAAAGTCCACGAAACGTCCTGAGGGGTAAAGAAAGACTCACGACTCACTGTCTGCATCCTCCCCACAACTTCAGCTTCTATAGCACATCAATCGTGAATATGGCGTTTGCTCGCAGGTTGGCAATCCTTCCTGGAGGCCTAGGTAGGGTTAAGCGGTCGCCGAGAATGAGAACCATGTTAATCTTCACCGTGGTCTAGGTGGGCTTGGGTCAAGCATAGGCCAGAAACTCAGACAGCAAGGAGCTCGACTGGCCATTCTGTACGCGCCCTTTGAGGCTGCACGTCGAGACCAGCTGCTAGAGTCCACGTACGGTCGGGTTCCCGAGTCAGATGAAATCCGAGCCTATGAATGTGACATCACGTCGCCGGAATCAGTCCAGTCGGCATTCAAAGCACTGGACGAGGAAATGGTCGAGCCGTCATCTTCCACTGTGGCTGATCGGGTCTTCCCCAGTATCCTGGTCAATACAGCTGGTTATGTCAACCTCAGTGATATGGAGTCGACGCCACCCGAGGACACCATGAAGCATCTCACCACGAATGTCTTCGGCCCAATGCTGTGTTCTCAAGCATTTGCTCGACTCTACTTCGCTGCCTCCAAAGCTGCAGAGACTTCAACTAATCCTCCCCCACCCGGGAGAATCGTCAACATCGCCTCGCAGGCCGCCCATGTAGCACTGCCTCGGCATAGCGCGTACTGCGCTTCCAAAGCCGCACTGTTAGGATTGACACGTAGTATGGCCTCCGAGTGGGGAGGTCGTGGCATCACGTCGAATTCCGTCTCGCCAACAGTAGCTTGGACCGAACTCGGAAAGAAAGCGTGGGGACAAGACGATGTACGAGAGGCCTTCCTGAAGACGATCCCGACAGGGAAGTTCGCATTACCGGAAGAGGTCGCGGATGCTGTTCTTTTCCTCTGCCAGGCAAGCATTTCACTATCGAGATACTCATATATTGGCACTAACCAGTTAAATAGGATTCCAGTGGGATGATTAATGGCGCTGATATCAGGGTAGACGGTGGTTTTACCATTCAATGATTATTCACGGCTTGTTGCTCCATGATATCTATTCATGTTTAGTAACAATTATGAATACTGTTTAATCTGAATCTCTCTTTTTTGTCAATAGTTTATCCTTATCATTTCCATTCTTTCCTTGAATTGCCAACTGTGATATGAATGAGGTCGTTCTCGAAGGGAAACAAAAAGGGTGGGGTCCCTGCAAGAAACTAGGGCTATTCAGAGAAAATATGTTACAATACTATAATGTTCAATCACCAACGTGCATGTCTTACTTTCCCTACTTGTTACGCCTCTTCGAAGCGTTCGCCATAATCTTACAGCAACTAGCTACATATTTTTGTTTCTCACCAGCCATACAACTCTCTAATTGTTCATTTGGCACAAACTCTTGGCACAGATGCTTCATACTGAGCAGGGATCGATCCTAGTATTCCTATTTTCTGAATTACTGGATTAAACATAGTCTCTATTCCAGAAACCTAGTAGCAGTAGTCCTTCTACGATAAACAATGTAAGATGTAACTGGATTAGGATTCTAACGCAGACAAGCTACATTACAACCACCGGGAGGGTAAGCCATACAAAAAAAGAATGCATTCGATGAGGTAGCTACATAATAAATCCAGCTGGACAAGAAAAACGAAAGAAAAGATAGAGTTATTGTAACTTGAAGTCCTTCACCACTCATATCCCATAGGTCGATCTTCCCCTATCGTGCTTGACAGGTAATCGATTAGGCAAGATATAACCAATAGCCTACCGCTTACTGCTGAGCAGGCTTGGGGGGCTGAGGCTTGTCGGTGGGAGGAGGAGGGGGAACATCGCCACGCTTTCCGTTATCATTCTCCTTAGGTGGGGGAACGGGCTTGTCGTCGGTAGGCTTAGGAGGTGGAGGGACCTCGCCGCGCTTGTCATTGTCGTTCTCCTTCTCTTTGGGGGGGAGAGGCTTGTCAGTGGGAGGGGGAGGGGGAACGTCCCCACGCTTTCCGTTGTCGTTTTCCTTAGGAGGAAGAGGCTTGTCCGTTGGGGGAGGAGGCGGCACATCGCCGCGCTTTCCGTTGTCGTTCTCTTTAGGGGGAGCAGGCTTGTCGGTGGGCTTAGGGGGAAAGGGAACCTCGTTACGTTTGTCCTTGCCATCTTCCTTGGGAGGAAGGGGCTTATCGGTGGGAGGAGGCGGCGGCACGTCACCACGCTTGCCATTGTCGTTCTCCTTGGGACCCTTGGGAGGAGCTGGGAGAGTAGGCTTCTTAGGCGGGGGAACATCTCCACGCTTGTCGTTGTCGTTGTCCTGCTTAGGCGGGACAGGAGCGTCAGTGGTAGGAAGGGGAACGGGAAGATTCTGAAGGTCGGAAGGACCTATTGACAACTATTAGCCATGTTTTCGTTGAGCAAGGCGAGAGCCAACATACGCTCGGCAGGAGGAGCGGCGGCAACAAGGCCAGCGACCATCAAGGTAGAGAGAACGGCGGAGATCTTCATTTTGATAGCTGATTGAAGGAAACTTGAACGAATGGGCAATTGAGGGGTGACTGGAAAGTGAGTGACTATGGATTGTGTAATGGATTCGAGCTGATGATGGACTAGTGAGGCCGGGTGCACCGTTCCTTTTATATTATTTGATCTACAGCTAAATGTTCACCATCTCAGAGTGTTGCTATTCTGGCGCCATGGGAATCGGAAATGACGACCGGCTTGACGTCGTGTCGTTCTGGATGAGTCGTCAGCATCAAAAGGCGTGTCGATAGGGCTGTGGGACCGACCCCCCGGCACTGTACCAGACTTTGGCTCTGGTTGAAAGAGCACAAAGACGGTTGACGTCTTACGAATAGGTGGATCCTTTGGTCGACATTGCGGCGCTTTCATCAATGATACCACCTTCTACAGTGGGCTAGCCGGTCGAATAATCGTCTCGGTGGGCTGTAAGGCATGCAAACAAAAGCTAGTCAACATGAAGCCAGGTACGATATGCCTCAAAATTGGGCAAATGATACCACAGAAATCATAAGCCTCAGCGCGTGGCATAACTCCGGACAGGTGAGTTGTCCTCGGGATTCATCAACTCCGACACATACTTTATCACTAGCCCTTGTAAATGATCGGCAACGGAGTACCTCCATGGTTTACCACCATTCTAGGTTATAACAAACCACATTAACAATAGGCTCCCGCAAAGCAAGCATCTTTATTGGTCTGAACTGGTTTTGAGTGCACACGCGGCGCCCGCCGATCCTCCAGTGGAGGGCCAAAGCCTCACTGGCGGACTGGGGCCCACCCGGCGTGAGCTTAGCCTCTGCTGCTTGTCGATCTCGCGGGTGATGACGAGGAACCTGTCCAGAGCCTGCGGGGAATATGGTATTTTTGGATCAGATAGAGCTCGCATAGCGGATATGCTATTCTCCAGGTGGTTTGGTGTAAGGCACCGTTGGCGTTGTTCTGTAGACGGGTTAATTGACTCGTTCCACTGCGCTGGCTGCTATTTCAGCAATGGATCCTACTGGCTACGGTATACCCACTCTTCAGCTGAATATAGTCCGTCGCAGATATCCTAACCATTTCCAAAATTGAGGCAATAGGAGCGACACTAGTTGTGGACTAGCTCATTCGTTGGAGTTCGAAATTCATACTAAAGCTAGCCCTACGAGGTACGAAGCCAATGCCACAGAGTGAAGGTTGAATTGATTAATCAAATTAAGCAGTTAGAGGAAATATACAATTAGTAGACTACCCTTGCCCCCATTGGGTGTTTATCAACGCAGCATGTTGCACTGCCATATGCATCAGTCAATATATCAGATCAACACAGCCTCGGCTCGGAAAATAAGTTCCTCAGGTATGTTACGGCTAGGTTACTGATTATTGTGATCAAACAATTTCTTGATTACTTTTATGATTACCTTAGGAGATCACTTAGTGTACCAATTCAGGGGTAGCGTGAGCAAGAGCCTCTGTCAACCAAGAAATTCCTTGAAATGGCACGCAAAAGCTATGTGGGTAAGCCTGTACGCCTTCGGAACCCCAGCTTGAAACTGGAAAGAGAAGCATCTCATACGTAGCTCCCTTCACGGGGAAAGTTATGCATGACAGGATAGTAGAGTATGCGGAATGTCCAGGCTAGGTGGATCAAAAGGCGGGTCTAGTGATTATTCGATGAGTAGCGCAATGATCTTCGTGTAACGCGTCCCAATAGACGTGATAGGATGTATATCAGGGGGCCCAACCAAGCTAGCTATGCACGGAGATGTAGAGTAATCTACGTTTGGGGCATATAGCAAAGTCTAAACTTGAAGATACAGACTCGAGCAGGTTACTAAGCGGAGGAGAGGATGCTATCAATGTCGATCTATCCGGCGTAGATCCATACTTGGCCCAATTAGCGGTGAGTTAGAAGACGTAAAGAAGTATAATCCGAGCCCGAGGAAAACACTCATCGATGTAACACTCTAGTAATAGCTATTCTGTACAATGTCCACGCAAAGCTTGCTGGAAGTGATGCAATCGCTAGGCCAACGAATGCCTGAGTTCCAACATACGCCATCTTGGATATCCATGGTGCCCAAGAGGATAACGGCGACCAATCCCTTCCAGAGCGTTCTGTCAGTGGGACAAAGTCCAGGACTGGACTAGTTGTCGCCAGTCCAGAAATTCCCTCAATAATGCCTCCACAATATGGCGCTACATAACGCGCAAATAAGGATTTGGCCAGGCCATCACATGCCTGGAGCCGAGTAAGGAACTCTGAGCTCTGATGGATCGCTAGCAGACGCTGGAAATGTGTCGTGTTGAACTGATCAAGCATACGTTGAATTTCTTCCTCTGATGAACTGTTTCCCTCGGCCTTTTGCCTTAACGAAAACAACGCATTTGCCAAACCAGCTGCAGCCTCAATGGCCGTATTCGCTCCTTGTCCTTGATTTGGGGTCATCTGAAATTGAGGTTAGCAATCTCTTATGAATGGTATCTAGAGTCTCTGGGAGAGTCTGTTACCTTGCTAACACTATCTCCAATACAGACTATGCGGCCATAGTGCCATGTTCTTAGCAAGCCTTCCTCCAACGCTGTCATGTGGAAGGTTCGCCGTTGTCTCCAAATATCACCGAATTGGACGCTCTCCCACACAGCAAGGCCGGCCAACGATTCACATGTGGAAATCGCATCCTCGTTCGTGAACCGAGGCGTGTTGGGGTAGGTATACCGTTTATCAAGCTTTTGGAACAAGAGCCAGAAGATGCCATTATCTGTTCCAGGAAAGACAAAGAGTGTCACTCCGGGGTTGTATCGAATGACATGATCCCAAGACTTGACCCCTTCCACTGGATTCGAGATACCGAAAACACAGGCAAATTCCACCGTCATGTCTATGCTAGTTAGCCTAGTTCAATAGTCCATTCGTTATGTGTACTTACCCGACTTTTCTTTTTTTGATATAAGGCCTGGCTGTTCGAGATCAGCGATGCGCCACATCTCCGACCGGACGAAACTATGGACTCCATCCGCTCCAACAACGAGATCACCATCGTACCTGGCCCCGTCGGCTGTTGTCACCGAGACGCCAGATTTAGTCGGGACAACACTGGTCACTTGCTGACCGGTGTGTACTTTGGACTTGTCCGGGAGACCCGTGTACAAGATCTCAAGTAGCTGTCTTCGCTCTAAGATAGCAAAGTCCATGCCAAACCTATAGATGTTTCACTCAGTGCCTGGGCCCAGTAGATGATAACGATGAACATACAACTTCTTCATCAGCTCAGGGATATTGCTGTCATAGTGAAACCCGTCAGGGAAGCATGTATGAACCCGTCGGAGCCTCTGAGCCAATCCTGCTATCCTCTGGTACAGACCCAACTGCTCTAAGATTCGGCCACCGTTGGGGAAGATGACTACTGATGCGCCAATCTGCGGGTGGATCTCCTGATGTTTTTCCAGCACAAGATAATCTATCCCTGCTCGATCAAGGCAATGCGCCAGCGTCAGTCCCGTTATAGAGCCGCCGACGATAATAATTCTAAACGGCGATTCGGCCATTGTCACCAGTCCTAATGATAGCGACGGGTCGGCGTAGCGTGGTGTGACCTATATTTTGCGAAATATCGACATGCACCTGGAATATGAGACCAAGAATGGAGTGTAAGATATCTTTCGAAATCATTCGCTTCAAAATAGGCGGACTGAAGGTCCTTGTGTTGTCGGAGAATTTGTCGTGGATTCGCCACTCTGCTGCACGCTGACACCATTTTAGTGGCTGCTTCCGGCCAAGCTTAGCATCCACTATTTAATTCCCCCAGAGAAAAGTATAAATCAGCAACCCAAGTAGCCGTTCGTACCTCGGAAACGGCAATGGAAAATCCTGTAATAGAAAATAGGATGTAGATTGGGTATATATACATTATCAGCGTAACAAGTTCAATACCATGGCGCAATCAGCGCAAGGATGGCTTGACGAAACCGTCACTCTACAGATGATACTGATTGGAGCTCTCAATCGAAACCCCGAGCCTCTGCCAGAATGCCTCGACATTCATATCATCTCGCCCACTGCATATATTATTAGTAACTGAATATCAAATAGAAACAGGGACACTCACTCATCTCTCTTAATGATAGTGGGCTCGGTTTGCCCTTCGGCGACATTAGGATTGCGGAAGACGACATTATATTTCTAGATGCGGTCAGTACTGGTCTGGTAATCCAAATACCACAGTACCAAATCAACCTACCATTCCGAGAGTCAGATGGATCGCCGCCGGCATCCGGGGGAAGACGTCCTTGGGATTCTTCCCTTCGATCATCGCCTGGATGTTCTTTGCGACCACATCAGCCTGCGCTGAGCCGGGTCGAGCAGCCTTCCGCAGTCCTGTATCGGCGATGTCGCCAACTGCGAACAAATTGGAGTACTTGGGGTCGAGGAATTGCATTGTAGGTCGAATCCGGATGAACCCATTATCGGGGTTAATCAGAGACTCTGACGTTGAGGGGGTCAGTTCACTGATGAGGCCATTATTTGGCGTTTGGCCAGTCGCACAGATCACAAATTCTGTCGACAATTGCGTGCCATTGGTGAGCTCGACATTGAATGGACCTCCCTGAGTGGGATATCCCTCGGCAGGGATCTTAACGCGAGCTCCAGTCACGAATCTGTAGAGGATTCTAATCAGACTAATGCACACGCCAGTAGCTCGGGATCATGCTGTACTCACTTGATTCCAAGCTCATCAAACCGCTCCTTGACAAGATCATGTAGGCCTTCATGGAACCCAGACATTAACTGAGGACGAGACTGCACCACCGTGATTTCCTTATCGGGGTAGAATTCCTTTAGATCCGTCGCCATCTGGACGCCGACTGCACCACCGCCCGCGATGAGGATGGACTTTGCCCGTTTCACGTCGTTCTGGTGGTTCTGGAGATATGCGACGGAGGACAGCTTGTCGTCATGTCTCATACCGGCCGGTTGGACGAGACGGGTACCAGTTGCGACAACAAGATAGTCGAAGGGAATTTGACGAGAGCCTTGCCACTCACGGTCCAGCTTGAGGTGTTGCGGCTGCACGGATAGAGCCCTGGCTTGCACGACGGCATGTCGGGCTAGGCTTGAGGTAGTAGGGAAGACTCCCGTGTATGGAATGAAGGCTTTGTGTTCTTGTCCGGGCACGATAGCGAACCGGGGCTGTACCATAGACACATTGGTTAGTTGCAATCAGCGCACAGAGAGATCATGCATGCTTACAAAGGTAAAGAGATGGTGGAAATGACTGTGTGGCTCAATCAGGAGCACCTGTGAATGTTAAGGTCAGAGACTTAAAGTAAATAGTATGTCAACGCAGGATCGTACCCTGTGCGTGTTTGGCACGACTTGTGCGAGTTCTTGGGCTGTGGTCTGCATTCAAACTTAGTATTAAGGATCAATAATGAACCGATAGAGACTCAGTCATGACGAACCTTTCCCACATACGACCCTCCAACAACGATGATATTTCTCAAAGAACTGGCCATTTTGTGTCAATAATGAAGTTAAAAAAAAAGATGAACTGTTGACTGGGGTACCTGGACGCGCCTCTTTTTAAGTACTTTCATCAGATAAGGGAGGCAAAGCGGAAAAAGACTCTGCCATGGACCGCCATTGGTCAACGGCAGCCGGGGTCGGCATGCTGCCGTTATCTGATCCGTGGATTCGGGGCTCGGGGGTAAAACCTATCTCCTTGAGGAAAATTCTCCTCCTTAACGCCGAGCCGATGGATCTGATGCCTCGGATGGCCACTTCCGGATCGCCTTACGGTTGGCTTGCCGTTTGCTGGATGTGCCATTAGCTAATTATTCCGCCCTCATGGCGCTGATCGTAGAGATCGTATTCAGGGTCGGGCCCAACTTTCACACACTAGCCAGTCGGAAATCAATTTGGCGTCACCGGAATTCGGAGGCCGTGACTCAACTACATCCGCACATCATCTCCGAGTCTAGGTCTTATACGAATGCTGCAATTCCTGCACTGCCCCAACGGTCTAGGTCGAGGTTTAACCTGAGAGGGATATCTATACGAGTTGCTCAAATGAGAATTAGCAGAATATAATTGGTATCGGTGTGCCTGCGGTATACCATCAAGCATCGTCCTGATCTTAATAAAATGCTGTTCAATGGAACCACCACTTTTCAATTCTTAAGAACCATCATTACCTCAATCCGAATGCAAATATGATCAGATGAGAGAAATACCTCTGTCTATCGGCTCCCAACCATCGCAGACTTCGTGAAAGACCGAGCGGAATAACGAAAGAAAAGAATATGAATAGCTACAGACAAATGTAGAACACGATGTACAAAGCTGTACAACTAAAATCAGCCAACCCCTTCTATGCTCGGCGCAATGGCTTCCTCAATAGTCGGGGCTCAGCAAGGCTTGCCTGGCCTTCCTCCACCGTAAACACCCATTCATCAACGCCAATGTTACCAACTCGGGAGCCATCGACATTGAGCCAGGACTGACAAGCAGAAATAACCCCTTTTGGCTGCCCAGACGTGTCGTAGTCAAATACACTGCGGAAAAACACGCGTTTCGCCGTTTCTCCATGTAGACTCTCCTCAATACCAGTGGGATATAACCTGACGGCTAGTCCTTCGAACCCCGAAAGCCCTACCAGAGACTGAAGAAAGTCGACGCCATTGCTCACCCATTCAGTTACCTGGAGACCGGGTTTATCGTGATCCGTGGTAACTGTGACGTATGAATCAAGTGTAGAATTACCTCCCGGGGCCTTGTATGTGCCTGCATACGTGCTGTTCGCTTCTTGTTGGGCGGCCTTGTCTAATGCAGGGGAGAGCCGGTCAATGACTAGGTCTGCCAGCCCCCATACATTTGTTAGAGGGTTCGTCGGCAGGTCCGCAGCTGTAATCGAAAATCCAATGTCATACTCTGGAATGAGCGCAATGATATCGGCATATGCTCCCAGGTTTCCGGACTTGGAGTAGACGTCGATGACGTGGTTAGGTCGGTTTGGTAGCTCGTAGCGGAAGATTTCCCAGGGCGCCCCGACGGATGTCCTAAAGCTGGTGGTATGGCTGAGTGGTTTGAGCCAGTGACGGGTCATGGTTGCCGAGAGATTCAACGCAGAGGAGCCAGAGAGAGATTGCAGAATGGAACGGCCAATGACGGCAAGATCATTGACACTCGAGTATGCACCTCCAAAGCTAGGATATGTTTTAGCTTTGTCACTCAGGGGAATGTAGGGTATCTTACGCGTCGCCGTCACCCAGATCAAAATCCCACAGGCTGGTCGTCTCGTTAATCGGAATGATACCAAAGTTCGCATTCTTATGGACCAGCAGGCTTGTGGAGTTGAGATTGAGGGGCTTGACTATGCTGTTCTCGAACATAGACGGGAAGTCAATTCCGGTGATGTTCTCCATCACGTAGCGCAAAAGCTGGTAAGCTGCATTGGAATATGCGGGCGTGGTACCAGGAGCAAACGTCGGATGTTCACTGACGATACCGCGGAGGAATTCTTTTATGACCTATCAGCAGTCCGAAAATAACGATAATCTATCTCTTGAACACACCGTCTCTGTCGCACGGATTACCACCATTTACGCCGTCGCCCTGATTGCATGTCGGGATATCCTTCGCCGGAACCTTAGGAAGACCCAAGGCCACCATTTGCTCATTGCTATATTTACCGGCAAGATCCTCAAATCCATCTATATGAACAACAGTTAGTGTCTCCATGGTCAAGCATCGGGGGTGCACACAGCATACAATCATGGGGCACACCACTCAGCTGTGCGGCTAAGTCACCAACGGTAATCTCCCGCCATGGAACCCGGGAGTTTTCACTACGAGCCAGTGCGTCTAGCTCCGGGATAAACTCCGTGATCGGATGGTTCCAGTGGGTATATCCGTCATGTGCCAGCAGGGTTAATACTGTGAGGAGTTTCGAAATACTGGCAACCCGGTACACGCTATCAAGTGTCGTGTTCTCTGCGCCCGCACCCGGTTTGGGGCTGTACGTTGGTGAGGTGTAGAGGTATTCATATATGGAGTCCTCCGTATGGGAGGAGAATACTTTGACAGCGAATGTTGTTGTGTTGATAGGCAGTGAGCCGAGATCAGTGGTACCGGTAGTCAGGGCTGCTTCAATCGCTTGGGTGAGGTTGTTGGACGCCTCCTTGACATCTTGGTTGGAGATGAGGGCCCGCGGGGGAGGGTACAAGGGAGTTTGTAGTGGACAGAAATCGTCAGAGTAAACAAGAGTGGCCAAGAAGAAAGAAATTAATTGTAGGAGGTGATGAGCTCGGCTAGACGGTAGCAATAACATGGTGGTTGCACTTGAGCACCAATGACTTCTGATGAGGAATCGACATCGTTCCGGAGAACAAGCGTGCTTTTATAGTGACATGGATTCATTACTATTTCATGATATTCTCCGTGTGTATGAATTGCTAGATGGTTGTAATGGAAGCAACGCTCTATCATTGCAACTCGCGCACGCTCACTGGCCAGTTCGTTTATGAGTGGAGACCACATACAGCACCCTTGCCAACAAATCCAGACGATCTCGTATTGGCCTAATTGGCCAGTCCGCTTATTCTTGGATGAATTAGAAACTGATCGGGCCGTGACTAAATTTTACACTAATGCTGCGGGCCAGATTGTGGCGGAGCACCCCATAGCAAGGCAGGACATATAAATAGAAGAAAGAGAGGATCTTAGGCAGATGTATTCTGCAGAGCTTCATTGGACTTTATTTGTTTCTGCCAGTAGGTAGGCGTCCTCCTGTTCCAAAGTAAATGTACGTGATTCAACCACGCTTCCGTCATCCAGAGTATACAGCATCTGAGCCTGCGATTTGTCCTCTGGCGATACCGTGGTAAAAGCCCATCTGACCCGAGAAGATGGATCCTCACCTTTGGCGGCCTGTTCCTCAACTTTCATTGTCTCAATCGCTATTCTTGCGAGCAGTCTCGAGTCCCAAGTCCCTTCGCGATGCGGCCAAGATTGGAGCGCTCGAATTGCTCGTCGCCGAACCTCATGATCACTACACTCAGCTGAAACAAAGAACAACGGAGCGATGACTCCCATATGAAGCAAAATGCTTGGACGGTCTGGGAAGCTGGCTATAATCTCCTCGGCCATGGTGACAAGTCTCGTAAATCTCGGCGTATAATAATCGAAGATCTCCTTGGTGCGATCGAGAAGACATGTGTCCAGAACGAGGGACATGGACAGCTGGTGTAAGTAGATGATATCCGCACCCCGCTTCTCTTTACTATCACACTGCGTAGATAGATATCGATAAAGTGGATCGAATGCTTGGGTGAAGTACCGAAGCTCGGATCTGAGATGGAATTGCCGCGTCGAAAGGGATCCATAGTTGACAATGATATCTGTCGTTGACAGGGGTGCGGTAGAAGTATGAAACTGGAACACAGCTCCCAAGAGACGGTCCAATACCCTTCGGGCTTCGCATAGATGCTGGAATGCTTTCACATCGCCGTCGTCTGACGCGGGAAGCGACAAGTCTGGTTGCTCATGGAGTACTAAATCGCCCACACCGTAATATGCCGACTGCACATCTAGGTGGGAAAAGGTGTCAACGAGACTCTGTTCTATAATCGACGAGCGTGTAGGATATGCATCGGGCGATTGGTAACAGTCTGCATGCTTCAGAATTTGCAACCCATTTCGCAGATGCATAAAGGCAATGTCATAGGACCCGCGCATGAGCTCTGAGAGTACAAATAGCATACAACAAACCAATATGACCTCCTGTAAATTAGGATCCTGCGACGCAGAGCGCGCAATCAACAGTGCGTATGCTCTCCCGCATTGGTCGATGGCAAACCGCTGCCACGAGTTGTCCAGATTTTGGATCGCTAACGGGTTCCCGCGCGCCTCGTAGTCTGCATGGACTGCGGAGAACGCGACGACAGCATGATAGACTGCTCGGTCGGCCTGGCTCATCTGCAGAACCAGCCTCTGCCACAGTGGGGAGTCAAAGTATCCGATTACCGTTGGGAGCGACCGGTGTTGGAAGAACGAAAAGCACCGACGCTCGTCCGACGTAATCTTCCACCGGAAGCCATCGAAAATTTGTGTGGATAGTACCCCAGATCCGACCGTCGATCTTAAGCCAGGTAGTCGACGCGGTAGGCGCTGACTGTCGTAGTCGCACTTTCGGCCCGTTGAGGTACAGTTCCGACATGACTCGGGGGTCTCATCACATTTGATGCGGCGAGCTCTGTATTTCTCTGTACATTAGCCATGAGACTCGACTGACCCTCGCTAGAACTCACCGGCAAATGCGGCACCCCATCTTGGATCTGGTAACAAATCTTCGTTTAGCCTGTACTTCCGCCATTCCGCTAAGTGCTCCTAAATGTTGTACGGTGGAGAGCATCCGTGTTTTCGTCCGAGCGGCGCAGATTAGTCTTCAATCAGACTAAGGCCACCAGTTTCCCAATGGAGCTTACATTTTCGTAATAGTTTTAAGAACCATTGGCTCAAGCCTCAGTAAGCATGCATTGGTGTGGGGCCCATTTGCAAGGGTGATAATCGTCTGGATTATGATGCCAAGAATGATAGATTTCTAATCAAGCTAGTTCTACTGTTCTGGTACATAACCACCTCTCGCTCGGCCATGTACCCAATTTCCAAACGACTCTACAGGATTTACCTAGGGGCTGAACTTCCCCCCACGACAATGCGAATCCCACTTTTCTGCGGAGCTTATCGTTGCCGGGATACGGTTGTCCAGAGCTAAACTGACTAGTGACCGGTCTGAAGGTTGTCTATTAGCAATGAGTAAATATGGGTCGCGGTCAAACATACTCTGCGAGGTAAATTGGGGCCATCCATAGTCACTCAGCCCCTTCCAGGGGTCTTTAGCAAATGCCACCCATGCGCCTAACCCTGTTAGCAAGGAGTCGACAAACGCGTGGTAAGTAATAGTACCTTGAATGTACTTGCTGGCTGCAACCTCTGCTGGGTTGGAGGGCGGCTGGATTGTGGTCTTGTCGTATGTCCCAAAGACAATGGGCACGTCACTAGAATGGTACGCTCCAAGCCATGGAGTTGGACTCAACCCAGACCAATTGCCGTGGTAGAGGTATCGCCAGGTGGGAATATCTTGCTCCAGGCGGTTACCCACCGTCTCAACAATCGGGCAGTTAAATGTGTTCTGAGTGGCTGTGTAGACCAATGTCTCATTGATAGACTTGGAGCTAAGGTTCATGTACGCTGATGCTTCACGATCGGTGCCGCCGATCAATGTTGGCTGGAAGGATCAGCTACTGGCCGTGTGTGGACTGACAGAAAGCTTACCAGGCGAGCAAGGCCCCCTTGCTTTGCACGAGCCTCGAAGTCAGCGAATGCAGTTACGTTGTCTGGCACCGGGCTAAAGCTGTAGGACGCAGAAGACACTTCCTCGAGTATATCTTGCCACGGCTTGTCCTGCATGCACTGTACAGTACTGCAACCTAGAGCCTGGGACAGGTTCTGCCAGTTTTGATGGGTTCTGTCTTCGTTGGTGATTATGGATGCGGCACCCGATTGCATAATAACACCGTGTACGATGGGGTTCTTCGGATACTGCAAATAAGCGAAGCGTCAGTTCCAGGTTCCCTCCATATCGCGCTAGTTTACGAACCGCATAAGTGTACAGATCTGTCGATGCTGCCCCAGCACTCTGGCCAAACAGCATAATTCTTGAAGGATCTCCGCCAAACTGCGCGATGTTGCGCTGCACCCACTCGACGGCAAGCCTCTGACTTCATTAATTTTTCTTCCATGGCAGAGCGACATACATCTGGCAGCGTACCTGGTCAAGAAGCCCAACATTCTGCTGTCCGGGTTCGAGACCCGGCGCGTTAGGGTACCCGAATATAGAAACGCGATAGCTATGAAATGATGGTAAGCTCGGAAGCTCCCTCAATGGGATAGGACTTACTTAAACGTAACAACAACTACATCCTGATGATCCTCGACCAAGTTCGTTCCATCGTAGAAGGGGATTGCTGACCCGCCCTGCGTGAACCCTCCACCGTAAATGAACATCATCACTGCTAATTTACCGCTTTCTTTCTTGATTTTGGGTGTCCATATATTGATGGCAAGACAGTCCTCCGACATGCTGTCTGTGTTCCACGGCATGTAAGGCAGGACACTCCAGATAGACTCATTGGAGAAGGTGTACTGGCCTGGACATGTCGGTGGAAAAGAGTCAGCACGAACGGTCTCGTTAGATCGTGATTTGGGCACGGGTGGCTTGAATCGACGTGACCCTGCTGCTGGTTCGGCATACGGTATGCCTAGAAATGCACGGACAGAAGAACTGTTGTAGAAGCCTTCCACTGCGCCACTGGTGGTATCGATCAGCAGGTCCGAGGCCAGTGCCGTAGACGACAAGATCGTCGCTATAACAATGCTAAACCTAACCATGGTGAGATGATTTACCGGAAGTCTAGGGGTCATTATCAATGTGCAGGTATTTAAGCACCGAGCACGGAAGCATTAAGTATCCCGCATGGAAATGCGGGGGACGCGGGGAATCTTTGGGGTTCGGGATCTCTCCGGTTAGCCTAAATCGTGGTCGAGATGCCTACTCGGATGTGACGACTGCCGAATCTCTCTGCCGTCGATGATCATCTCTGCCATGTTAATCTATTAAAGTTGGGATGACCTTGACACAAATCAGCGTATACCGTGATTATATCCGCTAAACTCCGTGTGTGTATTGCAGGACGATTGATTCTAGTCCCTCACAGCAAAGACTACCCGGCAACGCTCAGGCCATCGTCCTTGAACAGTGGAATTGATATGCCAGCCTTGGGTGTCCCAAAGTGATGTATGGCCATGGAGCTCAAATCCAATCGAACTCTACACCTTCAGGTTGTAGCAACCTCGCGGCCTGCGATATCTAATTATCCTCCTTGTTTCTATCGCCATAAGACGCAGATATTCGCGAGGCCAGATCAGAGCTAGCATGCCATAGCTCATCGCTATCCGGCATGGCAAATTGTAGGTCGGCCAAGGAAAGAAGTCCCGCGTCATCGGCACGAGACCATTGACAAACTTTGTACAAAGCCAAGGCGAAACGTTTCACTTCCTCGATACCGACCCAGATAAAAACGTCCGGTACTGAGGCAGAGTCGAATTGCGCGAATATAGAGAGATAAAAGAACATATTTCGCTGCAGGCAGCTGCAGACCAGTGCAATCAGAAGCTGCGAGGGGATTTCGGGAAGACTATGTTTCATTCGGGGGTCTAGTCGGGCCTGGCCGCCTTGTAGACGAGCGAAGATGAGGTGTAGCAGTATCCCCTGATAGGTTGCCATCGGCCAGAGGTCGGTAGATCTGGATGCATCAGCATTACAACCCTGTTGCTGTTCGCAAACCTGGCTTGATACATCCCATCGAGCCTATCCGAGAGGCCTATGTTAATGAGGAGCAGAGATAGAAAAGATAGGGCGGAGGATAAATTGATGGAACAGAACGGTGGGTATGTAGCTAACCTTCTGTTGATAGATAGACCTAGTAAGCTGTGCATGCAGATCCATCGCTGAGTGCTGCCCACCCTCAGATACCCATAATCCCATCATCGTGACCGATTGTAGGAGGAACGCTGGTTCACGATCAGGATCAAACGTAGCTCTGTACAGGAACGGCCAGTAGGGATGAAATCTCTCGAAATAAGCATGAATATAGGGCCGTATTCCACTTGGCCCTTTGTCCATGGATCCAGAGCGCCAGATTAAGCTCAGATCAGACGAGGCAGAGTGTACAACAGGGCCTTGCGACCTTGTCTTTCATACCCCTCAGACGACTGTCTAAAGGAGCACTGAATCCCACGCTGCAAACAGGCTGTACAGGGAACATCTAAATCTCCGTCACATCTCGATCTTCGCGAGCGACAATAACTGCACGCTCGGGCTGCACGACCTCGAGGAATTTCCTTGTCTTTATGGTCTGTACGGACATGCTGGCGGAGAGTGTCACTGTTGCATAGTTAATATCGACCTGCATCGTTGCCTCAAAGGTTCAAAGGGGTTGCAATTGGAATTCCAAGTCTAACAAGGGCTCTCTGAATGCTAGATACTCACTTCCGACCGAATGTTTTATCACAAAATGGGCATTGAGGAGATTCTGATTGGGAATGGCATTTTGCGTGGCGGATAAGATGTTCCTTGCGTCGATAGCGTAATCCACAGTGACATGAAAAGACCGGTTCCAACGCCGTCATTGTATGGATTCCGTACTTCATTACCTCGCTGGTAATAGTTCTGTCTAGACCAGAAGGCTGGTGAAGGTCAACATGGCTGTCGTGCGTGTGTGTGTGTGTACCGCCTTATCATTTATGTCGAGTGGGTCTGGGTTGCCGATGGGATATCGAATGAATCATAGCCCTAGCTCCTGCGTACGGGCGTTGTACCGTAAAAATACCGTCCTATTGTATTATTCCGCCGTAACGTGTGCATACAACCGCTTTGGTAGATCTGGCGACCTGGCTATCCCATCTGCATCTCAGTCTTTGTTTACGCCGCCCTGTCACGATACAAACACAGGACTAGTTTGACGCAAAATCCACACCATATACATATATATCCCTGGACCACGTGCTACAGTCTATTTCCCGTCAATGACACGTCCGTTCTTGGATTGCGACTTCTCTGACACGCTTAGTGAACGACTCTAAGCATCCCACATCCTTCTGGAGACTTGAGTATTTGACACTGTCGGCATTTAACCACCTCCAGCTAGAATACTTACTATGCAGTCCCGGGCAATCCGTGATATGCCAGCTGATTGAACCACGGAGCCTCATTTCAGGAAGAATGACTGGCATGGTAGCAAGGACAGAACCGTGAACCCTCCACGGGGCACTCAATGTCTCGGTGCTGGGCCTCACACTCCGCTTGCCGTAATTGGGGAACACCCATGATATTTAACACAGAATGGAAGGGTGTCCAGAATATTGATATCTGCTACAAATCTTCGCTTTATAACTCTCACTAAGAGCAGCACATTGGTTACACTGTCGCTCCAAAAGTATTGGATTGGACGCGGCGATGGCTATTAAAGCAAGAGAATCTACGACGAGCTGTATAGTAAGTCGAGGGCAAGATGATAATAGATAAGAACTTCTGGCAATGAGCAAGGTAAATTCGAAATAGAGGAGATTGGTCTGAAGTGACTATAGGCTATCATATATAGGACCAGTTTCTATACTCCATAATTAAGCGAGCTGGGCTGGTACTCCGGCTTAGGTTATAGCACTACTAGTCACCCTTACCTACAGAGAAAATTTTAAGTATACACATGAACCCTACAAGTATATATTCTATATTATTGTTTAGTCTCCTTCACTTAGCGGCAAAAGAGATTAGAAACCTTAGTTCTATATTTACATCTCGATCCGGGAGTATTACCTACGGTTATGTGTGACCACCATCTTGTACTCATAACCCGCCCAGACCCTCAGTGATCACCCCAAAGGCGGATTGGGGTGGATCCGGGCACAGATCAGGACGGATCCTTTCGAGGTCTACTCCTTTTGTAGGCTTCGAAAACCACGGCTAATATTTATTTGAGGCCAGGTTCACGACGCATTAGACTTTTCATTCTCGGTACACCGTCAAGGGCAATTTGGTCACGACTTGCCAATCCAGTATCATAAGCCGCGAAGACATGGAAAGGATGTGGTAGAGGCAAGAATTAAGGTTATTCTAGATTTTCAGACCGAAACATCACTGCGGGTCGTCGATCTTCAATTATAGTGGTTGTTCTAGAAGGTTGGAACTCATCCAACCTCGGGACCATTCGGGAATTCCTCGTATTAATTCCGGCTGCGGGTATTAGTACATGCACCCTGTACAAGTACAATGGAGTAGGGCTTTTGGCTGGGATCTTTCTAGACTGCGCAACGAATCGGGTGTAAGGATTAAGCCATGGGGAAGCAGGATCTGCGTGCAGGGGCGCTGGTGGAAGCATCCTAACCAAGATGGGATAGGAAGCGGTTTTAGGTCCCCTGAACCCTGAACCCTGAAATGATGAGAATCTTCTGTGGTCAGTGAATTAGGCCCTGGGTCTTCCAAACACTTTTCCTGGGTCACTCACTGTATGTCAAAACTTTCATCGTTCCTAAGATTGGACCTTTCACACGAGACTGTTTCAAATCGGCAAGGTACAAAAGCCAGGGACAATTTTGTCACGATCACAACTTGCCCAATGCAGTATCATAAACGACCCGGACATCTGAAGATGGGAAAGGATGGAGAGAGACCATAATTGAGAATGGGATACTACAATCTGATCCCCAACTATTCGGAACACCCCATCCCTTTAGAGAGAAATGTCTCAGTGAATAAAGCTTCCACAATTGGAACCAAGTAGAACATTGTCTCAGTTACTTTCCTGATCCAATATAGTAGCATTGTAAATGCCTCAACCGATAGCTTATAAGACGGCTTTCTTATCCCCTCAACGTCCTGATGTATCGCTTGAACAATCCAGATCATTCGAGTATCTCCGCATCCTTACTGCCTTAGCCGTATCCATCTCCCTGGCCGATTTTGACGTTCGTCATCATGCATGTTTTGAACAACCCCGTCGTCCTTTTGGCGCTGGCCACAGCCGCCCAAGCTAACCCGGTCGAGGTCACAAGGTGAGCACTTAACATCAGCTCTGACTGGTGAGACTTTAAGCGACGGCTAACGAGTTTTCCACAGTGACCTCCAGGCCCGTGCGAACACGTGGGAAGCCCATGCCAAGTATTATGGCTTAGGAGGCAAGATTGGAAACGAGATCCTTGTCCAAGGCACTTGGTCGAACCCGATAAAGAACCCCGGGCAGGATGCTGGGCCCTGTACTGCGAGAATCGGTGGCATCGGCGGGGATGCCTTCGATGTCAGATGCAACTGCAAGATTACCGGTTCTGGTCCCCTCCGATTCACCTCAACTTGCTTTGTCGATTGGGGAGCCTCCGCCCGCAACGGTGACTGGGCGGGCGGCTTTTCCGTCGCTTTCGAATGCAACGCCTTCAATAGCTGTACGGGTCCCAATGCGTACAAGGTTTCCGGGGCGCACTCTCGGTGCCATAACCAGTCCGGCAACGTTTGCAATGGATTCCGTGTCACTCCCTAATTGGGCTTTGTGTGGAGGATGGGAGGACGGGACTTTGAACATCATGTCATCCATGTCTTTGCCGTTGCTACCTCTCTAACTTCAAGACACTAGTCTGTGTACGTAAACTATCTTTATCTCTTGATTTCAATTGAATTTGAGATACGATAACCACCCGCCCCCGGCTCGGCCATCACTAGAATCCTGTACTAGGCCTCGAGGCATAAACTACATCAATCAGGACTTATACACTAATTCTATCCTAATGAGTATACTTTATTGCTTCTATAGTTCTTGGCGGGTCCAGAGTCGAAGCCTTTCGAGCTGCAGCGGTTCGGTCTTGGCGGTTATTCTCGAGGCCTATCTCGTACAATTAAGAATGAAGCGATTCAAAACACCTAGGACAGTCTTTTACTATGAAATTTTAAGCCATCTAACGATTGTGATACGGAGTACTTTCATTGCCCCAGATACTGCCTCACTAGACTGGCGTATGGCTAGGTTAGTTTATGCCACTCTAGTCCGAGGTCAACACCGTGACAATTAATACTAGATTAACTATAGTTGACCTACTTTACTGTCTACTATTTTAAATAAGAGTTAATATTCTTGGTGTCGAGTACAGTTAATCTCGATTGACTATTTAATTTTTAGCTTAATTTTTAGCTTAACTGTGGTTAGGTATAGAAATTCTATTAACCTAGCCATAATTTAGCGGTTAGGTATAATTGACCCCATTAACCTAACCTAACCCAGTCAATGTGTAGGCAGTAAGCCTACCGATCAATTAGAGCAGAACCCCGGTTAGTTGCACTATCCTTGCCACTGACGGGGCTTTTCAGTAATTGGTGGTTGAGAAACCCACATTTCTCATGCCGTACCACTACTCAGCCCCAGAAATCCCTCTTCACCATAGATCCAAAAGCTAATTGGAGCAAGATGGTGGGCCTGGGAAGATCAGCCAAAGTAGGACCAACCTTCATCCAGAGGGATCTGCTAATGGCCGGCTGATAGGCTGATACGGCAATCTTACTTTGTACTATTTAAATTTTAAGTGCCAATTTCAAATTAAAATCTCCCTTAGGATCAGGGCAGGCACGTAGTTTACTCTTTCTTAGAAAGTCGGTAGATATAGACTCCGAAGTCATTGTTCGTCTGCTGAGTTGTCTATGCACTAGGAGCAGGGCATTATTTGGTCAATGGTATGGTCATACGCCTTCCAATTGTAAAGTAGATACTCGATACGTGCTGTTACAATAAATATACATGGGCAATAAAATACAACATCAGCGAGCCTTCCTCTCATGCTTTAATCGAACCCCCTTCTCATAAGTGCTCCAGTTCTCCAGCACAGCCATCCTCTCCTCCTGCGACGCAGCCTTAGCTTCTGCCACTCCTTGCCTGATACGCGATCTGACAATGTAACCCTGTCGGTCCGCCCCATATGAATGTTCAATGGCTCGATGTACGCCATTCAGCGGATAGCCGATCAACCCCCAGATACCTACAAAACCGATTGTGATCAGATCAATTGAATTCGGAGGATCGAATACAGCTCTTACCGGCCTGAGGTTTCAGGATCAAGCCACCCAACCCTTTCCCTATGCCTTTGCTCATTCCACCAAGCCCACCATCTTTCCACCCGCGGCTGGGTTGCGTTACTACACCCGTGACGCCGTCATACCAACTGTATCCAAATTCCTAGGTAAATTAGCATGGCAAGCCCTAGTCAACCAGGTATGAATGCTCAGGAAAGCAATTACCTTTCCGGCCGCAACGAATCCCGACCGCACGCCGATCACCTCAGGTAGCTCGCGCACCGTTCGGTCATTGTAGTACCGTGGGGCATTATGCGTGAACTGAGAAAACAGCAGTGTGACCCCCATGGGCACTTCGACCACCCAGTTAAGTACCCTGCGACCCAGGTAACTTGAGTTTATCACTATCCTCTGCAATGGATTTCGCTTGACAGCCATGGAGGGCGTGCCTTCCTGTGATTGCGTGGTCGTCGAAGATGACAAACTAGAGGTTGATTTGACATCATCAGTAGTTTGCACACGATCCTTTTGTGAGGTGGTACTCGGGGCTGCGACGGAGCCAGCCGGCGTGAACATCGCTATACGCGCCTCGCAGGATGGTAAGTTGTAGTTCTCCGCAAAACGGTCGGCAGCTGGACGCGAGATATTGTAGACTGCGTCGACGGGCATGTCGACAAGCCCGGTGAGAAAATTGCTTATGGCGCCGGTGAAGCTGTCTGCCCCTGCGCATCTGGGATTTATGTCGTAGCGCTTTCCACGGTACCTATGGAAAGTACATTAGCACACAGGGAAGCTACAGATACAGAAGGTATTGCATACATTTTGACATCTTTCGGGTTGAGCTTCTTCTCCTGGACCAGAACAGTGGCCGCAAATGCACTGAGCAGTATCTTGGTTCGTCTAACACGCCAGACGGCCGCACGACCAGGACATAGCGTGCATTGGATGCGACGAAGATCGAGTTGGCTATGAAAGCTCGCTAAGCTATCGCGGGCGCCGTCCTCCACGCGGATTTTCTCGGCTAGTGTCTGCGCTTGGTCGATGGTGGAAGTCTTCAAACAGAAATGGATCGCATCGGCCAGACGATCGGCAGTAAGCTTTTTGTAGGGGATAGGCGGCGGCCCTGCTCCGTTCTGCGCAATCAGAGCACCCCAGAAAGGCTGGTCTCCGAAGAAAGGGACAATCGTAGTTGGTCGGCCTAGGGCAAGGCCTGCAGCCGTGGTTCCCGCGCCTCCGTGGTGGATTACACAGGAAACCCGTGGGAAAAGCCAGTCGTGGGGACAGTTTCCGAGGAAGAAGACATCCGGGCGATTTATCTGTTCGGCTCCCAGACCACCCCACCCCTTTGAGATCAGTGCGCGTTGGCCGGTCATTTCAACGGCATCTAGAATCGTCTTGGTGAGAGCATCCGGGTCATCGACCACGATGGAGCCGAATCCTATATAGAGTGGTGGTGGGCCTCCGTCCAAGAACTCAACCAGGTCTGATGGAGGCACGTAGTCAGCGTTTGCGGGTAAGAAGTTGAAGCCCGTTACGTCGATATGCTCCTGCCAATCATCTGGCTTTGGTAGGAGTGAAGGAGACCTATTGCATTCATTTAGTGGTTGTATTCAGGGACAAGGACAGCATACGAACCACATGTAGGTGAAGGGAACACGCAACCGGGGAATCAGACTCGGAGCGCGCATCACATCCAACTGCTCCAGACCCAGCTCGAAGCGACGAAACGCATTAATGAGATCGCCGACACCTTGCCAGATGACCATCTCCATCAGAGCGTAAGATGCGAAATTCGCTACCGACGGCTTTGTATCGCCCACCCGGACATTGGCTAATGGGTGCGAAAAGGCTTGAGTAGGGGACCATGGCATTCTAAAGCCATCAGCAGCTGAGACTCAAGAGATTCATCCCGTAGAGACTAACGTGAACATCAGATGTAATGGAATAGCCAATTTCTCTGCACAGTGGATATGGGCAAAGCTGGGCGGGTTCGCGATGATAGCATCAGCCACGAATGGTGCCGCCGTGATTGCCTCGTCACTAGTCATATCGAGACCTTCGCCAGCTTCAATACAGGATCTCCAACACCCGCCGAGCATTACTCGAATTTCTTTGCGACGTTTTCCGATCGCCCCTTGCCTAAAGCTCTCCACCTTTGGGATAAGCTTGTCATTCTTCACCATGAATGACATGAGCTCGGCCGGATCGCCCCCAATATTGAAGAACTCCAATCCATTATCCTTCACAAAATCCCGGAATACCAGATGAGTTGCTAGCCTAACGCGGTGTCCATGTCTTTTCATCGCTCGACCCAAGGCGATGAATGGTTGCACGTCGCCGCGCGATCCCACGACGTGAATCACCACGTTTAGCCGAACTGGAAAGCGAGTACCGTCATTTCGAATCTGCGATGGGCGACGGGTTGTCTGTCGCTGGAGGGCATCCAACAGGCTAGCTACCTGTGGGTCGTCGTCGTTCAGCGCGATATCCACCCGACCATCATCTGCGACAATGACGACAAGTTAGGTCCACTCGTGGCAGAAATTATGGGTAATAATAAACTTATGTCAGACCTGTTACCTGTGCGTTTGCGTCAAACCCATCAGTAATGAGGTGTTCAGGGCCCTGGGACCCTGAAGCAAGAGCCAGTGGGATATTCGGCGCTGCAACGTTCGCCATTTCAGCGGTAGGGTCTTTCCGTGAAGCCACGTTACACCCTCATTTTGATCTTTAATAAAGCTTGGTCTGCTGTGGCGAAGATAGAGTTGGCTCATGACGTAGTGGGCAGATTGGTCGAGACCATTTGAGCGTTTCGTTCGTTATTTTATAGATTGTAGGAATGCTTGAATCCCTAGCTTCTCGCTCTCGTTGTTACATGTCTTTTTGCAAATCAGCAAGCCGGTGGGCGCTCGACATGGAATAGTCATGCGTGACAAAGCATTATCCAAGCACAATACTTGATTGACAAGCGAATGTCCGTCTGCAATGCAACGGCAGCAATAACCTTTGGCACACCAAGAACTCGGGATACCGATCCATGGGTGCGGACTCGGGAACCAGACCCGACTTCCAGAGATTAGTAATTCTCGTATAATCGCACTTGATGTATGCATCTCCATATGCTTTTACCCTGCATGGCCTGGTTGCTGTGACCTCTGGATGGCTAACTTTCTGTATTTGGATTTACATCACTGCCATTGTACACAATCATTCGTCGAATCGATTTGTTAAATGTCAATCACCACCCCGCGACGCATATGAAGTTAAAGGATTTCCATACATATTAAGAAAAAAAAGTGTGGTGGAAGGTAGGTCACACTATGGACATCCAAACGTATACTAAAATATATACATGACAGCTCGCTGCCTCTGAAGCCAGGGTGTGGTCTCTGTGCTTCATGACTCCCTCCTCGGGCGATCTCCATTGACTAGTTTGTTCATACTCTCCTCCATCCTGTTATATTTTCGGAAACACAAAAAGAATATGATAGCCGCCACCAGCATAGTGGCACTGAGCGATATATATTCTATCAGGACCTTCGGGTCCACAGATGTCGGCGAAAGAGAAACACCAATGGAAGAACCAAAAGCGCCAGCGAGGAGAAAAAGGGACATGATGATGCTACGCATGGACTGTGGCGCTTTGGTGTAGGCGTACTCCATCCCGGATAGCATTGCGAACAGCTCGGCTAGACCCATCAGACAGTAAACGGGTATTTGTAAAAGTATGCTGATCTGGTTGAGGTTGTCAGAGACCTGTAACGCACCTTGAGATTGGTGAAACTTACCTTTCGAATCGGAGAGACTCCTTCGCAACTATCGGCTGCTGGGTTTCTTTGACATGGGGTGGTCTCGTAGATCACTTGCTACGGTGAGTGAAAAAGACAATTCAGTGCGATAAACAGTCTACATACGTTGCTGAAGGCCGGCCGCTAATGCCATTGCACAGGAAGACAAGAGAAGGCCTGTTGCAATCCGGCTAATCGGTTTGAACTTGATATGGAAGCGATGCAACGTCGGATAAACAAAGCGTTCACTGGCACAGTTGTTAGTGTGGTCAACACAATTGCATGGAAGATGGAACATACAACAACGGTACTGCAATCAGGACAGTGATTGGGTTAATACATCCCACTGTCTTAAGTTAGTTATCCATACATCAACCTCAGCAGCTATACTTACTCATATCATTCGGTATACCATGAGTGTTCATCGAGGCACCTTGACTGACAAGATTTGAACTTGCCTGGCCGCTACAAATCCAGTATAACGGGCTGTTTAAGTTAGCTCTCTTGATGGTTTACTATGTTTAGATGTTAAGGCACATACAAGACCAAACTAAGTCACCGGTGAGTAACGTATATCTGACACCTTTCATCACGAAGTACTTACAATACCCGACATGCCACCAGGGCACATTTAAGTTCGTCCACGAACGTATCATCCCATGGCACGGGGGCACCAGTTTTTGCCAGTGATGCAGGCCTGGCTGCCTCAAGATTGCCCCCGCTTCTGATGCCAATCCATAGTATTCGCATTGCCTTGGTGATAGCTGATCCATTCGGAGGTCGCATAACTATTACAATTAGCGACTGAGGAGGATAATGCATAGACTTTCTTACCATAGCGCGTGCGGCCAGCCAGCAGCGCTATCATTGCCAAAGCCCAAAAGCATAACGGTAGCATAAAGGCAGCCCAGAAACCCACTTCCAGCTCTAGCCACTGGAGGTTTGTGAGTGATACTCCAATACTGGGGGGAAGAAGCGGGACCTACGGAGACGGGTATAACCGACAGTGCGCCTAAGTTGATTATCCTAAGATCACAGTCAGGGTGGGCGAAAGGAAGACAGCGCGAATGGCAACTGACCAGTAATATCGAGCATATATCGCCTGGATAGTGACGTTTGGATCTACCAGAACCTGTTCACCGTCTGGCAAGGTCTTCACTCGCGGCCCGAGAGACTGATACTGCTCTGCAATCAGTGGTCCGACATTGCTCTTGATAGCACCGGTTCTAGAAACATTAAGTTATATATTCCGTCCTGGAGTTGTTTCAACCTTACCCCAGCCCGATCAAGATCAACGCGGCCACAAGCCCGGGGAGACCAGCTCCGTTCTCCAGACTCACTGGGAGGGATGTGGCAAATAAAATCAATACTCCGCATGCTGATAGTCTATCGAATCTGTCAGTATATGGCCTACACTGTAGGTAAACAAAAGATCATACCCAGTTCCCAAGATGATGGTTTTGAACCGACCCAGAAAGCTGTCTGCGATGATACCCATGAGAACCGGAGATAGGTAGCACCACGTAACAAAAATATAGTTGATGCTGGTCGCTATTGTTTGACCCTAATCTGTCGTTAGCGAAATCCAAGTCCATTTCCATCGCTGTCAGACGTACCATTCCCAGTGCTCCCGGGTGCGATGCATCATCCCGGGGATTCTGAATATAATTCTCTGGAATCCATTGTCAGTAGGCCAGGTAGCCATGAGGTGGGTCTATCATACGTATTGGTGCTGATACCGAGCGATAGGTAAATCTCTCGGCCAGCTCTGCAACGGCCACTAGAAATATATCCATAGAGATGTCATCGCGGACGACTCGCAGATCTGAGCGCTCCACCACTGGCTCTACCCACGTCTCTGGCGTGGGATCTTCACCTAAGAGCGTTCGCCCTGACGAGGCTTGGCTCTCTTTTGACACGCTTTTCCAGGACTTGGACTCCATGATGGCTCACAATCCATGCGAAAGTTCGCCTCCATCTCCAGGTAAGGCTCAAATGAGTGCCAGTCGGGATATTTAAAGCTGACAGGCACACAGGCGCAGTGTGGGATTCTCCGCTATATTACCTACAGTGAGTGGGTCCTACTCTTCCACCACTGGAATGTATATGCGTGGACAGATACATAGTCTGATATGGACGCAAGGTATGTCCTCTGTCCGTTGTATCACGCCATTACCACTCCTGCTGCCCCAATGCACGGTCTATAGATATGTTTCGCACCATTCGCCTTCGCCATCGGCATCATCACTAATCCATGTGTGTAGCTAACACCGGCCGATCACACTGCAAGGGACATGTATTATGGCCGATAAAGTGGGGTGACCAGGATTCTGTAGCCCTATGGAAATGGGTTCTTTCAGGAATACCAGCAAATAGAACAACGACCATCACGCCTTAGGTGAGCGTGATGTCACGAGATGGGTAGCTTCTATCAGGGGCTGGGGGGTGTTATCCCTACGCAGGAGCTCTCACTACTGGAATGCGGACACTACTGTTCCTTTCCATCAGATCTCGGCTGATTGGGCAGTTTAGTCTCCGTACGACCTTGACTGCAAGGGTACATTCATAAAACTCCGCACGCCCATAGCCTCGCTCTAGGAATCGAGATTTTTGGATGACCTGCGCTTGACGACACATAATGATCCTATCCAGTACCTGTCGTCAAGCACTACTGGATACTGCACAGGGAGTTGGCGTATATCTTGTCTTTCATATGGGAGGTTTACGTGGCATTTCTAACCAGCATTCTCTGGCGGGATACAAAGAAGAATTTCTCACCTTGACCACAGTGTATATAACGTTATTCCTATGGACTATTGCGCAAGAATACCAACACCTAGTTATATATCAAGCGACAAGATTTCGTTGAATACTAGTTCTGCTGCTGAGATATTGAAGGAAACGGGGCCAGGGTCGGGATGCACTCATCCACGAGTGCGGCAGGAGCCTACTGTGGAATAGTATTTTACCACTTCGACCTGTCGTGTTGTTCCAAATGCACTCCCTCTGGAGAGACGATCGCCCTGACATGGGAAGGACCCTCGAAATAATTGTGGGGTAGAGTTAAGAACTGGTTGTGTCTATATGCTGCACTATCACTTGGCATGCGCAATCCCTGGGCAGCATACCACGGGGCGGCGATCATTTTCATCAGGTTTGGTCACCGTAGTAGCACAGCAGTACTATGCTCTTGCATGGATCCGAGCGACTTTGAAGAGTCACACTGCAGACAGATGAGAGAGCTTCCCAATTAAACTGACGAGTTCGTGCTGTCGTTGTGATAACGCATCGTCGCTCGTCGCTGGTCTTTTCGACCCAAAATGCTAACGGTTCGGTTCATGACCCGGCTAACGGCGACGATCACAACCGATTGGGAGATTGGAGCATTCCACGCGACGAGTGTGGCATCACCGCACATCTTTCGATGCCCAAGATGGACAGAAGCCCTCGACCCCCGTGACACGTAGATGCCCCAGGCCACCACATCGGGCCATCGAGAGCACGTGATATACTCGGCATCACGTGTGGAACCCCCGTGATTGATGCATCCTGGAACAATGATAATTCCGGGGGTTCCGATCGGTTGGGAGTGGCACCGGACTGCCTAATGCGGCACTGTCGCTGGTGCCCTCTGGCCCTCATCGAGTGGGCGACTAAACCAGGACGGAGCAGGCGGTAGTTAAGCGCTGACGTGTAAATCTAGACCCCTGACAGGTTAGCCGAAAGATATCTCCGTTCCATACTATGTCAATCAATGCGCTCGTAGTAGATAAGGGTTTGATGTGTAGTAGTAGTAGTTCGATCGGTATCAATGTCCCTGGGATTCCGAGCCGACGGAGGATGGATGAATATGGGGGATCCGTGGGGTGGATAGATGACTGGACCTGATCTTATATGATCTTGACATCATCCGGTAGCATTTGATCCATCTGGAATCTTAGTGTTCCAGTCGGTATATCCACCGGGGGTTCTGTCCCCTTGTCCGTAGGCTCCGTAGTGCTTATACTACGGTCTCTTTATACGCCTATTTACAGACATCACATTTCCCAACACAAGCTGACTTACGATCGCTAGACAAATTAATTCGATGGACTAGTACCTTCACTATCGGTTTCTTTTCAAGTTCTCCCATTCCCTTTTCCACGGGTTTCCCCATCTTCTACGACTTATTATCAGGTCGGGGGAATTCGGGCATCCTAGCAAACAGGTCGTTTGCGTCATAAAAGGGTCGGGTTCCATTTGACAGCCAATCTTTTTTTTTTTTTGGTTTTTTCTTTTGGGACGAATTCTTTGATATAGAAAGTCTTGAATGCCTGTCACGCCTTGACACTGCTTTGAAATTTCTTTCTTCCCCATTATTTCCTTTTTGTCGTATTCTTATTTATAATAATTTGCCGGTTCCTCCTAGACCGATCTTTTGGAGATTGAACGAATTTGTGATCTATCTTGGGATGTATTAAAGTATACGGACCGACCAAGTGGTAAAGGGTAACAACTGGTATTGTCAACGTACCGTCGAACAAGATTCGAGCCCCTCTCACAATAATAACAACAACAACAACTTCAACTTCAATCTTCTTCGTCGTTTCCCTCTCAACCTCTCTTCTTTCCTCTCCCTTTTTCTTATTTCTCCCTTCCCTTTTTTTTTGAATTTCTTTGGGCTCCCTCCCCGCGGCACATCCTTCCACCACCCCCAACGCATTCTTCTTTCTCTTCCCCCCCCCCCGCCACTTCGTCTCGAACGTTTGCGCCCGCCACTTCCAGCTGGAACCGTATCAACTTTCTCTTCGCCTTTTCGCCTCATCGCCCGTCGGCGTCAAACTTCCCTTCCCTCCGCTCCCCCCACCACCATTCATTCGAAACTGATCCTCCTCCCCCACACCGTTGTCGCCAATCGGAAATTATGGACGGGGTTGATATCACCAAGGCTGTGCTGAATAAAGGAAAGCAGATGGCCAGTGTGGCCGCATCGGCCGCCAATGGCAATGGCGGTAAGAAGCGCAGAAAAGGAACCGATTTGAAGCCAATCGTCACCAACGAAACAGCCGCTGATTCTACGACAGAGGGGTATGCTTTGTTTTTCCTCCCTGTTGCGATTTTCTAGTGTGATTTCGTCTTGTTGATCGATCGATTTCCATCCGGTAGGGCTCCCTCTCTCGCCATCCCGCAATCGCGATCGCCCTCCACCTCCTCCGTTGACGAGATCGAGACGACCGCCGAAGAGGAAGATTCAGAAGACTACTGCAAGGGCGGGTATCACCCGGTCACGGTCGGCGAAACGTATAACAACGGTCGCTATGTCGTCGTGCGCAAGTTGGGCTGGGGCCATTTCTCCACCGTCTGGTTGTCCCGCGATACCACCACCGGCAAACACGTCGCCCTCAAAGTCGTTCGTTCCGCGGCTCACTACACCGAAACCGCCATCGATGAGATCAAGCTCCTGAATCGCATTGTACAAGCCAAGCCGTCGCACCCGGGTCGCAAGCATGTCGTCAGTCTGCTCGACTCCTTCGAACACAAAGGTCCCAACGGGGTCCACGTATGTATGGTATTTGAGGTATTGGGTGAGAATCTACTCGGTTTGATTAAGCGATGGAATCACCGCGGCATTCCGATGCCGCTGGTCAAACAGATTACGAAACAGGTCCTCCTGGGATTGGACTATCTCCACCGCGAATGCGGTATCGTCCATACAGATCTGAAGCCGGAGAACGTATTGATCGAGATCGGCGATGTGGAACAGATTGTGAAGACATACGTGAAGGAGGAGCAGAAGAAGGACCACAAAGAGGATAACCGCAATGGCCGGCGGCGGCGCAGGACCCTAATCACGGGGAGTCAACCGTTGCCGAGCCCGCTCAACACCACCTTTGATTTCAAACACAGCTCGCACCACTCGCAGAGTAGTCTGAGTCAAATGATCAATGAGGAGTCTGGTACGTATCGAGCCCTCCAGCGTCTTTTCGCGACCGGCCTACTGACCCGCTACAGAATCCGCCCCGTCGGAGAAGTCATCCATGAAAGAAATGCTCGGCATCAAGGAGGAAGATGAGAAACAGAAACAACGAGAAAAGACTGCGTATGCTCGATGTCCCGCCACGGGCCGCGACTGGTGACTAACCTTCGCTAGTGACCTCCTCGAACGCGAAGTATCCGGCATCTCCTTGAATAAATCCTCCAAAGAAGCGAAAGACGAACCAGAATGCGATATTATCTCGGTCAAGATTGCTGATCTGGGAAATGCCTGCTGGGTCGGCCACCACTTTACGAACGACATCCAAACACGACAGTATCGCTCGCCCGAGGTCATTCTCGGGTCCAAGTGGGGTGCGAGTACGGATGTATGGAGTATGGCGTGCATGGTATGTTCGACGGAATTCCGCTCGGCGCAATGGGGTTGCGCCCCGACCGGAGGGTTTCCGCTCACAAATGTCTAGGTCTTCGAGCTCATCACGGGGGATTACCTCTTCGATCCGCAATCGGGTACGAAATACGGCAAGGACGACGATCACATTGCACAAATCATCGAACTACTAGGTCCCTTCCCCAAATCGCTCTGCCTCTCTGGCAAGTGGTCGCAGGAGATCTTTAACCGCAAGGGTGAATTGCGCAACATCCATCGACTCCGTCACTGGGCCCTACCAGATGTCCTTCGGGAGAAGTACCATTTCTCGGCAGAAGAGAGTATGCGCATCAGCGAATTCTTGTTGCCCATGCTGGAAATCCCGCCCGAGCGACGTGCCAATGCTGGTGGGATGGCATCGCATGCGTGGATGAAGGATGCGGCAGGGATGGATGCCGTCGACCTGGGCGTTCCCCCCGGCAGCCGGGGCGAAGGGATCGAAGGATGGGCATCCGAGGTGAAGCGGCGGTAGACTTGGCGACCACAGCGTGATGACTTTTCTTTGAATGGTGGCTGTTCTTGCTTGATTTACCCTGCGGGTGTATCCATTTTGGTTCGGCCGTTTCTCTGGATGTTTTATGACACCTTGACATGACGCGCATGCTCTTCGTTACCCTTTGTCTGTTCTTTTTCTACTACCATCTTTCCTTCATCTCTTTCACTACATAGAGTCTTGATATCATGTCTGCCTCTACGTCTGTCATCGTCGGGTCGGCTAGTCAATGGGGACTTGCGTTAGACATAAAGACCTTTTGACGTCAGGCCTATAGTTCAATCCTTTCGGCTGTTTAGGTAGATGATTGTGTGACAGCAACTTCATGAAAAGGGGGGATATAAAAAGGGGGGATATACTACGTGACGATCGGATATATTCGGCCCACGACCCAATGTTTGCGATGCTTATGAAATGGGGGTCTATACAGAGACGGAGTATCCACCCGTCGTACATTCATAACCAGCTCTACCCATCTACTACATCCTCCAGTTCACTTTCATCCTCCTCACTGGGCAACGCCGAAGGGAACCAACCAAACCGAGCCAAATCCACGTAAAACTCCCCCATAGCATCCGTCTCGACCGCGACTCCCTCCTCTCTCAATGCCTGTGCCTGTCGTTCCGCGCTCCCAGGTTCCCTACTCCCATTAGTACTGATCAACCCTACAAACATCCTCCATGAAAGCCAAGAGCTTCCCGGAGGTAAAGCAACAAGACAGTAGATACCGATGCGAAATCATGCCCTTCGAATTAATCACTCTCTGCCACGGCACATTCCCCGAATGATAGTATTCCTCCGGGCTCGAGGGGAGATGTTTCAAACAAATCCCCACCTGACGGGGTCGTTGCGCTGTAGACCCTTAGTACCATCCCCATATCCCAGTGATCTCGCTATGTAATTATAGAAAACATATAGAAAAGTAAACCTACGATAGCCAAGCAGCAGAGCAATATGGCCATAGGACGTCACTTTGCCCGGCGGGATTTCCTGGACCGCGGAGTAGACGGCGTTGAACCAGTGTTCGGCTTCGTCTGTGCGGGGCATTTCTTCCTGGTGCTACTTTGTATATTGGTTTGGGGAGGAGAGGAGAGCGATTGTACTGGGTGGTTTTGTTGGGTTGAAGGAGGTTTGTATGTTATGGATTTAATCATTAGGCTGCGTTGGATTGGGTGCGGGGTGCCGCTTTTAAGGGTTCCCGGAGGAAACGTTATTCTTGGTGGTCGAGTGTTGCTATGTAGCTTTCAAATAGTTGTCTCTGTTGGGTTACTGGTAATATTAGTAGTTTATCTTCTATAGTAGTGATTGTACCAGTTAGGTTGAGGTTAAACACATTTATATTCGGTGGTAAATTGGTCCTTCGGGTAGGTTTATATATTCAGGTTGACATATGCGCCATCCACCAGTAACATACAACACCTTCGACAAAAATTCATGATATCATATTTGATTTAGAGACCCTCAACTCTCAGATGTACAGTTTTCGTCTCAAGGTAGTTATCGAGACTGTGATGGATACCTTCCCGCCCAATTCCACTTGCTTTGTATCCACCAAAGGGCATATCAAACGCGCCAGTCGGACTCGTGCAGTTGATGCCCACGGTACCAGCCTCCATAGACGTCGCAAAGCGCATGGCCCGGTTCACATCTCGCGTGTAGACCGCGGCATAGAGCCCAAACTCAGATGCGTTTACCATCTTGATCACCTCGGCTTCCGTTTCGAACACGTTGATATTAACCACCGGCCCGAATATCTCCTCCTTCATGATCTGGGAGCTCTCTGGCGTATGCGTGAAGATCGTCGGCGGGATAAAGTAGCCTTTGTGGTCGGGGACATCGCCTCCTCCCAGGATGAGTTCGCCGTCTTTCTTGCCCAGCTCGATGTAGCGTTTCACAATGTTGAACTGGGTTTCATCGGCTTGCGGGCCGTGGTTTACGCAGGGCTTTGTGGGGTCACCCATCGACACGGACTGGAATGTGTTCTTGAACAGAGAGATAAATTGATCGGCGATGGAAGCGTGGACATAGATTCGAGAGTTCGCCATGCATACTTGGCCGCTGTTCCATTGGATACTGTGTGCTGACTCCTTCGCCGCCTTTTCGAGATCCGCATCTGGGAATATCACGGTAGGGGACTTGCCTCCGAGCTCGAAGATGACATTCTTCAGGTTGGAGTTGGCCGCTGCCTTTTGGATGAGACGCCCTGTGCGCCCAGAGCCTGTGAAAGTGATCACTCGAACGCTCATGTGATGTGCCAGAGCGGAGCCGGAGATGTGACCATGTCCAGACAGGACGTTGATAACGCCTGGCGGAAATCCGGCGCGTTGAATCAGGTGAGCAACTTTAGCCGACTGAGACCGAGTTAGAATCAATGACAGACCACATCCAATCCGGAGAGTGTGCTTACAGTCAAAGGCGCCTTCTCGCTACTCTTCAGGACAACAGTATTTCCGGCCGCGATCGCAGGCGCCACCTTGTTGATGAAGAAATTGACCGGGACATTCCACGGGATGATGGCCGCAACAACCCCATACGGCTGCCTCAGGGTCATATTGATGAATCCCGGCGTGTTCAGGCTCGTTTGGCCCTGGCCATCCCAGCCGCGGGAGGCGAAATACTGCAGCTTTTCTGCTGCAGCCTCCGCATCCCAGTAGTCCGAGATGGGTCGACCATGGAGATGGCCTCGAGATATGCTAGCTCCTTTTCGGATTCGAGAATGAGATCGGCGAGCTTCAACATATACGCTCCTCGGTCGTGCGGCGAGAGGCGCGACCATGCTGGGAACGCTGCCTGAGCCGCTGCGACGGCGTCATTTGTATCCTCCACCGAGGCTTCAGAAACTAAAGGAGGGACGGTTGTAAGTCCCTCGTCTTGTTCTTTGATTTTCGGCAAAACGCCGTGACAACTTACCTAAAGCGACCGTTTCCAGGGTAGCCGGTGATTTCAATGGAAAGGTTCCCGCATCGGAAGCAGGGCGAAACTGGAGGAGAAAAGTCCATCAGCTATGAGGCTATGTATACGCGGATTCAACAAGCAATCCCACCAACCTCGCCATTAATAAAGAGGCGGGTTTCAATCTCGGTCGGTGCTTCAGAAGCCATGGCTTGCAAGGGTTGTTGTTTTTCTTTTTTTTAGAAAAGTAGGAAAACCAATCTATAGAAGTAGAAAGACGGAATTCTCTGCCTGGGTATCGATCGTAAATGATATTCCCGGTTAGTAAAATATCTTCATAGTCGACAGAAAGGTCGGCATCTACACCAAAAGGGGAGAAAGAGATGCGGCGGAGATTAGATCCGATATTAATGCCGACACTAAAATCCGTTATCTCCCGGCCCAAGTGGATTCAGTACGCATATCCATATACAATCTGTGGAAACAAGTTAGCTGTCAGGGTATAGGAGATGTAGTTTCATGATAAAACAATATATCTGATCCTTGAGGTCGTAGGATTACTGCCCAGTATTTCTGTTGTTTTTTATTCATATGAAAAAGTGCCATAACAAGGGCTCAAAACCCTAACTTGATTTTCATTTTGCTCAAGGCTCAGGATGCTGTTTCGATGCCCCACTTAGACACTCCACTACAGCAAGATATGTTTAACAGTCTAACCTGTAGGGCCATGGATGCGACCGATGAAATGGGGTTTGAACGGCACTTGTGATGCAGAGAGCCCTTCTAGACTGTCTTTCGTGATGGCAGAAATGGGCGATATTTATAATGGAGAGTCGTCCTTGGCTATTGACGATCACGCAGTAGCTTGCTTCCTGAAAGTGAAGAGAGCAGTCGACTTGGCTGATATCATGAGAAGGGATGGGATGCTACAAAGGGTCTTCTTTGGTCTGGAGATTGATATCCCTTGGCGTGAGACACTGCTTTTGGAATCGACTAGGACACCGACTAGAAAGCTTGGAAGGTAGCCATGGGGATGAGCGGAAAGATTGGATGAAAATAGAGATTTAAGCAGTGGAAGCATTTATGGAAACACTGTCTCATTCTAGCATCATTGGTGATGATGATGATGCTGGAAGTCCGTCGCAAACGCATGCAACCGGCAAATCCTACAGCTGCGTCTGTAAGTTACGATTTTCTGCGATTAGGCCTCAACTGGGTGGCTAGCCAGCCGTGATAAGGAATAAGCTTGAATTACTCTGGGTATTAAATTAATTGAAGTTCACTGCAAAAAGTTCCTTCAACTGGTCCATTGTGATAGGGTCCCATGGAGGGGGGGGGGGGGTTACATGGACTAGTGGGACGCGTCGCAGCTTGGAGATGGGAGTCGTCCCATGCAAACATTAGAAATCAGACGCTACACGCTTCAAAAAGAATGAGTTGTATCTTCACACTGGTGGTACGGAAAGTTTGTCGATTTCCGTCATGGCAGTTCAGAGGCTTAGACGTGACAAAGGAACCGAGTAATGGGACCAAATGGACACGCGACAGCTCTTAAATCATTTGACCAGCTGTCTAGCATATACCCAAATCTGATGCCGCCTTGGCTGCCTGATGGCTAACTAGTAAGAAGGAATTAGGAGAACAGCAGGTTTGGAGAAGGAAGAAGCAAGAATTCCGAGGGTAAAACAGTCCGATGCTCTTAAACGGTGATTTCAACCGAGGTTCAGTACGCTGGGGCTGTAGTTCCAATGCAGGTTGGTCTTACCAAAATCCCGACCTATGGACGACTCTGGCTATAGGTTGGTTAGAATCCACACCCGACTTGGCGGATTCCAGTGCCCAAAACAGTTTAGTGCCTCATCAGTGATCATTAGCACGTCCCGTTGTTGAATACTGTTGTTGTTAAGGCCCTAACGCCGTCCTATCCTGCACTGAAACGATCTAGCCTGATAATGTACATATTGTCCAATGACCTACTCTACGGAGGGGGCCAGATGAACCTTCTGGAATCCAAACGACCGAAACTTCCGAGGACATCTGCAAGTGGCGGGAATACAAGGGTCTTGGCGGGTACTGCTTCTCGATTTGGAAGATGATTCCAAAGCGTTGATGAGGAATCAGATCCTACAGTGTGGGGTTGAATCTGTCAGTCCAAGAGGGATACCGAGTCACCTGGGGCTAACTTATTGGGCTTTCTTTTGGCCCCGTAGAGTTTTTTGAAGTTTGTGTTCGTCCCAACAATTTGACATGACGATGGAAGATCTGAGCTAACTCTACCATCTTCCGAACCTGTATGTCAATCATTATTTTCCGTAATCTCCTTCGTGATTGTTACTTGTCACAATATCGGCTTTCACTCACGCCAGTTCATTTCTCTCAAGCTAACAGACTACATAATCTTTTAAGAGAGTGAAGCATCGATTTTCTAACAGTATCACTGGTGGGGCTCCTAGGCATGGTGTACAGGGCGTGCACCATGAGTATTTACACGCAGGCTCAGCAGCTCAGGGCGAGAATAGTGGCCAACCACGTCGATCCATTGCTTCGCCTTAAGGTGTTCGTCAAGGTCCACATTTGCATAGAGGATCCCTTCTTCTCCTGGGGGTAAAGGGTTGCACAAGGGGGCCCCATCGGCCCCATAGATCATGCTGAAGCCTCCGCCGGGTAATTGGGGATGACTCCACCCAGTAATACCGTTTCTCTCTGCATTTGTCTCCGACATCACTTGCGTGCAGACCAGTACCACACAGGCTCCTTCAAAGGCCACAACCTGTGAAAGTCGCTGGTTCATCGTTGCACTGCACTGGTAGAATGGTTTATCATCCGTTGAGTCTTTCGCATCCCACATTGCAGGCCAGCTCGCGACATGGATCTCCGCATTCTGCTCATATTCGTAGTAGCGTAGCAGCGGCTGCGTGTGCTCCCAGCAGTTCAGGGCTCCTATGCGGCCAAACTCCGTCGGGACGACGGTCTGGAGTGACTCGCCCTGGCCGGTTCCCCAATATGCACGCTCAATGTGAGTGGGTTTGATCTTGCGGCGATTCAGGACGATCTCCCCCGTTGGGTCAATAAACGCCTGCTACCAGTCAGTCTCTTACTCGGCTGTCTGGTGCGGATGCCCTTGTACCTGGGATATATACATAGAGCCATGGTGCCTCTCACTGTAGCCAAGCACTACAAACATGCCGGCCTGTTTCACCGCGGCGCGGATCCTTCGCATCTGTGGCGAGTCCACTGGCATAGAGTTCTGCAAATATTTGACGAAGAAGTCACTATTTGACGCTGGTGGGTTGAGGAACATACACCTTTCGCTCGTTAGCGAAAAAAAAAGGGCCAAAGAGCAACCATTGTAAAGGGGACATCAAACATACCACGGATAACCTGGGATGAAGACCTCAGGAAATCCAAGCACTTGGGTATTGTTCTTGGATGCTTCCTCAATGATGGTAATCACTTTGTTTACTCCTGCTTCCAGGTCATTCCACGCTGGCTCCGCTTGCACGCAGCCGACACGAACTGTCTTGCCCATAGTGATCTAATTGTCGATTCCAGGACGGTATATGAAGGGCTCAACCGAATAGGATCCTGTTGGAAACCTGCGACTCAAGTGTTCCTTGTGTACTGTGAAATATACGGGTTGTGGAATACTGAGCTATATAGAAGCCCAAGTGTGGCTGGCGGATGCCCATTAGCTGGCTGCGGAGCCTCGGCACTTCTGTACCCAGGTATTCCCCCAACCGTTGGACAGGGTGGAGTCAACAGACACCCCAAGTAGGGTGTGACAAGGAAGAATGACCTCGCGGCAAAGACGGATGGCAGTTGAGATGAAAGGCCGCCGTTTCATCCTTCGTTCTTGGGAGTAGTCACTTTCATGGTAGTCAGTAGCGGACAGTTGGGCCATACTACCGTGTAAAGCGGGCAAATAACTTTTCTAAGCCCCGTACCAGCGTTGAAATCTTGAAAGGGCAAATCAAGGTTAGTATTTGCTGCCTGAAGAGGTCATCATACTAAGGAGGACATACGAAAGCACCTTGGAGAGAGCTCCGATCTTGGCGGGTTCTAGCTCCAAACACGGCTTAGTGCATGACATCAACGGAATACCTGCCATGAATCCAAGATCCATGTTTTACAGTCAAGCTTTTCCATGCATTTCGTTCAGGAGGCCCTCGCCACAAATCATTACTGCCCCGTGGTCAGTGCTAAAAGACACTAGAGATACTGCCAAGGACCTGCACTCCTACACCCGTATCAGTTATCCTCATAACCAACTCTATCTTGCCTCTGGAAATGGAACCCCCCGGGCCGAAAATACATCTTGCGTTAGTTTTGGTGGGCAAGACCTCCACGTTCATCCAGAGGAGGAGATCAAGGCGACAATCAAAGCCCTCCAAGGATTGGTTTCCATAGATATTCAAACACTAGTAAGCTTTGCATGGTATCACGCAGGCCCACCATAACAATTGCAGATTTTCTACAACTCGTCAAAAGATGAATCCCTAGGGGGGGCGTGGTATGGTTCCTTCTTTGGGCATTGGGCTGGCAGAGCTTTATAGACGGTGCAATGGAAGAAGGCGCTCGGAAATACAACCAAAGACCCTTTGAATCCCAGTTACCGGATGTCATCTTCCAAAATGGGAGGGAATTCCTGAAAACCAGTAGAAGGCTGGAGGGGGACGTCGTATAGATCGACTGTCATGGTTTGGAGAACAGTTGAATAATTCTCCCGTTCTGTGGGTTGGTTCCTGCTTCCCCCAACGCGGAACACAGTCCTACCACTCCACGGTCAAGAACACTCCCTAGTCCAGCCGGGCCACGCCTACGGCCGCTAGGAGCCTCCGTACACGCCGACAAGTCCCATGGGTAGTTGGACAATAAGAACTCCATTCTGCCCGAGCTGAAGATTTTCTGCAGGATAATAGTGGCTCACATCTTAGGATTATTGGGATTTTTGTTCTGACATGCTTGCTGAGATGATGTAGAATGTATTTATGTACCTCTCGTGCTCCTTTCTCCATTAGCCAGTGGCATTCGGTTATTTTCTCCTCCATGGCTTGAAGCTGAATGTTGATTACTTGGCTGCCGGTTCCAGTCCGAGGTTTCACACGTCCATACTCCATATACCATCTAGTTACAAGTCGTAAATGAATAAACTAATCAGCCCCACTCGGCATCCCACATAGCGTCCATAGCCCAACGATCATCAATCGGCGGTTCAGTGACCTCATATGCTCCCTGACGCTCCTTCGGGGTTTTGCGAAGGATGACTAGTCTCCAAGTGTAGAGATTTGCCACGTCTTGGCGGCCTGAGTAACCAGAAGCGGCAAGCTTCTATCCAACGGATGCACCGCGATGGCGAGTAGGATCGGAATTCTACTAGTATATAAGACGGTGGGCTCGTCTCTCTGTCAATGTTGATGAGAGCCAGAGTTCCTGCATTATTTTTCCTTTCAGTTTCTTTCATCTCGTGTCCTCAGCCCCCGCCATGAAGCTTCTGCCCGTGTATCCTTTGGCCTTGACCGCTGCGCTGGTGGCTGCCTCTCCAGCAGCCGTCAACAACAGTGACTCGGGGGCTGCTGCGTCGGCCATCCACTTCGGGATCACACATATCATCAATGCCGCGTCCGTCTTTGATATCAACGGGGTGACGTTCCTCATTGATCCCTTCTTTTCGCCCCAGAACACTAGCTTTCCTGTCCCGGGCCTCAGCAAAGCGATCTGGTCATTGCTGGAGCCGGCTCTGACGCCCGAACAAATCCCTCCGATTGACGCCGTGCTGCTCAGCCATGAAGACCATCCTGATAATCTCGACCCCATTGCCCGGATGCGGTTCCTTGACGGTCGCAAGGTTCTCACGACGCCGGCGGGAACGGAGGCGCTCCAACCTCGACCCGGAGTGCAGGCCATGGAGAACTGGAAGACGGTCAGCTTGGAATTGAATGGACAGGTCTGGAACTTCACCGGCACCCCATGCCAGCACATGCCCGGCGGGCAGGTGACCGGCTTTATTATTACCGGCCCTGGGTTTGGAAGCACCGACGGCCGTCCCAATGCCATCTGGTACTCCGGTGACACCCTGTACCTTCCGGAATTGGCACAAATGCGCGAACAATTTCACATTAAAGTGGCCGTCTTGAATATGGGCGCTGCCTATTTGATCTCGGATGTCGGCGAGCCGTACCGGATTATCATGAACGGAACCGAAGTTGCGCGCACCTTCCAAGACGTCGGAGCTGAGATCCTGGTCCCACTGCATTATGACTCTTTCAGCCACTTCCCCGAGGGCAAAGACGATGCCCGGCGGGACTTTGAATCGGCCGGGGTTGCGGACAAGGTTCACTGGGTTACGTCCGGCCAGCGGACAACGATCCTCTAGCATCCCATCCCCAAAGCCATTGGGAACTGATGTGGATGGGATCGGGGGTTCCGTTAGATGAAGAAGCGGGGCTAGCGGAAGGTCAAGCATTGGAGCCGCTATGGAACGAACAGAGCTGGAGTTCGATGTTCGTCAGTCGGTCTCCGCCCACCGTTTCGTGGTTGACTTCATCTCATCCGCCGGTCGAACGACTTTTAGCGCCTTTCGGGTTGTTGCGTGAAGGAATGGGGCTATGAAAGGGAACTTCCATGTATTTGTTAAGTTTTACTTGTACCAACACACGAATATCGTCCTCTGTACCATATGACGTGAGACTCCAACTCAACGGCCCCATAGTCGTAGCACGAGAGTACTGGGAAGTAAAATCTCGATCCGTCCATGAGAGAGAGCTTAAAACCCTCGACGGGGGATGATCAGCGGTGGGTCCTGTCGACCCTTTCGTATAGTATTTGAGTTGGAACTGTGGACGCCCCGAATCCGCGCGTCCCGAAATTGCGCTTCTTCTAGTGCGAACCCCCCCCCCTCTTCTCTTTGCACTTGGCCAAACTACACCGTGAACCCTATCCAAGTGTTGTGGTTGAACAGTGTCCTTTCCTACCGGACAATGAAATTCAAAAGCCAGTCGGTTTGTCAAAATTGCCGGGATCGTAAAATCGGAGTACGTTACGTTTCCCCATCGTGTTTTCTTTCTTTTTGTTTTTCTTTTTCTTTTTCTTTTTTTTTTTGTTTGGGTTTCTCCACCCACACCAAGCCGGGTACATGGACGCTGGTGATAGTGAACTAACCAAACCGACTAGTGTGATGGGAAACGCCCTGCTTGTACGCAGTGCCTGCATTTTCGAGAATCATGCCCAGGTTATCGGCAACCGGTCATTTTTGTGAACCAGGCCCCTGGCGCCACCCGCAACAACACCTATCTACAAGAGCATCCACGCGGCAACCGGCTGGCTCCGGGGGGAGTGGGCAGCGCGACGGGAAATGTTTTGCAGAATTTCACCAAATTCAGATGGTCGACAGCGGAAGAGTTGCTGGCGGTGGCCATTGACCATTTCATCCCCGGGCCCAAGGTGCCGGTGTTGCTCTCGGAGCTGTATACATCTCAATCGCTGGTCTGCGCTTCCTGGTTGGACGCGCTTCCCCGTTTGATTAATCAAGAACGATACGGATCTCTTCTCCTACAGACGGTGAGAACCCTAGGTCTTTCGATTCTCTGTAAAGGACAGGCAAAACCAGAGTGTGACTCCCAGCGTCTCCGATCCTACTGTTCTGCGATCCATCAGCTGCGAAGCCGAGCGCTTCTCAGTGATGATCACAGTCGCGAGCAGACCGTCGCAGCAATTATGTCCTTGACACTTGCAGAGGTACGCCGAGAGCAAACGCGAAGTCAGCCGGCTACCGTGTATTCACTAATGACATTGGCCTTTTCGTTCCCCAGCTGGTGATGCCAACTTCCCAGAAAGGCTGGAAAGTTCATGTCAGGGCAGTGGGTGAAATAATGCGAACCATTGGTCCCGATCAGTTTGTTGTCTCGACTGCCCACCGACTATTTGTTGGCTTCCGTCCTATTATTGTATGTAGAAACAGAAAGGCCCCAAGACTGTGGGACAGCAAGATAACACTGTTGCAGCTGATTGAAGCCATCCTCTCGCACACACCGACCTTTTTGGAGCGCAATGAGTGGCAAAGTGTTCCGTTTCAGAAGCACTTCCCATCTCCGATGCAACGGCTGTTAAGCTGCGCGGCTATTCTTCCGTCATTACTGCAGCGAGCCGACTCAGTAAAACACACCCCCCCACAGAATGGTGTCGCCGAAAGACGGGAAGTCGCACTGGCACTGACTAAATTACTCGAGGCTCTTCAAGAATGGGAACTGTCATATAAGAACTCTTGTCCAGAACCTCTGTACTGGCCCAAGCCCAAGGGTGCACACGCGGACGACACCTCCATACCATTGTCATGCTGGTTTCCTAATGCCCTCACGGCCACCGCTCTCATTCATTCCTGGGCCTTTCAGATTATTTGTCATGCGCAGATCGACCAACTGGAAGAATTGAACAGGGTCCCTCGAGGCTGTCGAGACCGCGACGACGGTTCCACCTTTCAAATCTCGGAGGGACCCGTTGACTTGTCCATCAGGATTTGCCAAAGTATGGACTACTTCTTGGACGACCAGATGAGGATATATGGCCCTGCCGCGGCTATATTTCCCTTTCAGGTTGCGTACGAGACCTTGCTTTTGTATTTACGCCCGCATTCCAACCAGATGAAAGTGTACGAAGCCATAATTGTTCGCTTCTCGCAAAAGGGGTTCGATGTCAAGTCGCCTGCATCCACGGTCCGTTCGACGAAATAACAGCCACAGGAACCCTTGGACAGAGACAGAGACTAACTTCCCTTAGTGATTCCCAGCTGGTGACATACTATTAGCGACACATTCTTACATTCTGCTGTCACGAGCCTACCCTTTCCCAATGATCATGAAGCATAGATGGAGGGACATCACACCTGGTCAATGTGTGTACGGGTGGGTTTAGACCCTTGGTGAGACAAATTAGTGACAGGCTGAGCGTTGGCGCCATCTTTAGTTTGCGTTGCCTTAAGTGTACAGCAGAGAATGCTAACGTGTGATGGTCATACCATGCGAAGTGGATAGACATGGCCATCGGACTAGTTACCCTCGCGAATCCCCACCTGCTGCGGTCATACGGTATTGCTATGGTGGCTCTTAACCCTCGGGAGCGCAGAAGCTGAGTCCTTCTCAGAGCATATGTCCGGCCATCTGTATTTCCACTTGCTTGTCCGCGGCAGTGGTGGCCCTTGCCACAATGAAATTGTTCCTGCTGGTACGCAGTGCGGGTAACAGTGACTGCGACTATGCCGTATCACGCTGGATAGAGAGGGGGCCAGAAGAGTATAACAAAAGCCCTATGCCCGAGTCCAATATTAACCGGCCTACAACTTCTATCTTCCACATCTAAGAGCTACTTCCTATATTATTTTATATCTCTATAATAACAATCCCTATCCGTAAATAACGAAAATATATCAAAAATAAATATTAAATCTACAGAAAGGCCGCAGAACTATTCTATACTAGGTTCCGCGAGTAAATCTATTTAGAGTGGCATAACCTAGCGGTTAGGTATAACTGACCCTATTAACCTAACCTAACCTGGCCAAACGCCAGTCTCGAAGAGAACTAGTTCTAAAAATATCTTGCAGAATATTTATAGAGCAGAAAATTTTATCTTATTTAATCGGTGCGATGAGTAAATTAAAAAGTGTTAGTATATATTTCGGAAAATCGGCGCCGGTGGTCCGAGGTCTGGGGGGGTAATAGGGTCACCTGTAGTCACGAGTGGGTTCAACCTAACTGGATCCAGACTAGAAGAGCGAAACGCTGGGCAACTCTAACTTTTACTGCATCTCGAGTCTGGATCTTGGTCGATATTGATTGGAGGATAAGTAAGTTTAAATGGGGGGTGCTTGGTATTTTTTGCCTTTTTGTTAAAGCCACTGCTTCTCTTCCGCATGGACCTTCTCCTATACTAGTATATCTACGACACAAGAGTATGTGGCTGTCAAGCTGACTCTGTAACCTACTGGAGCTGCGGGTGAACTAAATGGTTAGTCGAATACGAACAGCGAGGAATGAATCTCATCGCGTAAAAAGACACTAGACCCAAGAGGGCAGCCATCTGCAAATGCCCCCCGCAAAATTTCTCCGGTTCCAACTCACAAGCACCTTTTTCCCTTTTCTTTTTCGTGCTGTGTTGGCAGCCCATGATCTGGCCACCCCTATACTCATCGCCCAGACCATGGACATTGTACAGTTCACTGCTACTGCCACACCCTCTCCCTGACTGCGTCCCGCACAATTATGTCGACCGACAGCTCGTCTAGCCCGTCAAATTGGGTTACGGGTAGTTACACGGGTAACAGCGATGGCCTTCGCATTACGATCACCACCTTCGTGGTGATCGCCTGGTATAACTCCATTGAGTTAATGGTGCTCATCTTCTCGATCTTCAAGCAGTATAAAGGGATTTACTTTTGGAGTTTGCTGATTTCGACCGCGGGGATCCTCCCCTACTCGATCGGCTTTTTCATGAAATTTTTCGATCTGACGTCAGCCATCTGGGTCTCCTTGACGCTTGTCACCGTTGGGTGGTGGACCATGGTGACCGGGCAGTCATTCGTACTTTACTCAAGGCTACATCTGGTCGTTCAAAATACAAGGGTGTTGAATTTCGTCTGTGGCATGATCATTGCCAACATCTTTCTCCTCCATGTCCCGACCACCGTACTGACCTATGCCGCCAATTACATGCAGTCCTACAGGTACCTGCATGCGTATAATATCATGGAGAGAGTCCAAGTGGCGGGGTTCTGCGCCCAAGAACTCATCATCTCGGGTATCTACATATGGGAAACGACCCGCATGCTGAAATTGAACCCCAACCGAGACAACCGTAACATCATCTTGCAGTTATTCATGATGAACCTGGTCTGCATCCTGATGGACATTGCTCTGATCGCAGTAGAATGCGCGAACTACTACATATACCAGACCACGCTGAAAGCGACTGTGTACAGTATTAAGCTCAAGATCGAATACGGAGTCTTGAACAAGTTGATCTACATTGCGAAGCAATCTGCGGGAAGGCCAGCAGAAGATCCCTATATTGAATTGAGCCGACTCAGCCCCAATGCCAACTCCGATACTACGCGCACAACAACGCAATCTAAGCCGCATCGCTCCAGCATAGAAGATATCAGCTTCCGCCTACGTTCACTTGTAGCGTCACCGCACTGCCGCCAAGACCGGTGAAGATATCCTCAACCGGCGCAGGCCAACAGCAAACCCCTTTTGATGGCCCACTGTGAGGCTTCTTCTACCTCTACGCCATCCAGTATTACGACCTGCTCTAATTGCATTAGTCCGATATGATTCCCCTGCGCGCAGTCGCTAGATTCCCTTCTCCTGCGCTTACGTCAGGGACTAAGCTTTCTGTGGGGGCTTTTTCGGTATACGGGGTCTGGCTGGCCCTCTGTGCTCTTTGGGTCTCCTTCATCTAGAACATGCTGCTCTGCTGTGTACGATGTTTGCTCCCGTATAATCACAAGCTATCCGTATCTTGAGCGCGACCCGATCCAGGACCTAATCCTTCACGATTACGGCAGCCGTCGCTCCCTTGGACAAAAATAAGCGGTATGCTAATTACGTCAAATCGCAATTACCCCCCCACCTTCTATTTCCCTGGCTACATCCGCACCAATGCCGGCACAGGCCTATTTTCACTCAACGCTTATTCACCCGCGCGTGATTGGGCCGGTTTCCCAATTTCTTTTCGACGTTTGGGCTAAGCATGATCCTTGCCAGCATGCCGAGCCTATCTAGGCCACCCTGCCGGTGATATCGGAGCCGCTATGGTTAAATGTACCTTCATATGTGGATAGGCTGCGCTGGGTGTGGTGGATGGCTCTCCCGTTTGAGGTCCTCGTTTGATCGATCTAGAAGAAAAGGGAGATGAACACGAAGCCCGAGAAGTGGTGACAAGTCGTGGAGAGGTACTGGTTGCCGAAGAGAACCCTGTCCCTTGCTCGAAAGGTGATGCGAGGTCGGTCGATGGAGACACTGCTAGCCATACCTCCATGCAGTGTGCAGATGGGAACGTCAAGTAAGTGCTTGCTGTTGATTTTGCGATATTTCCACATTCTGTGTACTACTCACTTTTATCCTTCCCACGCCGGTATCATACTTATTGTTTCTATCTTAGTGTCAATAGAATTGCACGATTTTCTCTATTCCGTACGATTTTTGCACCATTCCCGAAAAATGCATACACCTCAAGAGGAGATCTTGTTTCTAAAGGAGATTAATCCTATTCAAGATCATGGATAACGTATTTAGTAGACGAGCCAATCAGCCCTTCTGATTCCAGCCCGTCATATCGCTTGCAGCAAATAAAACAAGGCTTATTGGTACAGGAGGCTCATAGAACGCAAAAGAGATGCAGATGAAACCATACAGGCAGATGGGGCCTTCCCTGCTAAATCGGCCTCTAAGCATGCCCTGTCTAAATGTTCTGGCTGTGATATGCAGGACCATAGAATCACAAGCTACCCGAATTAATACAGTCACCCACTTTATCAAATAAAAATACGAATTTGTACTGTTTGAAGCGTCTTCCGTGTTCAAAGGGCGGTTGGGGTGTCGGCTCGGTGGTGTAGTATTTCGCTAAAGAACTACCGCGGTAGCTCACCACTTGCGATCGATTTCACCACCAGCAACCAGGTAGAAAATGAGCTGTACAGCCACATAGAAAGAACATTACGGTGTATTGAATTTATACTCTATAAATACGATATCTAGGAATTTTATTAATCCCGAAAGCTCTGTTGTAGACGGGTTTACTTGCCTCGACGATTTACAGTAGGAGGGTCTCTTCAGCAGCTTCAGGCTCTCGAGTACTAATATCTTGCGAATTAGGCATCATAGAAGGCCTGGAGGTGAGCTTCTTTCCTCTCGGCATTCCAACTACCATTGGACAACCCCCCCCAGGTACTTTCTGCTCATCTGGCCAGTGAACAACTCACCATGGATTCCAGTTTGCTACAGTATCAAACGTATTCACTATATTAAGGACGAGTATCTCTCTCGAGAGCCCCGGGAGCACGTTCAATATCGGCAACATCTCTCCCATGCACGTAATTCCTACGGGCCCACTCGAGTACTTTGGAGTAGTCCCGGCACTTGTGGATGCTATATCAGGTCAATACAGAGAAACGTTTACAAATGCTGATCTGTTGCAACTTACGTATTAAAGTCTGGGAATGGTTGCTTCCAACCCTTGGCCCATACATACGTTACCATGCCGACGTCAGGGTCGCACATGAGCTACACAATGTTAAATCAAGTGTAAGCAGCTGAACTTTTGTAAAGTTGCTTACTTTCTGACGGAGCATATCAATGCAATGATCTGGAATCCGCTTAGTACCATCTTGCGTTGGGGCTTGAATATAAACCTACCTAAGTGATATCTCAACGTCTTGCCATCCTCCCACTCGTCTATCCTCGATAGGTAATAGTCCATATTCGTTGCTTTGCGAAGCATGTTTACACAGTGCAGTTGGTGAAATACCTCTATTGTGGCTATATAGCCGCCGCCCAGCTCTTCTGTGTACTCGGCCGCATATTCGGATGCATTAATCTTGTCGAGTTGGGCTTTAGACAAGCGGACGAGGCCTCCCTCTGGGTAAATGAGCTCGTCCCATGCATCGTCGATCTCCTGGCTGGGAGGGCCACGATATTTGTTGGGGTCCCTAAGGGCACCGTTAAATCGTTGAATGGACAGCTGATCATTAAATGTGTCAAGTGCGGGCGACCATGCTGCCATTTTTCTCGTGTATGTGTCCTTTGGTTCCATGGATATGATCAGGGATGTCAGGGCACCCAGTATCAATCCAGCACCGACGCCGATCAGTATGCACCGCAAATTCCATGTTCGTAATTCTGGTCGATCATGGGTGCTCTGTTGCGTCTCTTGAAATTCATCACCATCGGCAACTCCATCCACTTGCTGGTAGTGGGATATATTCATTGTCTGTATCAAATACAACCAGAAAAGCGGATGGAGAGTTGTTGGCATTCAGAAGAGTACGCTCGTTCACCCCGAACCTATGAATGGAAAAGTATCCCTAAGTCGCTACACAGCCCTGGTTCTAACAGCTCTCCTGCATTGTTTCAATTTCATTGGATTGAGCGGCAATTCATCTTCCGGTTGTACGTTATTGGCTCGAAGATACCTTAACATCAAGATCTAGCATCCTGCATCATCCACTTAGGTCAGATACTATTCTTGGAGCTGACCACCACACCCACCTGGATACATAAGCGTGTATTGAAATCATGAGTTATGAAGTGAGACACGTAGTCTCGAGCGCTTAATTTTGCATCAGCTGTGCATTTGTAACCCAATGGCGGACTTTCTTGACGTGCTACTTTCTGAATACATGCATGCATACAGGACAAATAAGGAGGTGAAACAGCAACCAAATGTGAAGCCTGATCATAATTGGTTATCCATGAGTATCGTAATGTGCGGTCAATTTTTTTAGGCCGAAATTAGGCAAGTGGTGGAACAATAAGCATGCCTCTAGCGTGCGGGATTTAACCCTCTCCACAGAGCTAATCCTGCCTCTCACTCGACTGAATTAGCATACATACACAAAATTACTCTAGATCTGCGCAATGCCCCGTCGGCCAACACGCGGAATGACGTTGAGCCCAGTTTTCCAAAGCATTCCAATCCCGACACGGCCGGTGTTGCCCATCACCGGTTAGTCTCGACCGGTAAGGGATATAGATTGGGGTATCATCTGCCCTGCATTGGATAGCTTGACGCAAAGCGTCATAGCAGTGGTTGATGTGAGCAGCTTTGTCATCCACCGACTTCCCTGATAATAAGGCTTGGATTGTCTCGCGTAGATAAATCTTTCGTACCGTTAGTATTGTTCTGCTGCAGCCCTAGCCACGTAGCACTCACCACACAGTGCATTTCATGAAACGCTTCCAACACGTACACACCCTTGCTTGGGTCATCAGGAAAATCTTCCGCGAGGGGGAGTCCGAAGTCGGCCGCCTCGTGGTGCGGGATAGCCACGAAGCCATTGGTAGTGAATTTTGCCCAGGCCACGTCGGAGATAGTCTGATTCACATCGCTATATTCAGTGTAGGTGCGGAATTGCTTCCATGTTTCCCCACGCGCGTAGATCCCCGCTATATTCTGCATAAGCCCCAATACACCTGCGAGGGCCGTTTGCTTACTGACTAAAGCCTTGATGGTGTGCCGCTAGTTTCAGTACCTGGTTCTGCTTGTAGAGCACCATGTTGCATATGACAGACATCACCAGCAGAATCAATAGTATCCCCATCTGCTGGCAGTACGACCCGGCTCTTCGACTGCTCCCCGGGGTGACCAATCTTTCTCCCTCCTCTTCCATGTAGTGGAGGTCGAATCGGTGGTTGCTGCTATTATCTTGGGATATTCTGTCCGGTGAACAGGCCATAATCAAGAGATTCCAAGGCTTTGACACCACAAATCAAACTCGATAGAGGAGGAACGAGCAAGGTATGGGGTTGGTGGCAAATCAACCAGAATAACCCCTGCCATTATCAGTAGAGCTATTGTGGAACCCTTTTTCTCTCTGTCGATCATCTGCCTCGACTACGTAGTACAGCACCACTACTATTTTTGGTTTGTGTGTTTGACCTTCTCTTTCTCAAGACACGAGGCTGATTCGCATGAGTCAAGGCCGGCTATCGGTCCCTTAACATAAGTTGATCGACAACAAGCCCACCTACCGGAATCCCGTTTTATTTGTTGGGTTAACTGTCACTCATTATTTGGAATCATTTGGCAAAGACTAACGCGATGTAGTCGCCCGTGCATACGCCCCTGAGCACCCTTGTCCACTACTAGTACCGCCATCAGTACGATCCGGGGTCGAGCTGCTAGCAAACTTCCACAAGCTGACTCCAACGGGAATGACATGCAGTGCCCCTGGCTGGTAGTCTTACGTCCATGAATCGGTTCATTCATGCTACTAAGTTTGGTCCGCACCCCAACAACACTCGATAAAGTCCTTTCCCAATATGTTGGTGAAAAGTGGCGTGTGCCAGGCGGCTCAAAAGGTCGGCAGGTAATGCTCCAGCTAGAATATAAATATTCAGATAGCCATGAAGATGTTCAAACTACCTATAGAGCCGGAGACTCCGAATCGCATATCCTCACCAATTCACTATCGCTCCTGTATGCCAAACCAAACACGATGAAGAGCAGTCTCGTCTGGTCTATGACCCTTATCTTGTGCGGCACCACTGTCTTGGCACGTGAGTCGGATACTCAAAAGGCTAAATATAATGAACTCGACTGATTTATCCACCAGAACCGGTTGCCTCACGCGTTGAATCTATGGTCTGGGGTACCCATGTTGGCAAACGCTGCAAACGAAGCGATGAAATAGCCGACGGCACTCAAATTGCAGAAGGCTGGAAGCGTAACGATGAAATCGAAGACGGCACTCAAATCGCAAAGGGTTGGTAGAATGTGACGGGTGGACAAAAAAGGTTTTTCTAGATGTGGAATGGATATATCAACAGCAGAGGGGAGCTTTGCGCATTTACCTGTGGTCTATCAGTAAAATATGCAATTCAAGCTTCTATCAGGCTATCTGGGCTCGAATACTGCGGCGCATTCCCTGGTGGACCATCATATCATTCTATTCGCAATGTGATTCTTTGCTGCGCCCATGACCTACCAACCTATTAATTGAATCCCATCATCATCATTCTCACAGTGATCAAAATGATCTACCAGTCGCACTGGATGGTCGCTGTCCGCGTAGCAGGCGGTGTTCTCCTTCGCCCATTTCTTCCGACTGTTCCAGTCAATACATTTCCGCAGTTGTCGGTCCCCTGTAACATTGCGTCCCCATGTATAGAGTAGCGTATCTCCCGAGTTCCCGCACACAATGTACTGCAAGAGGCTGTCGAAGCAGTGCCGTGAGTGTCCGATTGGTATCTTAGGAGTTTCGCCCTTGGCCAACTGGGTGAACGTTCTGCGGATGACCGTCAGGCAGTGGACTTGATGATATCTGTCGCCATATCATTAGAACCAGTGACCTCAAGTGTAGGCAAATAGACATACGCATCAATAATGTAGACACCCTTAGAGTGATCCGAGAATAGGCTCATGCTTGCGGGCAAGTTATGCTGTGTGGCCCATTCATGCGGAACCGCAACGATTCCGTGAGCAGGCACAATTTTGTCCCAGGCTGCATTGGCGATTTCTTCCCCCTCGAAATCACCAGAGCTGTAGACCTCGCTATGCCATTGGAACTGTACCCAGCGGGTGTCGTCGGATGTGAGACCTTTTAGGGGATAAGCTGTATGCTTCATTCTATGCTGCAGGGGTGTGTTGTCTTACGATACTCCTGAGATTTGACAAGCCCTCGCCAGTTTAAAGGGTCCTGTGCACGTTCGAGCAGCAGAGTTCCGGATAGAATGCAGAGTCCGGTGATGAGTATCTCTCTCCAGAGTCCCACGATTTGCGAAACGTAGCGGCGGAATTGGGTGTTTCCTTGCGCTGGGGCATCCTCTGGTGGGAGGTACCGGTACCTCGGCGATAAACAGTGTTTGAACATGGCTTCTTGTGAGGTTTGCGTTCCCCAAGTCACATTCCAACTTATGCGATATCTAAACGGGACATCATAGATGGTAGTGTCGGTATTACACTTGGAATTGAAGTGCCGTGGAATTTAGCCGACGGGGTATAACCGTTAGCTATAATGCTTCTCATTTCCCTGTTTCGTGCTACGATGCATATTATGGATCTTATGGGCGTTGAACTATTACTTTCGGCCCACTGGTGGATCTCGAACCGGGTATCGCTGTGGAAGAGAGACTAGACATAGCCCATTCATGCACGCCGCGTCAGGCACTTTTTCTGCCCGCCTAACTCGGGTAGCAAACGCAAATGAGACATACAGCTAAAGGCAGGGGATATGGCTTAACACGTATTTATGGTGGCGCCTGTATGATAAATATGCAGGAGATAATTAGTACCGCCGCTATTAGGTAGAGAGGATAAAAACATGCACTACTGCCGAACGGAACAAACCCACCCTATTTTCGTACTTTCCGATTCGCCGTATCCTGGTGGCTTTTCACCAAATGATATCCCCTGATGGGAAGCTGATAGATGACGTGCTAAACTGCTGCCCATCTAGCCCTCTTGACCCCATCCTCCGTATATATGACTTACGTTTTATTTGTCCCATTATGCCTTATTGTGAGTAGCCAAGAGATGCGTATTAGCTAAGCTACTCTGCCAGATACGACAATACAAAAAGTAGCAATGCATTTGTCTTAGACATAGACGTTGAACTGTGTGGCTACAAAGTCCCTAATAATGAATTGATGGCGAGGACTTAGTACTGCTCAAGCTCGTGCTCAACCCGAATCCCCGATTTTGGCCCTCCATATGATTTCACTGAACCGCGTACTTCCACAGCATAAGTATTACTCGTGCCGTCGGATCTGTGACGCTGGAAGTTAGAATTTGGACATGCTGAGTTACCCAAGGAACCAAGATCATCGAGTGCTATATCGCCAGAGAGTTGCAGCCATCGTTTCTTCAGTGAGCGCATGGACCACATTCTTCGGAGGCTGCTCAGGATAGAGCGTGCAGGAAAGGTTACATATAATGGACGCAGGCACGGCAGACAGATGACAATGATTCCAAGTCCACATTCAATCATGGTCCAGAATAGCAGGTACGTAATTAGGGCTAGGGCGCATTAGCTGTGGAGAGGATCAAGGAAGGGAAAACTTGGGGCGGCTTACTCTCTCCGTCAGATTGAGCGAATGCGTTCACGACATATTTAATGTAGATGACCATTCTTGTTGCGGATGCTGCAGTTGCGCTGTTTATTTATTAGTAATTCTATACACCACCGTGTCAATAGGTAGATTTCTTACACAAGACCAACAAGAAACACGCCCATGATTGCCATCTTTTGCTGCATAGTCATATTCAAAGTTAGAATCTTTGCGATTGTAAGCACGCTGTTCACCTGTCTTGCAAAGAATATTCATCGACTCACCTTCGGAATAGGCATAGACCAGATCACTACATCCATAATGAAATCTGAGATCGCATAACCCTCCAGGAGTGGTAACTGAGCACTGCATTTCTCGGCAACCACGGCCACTGGTTTCCATGCATTTGCCGGGTAAATTCCACATAGAAAGACCGACCCGATGCCGAATGCTGTCGTCCAGGCCAGGATGAGAACGATAACCATCCAGGTCACGATACCGAATACTGTTCTACTCATTCGGGCACCACAGAAAAGCTTTCGGTAGAAGAAGAGAATGCTAAGCTTGATGAACCCAAAGGCGAGGATGGCGGCGATGTCAGCGAAATATTGTATCTAAGGGGGTCATTAACGCCGATAGTGACAGCCAAAAGGCACGACCAGAGCATGAATAGATATACCTGTTGGAGTCTGATCTGGCGTGGCGATGTGGAGAAGAGGTAACCATTGGGGCCGGGGACAGTTGGGGGAGGGAGGACATCCCCTAAGGATTTCGTCACGCCTCCCCATATCAGTAGAGTTGCCAGAACTAATTCGAATATCTAGTCAAGCTTCAGCGACACAGCCGAGGAGGTGTCAGTGAGAAGTATCATGCATACCAATGCCGGGATCGTCAACCAATCGTCAATCCATAGCATAGACAGTGATCCAACTTTGATCCGCGTGTAGAACCGCAAGGCGACCACGGTGATTCCTAATACAGGGAACACCGTGCTAATGACTATCACTGCCACTGGTGTAGCGTACATCCGTGCCACGTTTAGCTAAAGGGGGCAGCCAGCTATCATTTCTGTTTACGCTGCACTTCCACATACGCACTAAGCAAGACCAAAAGATCATTTAAGTATTGAAAACGAAGTGGGCCTCTACGGATGGTTATGAGGGGTTCTTGTCGTAGAATTTCGTGAGAGCAATCATTTATCCTTCCTAGGCGATCCGCAGTTTCATTTTTTTTTTTTTCAGCGGCAAGATAGCAAGCAATCTATGCATATACTAGAGATGTATATAGATGCCAGGACCCCTTGCGGTCGTGGTAGGTATTTTGGTTTCATTTCGGGCCGCTTGCGCCACTGTACAGCCTTGCATTAGGGCTTCCAGCGTTGCATCCGGTATCTGCCGCTAGTTAATTTGATACCACAGGGATACAAGAGGTGATTGCCCATCGTTAGTAACATTCTATTGCATAGGCTAGCTAGGGTCCTACTAGGTTAGGCGTAGATGCTTCTTCTTTGTGTGACTGTCTTGGCATTGAGCTTCGTGGCGCTTATCTTCTAACAATTCCCCTCCAAGCACCATTCTTTGACTACCTACAGACACCCTCATTCAGAGTTTAGAGTCAAATATTATCCGAAACCCACGCTATTTCTTGCTTTGTACCACACAGTCGCTATGACTCTGCTTCAGGTGGTCGAGACAAGCTGCATCCTTCTGGCGCTATGGACCGCCGTTGGAGCCATCCGTCGACTCTATTTTCATTCCTTATCCCACATCCCAGGCCCCCGACTGGCCGCACTCACCTGGTGGTATGAGTTCTACTACGACGCCGTCCAGCCAGGGCAGTACGTTTTTAAGATTCAAGAACTTCACAAGCAATACGGTATGGTTCTTCTTCCCGGTTTGAACTACCGCAGTACTGATTGGATGCGATCTCAGGTCCCATCATCCGCGTAACCCCGGATGAGGTTCACATCAACGACGTCGGTTACCTCGACACGATCTACGCCCCGTCCATGACCCGCCTCGACAAGTATGACTACCAGCTACGCACCTTACGTGTTCCCGGGGGCATCGGGACCACCGCCGATTACCATCTTCATAAGATCCGTCGGGAAGCGCTCACTCCCTTCTTCAGTAAGCGCAACGTCCTCTCGCTCGAAGACGTAATCACCGCCAAGGTGAACCAGTTGTGCGATTTGATCGCCAAACACGTGGCGACGGGAACTGCAATCAATCTGTCGGACGCGTTTTATGGCTTTTCCAACGAGTATGAATCTCGATCAACTAAACACCCTAGTCACGAGTACTCATTGCGAAGTGTAGTGTTGTCGCCAACTTTTTGTTTGCCCACCAAACCGACGTACTCGCAGATGAGCAGGAGGCAGCCAGACTCCGCCACAACAGTCATGAATTGCTCAAGGGAATCAACATGAACAAGCACTTCCCATGGATCCCCGATATCCTCGAAGCACTACCACAACGCCTAACCAGGCCTATCATGCCTCCTGGGCTCATTGACATGCTCGAACTCTTCGATGTAAGTCCTCCACCGTCCACCACAGACAATGTACACCACTAACAACAATCCCAGAGAGTCCGCGCGGAATTGACCACAATCATAACGGCAAAGGCATCCGGCACTTCGAGCGAGAAAAAACCGCTCAATCCAGGAGGCAAAGAATCCGTCTACGAATCTGTCCTCGACAACCCCAACCTCCCCGCATCCGAAAAAGCCCTCCTGCGCCTCGAACAAGAAGGCGCATTACTGACCCTCGCAGGAACAGAGTCCCCCGCCCAAACTCTCAATATTATCTTCTACCATCTTCTCGCCAGCCCCTCTCTCCTCGCCACACTTCGCAAAGAACTAGACACCCTGCCGACACCCTCGACCTGGACGCAACTAGAGCAGCTCCCGTACCTCTCCGCCATCATCGAAGAAGGCAACCGACTCTCCTTCGGCGTCACCGCTCGCGCCGCCCGTATCCAGCACAAGCCCATCACCTATACTCCATCCGCGTATGTGACCACACCAGGGCCCACGCGCAGGTCCTATATCCTCCCTCCTGGCACACCCGTCAGCATTACGACGTTGAGCGCGCATACTGCTGAATCGGTCTTCCCGGATCCGTATATGTTTAATCCTGAGCGCTGGCTGGGGGATGAGGGTCGCGAGCGTAGGAAGTTCCAATTAGCTTTTTCAAGAGGCGGAAGGAAGTGTTTGGGCATTGAGCTTGCGAGGGCAGAGCTGTATCTTGTTACTGCTGCGCTTGTGCGGATGTTTGATCTAGAGCTATGGGAGACGGATGAGAGGGATGTTTCTTTTGAGCACGATTATCATGTTGCGATGCCGAAGGATGGGTCGAAGGGGGTGAGGGTTGTGGCTAAGCTACGTTGAGTGGGGATGGAAGCTTATACAGAACTTAGATGTGTCAATGGATAAAGCTGAGTGGATGTATGGATGAATAGAGTGCCATGCATGACTTTGTTTCTTGGACACTGTATCCATGCATAAAACTCACAGGGTAATGGATATGCCAAGTGCTTTCCTACGAATATCTAAACTTAGTCCGAAGTATCGGGTGACAGTGGTCATGGATTTGGCACTTGGCAAAGGGTAACATTGGCTGTTTGCAATGTGAGATTTCCGGCGTTACTGCGCCTCGCTCGGACGATCATAAACCGCACTGTAGGCAAAAACAGGGATTCGCCGTAGGGCTGATGATGGATCAAACCAATGGTATGTAAATATGACTCGAGACACGGCATAATAAGTGTAGGGAGGGAGATACCCAGTCCACGAGGGCTAGCCTTGTCACGCGACGGTTTATGTGCCAAAGCACTCCCTTTAAAGGATGAATCCATATTTACCCCGGCAACTTAAATAAGTACACTACCAATGGGAGTGTAGAAGAGAGGCGGTCAATGGTAGTTCAACGTCTAATGCATATACCCTTTGTTCTCAACTATAGGGACGGGAGGCCGTTGCGCTACTGGCTCTCTTTCTTATGGCGCCATCAGGAGGTTGGCGAATGGGACCACAGGGAACTTAAATGGACACCACTTCACCGTTAATCCCAGTTGTACAGGGGGGTCGGGTCCTACCAAGAATCAGACCGCAAGACGATCCTAGGGGTGGGTGATCTAGACCCCTGGATAACGTCTCCTCTATGGGTATAATGAGTTTAGTGTGTGTAACGGTGCCGTGTCCGAGCGCAGGAGCTCTGGCATAGTACCTGAGATAATTAAAGACAGCCTTCGAGCACCGTGTCGGCAAGTCAAGACTCAGCCTAGTTGCAGGTGCGATCGAATCTTGTTGAAACCCTCCGAAAGTTATATTCTGACTTTCATACTAAACGAAGAGATGTGTGTGGATTATCAAGCTATCACGATACATAGCCAGGGCTGCAGAAACTCAGAATGTAACAAGGCCGAGCTGATCCCGGGTCCGGATTGCCCTGAAAAGCCAGCCGCAGGTCCCAGGAATGCCTGTCCTAAATATGAAGTGCGGCACAGTGGGTCTAACAGAGTAAAAGGGAAATGTCCTAAACACAGGTATGAAATACCTCGCCAATCTGGTCCAAACCGCTCTAAACTCAATTGCATTGCCAGGGAACCCCTAAATCTGCCGCGTTTTATATAACCCTTGGCTAGATGCTCGCAGCCTTCACTGATACCATCATAGCTGGAAAGCTTTCTCAAAAATGACAGTCGAGCTCTTCATATCGTCCATCCAGTGCAAGAGCTGCGCCAGGAGAAGATCAGAGGAGGGACTGGGATATCTTTCAGAATATCTGAAGTGACTTTGTACTCGCTCATCCAGCATTTCAGAATCACGGTCCTCCATGGCACAACTCTTATCTCGTCTAGTGAAGGAAACGTTTTGTTCGAATATAATTGTTGGATCTTTTCGTCTTCCAATCCCTCGTAAGGTTTGTGACCGACCAATATCTCGTAAATAGTGGAACCGAGGGCAAATATATCACTTTGCACCGTGTTCGGCGCATCTTCATCCCTCGGCAGAAAATGTGTCGCGTTCTCCATGATAATGGCATCCAGACCATGCAATGACGATCCACCAAAGTCGCATAGCCTAGCGTTGCGTCGTTTATCAACAAGGAATTGTCGAGCGGAAAGGTCGGAGTGAATAACCCCTTTCCCATGAATGAAGATGACTGCTTCAATGGCCTGTCGAACCATCCGATGTCTGAAGCGATCACTCGCACAATGGTCCCTCAAATATGACTCTAGGTCGCCATTTGCCTCATATTGAGTATCAATATAATTATCGCTGCAGTGTAGACATCGCGCGATGCGTTTGTGTCTTCCGAGGTGCCGATAGACTTGAGCTTCGATCTCGACCGCGCGGGTGCTGTAGATGTCTGACTTATCTGAGGGGATCTTTCGAACAATGCTGTTGTTGAGTCGATGGACGACAGTGAATTGCCCAATGCCTAAAATATTTTGCTGGTTCGGCTGCTTGACACTGCGGCTGAGTTGGTTATTGCAGCATATTAACCACATCTTTCAAAAATCTCTATCCAACGTCCGAAGCACAAATACGGAGATAATAGTAGAGAGACAGTTCGGCTCACATATTATGACGTCGATACGTGTGCTAGAATGGCCCCCCAAGATACTCGCAAACACGAAGCGAAGGTGTCATCCTTCGGGGAGCCCCGTATATCATGTCTTATATGCTCAATCTTAGGGGGGTTGTCTCACCTCCGAGGAAATCGAGATTACTGTCGAACTCCCCCGCATGGACTCTCTTTGTGTAACAAGAATAACTTTACGCGTGGTACAGTGCTCGACCGGATATCACAGAAAGAGAGGCATGGCTCCACAGGGATAGCTTTCATGTAGAGCATCGCTGTCCGGCCAAGTATCATTTGTCCTCACCGCCACCAAACGTAAGTGAAGCTGAGCTCCAACCAGTAGCCCCTTACTTGCCGTGGCGCATGGGTACATTACTTCCGTGCAGGCCGGCGCGGCAGAAGAGAATGACAGGACAATCTAGGTTTTGCCTACCATTACATCGAGCTTATATCATATACAGTTTAGGTAGCCAAGCCCGTGAAGGCCGTGGATAGCCTAGAACCAAGTACTACGAGTGGGTTACCCACCTGTCTGCATATGTTGTCAGCTTACGGAGTACTTCTTCCGTAAGCTTTATATCTAATCAGAAGTAGATATTTTGTCGCTTTTTTCTTGGAAATGGTACTGGGTTATTACTCTCCGTTCGTTCTGTACTAGACGTCGTGCTAGTCCAGGAGTTTTACATCAATAGGTGAAATCGTGCATGACAGCAATAATGAGAAGGACTTGAGGTTGTATTTTTACACATTAAGCATGCCCAAGGGTTGCTTATGGGAATAGACCGGGGTATGGCATGACAGAATCTAGAAATCCCATTAGCCCATAGATCTTGCCAATAGAAGGAGGTCATCTGGACGGCACTATCAATTGTACAACAGTTATATATATCAAGGTTATCCCGTGTGGGCACAATTCGTCGTTACTCTGGGGTTGCCAACCATCTGTCAAGCATTGCTGCTAGCTATTCTTGTGGGTCCTCGCATTGGAGGCCCGATCCGTCTACAACTTATAAAACGAACACGAAAACTAATTTCTCCAGTAATCTGGGAATTCTACGAGAAAACATTGAGCCAACATCATCGGCGTAGGGCTAATGGAACAGGAACGTTGAGTTTCCGGAGCGCGATCCCAAAAAAAAAAAAAATAGAAAAATAAATAAAAAGAAAAAACCGACTTGAATACCAAATCGGAAAAATCAGTTCCGGCCATTATTGGATAAATCCCCCAAGTTGTACCTCGTAAGAGAAATAAAAACCTGTTTTTGTTTTTGGGCTCGGTTGACCATTTCTACTGCGTGCCAACGGAGTATCCGAGGATCCCCACCGGCTTCATGCCAATCATGCGTGTCATGCGCGGGACCTGGCCTAGTCTAGACCCTCATTAGCTCCTCTATGTGGCGGGCCCTCAGCAAATCAACGCAGCCTAAGTCAGACCCTTGCTCGGGCTGATTCCAAGGAATTGATCGGGATGGCAGTTACCTTGCACTTCCAACGTGGTTAGTGCAGAATATTCTGGGCTCTTCCTGGCCGCGGACGGTCGATAAATCAAATAGACATGCATCGCACTCCTGCTAGCCCGGTGGCCCTCTCTTCTCCAGAGTATCGATCCCCATAACAGGACTACACAGGGCACGAAATCCCTCTATGGACTAACGATCGCTGGCATTGCCGTGCCCGGATGCGCATCCCCATTGCCGTGCAGCTAGGGCTGCTGGTCCTCCTGACGGCCCTGGTGGGTATTATCATCCTCGCCGTTGCGACAGTAAGTTGGTACTACACAAGCGGGCAAGGGAAAATCGACAAACTGACGGCACGCAATAGTGGACCACCACATACAGCTTTGTAGTCGATGTCGAGTAGGTATCAAGTCTCGCACGTGCGCTCACGACCATTAACCTCCGAACAGATCGCAAGGGCTTGAACTCGTCGCAACCATCAAGGCGAGCCAGATCGCCTCGAGCCTCGAGCTCCTCGAAGTGACCTGCAAAACCATCTCTACGCGGCTCCTGGTACAATCCGCTCTACGACGTTACTATGCCGGGAATACGTCGGACGCCAACTGGGCGACTTCCATCACCGACGTACAATCGGCCCTCGGAAGCCGGGGATACCTAAGCACATACCAGGCGATCCTCTACTCGAAGAACGGACAAGGCGATCGCAACCGATTGTTGAGCGTCACCAGTGATTCCATCCCGGAGATCACGCTTCCCTACACCTACCCCAATGGCAGCTCGGTAATGCTGGGAGACGAAGGACTTGGATACCCCTCAATCCTTTATCCGAACTTGACATATACCCAATCCTCGAACAGCGAGATTTCCACCACGGTGAACGCCTTTCCCGATTACACCCTAGGATTAACCTCGACGCTACTGTTGGGTCCCATGGCAATCAACAGCTCCTTTTCTCTCGTTTCCCTGACACTGCCCATCGTCAATAATACATCGGATACGGATATCCTGGGTTTCATGACGTAGGTGGTCAATTGTCGGGCGACGGGCAATGACAGGCAAGGCATCCATGCTAACGGGCTATAGGGTTGTTGCCAGTGCGGCCAACGTGCAAAGTGTCGTCAGCTCTCGCGACGGGCTGGGCAACACCGGGCAAGTCCTTCTTCTGGGGCCCTCGAGACCTGAGAACCGCTTTGCCGCGGAGCCTGCAACAGCCACCTCGTCCCCTGATCGGCCAGCCCTCGCCGACGCACAGGTTCACTACATCTTCGAGCCCACCCCGCTGCCGTCCCAAGACAGCCGTCACCGTGGCGTCTCCGCCGGGACCTCCTTCGAGCTTTCCAAGTACCCCATGGCACTGAAATTAATGGTCGAATCCGATGAAAACGAGAATAAATCCGTCAGCAAACTCTCTGCCAAAAATGAACAAGGGTACAACGTCGCAGTGGGCGCGGTTCGGCCCAAAACGTCACTCGTTGAATGGATTCTGTTGGTGGAGGAAACGCATTCTGAAGCCTTCGCGGCGGTGGTGCGGCTGCGCAAGATCATCCTCGCTTGTGTATTCGGGACAGCGGGGTTCATTATCTTGGTGGTGCCTCTGCTGGCGCACTGGGCTGTTGCTCCTATTCGCAGGATGCGCGAGGCCGCTCGGAAATCGATCGAGCCAGAGGTGCCGCCAACACCGTCTCCAGGCTACATGGAGCACGAGGCTGAGGGGCATGGAGATACGGTACAGACCATTGAGGAACATATGGATGAAAAGGGTACGCCTGCGTCTTGGGTGAAACGCCTCCGACGGCCATTGGAGCGATTCAACAGCTCTCACAGCTTCGGCGATCGACGGGACCCCCGGTCCTCCTTCCGGATTCCTTCGAGGGTGAAAGAGCGGAGATCCTGTGTGACGGATGAGCTCACGGAGCTCACCAGCACCTTCAATGAGATGTCGGACGAGCTGACAATCCAATACAATCGACTGGAAGAGCGTGTGGTGGAGCGGACAAAGGAACTCCAGAAGGCCAAATTGGCGGCAGAAGCAGCCAACGAGAGCAAGACCCTGTTCATCGCGAACATTTCACATGAGCTCAAGACGCCGCTCAATGGCATTTTGGGCATGTGCGCAGTATGTATGGGGGAGGAAGATCTGCATCGGATTAAGAAGTCACTTCAAGTTGTCTACAAATCGGGCGACCTCCTCCTGCACCTGCTGAATGACTTGTTGACTTTCAGCAGGAATCAGATCGAGCAGGCTATTCACCTCGAGGAAAAGGAATTTAGACTCTCGGACATCCGTTCCCAGCTGTCGATCATATTTCAAAACCAGGTACATGAGAAGCATATCGATTTCAGTGTCAACTACGTTGGTCCTGGAGATAGTCAGTCTCGGGGTACCATGTGCCAGGAACGAGGAGTTGAACTGGCACACCCGGCTGTTGGTCCACCGCAGACCGGTAGACTTAAGGACATGGTGCTCTGGGGCGACCAACATCGGATCCTGCAGGTGCTGATCAACCTGGTTGGGAATAGTCTCAAGTTTACCCCGGAGAATGGCAAGGTCGAGGTTCGCATCCGGTGTGTGGAGGAAGTCCTGAATCCCGATAGCTCCGTGACACTGGTGCAAGATTCTAAACCGTGCTCACAAGTACGTTCCTGTACTCCCTCGCCGTCGAGCACAATGCCGGTGAACGGTGCCGATCTCCTAGACAGCCAGGTGGATACACAGGCTCCTGTACCATCCGACTTGCGGACACTCATATTCCACTTTGAGGTCGAGGATAACGGACCAGGCATCCCAGCCAACATGCAAAGACGGGTCTTTGACCCCTTCATGCAGGGAGACCTAGGATTGAACCGGAAATACGGAGGAACAGGCCTTGGTTTGAGTATCTGTGCTCAATTATCTCGACTTATGAGTGGCATAATTCTGTTGGATAGTGAAGAAGGGCACGGGGCGCTGTTTACCCTGAAGATACCGTTGAAGTTTGTGAAGGAGGCGGCAGCTAGCACGCGTAGTTCCAGCGTTGTTGGCTCAAGAACCCCGAGCGTCATGTCGCTTTCATTGGAAGAGTTTTCCAACATCACTCAGACCCCGTCGAACCACAGCTCTGTGGGCAGTAAAGAAACACTCAGCACCAAGCCCGATGTCCAACCGCGGCTGGTTGGGTTAAGCCAGCCATTCTTCGCTCCTACTGTTCCCTCTCCCTCTTCCTCTCCGTCCAAGGGTCCAGAGTCCAACCAGAATGCCTCAGATACTAGTTCAAAGAAGATTCGCGTGCTAATGGCTGAGGATAATAAGATCAACCAGGAAGTGGCCCTTCGGTACGTCCCGCCTGTCCATAATTGTGCCCTTTCAGCTGCTAACCCTGCTAGGATGCTTGCCCTCGAGGCAGTCTACGATGTGACGGTAGTCAAGGATGGGCAAGAGGCATATGACACCGTCAAGGCTAACATGGAGGAGGGCAAAGTATTCGACCTCATCTTCATGGATATTCAGGTACAGCTCATTCTGCCTCTTTTCTCATACAACAACTGACACCTGCAGATGCCCATCCTCGATGGACTCCAGAGCACGCGACTCATCCGCGAGATGGGATACTCTGCGCCTATTGTCGCGCTGAGCGCCTTCTCGGAGGACAGCAATATCAAAGACTGCATGGACTCCGGGATGGACATGTTCATCAGGTGAGTGCATACCCGGCAACCTCCCATGAAGGTGCTGACACATATAGTAAACCCATCCGACGGCCTATCTTGAAGCAGGTACTAAACAAGTTTGCGACAATTCCTGAAGAGTCCGACGGCAGTTCTTTGTAATGCTAGGATCTTTGCTCTGGTAAATTAACCATCACATACAGGTATAATTCATACATGTTTATAATAAATATCTCTGTACATAAATGAAAACTTTTATCTCATTAAAATTATCCACTGTCAACCATGGCCCGGTATGTAGGCGGTCACAGTCATTGATCTGGCAGGGATTTTGAACCTTTTCCGAGATAGTTCCTCAGATGTTGAATCTTTCGTATGATCAATGCGTCGCAATGACCGGGAACCCAATTGGATTTCAAGCTAGCTGGTCGTGCTCCTTACCACACCAAACCTACCGTGTCCAATGTCAAGCCCAAAGTACCGATAGCTAATGGAGATAGAAGGGCTATAAATTACCAGCTCAGGCCCGATGCAGGAAATTTCAAGGTTGACCGCCTTCCCTTTAAACAACCCAAACTACATACCGGCGAAACAATCCTCCGATTATCAGATAACAGACACCAGACCAGCTTTTAACCAAGCTTCCCATACACCAAAACACGATCACCGTCACAAAATGCCCTCCTCCTCACTAGCGGATTACCTCGCGAAGAACTATCTGACCGCCGACCCGGCCACAGAGCGACCCAAAAAGAAGCGCAAGAAGACTAAGGAAGTTGATACCGCCGCCCAAGGCCTGATCATTGCCGATGACGACCCACCCGATCTCAAGAGCGCCGCGGCGAACTTTATGAACGATGACGAGGATGGCCCGTCCGTCGTGGCATCCGGCCGGAGTGCGGAGTTCCGTCGCACGAAAAAGTCGAATTGGAAGACTCTAGGCGGGGCTGGGAACGAGCAGGACGCTGCGGATGCGATTATCGCGTCGGCTGCGGCTGAGAATGCGGCGCGGAGGAATGAAGGGGAGGATGACGATGCGCCTGCTGTGGTTGAAGAGGAGGATGAAGATGACGGGGGGATGAAGATGGAGTCTGGTGCGAGGGCGGGTCTACAGACTGCGGCACAGACGGCTGCGATGGTTGCTGCGCAGGAACGGCGGAAGAAGGTCGAGGCGGCCCTGTACAAGGATGGTCCGTCAGGCGAACAAGCGCAGGAGACGATTTATCGTGATGCGTCCGGACGAATTATTAATGTGGCTATGAAGCGGGCGGAGGCGCGTAAGGCGGAGCAGGAGAAGCTTGAGAAGGAGGAACGGGCGAAGGAGGCGCTGATGGGCGATGTCCAGCGGCAAGAACGAGAGAAACGTCGAGAGCAGCTTCAGGAAGCGCGGGCGATGCCTGTGGCCCGCACGGTCGATGACGAGGATATGAATGACGAGTTACGGGCCCGACAGCGGTGGAATGACCCGGCTGCACAATTCTTGACCAACAAGGGCCCTGGGAAGAGTGCAACCGGGAAGCCTTTATACAAGGGAGCTTTCCAGCCGAATCGATACGGAATCAGACCGGGGCATCGGTGGGATGGAGTGGACCGCAGCAATGAGTTCGAGAAAGAGTGGTTTGCAGCTAGGAATCGGAAGGGAAGACTGGAGGCGCTGGATTACCAATGGCAGATGGATGAGTGATATTGCAGACATCAGAATGGGTTTCTTTTCTAGGACGTTGTTCAGTGCTGGCCACTGGAGAGACGTGTGACATTATAATCCTGATATATTCCTGACATCAAATGACTTCAACCCTGTCTTTTCGTAATTGATAGGCCTCAATTATATACATAAGCATTTGGCGCGTCATTTGACTCGTGGTTGGTGAAGGTACCTCTCAATGCAGATGCTGTATCTATACTACAGGAAATCCACTTCCCCAACATCCACTCTCCATTTGTTCTCCAACCCTAATACTAGGAACGGTGTATGATGTGATATAGCTGGTAATTTATTACTGCCTTGTAATTTATGCTGGCGGGGGATTTCGGTCGGACTGCTGATCGATCTGGCACATTCTTTCCTTGAGGGGTGTGTTGTCATGCAGCTATTCTGGATTTGGGGTTTCTCTCAAATACGGCGGACTAAATCGAAGTTCCAGACAATGTAAAACATGAGCCGAACGAAACCGCGTTTTACATAAAGCCACGACTACCACGCACTTCTAAATCTATTTATCACCCGCTCCCAAGCATAATCTTGTACCATCTCTAAATGTTACTACTACGCCCGGGATACTACTATATGGTATTATACTAGGGCCCCAGGGGATCCAAAGATCTAATAACTTCTAAACATAGAGTACTGATAGTCTCTCAAGATATGGAACTGGCAGTGGTTTAAAGTGGTAGAAAAAGCGGTGTAATATCTCAGAATTGGGCCAATCGATACTACTTAGTACTAGTCTAGGGCTTTATCTTATAAATAACGAAGATAATTGGTTGAACAGGATAGTGGATCTCTGTCAATAGATCCAATTGGTCACGAAAATTGTGTGTTGGCATTGTTATAGTTGGTAACATCTTACATTGTCCGGAGCTTCGATTTAGTCCGCCGTACTCAAACCCCGTCTGGTTCGATTGCCGAGTGGTATTTCCACCGGATTCCTGTAGTAGTTCCCCACCCCTCGAATCATCCCCGCTGCCGAACGCAGCTTCCAATATGATAGCCCTGAAATTCCTTTAAGTAACAATGTACGTGTCATGAGTATCAATCAAGGATGGAGAGTTGAGGCTCGAACACCACCGCCTCCTCCTCCTGCAGAGAACACGTCATGACCTCAATCACTAGATCATCTGCTATGCTACAGTAACATCGACCGGCGGAAGATCACTACTAACGCATCTGCTAGGGAAAGAACTTAAAAGTTGGACTCTGCCTTCTCCAAATCGTTCCCTTTTCAATTCGTTTCACCACGGTACACTTGATAAAGAGATTCACCTCCAGCCCTTGAACCGTGCAGTATCCTTCCCATCCTTCTCTATCTCTATCCCTGCGGATAAATCCCATTCCCGCTCGATTCCTTCCGCACCATGAATGCCGAAGTGGGGGATACCATTATTATCCGCGGTCGGAGTACGTGAGAGATGATGATGGTGTAGTTATAACATGGCACATATACACAGCTAACCAAAGGAGCAGTGGTCGGTCAGGCTGAGCAGAGCGCCGAGATTATAGAAGTCAGAGGTCCTGGCGGGGCCCCTCCTTACGTGGTGAGTGCCCAATATATAGTATTTAATATCTCGGTAAGAATGCAAGAGGATCGAATCTTTCCTTAACCGTGGATTTATAGGTGCGCTTTGCAGATGGCCATACAACCCTAGTATTCCCTGGCCCAGACGCTATTATACAGCACAGGGAACAAGGAGAGGAAGTATGAAGACTCCATAGGCTGGGAGAGATCATTGACCGGATTTTAAGGACAGCATTGAGGTGTGGACCTGAGCACTGTTTTTCCAAGATGGTGTAATAGAGGGATGGTAAATAGCAATATAAATGCCAGCGAGGCGACCTCTCTATGTCGTGAAGATAGTGTCTTACTGCCCCCGCATCTCGCTACTACCCCCGGAACTAGAGCTCTAGTCTAGAGTCTCTAGGGGACTCACGATTTTATTTATCTCTAGAATATATACAGCACTAAAAGTTTAAATCTAGAGAGTGTCTTAAAGATCTAGTACAAGTGTCTGTAACTATCTAGTACTGGTATCTCCAATTATCTAGTGCTCGTGGCCCCAACCGCCTAGTACTGATACCCTTAATACTCTAGTACTAGTGTCTCTCAATATCGAGTTACTGATATTTTTTTCTAAAGATACTTTTAAAAGCAGTTAATATATAGAACTAGATTAGTCGGTAATCCAGAACTCTAGAATGCATTGAGAGTATGTAATTGATTACTATAGCGGGATCTACTAAATGGATATAATTGGCCAGTATAATAGTGTGTTGATATTGGTAGAGTGGGTAAAATCTAGGTTATATTGTCCGTTAGCTTGAGTTAGTCTGCCATTTTAGTTTACCTCGGCAGACATTAACTGATTGGCATCCATCCGCAAAACCATATGAATCGAGATTCAGTATGGCTCAGTCGCCCGATAAAATCTGTGCCGAGTGTACCGAGCCGGCAACAACGTCCCGTGTGTAAGAAGCCACTATGATTAGGTTTCGACGGTTTGTGGATCGACAAGACTGGCTACCGATTTTGGTGGACTGAAACCGTAGAGTATATTAACCCTAACACCCAAAGACCCTGAGACCCTCACTCCCGCGAACTGACCATCCGACGGACCACTAGGAGTTTTAGTAGGATTAGGCTAATGGGAAAGCGGGATGAATAGGCTGAATCCCTTACGTACTGTAGTGGAGTGGCATAAGGATCTTAATCACACCCGAAAGCTTGTACGGCACCATGGGTGTGCGATGCATATAACCAAACAGTTCTACGTGAGAGCGTCGTGCCCGTAATTACTATCATGACTTTATGTATACCAATGCCATTTTGTAAAACAGCGGACTTGGTGCGTGAGGTATTTGGTAGGCGGAGTTGATGTCAAAGCCTTGTAGAATGTTGATATCCCAATCGATCGTCTACTCTAAGGTTGTCATCCCGCCGATTGTGGCCGACGATTATCCTTTACGAGACGCCCAACACAGCTATGATCGACTTCCAGTCCCCCCTTCATTTTATCCGTGCAATAGGAATAAAGCAACTTGGTCAATGGTTGGCAGCTTGTATACAATACTCGGAGTATGCTCGGAACCTGGTGAACTTCATCCTATTTACCCTAACCAGGTTTCAGACTAAGACACCATATGAAGATGACGATGGGAAAGGGGTCGATGATCATAACGACATCGTAGAAAAGCAGTAACGTCTACCATGGCTCTCGGGTATAAGAACGGGACAACCTCAGGTTGCTTCAGACCATCAAAGAACAATCAATTCATCCAATTCAGCACGACTACTATCGATTTTTGACATCTTTCAATCCATCTTCCCAAGCCCAACATCATGAAGACTTCTCCTGCTGTTCTGGCTCTTTTTGCTGCTGCTGCCTCTGCTGCATGGACCCCATCCCATCAGCACAAGTCTGCAAAGCGTGCGGATTCCTGCGGCCAGTACGATACGATCAATGTCGGCAACTTCAAGCTCTACAACAATATGTGGGGTAAGGATAGTGGCTCTGGTAGCCAGTGCGTTGGACTCGACTCCTCGGAGAAGGATAACTCTAGTGGCATCGCCTGGCATTCTACCTGGAGCTGGTCCGGCGGCCAGGGCAAAGTCAAAAGCTACCCCAACGTAGAGGCCCGGCCTGAAAATAAGAAGGTTTCTGACCTGACCAACATCCAATCTACCTGGAAGTGGAGGTTAGTAACGGCTTCATTGCTTGAAAGTGCAATATGCTGACAACCTCTGGCAGCTACAAGGGAGACAACATCGTCGGTGACGTGGCTTACGACATCTTCACCTCCTCCACTGCTGGTGGCAAAGCTGAGTACGAAATCATGATCTGGACTGCCGCCCTTGGTGGTGCCGGTCCCATCTCTGCCACCGGCTCCCCGGTTGATAACCCCACCGTTGGCGGTAAAAGCTGGAAGCTCTACAAGGGAACCAACGCTGCGACCACTGTTTTCAGCTTCGTTGCTCCCACGGAGATCCAGGACTACTCCGGTAATCTGGCTGAGTTCTTCACCTACCTCACTGAAAAGCAGAACTTCCCTGCCTCCCAGTACTACCTGAGCATTGGTGCTGGCACTGAACCCTTCACTGGAGAAAACGCTGTCTTCACCACTTCTTCTTATACTGTCACCTTCTAAGCAGCATATTGCATAAGCACATGTGCTCCTATACATGACCAAAGGAGTACTCTCTGTATATGCCGCCAGCATCAGCCATTTTCTTTCGATTTCTTGCCGAGCCTTGCCGCTTATTTTTTTTTTTTTTTATTTATTGAGCACTCACTTACAATTTGAATTCCAGTTATGTTCTAGCAAACTCTCTCCGACTTCTCTGTAATACTCAGGAATGTATCACCGTAGCTCAGCTGCACATGATCAGAAATAAACGCAACCCTTTTATAAGCCATTTGGGCAGTATTTTCATGAATAATACGGATGCCTTGAACGACATTAGTCTTGGTGTCCTCTACATCCGCACTTGTCTTTCTCGTATCTATGAGACTAATGGGGCTATATTTAAGGCTGAATCATCAATCTAAACGCATACCCAAGAATCGACTATGATCAATCTCTCCAGTCAACTGTGGCCGGGTAAGTCTGCACCCGAATACGCGTATAGAAAAGTGGGTCCAATAGTGACGACCTGGACATGGGAAAGTGCTGCAAACATGTTTCTGGCCTCTTCACTCTCTGGGCTGGATTCATACTTGCAATAGGCTTTCGTTTAGCATAGGCACCCCACGCAGATTACGGGTCAGGAGTTGGGGTTCGGATTGTTATTTTTGAGTCTACTCTTAAGGTGAAAAATATTGAAAGGAAGCCGATCAAAAGTGGAACATCCGTGCATACGCGGAAACTCTCATACACCAGGAGCCACGATGAATTACTTCGGGTCTAGGATTTGACACTGGGTCGAATTCAAGAGCTTGGCGTTTCCTGATTCTTTTCTATATAAGCCTGGTCAGGCCCATGGCTGATTATGGTTGAACTATCTCCTGTCCTCAATTTCCACGATGTTTTTGTCTGCAACACATTTGCTCTGCTTGAGTGCTGTCCTCTTCCAAGCAGCATCTGCGTCCAGATGCTCGCCTAAGTATTTTCCCAAGCCCGAATTGACAGGCGCTGCCATTCTCGACCTTCAAGCCCACGAAGCTCACAACTTTTCCACCGTGAGCCTTGGGCCCGGAACCAATGATGGTGGTCGGTACACCATCAGCTTCTGCAATGTCACGGTCCTCCATACCCACCCAGGCTGGAACGACACAGTTACTACGCAAGTGTGGCTCCCGCTCGAGGGTTGGAATGGCAGGTTCCAGGGCCTAGGTGGAGGTGGATACAGCACAGGGTTTGGTTCTACATACCTCACGTACGCCGTTGCCCAAGGATTTGCCGCTTCATCCACCGATGGGGGCCACACCACTGGAGCGGGAGCCATTCCCACCGACCTTGAGTGGGCTCTCAGCAGCAAAGGCAACGTCAACTGGTTCCTCTTGGAAAACTACGCATCCAAGGCCACGAACGACATGGCCGTCATTGGAAAGCAAATCACCAAGTCCTATTACCAGAGAGCGGCCAATTACTCTTACTTCACCGGATGCTCTGGTGGTGGACGGCAAGGCCTTGCAATGGCTCAGAACTTCCCTGACGCGTTCGATGGCATCTTGGCGGTTGCGCCTGCTTTGAATATAGAAACGTTCATCCCAGCAGCATTTTGGCCCACTCAAGTGATGAACATTCTCGGCACTTACCCATCCCCCTGTGAGGTCGAGGCCTTTGTCAGTGCAGCCGTCAAGGCCTGCGATTTGCTAGATGGAGTTCAGGACGGTATAATTAGTTTCCCTGACTTGTGCAATGTCACGGCCCACAGCTTTGTTGGACAGGAATATACTTGCCAAGGAACAGCACACAGGTTGACTGCTTCTGGCGCCACCGCTGTGCAGGCGGCTTGGTCAGGTTCCGGGAAAGACGGTTGGTTCGGAGTAAACAAAGATGCAGCGCTCACCACTCTCTACGTCCCCACTGCATGCGCTGCCAACGGTACATGTTATTCCTCCGGAGCTGATTTGTCTGGTAATTGGTTCCGGTATCTTGTTGCCAAGGACCCAGAATTCGCTTTGGACAACATGACTGAAACGACGTTCTTCCAAAATCTGCATGCCTCAGCTTTCCAATATGCGCCGATGCTTGCGAATACAAGCCCTGACCTGTCCAAGTTCAAAGGCAGTGGCGGCAAGGTAATCACCTGGCACGGCCTTGCCGATGAAGCTATCCCGCCGCGAGGATCGACCAAGTACTTTGAGGAGGTATTGAAGGCAGATCCAAATGCCCATGACTTCTACCGTCTGTTCGAGGCACCCGGGGTCGGTCATTGTTATGGTGGACCGGGGCCAGTTCCGAATGGTGCGCTCTCGCAACTCATGGACTGGGTCGAGAAAGACCTTGCTCCTGCTACTCTACAAGCCACCAAAGGGAACAACGGCACAGCGAGAGACTTATGCCCATACCCTCTCCAACAAAAGTTCATTGGAGGGGATGCTAGGAATGCGTCATCTTTTACCTGCGTCAAAGTAACTTAGTTATATTCTATCGATTATCCTTAACGCATAATATATCCAGGCTTTCTTGGCAAGTGCCCTTCTAAGCGAGAATACAGGATAGTTTAGTAGGCCAGGGTACCATGTTCCCACTAATTAATCCCGACGACATAGCCAATATTGATTCGACTCTATCTGGCTTAACTTGCACCGAGCATGCCGATGCAAGGTGAATGCCATGCAAATACTAGATATTGCTAGTCCTTCTATAGTCGTGAAATGCCGACACGCTTCTTAAAATACATTTGCTAATGCCTACCCCCTTACATGGTTCAAGTGAGCCAGATCCCATTCAAAGCCCCAAGTCCCAGGTATCTTCCAAGTCGGGCAAGAAGGAGGGCAATAGTGCTAGATCCGGATCAAATGACCATATATCGGCAGGGCCAAGTTCCAGACGAGCTTCTGGCCAAGGGCCCACATCCGCAGCCTGATCATGCAAAACGCTATCCTCGGTTGTATTTCCCACGTTTGATGATGGTGCATTACCGGAAGCCATATCTGTGCCAATAGGTTTTGGCGGGTCGTTGTTAAGGTGTTGTTGCTCTGGGAGATCACCGCGAGGGCCACAGTCAAGGGAAATAGTACCAAAGTATGGAATGTCAACTTTAATGCGCCCAGACTGGCCATCCACGGGGGGAAGACCGTCGGAGATATCAGATTGGGTATTGTCGTTTCTCGTTGCAACCCTTTTCAAAGTCCGCAGCACGCTAAGGCCTCGAGTTGCTACCTTGTCGGGTGGTTGTCCCTCTGCCAGTGTCTCCAAGGTTGTCATTACGGTTTCGATGGCGGGCCAGTCATTGGAGTCCGGATGAGATCGATCCGTCGGTCCGAGTATATTGAGCAGAAGAGTAATGGCGGCAGTAAATGCTTGGAAGTCAAGCGATTTGCAACAAAAGCTATTCGCCGTGAGGCGACGGATCGATGTATAGCATGTAATCATATGCCGGGAGGCTTCTAGACAGCTTTGCCTGCTGTAGTCATAGCGTCTCTCGGTGCCAGATTCCAAGAGCAGCGGCAGATGGAGCCAGGCGATGAGTTGGTGATGCCATAGCTGCGTCATGAGTTTGGTGTAGGCCTGGGCTCGCTCGACAGACTTTCCTGGCGATAAGACGGTTGGGTCCTCAACCACCACTGATACAGGGTCAAGCGACATAAGCTCCGCATCGATGGTTTGTGTCGTTCGAACCATTGAAGGTGTAATTCTGCTGAACCTCTGGTTTCGCTCGATGATGGATCCGGCTATGCGACAAAGAAGATCCATGGGGGTGGGATTCGGTGTCTCGTTCCCGCTTCGCTTCGAGTCCAAGGCCACATCCGTGATGCCGTGATACATTCCTAGCATTAAAGAAAGGTATCGGTCGGCGTAAATAATATGATTCCAGATCTGTTTTGCCCTGGAAATGGATGCAGACTGGTCCGTCGAATCTGCAGCCACTCGATGCAGCCCGATGATTTGAGCAACGTTCAGCGCCCGGCGATAGCACAACCAGGCGCTCCGCAGTTTGCCATCATTGTTGTAAAGTACGCCTTGAAGTACTAGGCATTCCAAGCCATCAAGGCTACTTACTAAAGTCTCGTCAACGCTGATGGAATGTGCCACAACTTTGACACATTTTGCAATCAATCGTGTGGGAGGATACGGAAGTCCCAATGATTCAATGTCCGATCCCCGCGGGAGCTGCTGGAGACAAATGGCCACCCACAAAAGGACTTTGGCGATCGCGGTTGGGTGATTGTCCGAACGGGCTGCCGCCGCGCTTGAGAGGAGCGATTCCTCATATTCCTGGAAGCATTGAGCCCTGATTAGCCACCAGCAGCTACTGGCCTGTTCAAGTCTTCTCAAAGCGCTATCTGATGGCAACAACTCCAGAAGCTCCTGGCGTAGCCTTTCCCAGTCGCGAGTGGTTGCACTATACAATGTGATATTTGGCGTAGAGACCTCCGGTCGTCGAAAGCAAGCTATTTCATGTCAGGGGAACTTCCCATACCAGTTTTGGACACCATACTTACTACTCCATTGTCAAATAGCGACAAGACTGGGGCGTTTTCATTTGCAGGTGTGGCGGCTACACTAGAGGTCAAGCCGTTATCATTATCGGTTGTCATGGACGGTAGCGCCCGCGCCTCCTCAACGCCACCGAGGGTGTCCAGTCGTCGCAGAACTCTCTCAAGAAGGGATTCTACGCGGCCCATTCGATCACTCAGTGGCGCCCGATCTGATTCGCGAGGATTTTCGGGCTCTGGTAAGTCCTGACTGCGACAGGTAATTCCCCTTGCCAGGCATTCGCGACAACTTTGGTCGCCATCAGAAACGAAATGACAGCGAACCTTACGATGCTTGCCTGTCTTGCAATCAGTCCAGATATACTAGCTAGTGCCGGAATTCCTCACTTCATCGCTTACATTCCCAACAACTGCGGGTCCCCTTGCGGATTTTCTTCCGAGGTGGTTGCTCGACCTCGGGCGGGGTGGAGGTTGGCTGCAGATGAGTCCGCATCATCGCCCTGATGATTATAAAATAAGGCCAATATGCCTGTCAGTGGCTGCATTAGTAGGTGAAGGACAAGGGTGAAAAAAAAGACCATCTAAAAACCAAGAATGGGAGACAGATGCATGCGAAAGTAGCGTGTCGTCTTTGGTTTGGGATGCGGGCAGTACTACGAGTAGTAGACTAGTAGTAAGCACTGTCGTTGACCGCCTCCTGCGATATAGATCTCAATCGTCCCGCTATGTTCTCCGAGATTGTTGTCTTTCGATCAGATAGGAACCAACAGTGCTATTACTTCTAGAACTATATACTCGTACTATCGCTAAAAGTAGTGTTACCACTGAGATGTCCTGAAAAAGTACTTCCAAAGCTGAAATTGTAACAGAGATTGCTAACCCCGTCGCTATACGGCGGCAGCAGCAGTAGTTGGACCCGAGAATTTAACCCACCGAGTCGCCAAGCAGACCACGGTGGCCACGCTGGACGCGACAACGGCCACCAGAAATGCCGCCTGGAGGCCGTCCATATAGGCAGTCAGTATGAACTGCATTTGAGCGGAAGAGAACTTTTGGCGTAGCTCCGTTGCGCCTGTCATCGCAACCTTGAAGGCGTCTACGGTGGAAGTCTCACTCTGGAGGTGTTTGAGAAGAACATTGACCATAGCTGATTGGCCGGCTGAAACGAACACCGATCCCCCTAGGGTTTGTACCGCTGAGAAAGATTAGTCAATACGGCCTATAAAATGTGAAGTGGGGAGCGAAGAGCGTACTCAATACCATGGCCGTCACAGACGGCAGATCCTCCGGCGCGACAGACGCCTGCGCCGTCACCACAGGAACCTGGAAGCACCATCCAATACCGATACCTGCCAGCAGCTGGTAGCCAATCCATTTCCCAGAGCCGGTATTGACTTCAAGCGTGTAGAGCAAGCCCGACCCAATCGCGGTGAGTATTCCTCCAACTAGGAGGAATGGCTGGGGGTATCCAAACCTGCTGAGGGTAACACCAGATATGACAGTCGAAACGCTTTGACCAAGGATCAGGGGCAGGTTTCGGATTCCGCTCTGGGCAGCAGAGACACCCGACACCACCTGGAAGTAGATTGGCAGGTAGTATACCAGCAAGAAAAAGGTTCCCGCTAGCAGGTCAATGTAGATCATCATGATCACTACATTTCGACGGAATAGTCGCCCGATCATTGCGGCACGTTCCTTCTGTACCCATTGCACAATCGCATAAGTAACCAACAGTACACCAAATCCAACTAACGTTCCAACCACTTTGGAATCGCCCCACGACAGCGAAACCCCGCCCCACTGTAGGGCAAGGACATAGCAGACGAGAGCTGAAACCAGGATCAAGGTACCAGGTAGGTCCATTTGGAGTACCTTCTCTTTCAGCGGCGTATTCAGGAAGGGTAATGGAGGAGGAGGTCGGTAGAAGAATAGGATGATCCCGGCTGCCACTCCGCCAATTGGCAGATTGATATAAAAACACCATCGCCAGGTAACATTGGTAGTGAAGGCACCACCCACGAGAGGTCCAATAGCCGCAGCGATTCCATACGAGGCACCCAGGATTCCAATATATGCTGGTCGCTGTTTCGGTGGTGCGGACAGCGCGATAATGGTGAAGGCACCCGAAGAAATTCCCGCGCCTCCGACGCCGGTGATAGCCCGTCCAACAATGAGCGCAATGCTATTCGGCGCGACACCTAAACAAAACATGGAGAACCAGTCAGACACTGAGGATGCGGGACACCTCTCAGGTGGGAACGTACCGCACACTAAACTGCCAACTTCAAAGAGAAAGATTGACACGAGGAAGGATATCTTCAGCGGAAAGTACTTGTATCCTTTCCCCCACGCCGCTTGGAAACTTCCCAGTGTAATGAAAAATGCCGATCCGTACCAAGCCTCTTCCTCGATCCCACCAAACTCATCGGTGATCTTCGGGATGGCCGTTGCGACAATGGTCTGGCGTAGAAAGTCCTGATTAGCTCCTTGCTCGTCATATATGGAAATTTGACGCCGTCGCCTAGTGGCTAATTCTGCATACCATATCCAACGAAACCTATCCATTGCGATCCAATGTTAGTTTTATATCGATTGAATTGGATCAAAAGGTAAGTCGTACCAAAAACATGCTCAGAGCCAAAGCCGTGACGGTCATAAGTAAAGTGAAGCCACCAGTGCTTGGCGCATCGTCAAGACCAGATCCAGTCTCTCCCTTATTTCTATCCTCCATAACTTGATGGCCGTATGAAGATGAAGCATCTTCGGCGGGCTTTTCAAGTATCGCAGGTGTCGAAGTTCTTGACGACACAGCAGTGTCGCCTGTTTGCGACGACCATGTTTTGGTAGGCATGATATACCAATGGGCTAAAAGGTGACGATATCTAAGAACATGCTGTCTGCTGAAGACAATCAAGGACTTATAAACAAGCAAGAAAAAAAAAAGAGAAGTTAAATTAGACTGATCAGTGAGAATTGTGTTTCACTCCGCCGAGTCGGCGGACTAAGTATTCCGCGGTCGTGCACTGGCCAAGATTCTAATACTCCGCCGAGCCGGCGGAGCAACGAAGGCCCTTGTCACTTATTATCTACGTCCCAGTCGCATTATGAATATCTCACACATTTTTCCGTCGTTAAACTGGTGGGTCAAAATCAACATCACTTTCTTGCTGAGTATCATTCCTCATGGCTACTCGAATATGCCTTGAAACACGTACGGGTATAATTTTATCATCGAGACCCCTCATCCACGCCAGGGCTCTGTCCCTTTAGCGAAAGGCAGGGTAAGCCCAAGATCTGGACAGTTACAACTGCATGGGCTGTGGTAAGATATACTTGATTGGTCGTTGCCTATGGTTTGGCGCGAATCTTTCAATGTTGCTTGCAATCCAGAATTTCCGCAGGCTCCTAGGAGCATTAAGATCTGTCAGTGAAATGTCCTCCAGGTGGTGACCTGCCCCCCAGTGAAAACCTGGCCATTATCAGCTAAGTTTTCAATACGGATTGATTGTTAACTGACAAAGGCATGTCTCAATATCAAGACTGATTGTGAAAATCTAGACCTGTTAGGGCCAGTTCGCGCTTGACGGCGTCGAACTCTTACCGGTCCTACTAACAATAATATTTCATCCAGAGAGAACCCCCTTTCGATAAGGCGCACACTAATAAAACAGCTACCGCAATGACAGTGAGAGCTATCGAAGCTACTGTCATTCCAGGCCCTTTGTTCTCTCTGGCTCCCATTTTAACGATAAGTAAGGAAAGCCATGAAAAATCGTAACAATGGCAGGGAAAACACTTTTGCAGCAGAGAGAGGCTGCCAAATCCTTATTCGTATATTAGCCACGCTTCGGCTGGGCCATTCCCGTTTCCCGCACGCTGGAGCAGAGATGCTCTGGAAGAGGAAAACCGCCTTGGGGCCATATTTTCAACGTAGTGGATCCCAGACGAGCCAGCCACGGCTTACGGTCTGCTTCAACCAATGCACTGTTTGGGGCCGTATGATGAAGTCCGGCTGGATGGTGGCACTAAACCAATTTCTATATCTTCCAAGGTTTCATCTTCTCCGCCGAGGGCTCGGGCCAAGAAGAACCCCGGTCAGAGACGATTTTCTGCTGGGGAATTTCACACGACTCCTTACTCCGGTAGAACACTTATCAAATATTCAGAAGCAATTAACAGCTGTTTATTCTCTACTGAACTGTATTGGTAATCACACGTTACACTTTCGCCTTCGGCTTAGGACTGTACCCAGCTGCTATGGCGGGGCTGTGGCTGGCTTTGGCCTTTACAGCTGGCAAGTCCAGTAAGTGACATCCGATCTGCAGGCACTTCGTCTTGTCATGAGTTCTGATCTTAAATCCCCGCATTTGAAGTCGCTGCTACACTCTGGTCTGCTATCAACGCACCCTTCCGTGGCCAAACGGGAGGCGCTACGACTTACAAGCATGTGGCTATTACATTCGCACGGTCGTTCTTCGGATCTGCTTCTATAGAACAAGTCCAGTAAGCTCATCCGTTTTATCTTCATACATGTCTCAACTGCAACGATGCAAGCGATGCGATGAGCTATTATTAAGCCTGCATAAGGTACATTCTTCCACCCAAGTCAGCCCGGAATGCGTACGAGGCCCTAATGCATTGTCAAAAAGCCACCCCCAATATCGTCCGGCTACATGATGGAACAGAAGCCTTTTGGATAGGCAACCCCAACGCCGGGAAATTGATAATATATCTCCCTGGGGGAGCTTATTGCATTCCCGCATTGCCAGGACACTTCGATCTTGTCAATGCACTTGCCGCCGATCTCAAGAAAAGCAACCAAGATGTGGGAGTCCTATTCCTAGCCTATGACCTCGCGCCTCATGCCCAATGACCCCGGCAGCTAGCACAAGGCGTGGCTCTTGTTCAATATGCCATAGAAGTCCTAGGCAAGCGACCATCCAACATTATTCTCCAAGGTGACTCTTCAGGTGCTCATCTTACGCTTGCAATCCTGTCACATCTTACTGAAGGCCACCTGCATGACTCGACACCCTCTCTGTCTCTATCGGAAAACCTTCGCGGCGCACTTCTATTATCGCCATGGATCGATTTCAGCACCGACCACGAAAGCTTCCGTACAAATGCGGACAAAGATGCTATCTCGGCCAAGTCTCTCAGTCTATGGGCTCAGGCGCTGTTCCGCAATACCGAGATAGACATATATAGTCATCCTACTGAGGCACCCGTTGGCTGGTGGAGACTCCTGCCTGTGGAAAGAATTTTTATTGGTGTTGGCGGAGACGAAGTTCTTTTGGATCCCATCATCAGTCTGGGGGACAAGATTGAGGTATATTTTGCTTGATTTAATATTAGGATCTCGATTGCGCATCGCTCACGTCTTCAATGAGTAGGCCGAGCCTCCAGACGTGCTGATCAGTCGTGTGCCTCGGGAGTTCCATGCCGAGCCCATCACAGACTTCGGGTTGAAAATTGCTCCTGGCGTACAGTTTCAAGCCATGGCTGCTTGGTTGAACCAAACGTTTTCTCGATGATGAGCTATGGTTCTGTTTTTGGGCTTTGGTGTATGGCAGTGTTGAGTTACCGGGCTAGTACTTAGCCGTCAGCTTCAATGTACATACTGGGATAATCTGGAAATATTTTAGGTATATGAATTTTACATTCGGCTTACTTGTTCACATGCATAGCCACGATCGCTTCGCTAGAAACCTGACCCGCGGCTTACGATGCATTTGGCTACAAGGGTTCTGGGAATGACATTCAAGGGGTCAAAGGTGATGATTGTTTAGAGGCACGGCCAGCCCTTCAACGTGGTGGCTTTTCCTAGCCAATAATAAATTTCTCTTATTTAGTCTTAGGCTTTGCGCCATTTTTAGCTCCATAAGTCTTGGCCAAATTGTTTCCTAATTAGGTAGTTCCAGTGACAATCATCCAGAGTGGTGATACGACCTAGCCAACGAATAGTTATACAAAATGAGAAACGTCATAGGTTCAAGAGGATCCTCTCTCAGCTCTAGCATCCCCATCTACTTCGCTGCCTGAACTGTCCCCACCTCTTCGGCCTTTCCCTGCCACCAGCGCCAAATAGCCTTGCACCAGAACCAGGTCTCCATGGTCCCAAAGCAACACAGGATTGCAATGACAAATGCTTTCGTTCCTTTACTCATTCCCAATGATTCAAAATTAAATGACGGGTACTGAGGTGGTTCATTCGAGTTCACGTTTGGTGAGCTGGTCTGCTTGTTCGCGACAGGGAAACGGGTCGAGAAGGATCGGAGAGGGACTGGAAACTCTCGATATGCGAAGGGTCGTGGTAATCTCTGAGTAAGGAGAATACCATTTCGACGAGTTGTATACAGCGGTAGAAGCGCTCGTGTGGGAATTGATGACATGGTCGTTTGCTTGAATAGAACGAGGTCAATGGGGGCTTATTTTCTGGTTTTGAATGTTCCGTAGATTATTTTGAGACTTGATGTATGCCTTAAATGAGGTGGATAATTATGGAATATATATGTAGGGAATAGTCAGATGATGCGGTGGAGGATTGCTCCAGTTCGTATTTCTTGATGATCAGCGTAAGCAGCGTAAAATGGCCTAGTTAGGGTTCCTTGACTAAAACCTTGGATATAAATACAAGCAACCACCAGGCGAGTTCAAAGTAATCGGACAGTGCCTTTCAGCATACCAAGAAACATGTCCATCGGATCCCGCCGTTTAATATCGGCCACGGAGAGCTTCCTTTCATCACCTTCAACGAGAAGCTCATCCACACTTTCTGGGTCTAAATCAAACCATGTTGTACCTACAGAATCTTGCAAAACATCGTCAACAACAGTAGACCCCGCACAACTGGATCAAACCCTGACCCTCTCTGACGGCCGCACTCTTGGTTTCGCCGAATATGGTTCCCCACAAGGAAAGCCACTTCTCTACTTCCATGGCCTACCGGCATGTCGTTACGAGATCGACTTCCACGAGCTGGGCCTCCGACATAGTGCCCGTATCTTCGCCCTTGACCGACCTGGAATGGGGCTGTCAACGTTCCAACCAAATCGCCAACTCCTTGACTGGCCCGCCGACGTCAAAGAATTCACGAGCAAACTGGGTCTAGATGAGTATCGGGTCCTCGGTGGCTCCGGTGGAGGACCTTACTCACTTGTATGTGCAAAGGCCTTACCCAAGGAGAATCTGACGGGCGTAGGTGTACTCGTCGGATTTGCGCCCCTTGAGGCTGGCACACAGGGAATGTCTCTTCAATCACGCATCCTGTGGAACCTGGGGAGGTGGTTCTCAGGTCTGGGGGGACTGTACACTGATTGGACTATTGTACCGGCTGCTCACCACCCAGATTCGAAGGTTCTGGAGGAGTTACTAGCGAAAACAGTGAAGAATAACTTCAACGAAACGGACTCTGCGGTCTTTGATGATGAGAAGGTCCTCAAGCATGCAGCTAAGATCGTACGAGAGAGTTTTCGACAGGGGTCTCAGGGGTATGTCCAGGAGTGTAAGATTCTGACAAGGCCATGGGGCTTTGACTTACGGGAGATTGATTTCCCCGGAGTTCGTTTGTGGTGTGGGGACAATGATCGAAATACTCCGGTTGAAATGGCTCGGTGGATGGCAGATCGAATCGAGGGATCGGCCTTGACGGAGTGGAAGGGCTACAGTCATTTTACCTTTACGGATGATCACACTGAAGAGGCTGTGAGGGGCATGCTGGAAAGGTGAATATAATATGAGATATGATATTCCATGTACAGTGTGGGAGTCAGTTGTAGAATCTCTACCCTTTCTTATTCTGGATAGATGGGTGAATACCAGGTTCTATATGATCATAACCCAGATCGATATCTGTCATTTCAAGTATTTCTATTTCTGCTAACCATACCAAGCAAGGTGGAGAAAATATCAAAGATTTGAAGAGGGGTTTCTTCCGTTTTCGTCATCTTCGGTATTTTACTATGATCGTGGAAAACAAAGCTGTAGTTTCTGTTGTTTAGGCCACCGCACCGTCAAAGTTTGTTCCTAATATTCACATATTACATAGTAGAAAGAAAGTATATTAGGCGCACTTGACCTCTTTATGATAATGATATATTAACGGCACTTATGACATCCTTCCTGCCAGTTAGGACTAGCAGCTGTAAAAGGGTACTTGAAATACAGTATAATGTAGTTTTTCATTCATTCACTCAATTTTTCCCATCAGGCGAGGAGGCAATATCAGAGTGTGGAACAGCCCTGGATGGGCGCATTCTTATCAGCCTCGATACATGCCAAAGCCCCAATATAACTCCGCCAATAGATAATTCCACTTTCAGTATCTAACAATGGAAAGCATCCTAGCCAGCTGCGTCCTAATCGCGCAAATATGGAGAATCTTACCAGGCCAGAAGATCTTCGACATCGGCTGCGAGCAGGGTGGATAGTGCGTCGTGTTGGCCCTATTGGTTGGGCCCTCCGGCCACATCACAGACATCGACATCGCCCGGCCCGAATATGGCCGCCCCTGTACGGCGAAGGAGTCGCATGGCTACGCGATGAAGTCCGAGCTGAGATCGCCACTCACCTTCCTTCGCTCAGACACTCCATCTTTCCTGCGGGACCTGCACCGTCCTGTACGCGAGATTTTCGACTCGGTGGCCCTGTTCCATAATCGGTGGTACTTTGCAAAGTCCCAAAGCGTGTATGACCTCTTCCAGACGACAGCGGACGATGCCCAAACGCCCCGCGTCTATCTGTGCGAATACTCCTACGAGACCTCTTTAGATGAGTAGAAAGTGCACGTATTAGCTGCACAGACACAGAGGCTCTTCTGCCCATGTCAGACGTGCTCATCTCGAGTGAGGGTCGTCCAGACTCATCATTTATTGAGTTTTATCGAGGTCGCGGGCGCACGACGAGTTTGAGCTCTCGAGATCATTTGCAACCGCTGCGCTTCGTCCCTCTTCCCTCTCACTACGGTCCTTCCACGATGGCTTTGGACCATAGCCATGACAGAGAACTCCGCGTGCCTCACAGTTTGAGCAAGGTTGCCTGTCTTCATTGCTATTCTTCCGCCGGAGTCGGCATGTCCAATCGCCTCATTTTACGCTGCTGAGCCCCTGATAATGAACGGATCTCCAGGGATTATCTTCCGGGATATGGAAAGAATTCCCAACTGGGGTATATGATCCAAACGCTACTGATTTGAAGGAGGGAAGCAGGCGCTCCCCGTTTGGGGAGGGGAGGGTTGAAGAAAAGCAGTGAAACCTAAGCATGTAGGCCAGTTGGGGGCGCGCACCAAGTCCATACGCTTGCAATGTCGGATCAGAGAACTGACAGAAGAACAGGGGACAAGTGAACACAAACTCTCCGAGCGTCCGTAGTCCAAGTGGTGCAATCTGGGATAAATTGACAGGGGACAGGGATTTATCTCGATGTGGAGCAGGGTGCACGGGCCTTTCTTGGGTCGTTCTTCAGCGCGGGGCATGAAGGATGAATCGATGGAAACAAATTACAGCAAGAGAATCGGCGAGGTTGGATTCGCTGAATACTCATGTTCATCTTGTAATCTTTTTTGAAGAGATTAGCCTTTACATTTAGTTAGGTGAGTAGAGTGATTGTTGGTGGGAAAGCTCCAGACGATCTCCCTGTTGTAGAACTACGTAGTTTGCTAGCTATGAGATCACTTGGACAGCTGCACTGCGGGATTCAATAAAGGAATACATAAATGCGTGAACGACGATATATGGATCCTACAGGCGTAGGGGAGATGTTGGTGGATGAAATCTAGATCATCTTTCATGCCTGTAGAGTAGACAACCCGGTGGCTGGCTGAAACGGCAGGCCTGTGCGCGCATCTGTGTGTGTGTGTGTGTCTGTGTGTGTGTGTAAATTACTGGCTAGCCTTGCAGATTGCATAGTGACGTGTGTATAAATTTGTCCAGTTCTTGTCATGATTCACATGTAGCTATAACGCTACCTGTATGTCGAGGGTAAGTTATGTGGTGGGCAATGATTGATCACAGCCTGGGCACGTTCTGTCTCGCCCGAGAACCGGATGCGCATCTGGATGATTTTTGATTGAGGTGTTGTACTGTGTATATGACATGGGTGATAAACTAGACCTTCAGGATGGATCATTTGCCTATAGATTTAGCTATTAGCTTTATTTGGTCTCCAAGGTCGCCGCCGATGCCATCCACATTACCGATTTGGGCATTATACATAAGAGGATCCCTGGTGGAGCCGGCCCGGACTTCGAACCAACCCCACTATTTCTAGTCTCATTGCAGTGTGGATACAGGAGGATGTCAGATCAAAGGGGGACAAACTAAAATCATATGGGGAACCGCCAGGCGGCCAAGGCTGGCAGAAACATAACCAAACACGAACTAATAGTGTGCCCACCACATCCCAGGGACCAGCAACGTCAGTTGGTATCATCATGAGCTCACATCGTGCGACTATAGAGGCGTGAAACACTCTGTAACACCGACAGACTATACGATAGCATATACTCCGAGATCAACCGAAGGGCCTTGTAGCTGGTACGGGGGGCCAATACTTCAAATTTAAAACTGGCCTCGGAACCGGATATACCCTTATGTCTAAAGGTAGAAAGAATTTGAGGCCAGCTAGGTGGCTTGAAATCTACCACTATAAAAGGAGATAAGAGAGTTACACTACTAATTCATAGTATCAACGGTCTCTAAGTTCATCATCTCGAGACGTCTTGCATTCTGCTAAGCTATATCCACCGAGTAGATGGAGGTAAAGGCGCCAACACATTACCAAAACCATGGCTCAACGTACTAGTAGCGTTGCATAAAATTGTTGCTCCTCTTGCGTTCCTGTAGAAGCAGAATTCTGCACGCTTGTCAAAGACATAACACTAAACCCAACCGTCCAATGTCTTCCATCCTGCACTGATTGGTTTGGCTGCAGAGTAAATGGAGTCGTGACGGGAAGAGCGGTCAACCTTGATTCTCGCATATTTGTCTCCGTGGAAGAAGTAAAACACATCGTCGTATTCAGGGTGTGCAAAAACGGCATCAACGACGTCAAATCCGGACGCGGCAAGGGCAGGCCAGCCGTCTTTGATTGGCGAAGGGCCATTGAGGATCTCATCCTTGTCGTTGTCCCATCGAAGATAGTTCAAACCTCGGAAAAAGTACATCTGGGTGGTTGTTCCTGGGACCAACATCGCGGCGTCCACAGTGTCGAACCCGGCCTTTGCAAGCGCCTTCCAACCATGAGAAATTGGCAAGGCATCCTTGTTCACGAAGGAGTCGTGGAGCTTGTCATCCAGCTTGATTTTGAGGTATTTGCCTCCAAAAAAGACATACAACTGGTCCTTGTGGCCTGGCACAGGCACAACGGCATCGACTCTTCCGACACCTTTCTCAGCCATGGTTGTCCAGCCGGAGGCTATGCTTCGAGGGCCAGACACGAGGTGTTCCTCAGTGCCACCTGGCTCAAAGTCGATCCGAGCATACTGCCTACCGGACCAGATGTAGACTGATTTCCTTCCAGGAATGTGGTAGGCTGCATCGACCATCGCGAACGTGAAGTATCAATGACGATTGAATAGCAGTCAAAATAGAAGTCCAAGTGATTCAATGATAATGTAAAGCTTTTTGAAATCTCTGGGCGGGTATGATATTTTTCAAGAGGGACTACACGAGTATTTATATCTTTTAACTTCCATCTGTCTTACACTCTAGCTACCCACCATGTCCAGTATGATACGTAACTTTTCTTCCATTCCTCTGCCCAACATACAATAGCACGTCACCACGTACCACGCATCACGTAGTATTGCATGGAATAGCGAAGTGAAATATACACACACACTTCCAAGACTATCTCAATTACCATAGTTTCTATGCTGGTATCTCGAATGTTCTCTCTGCATCTTATTGTTATAACATCGAGTTCTTACCGGACGCAGTAGATCTAAGGGCATGGTCACTAGCAAACGCTGCACTGCTCTCCATACTTGTCAAAATAGTTTTGAAAATGGCATTACAGTATTGACTCAAATCAAAGGCAGTTTCGACTCTCGCGGGAAGATTTCTGCAAGGGTATCACGCTAATACAGACCCCGCCGAGTGGTGCAGACCAGCCCAGGGCCCGCATTGACATGGGTGCTATTGCGGTATGATCTGTCACACCACTGGAATATGTTAGCCGTATGTCAAAGCGCACGGAGAATATCATAAACCATGAAGAGAGAATATTAGCATTTGGACAAAGCCTCTGGATAACGGTACAGCACAAAACAAAGGTAATTTGTATAAAATCACTTCAAGGTCGCTATTCCGGAAAATAAGCCCACGGAGATGTTGGTTCCTATTCAAGATGTTCTCCAAGGCACAGCTCGCAGTGTAGCTACACAGTCTAGCTTTCATAGATACATGTGATGGCTTTTCATATCATATTAATCAGCAGATGGCCTCGCATGAGCTATTTTTTTCATTGGATATGTGTACATGAGAATAGGACGAAAACAAGGAAGCAGAATGCGGCTTGCGAATTACGAGATATGTTTTGGCAGAGACCAATATCTGTTACTCATGCATGATATTTGTGAGGATTGTTACATAGCGATGATGTACCCGGCTGCATGAGCTAGCCCGACTAAATTATTTCTCTTGGGCTGCTGTACGACGATGAGTAACATGACACTCCATCCTTTTCACAGCTCTATGGACTTCGTAGTTAGTGTAAATGGGATGGCCACGAGAAGATATCGGACAATATAATTTCTTAGGTCCAATGTCAGTGGCAGAACGCAAAAGGAGGCTGTTTGCTTTTTCTTTACGTAAAGGATGATGCGGTCAATACATCATTAGAACTCATTTAGTTGATTAGCCAACGAAGCTACTCGATGTTTCTGGGTGGTTAACAAAGGTCAACGGCCATCAAGTCAAGGAGGGGCACAACCACATCGGGAGTCTTCCCATAACCCCACGGAATTGTCAACAAAAGAACCTTGCAAAACCGGCAGGACCAGGGAAATAGTTGCCAGCCAAGGAATTCGGCATCGGGCCCCTACCTAACTTTCAAGGATTGTATTGTGAATGCCCGTTAGAGCCATGTAGTCAACGCGAGCAACATTCAATATATACACCTAGAGGGGTCTGTAGTTCGTAGTAACGTATCATATATTATATAGAAAGTTGCCGAGAATATATCTACGTTCCACAATGAGGTTTGAAGATATCCTTTCGATTTTGCCTATAACTTAAAACGCAAATTCATCTGACATGAAGAATTACACTTTGCCAACTACAGAGTTGTCGCGCAACTGATATCTGCTGGAGAGAAAATGAAGATCATAGAAACTACGGAAGGGTCTCAGATCGTGGAGTGATATCGGCAGCCCCTTTACTGTCCTCAAAATTGACTTCAATGTTTATGGGATCCCCCAAATTGCGTTTGATGGTTCCAAAAGACGTATTGAATATGGCAATATCGAGAGGCGCATTATAGACTTGAATGTCATACCAGCCTTTGATCTACATTACAATTTCTCCATGATAGTGTCACGGTGTAGTAATCAGAGCCTGTTGTGTATTTGCAGACAAGTACTCCCTCGCAGGGGACAGGCTGCACCTTCCCGGTCTAGTCAAACTATAGTTGACGCCGAGTGCTATATTTTCAAGTAAGGCAAGAAAATGTTTGCTTGTTGGCTCTGTGCAGAGATCGTATACTACTGTAACATCCAGGAACCCTATATCGAGTCGGTTGAGTTGACGTGATCGTGCCGTGCAGAAAGCCTAGACTGAAGTTCGAGTAAGGAACGCTACGCGGTGATGGACCTGATCATATTCAACCATCCCCCACTAGCATTGCGTATATTTTAAGATTCTGCAGATGTTTAGTGGAAGAGAGGATAAGATCTTCCCTTTGAGATCGTTCTACATTTCCTAAGTAAAAAGCACTATAAGGCCTGCGTCCTGCTTTCATAGGAAAAGAAACATAAAGTGCTTCCAAGGGCCACCTTCAGCAGTTCCTCTAACTACTGGTAGATCTTTGACGCAGTGCCTGGAGATCTAATAGAGCCATTACACTAGAGAATACTGTTTGCACTTTCGCTTAACGCATACAAATGTACGAGGGTATCCCAACCGAAAAGTCCCTACATCCAAACATGCACCAAGGGAATTCCTGGAGGGCTTTATTTCCAAAATTATGTGTTACTGTTGTATCCAACAAATTATGCACCAAATGTTATGTACGATAGGTGTACCTCAAAGCCGGCGCATATCTGACAACTGGTATGTAGTATGGAAAATATATAAAAAAAGAATAATAATAATAATCTCAGCGGGCTTAACTATATTACCCATTTACGTTATTTAGTGGCCTCAGGGCCAGCACTAAAACTGGCGAGCGCTAGCAAAACTCGTCTAAAACTTTATCAATACTAGACCCGGGTACAGAGTATAATTTAGAACTCTAACAGCAGTCTGTCAGGATTAATACTAGTGTTGTATCAGTGATACACGTGAATCGCAGCCACTATATTATCTGCTGTGCCGCACTAGTCCGAGGTCCGTAACACGCCCAGAAAGTGATGACGACTGCTGCTGCTGCTACTGCTACTGCTAGGAATAAGGAGCCTGGGAGATCACAGAAACAATGATTGTCATTTCCGATAAAGAACGAGCCTTTATTGCAAGACAGCATTGGCTAGCATTAGCTTTGCAAAGCTGCCATTAGATTTCCTAGACCCTATTATACTGTCTTTAAGCATGCTATTCCATAGGCATTAACCTGGAAGGCTTGTGCACTGTTACTGCATATCACCTCTATTCTGGTAGTGGTCGAGGTCCATTCATCAAACTCTCCATCCATTCTATTTATGAATTAGTAAGGTGAATAGAAGGTTAAAAGCCACAGAGGATATATCCTTACCGTCCAATGTAATCCTGCCATCCTTGTTGGTATCTCCCTTTCTCAAGTCGGCCCTGAATGCTTCCTCGTCGATATTATCACCAAACATGTTTCTCATCAGTGTTAAATATTCCACTGGCTCAATGTTTCCTAAGGCACTTATTAGCTTAAATATTAGGACCCCTTATGTAATTGCAGTGTACCGTCATGGTTGGTGTCCTATCGAAAGAAGAAGTCAGTGTGTATATAAGAAAACAGGCCGAAAAACTACATACCGCTTCGTAGAATTTATCGAGACAAAAGTCAAAAAGGTCGGCATTAGGGACGTTCTATCACGAGTAAGCTCTTGAGCTTGATTCTTTAGCAACGGCTGCAGACCTTATATTTCCGGGCAAGAATGTTTCGGTCCATTTTGGTGTTGCTGTTTATACCACTTTTAACTCCAAGAGTAAATAATGTACTAGGTTGATTTCAAGGGATGCAAGACAACGTCCCAGGTGATTAACAAAGTATTTATACACTTGCTCCAGTATTCTTCTCTATACCTGGCGAATTGCAGTGCAGTCAGTCATGACGTAAACCAAGGAGGTAAATCACACACGGTGGTAGAAGTATGACGATTTATTTTGCCTATATAGCAAAATATGTTATGGCTTGCAAGTGATATTGCTTTCGAATACAACCTTATCATTCGTTTTCTATTAAATATGACGTTATGTAGAGTATACCTTAATCAGTACAAAATTTGCTATGACAGGTCTTAGATCATGGTTAATCATATACAGACTAGTCAAGTTAGATTTACTGACCGCAAACGTGCTTCAGTGGACCCTGGTCTCCTATTCATGCCTTAGAAAGCGTGTAAAGAAAAAGTATGACGAGTACGTGAACGTTATACAGTAGAGAAATGGAACCTTACTAAATGCTTCTAAGCAGACCCAGATCACCATCTGCAATATGACTAGCCAAGGATAAAGGTAAGATTACTATACGCTCCACAATCTCTAGAATGATAAAGCAAAGCCCAGTATGGAGGCGTCTATGGCCATGCTATCAATGACTCTATGAGGTTGTGGTCGGTCGGTAGAACCTGAGGTTGCTCTATGGCCGGTGATGTAATAGTTCAATTATCTAGCTATTCGTCATATCCAAGTCAACCAATAGATAGAGTCCCAGAATATAGACGGCCTCAATATCTCAGGCGCCTTTAGTCCCCAAAAGCACTCTAGGTCATTTCATAGAATTAGTACCTATGAAGGGTAGCATGTACTAAATCGTATAGATTGAGTGTAAGGAATTTATTATAGAGATGTCGTAAAATAGAATGTCTAAATACGTAACAGTAATAGGATTAGCTTGAGTTATATCAGAAGGTACCCATCAACGAAACAGTAAAAAATGCTCCACTCCACTGGGTGGAGCTCCTTGAAGTATGCATTTGGGCGGGCCCGACACCACCTGTTGAATTCCAGAACGAGAACGAACCCACCACAACCATGCTGAATACAGTCACAGCCTCTCATCCCAAAAAAAAAATGAAACTTGGATAATTTAACCTCAGGTCTAATCACCTGAGTAGTACGCTGAATAGATTAGAATGCAATTACAGATTCTACTGGCTATATTACAGCATGATATTGTTCAATCGTGGTGCATTTTGCGACACGACGTCTACTGGTGCTGTTTCGGGAATGTGGTTTTCCCCGATGTAAAGACTATCTGAATCGGCAGTGCATCTTTCCAAATGCAGGGTTGCTGCTTGATACTTCATTCTAGTGTTCTTTACCTGTCACGCAACATAAAATAGTAACACTATCAATAACTCGTGTTGGACCCGGACTTTCAGAATTTTGGTCCAACTAGAGCTCTATTCGTTAACTCAGTAGATGTATCCGGCTCCTGGGCTTAGTTCGGCACCCAAAGGAATTTTCGGAATGCTTATTCTTAGAGTTCTGTAACCGATTCAACGATCCGATGAACATCCATCCTTCCGCCCTGCTGGGGTCAAGGGACTAATCCAAATATCGAATCCAACTGAAGTTAAGCTGTGTACAGAAGAACAAAGAAAGTCCTTCACGGTGTCAATTTAAAATGAATCTTGATCTAGTCCGCCGTAATTGCGAGGTGGAAAATGGTTTTTAGTACTTCCAAGATGAGGTGTGGCATTGTTACAAGACGGTACGGATAACCGCAATTTCTACTTTGATCCATGTAGACCTACAAATGTGGTCCTTAGCCGGACATTGATACATTGATGCTAGTATATTTATTAGTAGACTAGTTTAAGTTTGAAAACATTTCTTTAAGTATTCAATATCCTATTCTTAGTAGTAAAAGTGCGTCTACTGTCTCTAGTGGAAGATAATGTAGATTCAATTGGAAGAAGTTGCTGATTGGTAATTATCTATATAGTAATATAATATCGAGTCGGTCTGTAGTAGTTGTAAACAGTCCAGAGATATATACTGGGTAAAAAATTTAGGATATAGTTTAAAATATCTAATAGAACAAATAAATAATGTTTGGAGTGTCTACGCGATAGCTTTGCTGCACACACTTTGCCAACCAGTCGCTAACGAAGACCCGCGCTGGGCAACGAGTTATGTACATACCAAGGCATAGCTGAGTCAGGCAAGGGTCAATGCACGAATGAGTCATCGGAGTGGCTCTGGACCGAGGTTAAAGTCAACGGCTGACTAACCCTGCAGGTGACCCCCATGAGCCGCCCGATCGAGCAAAGTCATCTGGCTGGGGTTCCTGCAATCAGATGGAGCATCACCGCCCGCAGGTGATAAGCATCAATTACTACTAGTAGTATAGTACTTCCGGTGACGCAAGCTACCCGTGGACGTTCAGAAGGCCGGGTTTCTATGGGCATATCACGGAAGTGAAAAACAAAATGTAGAAAAATGCTATTGATTTGAAGTGAATTTTTCCAAGTATTTTACGTATTTGATCAGAATTTATTTCTTGTCGCCCTTCACGTCATATTTCATCCAAGTTTTGTAGTGCTGACGTGATGGCCAATCACCATCCCGGGTGGCTGGCTGTGCCTGAGGCAGTGGATCAGGTTGACGGCGAATCCCAATGCGGCGATCGCCATCCAACTAGTACTCCGTACTCGTCTCCCGTTATTCAGGACGTAGGAGACAACCATGGTTCCAAAGTGGCGTCAGGGGGCGTTCGGCGAGCAGGAATAAGATTCACCCTCGCAGTCACGATAAGAAAGACCGATCGTCATAGGATGGCCATTTATCATCTCCTCGCGGAGCATGACTGCCGTAGTCAGCATCGCCTCGCTCGGTCCTCGTGCTGCGGAGTCAATATGATACGATATGATATGATATGAATGCTCTCTCCTCTTTCTCCGCTTCTGCTCCTTCTTCGTCTTCTCCTTGATCTCGTTCAGGAAGAAAGATCGATCAACGACTTGGGGTCGCTCCACATTCCCCAGCGTCTATTGTGTCTATTTTTGGGTTGAATGAACATTACCGGGCCATTCAGGGACTATCGATTGTTCCATGACTCCGTTTAAGCCCAGACATTGGTGACTCAACCCCCCCCCCCCCCCCAAAGGCCACTTTCCTCTCACAGGGTCCCTGTTCTCCATCCAACTCCGGTCCCTCGGGCTACCTGTCACCCTTAATAATCCCTTCCACCTCATTCTTGCCTCTTCAGCTAAGTGGCGGCAATTACCTCCACCATCCCGTTTGACAGTTCGATCTGCCTACCCTTATATCAACCTCATCCTATCGGCCCACTCGCGTCTCTTTCTCCATCCCGTCGTTATCAGTCATCTATACCTCATTGAACAACACAGTCATCATGTCTGACTCCAACGATCTTCGTCATAACGGTACCGCGGCCAAGAGGGTCTATAACCACAAGTCCAAATGGGCCTACGGTGGCCGAGCGGCGCTCCCGCATCACGAGGTCTCTCTGTCTGACCCAGTGACTCGTCCAGCGGCGCCTCAGAGTCACTCCCTGAAGTGCGTTGTCATATAGTTTCATCCAAGTAATAATTAAGCTGACCCCATGAAAGGTATTCCCGTCTCTTGCAGCTCGACCGAAAGGCGAAGTCCAACCAGCTGGCTACCACCGCCAAGTTCACCCTGCAACACGACATTAGGGAGGCCCTTGACAGCGGCCCATCCGACTCCTCCGCGGCGGAAGACGTTGATGAACCCTCAGCCGCAAAGGATCTTCCGGGACACCCTCAGGAGGAAGATCTGTTAGAGCCATACCAAGTGTCGGGACAGACAATTCTCTCTGATGCGATAAGCAAGGCAGTAGAGAAATTCGAGACACAAGAAACTGAAAAGCTTGTCGAGGAATACGAAATCATCACTCGGGAGAGTGAGATTGCTACGGGCTATCTCGCCGATGATGATTTCGAGCTAGTTGACCATGATCACGCAAGGCTGTGAATGTCCTGACGCTGTATACTTGTGTTGTTTCTATCTTGTGATATTTCTTAGGCCCACAAGCGTCGGTTATGGAGTTGATTAGAATTTGCCCTTTCTCCTCGGTGGCTGTTTCATTATCTTCTCGGTGCAGTTCTTCTTCTACACGAGACTGTTGTTTTTGTACTTCTGACACCAGTGATGATGGGTTACGACCTAGATCCTATTTTAGACTGTTTATACTCATACCCTCAGTTTGATATTCTTGAGATTCTATTCGTGTGAATACGTGATGACTATGAACAAATCAACCTTTGTTTCTAATTTCTCCCGATGCTACGTATCGAATAGTAGGGTACAATCGAAGAACAAAAGAAGGACAGTGTAAAGATTTCCGAGCTCATCACCTGAGTTTGGAAAGGGCTGCTAGAAAGGCATATCATATTGTAGTACTCGTAAGTCTGTGTCATATGTGAGGCTACTTCGTATTTATACTTCGTGAGCAATATATATTACGTTCTGCCCCTGCATATCGCCAGTCACCGCCATTTTTTACTGCCTTCTGCCTAATTATTGTTACTCTTTGGTTCAACATTGGACACATTCCGATGACAATAGGAAGAAAATCACATAAATTAAAATAAAATGCAATAAATAAACCAAAAGAAAAGAATAATGTAGCTGGGGGGGAACCCGTTGCCAGGGTAGGTGTACTAGGGCTGCCAGATTTGTTTACCATCACCGATCGGGAATGGTCAAAAATTCGCCGATCGAACGAATGTCAATCAGTTACTCCAAATCTTTCTCTGCCTTTCTGTCATCTCCCCTCACACGCGCTTTGTGTTTAGGACATTTTACCTTCCATCATTCAAGATGGACAAACGATCAGCAGAAAGTCCGATGGACTTCGAATGGCAGACAAGGGCCCCAGGGGATGTGACTTCACCCTTCTATCAGCTCAGCATGCAGCATGACAACCAGAAGAAACGTGCGGCCTCCATGCACTCCGCCCATCACAATCATTGCTAATTTAATTTTACTCCGCACAGGACCCCATCGCATCTTCGAATCTCCCGGAAAGAAGCAGACGCCGGCCTTGCGCGAACCTAATTCACAGCCCTTCCTCTTCTCCCAGTCGCGATCCCAAGACCCTCCTGGCACGCCGAAATCCCTCTTTGGCCAGTCCGCATTCATGACCCCGCGCAAGTTCGATGTCGATTTCTCGTCTGGTGCAGAAAATATGTCGTCTCCCGAGAATGCAGATAACGAAGATACACCGGAGCCGCCCATGAAGTCGGGCCATCGAAATTCATTATTCAACATGTACGGACGGTTTGCGCCTAGTCCCGGACGGGGTGAGATTCCTCGTCTGAATCATTATTCCAATGCGCTGGCTCGCCGGGTACAGAAGAGAAGACGGAGGGACAAGGCACTAGATATGCAGTTTCGCAGGGAGAGTGACGATGAGAGTGAGGACGAGCGCGTATCAGACAACAAGCAGAACCAGAACCAGGGGCACGTTCAGGGGGAGGCCCAACCGGCATCGCGTATGTCTTCTTTCTCGGACTTTTTCGCTTTGCTCGAGGCACACCCCAACGTTCCGAGCATCCTGTCTTGGTGGGCTCAGTTGGTCGTGAACCTGTCTCTCTTCTCGCTCGCCGTGTACGTTGTGTTTGGATTTGTGTCAGCTATTCGGGCGGAGTTCGAGCAGGCGGCGGAAGAGGTGTCCGATACGATATTAGCAGAAATGGCGACATGTGCGAAGAGCTACGTGGATAACAAGTGCGGCGGCGGAGATCGACTTCCAGCCCTGGAGACAGTCTGTGAAAACTGGGAACGTTGTATGAATCGGGACCCGGCAAAGGTCGGACGGGCGAAGGTGTCGGCTCATACCATGGCGATCATCATCAACAGCTTTATCGACCCCATTAGCTGGAAAGCGATTGTATGTCTTCTTTTCCTAACCCCACGTAGACAAGCTGCAGGACTAATGCTCCCCAGATGTTCTTCCTCGCGACCATTTCGACAGTTACCGTTGTCAGCAACTGGTCCTTCCGTTCATTCAGAAATCGTTACAATCAACACGAGTATACTCATCCTTCCGCCCCCAGCTTTTCTCGGCAGCCGTCCGGACAGCACCACCCTTCATTAGGTCCCTCCCAGCCATCCTACCAGCACTCCGTTGGGTTTAATTACCAGACCCATGCGCCGAGTCTGGATCATAAGAAAGAACAACCTTTGATGCTCGAAGACTCGCCAACTCGGGACTTCGTGAATGAGAGGAGCCGCACTAGGGAAAATCGCATGCGCACCCCAAGTCCGACGAAGAGAGATAGGAAGTTGTTATAAGCTGTGGTTTAACCAAAGTGTGTGTACAAATTTGCATTAGCGGAAGGATTCTGGCGTTTATTTTTAATTGGGGTTTGGTCAAAAGAATGTGCTCGGTCTTTGTCACTATAGGTCCTTGTCCACTGGCGTTGCATGATGGAGCACATAGCGTCAGCTTCTTTTCGTGTATATATAGACAATCTTTTGGCAACCTTATGCATTATTGTTTGATGCGAGCAGCTGGTCTCGACCATATGAGGATTTACTAAGATGGCACAGTATTCATGCATCCATGGAAATGATTATTGCTCGACTGCCAGGAGTAGGGATCAGAACATGTTTCTACGCTATGTCATATACGTGCACCGATCAGCCACGGAAACGAACCCGAAGTGGTGATTGCTAACTTTTCAAAGACAACATAACATATACATGAAAGCGCTGAAACACCCCGCCCCCCCTAACACCGATACAACAGCAAGAACATGTGTATTACACCCATCGTAACCAGAAACTCATGTTCGTCCCAAGATACCTTCAGGGGTCATAGCCTTGGTCGCCAAAGCAAAGAACCCACCAGCCAAACACATGACGCCACTGAATATGCTTGCCTCCGAGTACCCTCCATAATGTTTGACGAGTGCCCCATTCACCGGGGGACCGATTAAAGTTGCGAAAGAGCTCAGGGCCATACCCATTCCCATGTAAGTTCCCATGTCCCGGGGATCCTTGGGGCAGAGGGTAAAGGCCGCCGAAGCTCCAGAGATGATCGTTCCCGAAGTAAAGCCAATGACAACCGAATATACGATCAAGCCTGCGTTGGTGGTTGCCAAATTGAAACAGAATATCACGATCGCTGTGGTTATACCACCCACCATGAATGCGTTCAATCGCCCGAATTTATCTGCTAATATGCCTGGGATGATACGGCCAAATGTGGATGCCGCGTTCAAGATCGCCAGCAAATATCCAGAAAGGGTCGCACTCATGCCTCTGGATACTGCATATGTAGGGATGTAGAACAGGGGGAAGAACATGCCAATGAACATAAAAAACAAGGAGACTATCAGGAGGACGAATTTCGCTTCCTTCAAGGCCGATGGAATCCAGAAGGGGGATGTACTTGGCGGTAGGCGGCGCTTGATGGTTAGGCACGCGAATGCCATGATGGGCATGACGAGAAAGCCGATGATTCGCACCGACCATCCAAATCCCAAGGAAGAGCCGTTCAACATTTTGGACAATGCAATAGGAATCACGATGCCGCCAACAGACGAACCAGCCGCAGCAATGCCTAGTGCGGCTGCTCGCTTCTTGTCAAACCATTGTGATACTGCTGGAAACGCTGGAAATTGAAGGAAGCCCGTTACTATGCCCATCAATACACCTTGCGCAAGCATAATCTGCCAGTACGTTTTGCACAAACTAAGCATCATCATGGCAAAAACATAGGCGACTGCAGCTGGCCGGATAATCTACTCCTGTGTCAGTTCACGGCAGAGGTCAAGACAGACGGAAAGACATACCCATGCGCCGTAACGGTCGAATAATGGTCCTGCAATTGCACCTGTTGCGAATTGAAGGAATGCTGCTAGCGATCCTATCCAGGCGATATTGTCTGGAGATTGCCCACGGAGTTGGTGTGATAAGTAGTACTCCTCGAAAGTGCCAAATGAATTTGCGAAGCCGAGACAACAGAAGAAGAGTGAAGCGCCCCCTGCAGCCACGAGCCACGCTCTAGAACCACCGTCTGGTGCTTCTTCATATTTAGGTGATATTTCAGACACCTTCTCCTGGTCGAGATCGCTTCTAAGTGGGTCTATAGTATGCTTGAATGATGTTGTCATATTGCAATCCAGAGGCCGGGATTGATTATGGTTTAAACCGTAGAGTGTATAGGTGACCTCTGGGTCCTTGTCAATCTTGGGATGTGGATCGGCCTTGATCTATAACATCATGAGTGACTAAAAAGCGATCTTATATCATATATAAATCATTCTATCGATGCTGTATGCAGTATACTAATCGGGGATAAGCCCGGAGCCGGTCATCGGAGTCGGTAAATGGCAGGCGAAACGGACCAAACACGCAAAGGCTTACCTCCATAAACCAGTCGTGTCCTCATCTCCTTTTATTTTCTTGTTTTCCAGCAAAAAAGAGACGAAATAATTTCGGAGATACGCTGTAAACCGCGTGACGCTTGCTTAGTTTGGACCGAGTTCAACACGGTCGTAAGGGTTAACCATGACTGACCCCGAACGGCGCCGCAGACGACCGGCTGTGTATGTCACAGAACCCTTAGATACACGCGTCCCACAGTCGCACTGACCGCAGAAGTACAGCTCGTGCTCTCTTTGCAGGAGACGAAAGATCCGATGCGATCGGAAGACTCCTTGTAACAATTGTGTGCGCTCGAAGAATGAGGCATGCAGCTATGAAACTCATCCCTCTGACCGTCCGCGGCCACAAGTTAACCATGGTCAAACAATTACACTGGAATCCCGGGAGGTCCCTCTCCAACAGCCCCTAGCACATCCTCCTATGTAAGCAGGCCACCAACCGTGACTAGCCATGCATATGAGCCCATAGTGGCCGGCTCAGCAGATGCCACAACTCCGAGGAGTCAAGTTTCTGCTGAGGATATTGAGGCGCTGAAGAGCAGAATTAAAAGCCTCGAAGAGCAGCTGTCTAAAACAAACCAGAGGCCTGTCCGGTCCTCTGATCCGACTTCTCGCCCTGAACTAAGGGCAATGAATTCGCCTCTGTGTGAGGTTGATAGTCACTTATTTGGGGAAACTCAAGTCATCACTCGCAGTGTGGTACATAAGTCCCGCATGTTTGGCCAAAGTCATTGGATCAATGGTGTGATTGGGCTAGTAAGTACTCGTAGGCTGCTTATCTGTATGGATTAATATGCTGAAATTCGGTAGTGCCGAGACGTCTTTGAGATGCTTGAGCCTCACGTACGTGACGAAACATCGGATGTATTGGCTGGCATGCAGAGGTGTAAAGCCCTTGCGAGGGTTATCAAGTCGCGGCGGACACCTTCCTGGCCGTCACCCCCAACATCTGTTCTGCCCTCAAAGGATGTCGCCGACGAGCTCATTGACTGTTACCTTAGGACATCCGAAACCGTCTATCGTGTTCTTCATATTCCATCATTCCGAAGGGATTATGAGGCACTCTGGGTGTCAGATACAGCACCTGACATGGCATTTTTGGTTCAAGTCAAATTAGTGCTTGCTATCGGAGCTACCATATACGATGAAAAGTTTTCCCTGCGTGCCTCGGCCATTCAGTGGATCTATGAAGCGCAGACGTGGTTTTCAGAACCTGTTTGCAAATCCAGGCGGAGTATCCAGTTCCTACAGATCAATATTCTACTAGTGATTGCTCGCGAATTGGTAAATGTGGGCGGTGACACCATTTGGACTTCAGCAGGGGCACTATTGAGAACTGCGGTGTACTGGGGGCTTCATAGAGACCCGGCTTATTTATCAAATCGGACGATTTTCGTTAGCGAGATGCGCCGGAGGCTATGGAATACTATACTCGAAATGGCCCTGCATTCGAGTATGGCCTGTGGTGCGCCCGTGTTCATATCTCTGGACGATTTTGACACCGCGCCTCCGGATAATTATGATGATGACCAGCTTGTGGCTGATGCCCCGGTGCCGAAGCCAGAAGACACCCTCACTCAAGTATCAATCCCGATAGCTCTCCGTAAAACCCTTCCCATTCGCCTCGCAATTGTGAAATTCTTGAATGACCTCAGCTCCAAGAGTACTTATGAAGAAACATTGCGACTGGATGCAGAGTTCAGAGCGTCTTACAGAGCCCTGTGTCGGACCCTTCAGAGGTATAATGCGGGCACCAGATTCAGCTCTCAGTTTCCGATTCACATGGTGGATTGCCTAATGTTGCGCTACCTTATGACTCTCCATATCCCGTTCTTTGCTATGGCACCACATGAAACGGCCTATGCTTTTTCTCGGAAGGTGGTGGTTGAGACGTCGCTCAGATTATGGTGCACATTGAACCCATCCTCATCTATCATGGCGGCTCACAGTCGTCACGATACAGCTACGACAGATCAAAATGATTTCGAGAGGCTTGCGATCTGTGGGACTGGTTATCTCCGCATGTTTGGCATGCAAAGTAGTCTTGCCATTGCAACAGAATTAAGCACTCAGTTGCAAGAAGAAAGTCTCGGTCCGGTATTTCTACGAGCAGATCTACTTTCGATGGTGAAGGAATCTAAAGAGTGGCTCTTCCGTGCTATTGAAGCCGGCGAGACAAATATCAAGGGTTACCTACTTGTTGAGTTGATCGAGGCAAGGATTGCAGGACTTAGACAAGGCCTTGCGCGCGACCAACTTGTGGTGTTGCTACTCAAGGCCGCCGCGGACGCAGAGGCAAGATGTTTACGCATTCTTGAAGAAATGGCGGCTCACGGCCAGACCGAAAGTTTTGTAAATGGGCCTGGTCAAATGGGCCTGGATATAACTCCCCAGTCCATGGACGATTGGGACCTTATGGTATGTAAAGATTCAAACTATTCATTTTTCCCCGTAACTCACCGTTATTTAGATGACCGATGTTCTCCTGAATCAAAGCACTGCGGAGCCAATGAATTGGGTGTTCAACGAAATCCCGCTAGTGCCTTTGCTTCCCAGTTAAGAGTTTCGATGTTGTCTCGCCATTCGAATTCCTAACCCATGTAACTCAAAGGAGAGAAGTTCAATTTATGATGAATACACGAACTCGCGTGATTCCACGAAGAAACTCCAAGCATCTTGCACATGGGAAACGCCATGTCAGATCTTTTCACTTGCCAGCACACGACTTGAGGATCCCTTGAGATATTGTGTTTCGGTCTCTCCGTCACTTGTCTCTGTCCAAGACTATGTCTCACCCGCGTCCGACGAGCTCCGATCTTGGGGGTGATCACTTTGTCCGAACATCTGTGCGGGGGCTCTACTTGGCAAAAGCAGCTGCTCAGGAGGCAATGCGCACGGCGCATTCTATGAAGACACGATCCGAGGTATAGCGATCTTCATCTCAACCCAAAACGAAACGCGAGTAGTGCTATCAGAGACAGCCTAGCCGCTTCGATGACCCTCTCCTATCAATTGCGACCAGGCGAGTCCCTTGAGACAGACGAACTACCTGAGGAATGTACACTATGACAAGGCTTTTCAGCATGTCTTTTTATTTTTGCTTACTCGACCACAATGCATTCTAAGCATTAACGCCCACCTCCTCGATACTTTATTTGATTTGCGATAATGTCTTTTTTTTTCCCCGAATTTTCAAATTCCCCGCAATGGTCCAGGTGATAAATGTATCAATGACCTTCCGCATATTACAAATCCAAGAGTCGCTAGGCCATCGTTTAAACAAATGCCGATAAGACCCCTGTTACATTGCGTCCCTGCCAAGATGGCTAATGCCAGCGTTTCTGTTGCGTTAAGGCTCGTCCCGTCCAACCAACAGCCTCGGTTCAGTCGCAAGCCGCTTTCCATGTAACCTAAGAACCATATGAAGATTAGCCTTCTACTCCAAGCAAATCAGTCGCTTTTACCAAGACTTTCTACTTATCTGCGCGTGAGTGAAGAATGATGATCAAAGTTTGTTTGCCTTTCCACGATCGCGCAATGCCTACGATGATGTTCTCTATCTACTGCGATAAATGGGATGAAATGATAAACTTGGCGAAAGTGAGAGGGGTTTACTGTCCTTGGCGGTGATCGCATAGCGCGATACTGCAGCATCTAGGATATATAAGAGTGCGAGGATGGAAAGAGCAGGAGCAATAATCAGACCAGCATTTCTCTCATATCTTTCTCCTGAGTAACAGACATCATGAAACCATCAGTAGTCTCCCTCCTGTCTATGGCTTGCTTCGCGGCAGCTTCCCGCGAGGGCGCTCCAATCATGAGGCATCTCATGTCTATCAAAACGGAACATCGCGAGCGAGCCCGGGCCCAGGGGCTATTCAAACCAAATAGCTACATTGACCTCGGGAAGACGCCTTGTGCGAGTGGCAAAGCAGGAGAGTATTCCTGTGAGAACGTTGATCTCCTTGGTTTTCTAAGCCACCAGGCCATGGGCAGTACGACCCGGGAGGGGAATGATATCTGGGGTATGTTAACCATACTATGCTTCTCCTCTGTAGCAGTGAAACTGACAATGAGCAGGATGGACATCGGCCGATGGTCGTGAATTCGGTGTCGTTGGCCAAACGGACGGAACGGCGTTTGTAGAAGTTCTGGACGATGGCAGTCTACAGTATGTCGGTCGTCTACCGACGCAGACAACGCCAACTATTTGGCGAGATATGAAGGTGATTGGGGATCATGCATATATCGGGTCGGAGTCACCGGGGCATGGACTTCAGATCTTTGACTTGAAGAAGGTATATCATAGTGCCAACCTTTCTTTCATGATGGAGTGCATCCAAGGCTAACTGCGTCCAGCTTCTCGACACGGACAGCAATAACCCGACCAATTTCTCGACAACGCAAGACCTAACGGCTTGGTATAGCGGTTTCGGTAGCTCGCACAACATCGTCGCGCATGAGGAAACCAATATGATCTTCGCCGTCGGTACGGCGAGGAACCTATCCTGCGCGGGCGGTTTGTGGATGCTCGATGTGTCTGATCCCGCGAAGCCGACGTCGCCTGGATGTGTCAGCGAAGATGGTTATGTGCACGATGGTAGGTTTCACCGGTCGAACGGCTCAGCCAGAGTCCAATACTAATGCAAACCAGCACAATGTGTGATCTACACCGGCCCCGATGAGAAATACACCAACCGCGAGATCTGCTTTAACTACAATGAAGACACCCTCACTATCGTCGACATAACTGACAGAGCGTCTCCCATCCAGATCTCCAAAACGCCCTATGTTGGAGCAAGCTACACACACCAAGGCTGGATAGCAGCCTCCGACATGTCCTACCTCCTCTTGGACGACGAACTGGACGAACAGGACGGGACAGGAGAAGCCGCTAACGGACACACAACGACCTACATCTTCGACATCAAGGATCTAGCCAACCCGAAGCATACGGGGAGCTACCAGTCTCCCGTGCGGTCAATCGACCATAACCAGTATGTTATTGACGGGCTGACATACCAAGCTAACTACGGGAGCGGATTGCGCATCGTCGATGTCAGTTCTATTAAGGACGATCCCACGGGCAAGGGGTTCAAACAGGTTGGTTTCTTTGACTGCCATCCCGAAGATGATGCCCAGGGTGGGGAGGTGGAATTTGTGGGTGCTTGGAGTGTTTACCCTTATTTTCGGAGCGGAAACATTCTGTTGAATAGTATTGAGAGGGGTGTCTATTCGTTGAAGTACACTGGAAACGCTTGATCGCACGCGGACTCATGTATATGAAACAGAAGAGAAAGCAAATGAAAGCCTCTGACATCATCTCTCGGGGGGTCTTGATTTTCTAGAAGAATATGGTGAAACAGTAGGGTCCTGCATCGTAAATATCGTGTTCAACAATAAAGAGAACCCAGAACTGTTTCCGTTGATCCTACATATCAAGTTATGACCAGAAAATCATCTAGGTTAATCATCGGATATACACCATTCTCGGGTCCACAAATGGATGTCCATTACCGATATGCCTCGGGATCGACATGCATCCAGAAAATCACCCCTAATTTACGGAACCAACCAAAGAGGCTCACTTGGGTGTAGATCTTGTAATTATATTTGCGATATACAATACTTCTCAAATCTCCTGCGACGGGGACTTGGTACGCCAGACAGCCTCGAACAATAATGACTGATAACGGGACAGTTAGATCTATTACTCAGAGTCCTGTACTCCGTGCCCCTCCCCGTGCTGCAAGCATCGATTTAGGAAAGGCTATGGCCAAATACAATGGGCTGTTATCAAATAGAGACTCGTGGCTAAGCTTTATTGCGTGATTTGGGAAATACTATTAGCGTTATACCGAAGAGTAATATCCGCAAACCCTAGACGGTGAAATGCGGATAAACCTAGCCTGGGTATTCTAGAAGGTAGTCCTTCTCTGGACGGTGGTTGAAACCCGAACGGAATATTTCCCCTCAGCTTCTCCCTTCTCCTTGGTATGTTGGGGTTTGAGATAGAGGATCCTCAATCCCAGTTTAAGGTCACTCGGGTCCGTGGTTGGCAGAGGACCTTGGACTTTACATGGGCCAAAATTGGAGGATCAGATTTCGGCAGAAGCACACGGTAAACCATGACAGATGAGGAGGCACAGATAGCAAAGTCCCGAGGATGTCATGTCGCAAAAATGCCTACGATTGGATATAATCATACAGACACTACTTGTCACCGACCCACTCCCCTAATAATCTTCGCACAGCACAGATCACAACCCAAAGACGAAACAAACCAGGGACACCGTTCCACCAGGACAGATCAGATGAATCAGCCCAAGTTTCCGATAAACACCAGGTGAAAAATACCTTTATCTCAAACCCAGCCTAGGCATAAAACCAAAAATCCCTTGTATCCAGCAATCAGGAATCCGCCCCAACCCCCAACAAGCTTGGCACCGCCAAAGGAACTGGTTTTCTCCGACAACATGCCGACGAATCCTGGCACTTCGTATCCGACCTGCCACCCATGGAAACCAGAGGGCTTCGCGCGACAATCATTTCTCCAAATGTGAAACTCGACGAACTCTGTCCCCCAAAAGAAAACAGCTTGTCTGAGTCTAGCAACGCAGCCCTAACCTGGTTTGACCTTAAAGGTGAATCCTCCGGGTTCGGGCCCCACTAGGGTTCGGTTCCGTTGTCCCTAGCGGCACTCGATCTGAGGCAGGAAGCTATTTCGGGCACAGCTATGTGACAGATTAATTCCTGGACGTTCGTTTACTTTTAACAATCGGGGCTACCTCTGCTACAGATATTCTGTACCTGGTTCACAGTCTATATATGGGATATGGTCTATGGGACCTGCATAGAGCGGGGAATACGAAAAGAGGAACAACTCAATAAACTTCAACCGTTCGTCAACCCTCAATAATGGGAACAAGTGGAGTCATCCCAACCTAACTAAGTAGGAGCGGATAGGAATCCTGGTTCGGTCACAGGCTCCTCCTTGGACGATGTTTATGCCAAGCGCAAAATGCCGATTGGATGTCAGATGGTGAAAATCAGGAGTTCATCCGAGACTCCACGGACTAGGTATTCTCTAGTGGGTTAACTGTCCCGCTAGAGTGTCGTTAGGTCGTTAGATACCCTGGCTGGTGTTCACTTTGAAACGGGGCCAGAGCGCCAGGCGCCAGGATAAAATTGGAATTAGAAGAAGAAAAGAAGGCAGAAAGCAGAGGGTTCTAAGGCTCTTACTAAAATAGACTCAAGTTTGGGTTTAGTGGCCATTGCTAGACACAGGGTAAATATCGGGAGATAATTAGTGTAATGGTTCTCAATTGGGGTAATGGTAAAGAACTATAAAGGGGGGATGGACCCTTCAGATTATACATGATTCCATCACAGCCCTCTCGCAAACCTTCTATCCAAACCCTTCTTGAATACCTCCACGTGCCATATCACATTTCTATCCGATAACTGAACAAGATGGTGATGCTCCGCTCCCTCCTCATCTCTGCCCTGGCTACTCTGGCAGCAGCCAGCCCCATCGCGGAGCCAACAGACCAGTCACTGGAAGCCAGACAGCTTGGGTCTTCCAATGACCTCACCAATGGTGCATGCAAGGATGTGACTCTTATTTTCGCCCGGGGCTCCACCGAGATGGGCAACATGGTTTGTCAACGAGAAGCTCTCTCGCACACATATCGCTAACATCGACAGGGTACTGTCATCGGACCTCCTCTCTGCTCGGCCCTGAAGAGCAAACTCGGTGCCGATAAGGTTGCTTGCCAAGGTGTGGGTGGCTTGTACACCGGAGGATTGATGCAGAATGCTCTCCCTCAAAATACCGATCCGGGTGCCATCTCCACCGCGAAGTCGCTCTTTGAGCAAGCCAGCACCAAGTGCCCTAACACCAAGATCGTGGCCGGTGGATACAGGTATGCTTAGCTCCCGCCCCTATTGCACCTACAATTGCTCGTATACTAACGACCATACGATGCACAGTCAAGGCAGTGCTGTCATCGACAACGCCGTCCAACAGCTCTCCACCGAAGTCAAAGACAAGGTCAAGGGTGTTGTTTTCTTCGGCTTCACTCGTAACCTCCAGGATAAGGGCCAGATCCCCAACTACCCCAAGGACAATGTCAAGGTCTTCTGTGCCATGGGCGACCTTGTTTGCGATGGCACGCTCATTGTCACCGCCGCTCATCTGACTTACACTATCAATGCGCCGGAGGCTGCCTCTTTCCTTGCGTCAAAGGTTCAGTCAGCTTAGTTTGCGAATTTGGGTAACTGATATGTTGGATACGGGATACGGATGGGTAGATAGACTGTGCTGGTCATTGTCTCTCGTGTGTACTGCGTACATGTATGTGATATGGCATTAATGGAGGTATTTTTGTAAAGTAGTATTCTTGATTCCTAAGATTGTTGAGTTAGCTATACCTGATCTCTAGTTCAGTATAATGTACAGGGAGCTCCGCAACTGGTTATTGGCAACGCGCAAGGAATAGAATAGACCCGCGTAATGACATGTTGCTCTGCGAGTCATGCAGGAGGGTAGGCAAAGTTCAAACATCCTCATCAGTGAGACAGCCCCACATACAGGTATAGCAGCTTCTGGACTTGGGGTTGGAGTCTCGAAGGATTTCGGGTGGGGGCATTACACCACGGATCAAACCTTCGATGAATGTAAGTTTAGCTACTCACTTTCCACACCTAAACGCTACTTGCCATTGACTTGAGTATAACTAAAGCTTGAGTGTGTAAGGGGAACTAAATTGAAGTATCGCGGGTGAGCCCACCGCCACGAGGACTAGTGGTTACATCCGGCTAGAAGCACGGCGCCAGTTTAGGGGATGGAGATCGACAAGAAAATTCACAGGAAACTTTTCCACGCAAGGCAAATGGCTTCACAGTCCTCTGGACTCTGGACTAAATGTTTGCTTAAGTTGTTCATATACTCTGAGAAGAATCCAATAGCCTACGCCTTGATTATTGTTTAGCATAGGCTGAATGATGTCCACTGGTGCCTGTGGTCTTGATCTAAATTCTCGTACTAGCAAGTTCAAGGCATCACAAACACATCTACATCCAAATATGCAAGCGTCTTCACGTCTGCTTTTATGTTGGCTTGACTACTGATTGCTGTACCTCAGTCCATGTCATGAGTCGTTCTATATTTTAATATCTTCTAGATACCATAGGGAGCCAGGTGAACTAGTCACTATTGCTTCAGCCTCTATCTCCGCAGCTTGGGGATTCCATCCACAATCAAGCCGATCTCGCCGAAAGCCCTTAGACAAGCTAGATGACCTCCTTAGCCCTAGTTACGGGATCTCTAGAATGTAGCTTTGCAAACCGAAGTTGCTACTGACTATGCATCCTGATCAATGCCCACCTTGTGTGCTTCTTGTTACTGTTCTACATAAGGCTCGACTAGGTCTGGAAAATACAACATGATCGGTGATTGGTTAGATATTATGGTGATATCTGCTGAGTCAGAAGCCATGAACGCTAGCCCGAAACAGAAGGAAGCGCGAGGCACGTGCGATAGCATTGACCCTAAACAATGACCTGGATGGTCGTATATCTATATCAAGATGGGTAAAGAACGCAATTTCCCTATAACTCTTGTTCTCTTCCCAAGAAATTCTTCTACTGCCGCCCCCCTTGCGTACTTGTACACAAGCTCAATGGCTAAAATGCCTCAACCTACGCGCTATGACCCAGGCTGGGCAGAGCGATATCGCCTAACGCAATTATCGTTATACGAAGGCATCATCGCAGGTCGATGTAGACAATGGTTAAGTTGTAGTAAGATCTAGGTTAAAAATGTGTCATAAATGGCTTGCTTGTCGACATGAGGGCCACATATGAGCCACAGGCCCAATCAGAGAAGAGGCTACGATCTACGCTAAGGGCATGCATCTAATTCCTCGCTGCCGCCATAAGCTTAAAATTGCCCACCCAGCAAAAATGCTGTATTCCGCTTGTATTGAAAACGGCGCACTATACTTGATTAATTGCTAGGGTGTGTTGTATTGCCGGATATGTCTGTTAATTTAGTGGCCTTGCTATGAATTGTAACCCCTGTCTGTACGAAGGTTTAGCGATTACAATACATGACAAACTACCTAGCAATTTTAGGAAGGTTACTTTGAAATAGACTGTTGAGTCTTCCGCAAACATACACCTTTATCACGACATCGCCAGCAAATGAACGGGCTCTCTGTCGCCCGATCTAAGAGATACCAACCACACACGCCCACTCACGCCATCATGGGCTTGCGTGGGCAAAAATTATCTGTTCCCTACAATAAACCCGTTTTTCCACGGTTATGTTGTTTACAATCCGACCATCTACGACCGCGAATTTATGGGTTCGACTTTATAGCCAATGTCTACCAAATTCGGAAAAGATGATGCTATCATGTACCAGGCTCGGTCCGACCTGGACGAGGAGGATCCCAACAGCCAGACAGGGTCCATCGACCCCCTGGCTGCTCCGTTGAAGAGAAGATTGAAGTCGCGACATCTGCAGATGATCGCAATTGGTGGTAGGCTGTGCCCTGTCTCATCTCTAATATATCGATGTCTAAGACAGTGCAGGGATTATCGGGCCGGGATTGTTGGTCGGTTCGGGAAATGCACTGAATAAGGGCGGCCCGGCGGGATGTCTGATCAGTTTTTCTCTCGTCGGGCTTATTGTGTTTTTCGTGATGTGAGTCTTGTGGGTCGTTTGTGCCGGCTGGACGCTAATCGAGCAGGCAATCGCTGGGCGAACTGGCTACTGCAATCCCTGTTTCTGGATCGTTCACCGAGTATGCGCAACGATTTGTGGACGATTCATTGGCTTTCGGACTGGGGTGGGCGTACTGGTATCTTTGGGTGACGGTAAGGGGTTTTTTTCGCTCATTCTGCTGGAAGGTCGCTGACTCGACAGATTCTGGCGAGTGAATATAATGCGATTTCGCTTGTCATCGGTTTCTGGACGGATGCTGTGCCCCAATGGGGCTGGATCCTGATCTTTTGGTTCCTGTTCCTAGGGTTGTCCAATCTGGGTGTTCTAGCATATGGTGAAATGGAGTTTTGGTTGTCACTGTATGTGCCTCACTGCTACATTCCGGTCGACTCGCTCACATACAGTCAACAGTATCAAAGTGCTGGCACTGATCGCCTTCTTCATCCTGGCCATCTGCATCAGCACGGGCGGCGTCGGGCCTGGTCCCATTGGCTTCAAATATTACCATGATCCGGGCGCATTTGCCGATTCGATCAACGGCGTCGCAAGGACGTTCGTCGTTGCCGGCACGCTCTATGCGGGCACAGAGATGTAAGTCCTCCCAGGCATCACAAGTTAACGACCTCTGACAATCGCAGGGTGGGTGTAACTGCTGGAGAATCAGCAAACCCCCAAAAGGCCGTCCCGACCGCCATCAAGCAGGTCTTCTGGCGTATCCTGATCTTCTACATTGGTATACCTCACATCCACAAGGCAAACAAGCAGAACGCTGACAAGGAACAGGAACCTTTTTCTTCCTGGGAATCCTACTCCCCTACAACCACCCCAAGCTGCTCAGCTCTACTTCCACCGCCGCCAGCTCTCCATTGACCATCGCGCTCACCGACGCCGGCATCCTGCCAGCCGCGCATCTAATCAACGCCCTAATCGTCGTCAGCGTCATCTCCGCCGGCAACGGCTCATTGTACGTGGCATCGCGAACCATGCTCTTCATGGCTCGCAACGGCAAGGCACCGCGCTTCATCGGCCGCACCAATTCGCGGGGTGTCCCCTGGGCGGCCCTGATCTTCTCCAACATCTTCACCTGCATCGTGTTCCTCACGCTCTCCTCGAGCGCGGGCCGGATTTATTCCGCATTAATCACCTTAGCAGGAGGTGAGTAACCCACACCAACAACAACTCCCTACCCCCCCCACAAATACAATACTAATAACTCTGGAACAGTGGCCACCTTCGTAGTCTGGGCCGTCATCTGCATCGCACACATCCGCTTCCGCAAGGCAATGGTCGTACAAGGCGACGATCCATCCCGACTTCCTTTCCGAGCAGCGCTCTACCCCTACGGCACGTATTTCGCGCTGGTCGCGACGATCTTCCTCGTGTTCTTCCAGGGGTATACGGCCTTTTTGAATCCGTTTAGCGTGGACGACTTCATCATCAATTACATCCTGCTTCCGGTGTTCGTGATGTTGGTTGTGGGATACAAGATCTGGAATAAGACGAAGATCGTCAAACTCGAGGAGATGGATATCTGGACGGGAAGAAGGGTCGCTGAGGTTGATGAGACAGAAACCGATAAGAAGCACGGATGGTTGGCCAAGTTGAAGGATATATTTATTGGTTAATACCCTGGTATTAGATATATGTAACGTATAGAGCTAGAATGGAGGGTATATGATCAGATTTATCCAATGTGAATCATGCAAACGGAGGTCCAGCTCCATCGGTAGCCGAGTCGGGAAGCATCATCGGGAGTTGATGAAATTACCCCAACTTCAATTCCCCCACATCTGCGGAGATGGAGTGGATGTGGGTTCGGATTTACGGAGCCTGATTGATCATAAGAACCCGCGCCGCTCAAGAATTCGTTCCCCTCTTACCTTCTCCCACGGAGATTGTTCTCTATACCTGATTTACGACTTCATCATGTCCATCCCGAAATACCAGACAGCGGCTACGATTGAGCACCCTCGCCCCGGCGCTAAACTGGATCTCCGCCATGATATTCCCGTTCCTGAGCCGAAGGCAGGGGAGGTGTTGATTAAGTTGGAATGCACTGGTTTCTGGTATTTCATTTACCAACTTGATTTGGGCTGCGTTGTGAATTGGCGTCCAGTCGCTAATAGGCGGATAGTCACTCGGATCTACACAACATTAATGGAGAATTACCCATGAGCACGAATGTCCCCGGCCACGAGGGGATCGGACGGGTAGTCCAAGGTAAGTCCTGGTTAACGCTTCGGCTCAGAGGTGACATATTGATGGCCTTCAGTGGCCCGGATACGAGCGAGGATATGATGGGGAAGCGCGTGGGCGTGAAGTATCAACTCCCAACGTCGGAACTGCTTAGGAATTGACTAACATGTAGCAGATGGCTTTACAGCACCTGCATGAAGTGTCCGACGTGTAAAGTCCAGTATCCCAATTGTCCGAGTCAGAGTAACTCCGGCCGGGTCAGTGTCTCTCGCTCCTTTCAAACAATCTCTCACTGATTGGATTAGAATGTCCCGGGAACGTTTCAGCGTATGCCATCCTCACGTCCAGGGCTCGGGTGAGCTGCTAACAGCGACAGAATATATCGTCTCCCCGGCCGATTTTGTATCGATCATCCCGGAGAACCTGAAGCCAGAGGCCGTTGCGCCTTTGTTATGCGGTATGCATCCCCTTTCGCTTCTGGTTCTGGGCTTGTACCAGCGATACTGACGATGCAGCTGGGCTGACCATGTACGGCGCGCTGAACAAATTGCACAAGTTCTGCCAAAAGGGCGATTGGGTCGTAATTATGGGCGCCGGTGGTGGATTGGGACATTTGTGAGAATCCATCGGTTGCAGAATCCAAACAACACCCGCTCATCCCTTCACAGGGGAATTCAAATCGGCAAGGAGATGGGGTACAATATCATTGCAGTGGACAGGTAGCACAATTCCAAGCGAACACAGCTCCACAAATGCTAACCCAGTCAGCGCAACGAAGCAGGACATTTGTATGCAGTCCGGCGCGGCGGCATTTGTCGATTTCCGCAACGATGTCGGTGGATCTATCGCTTCGTGAACACGTGTGTAGAACTGACACTCAGACAGGTGGAGAAAGAAGTCCAAAATCTAACCGATGGCGCGGGCGCGCACGCCGTCGTCGTAGTCGTCGGTCTTGCAACCGCATACAACCAAGCTCTCCGACTCCTGCGCCCCGTCGGGACGCTCGTCTGCGTTGGTCTCCCCTCGCAGGACTACCGCATGCCTCTCTCGCCGTTGGACTGTGTGAACCGCGGGTTTCACGTTGTTGGGAGTTGTGTAGGGACGGAAGAGGAGATGCAGGATCTCCTGAGAATGGCAGCGGCCGGGCGGGTGTCTACTCACTATCAGGTTTTTGAGTTAACAGAAGTCAACACGGTGATTGAGCGATTGGAACGGTTTGCGATAGAGGGCCGGGCCGTTTTGCGGATTCCGTCGGAGAGTCCGAGAGTTAGTGGGGAAATGAATTAAATCCAGGGGGAAAGTCAAGGAAGTCGCACAGCCAGTCATGGTCGCACCGGGGCGACGATCACTGGGATAGAAATCAAGCCATCCATGTCTTCTGCACGATTTCATTCGATATTGACAGGTTAATTCGAAGTTCTTCACATCTATAATCTCTCCTTCGGACACCGTGCACCCCCTGTCCGCCTCTCATTGGCCACGGTCAGCTGAGCGCGATAACCCTCACCGCAAATAAGGATCAAGGAACAGCGAAGGGATCTGCACTCCAGCTCCATTTCAACCCAATCACGCTCAATCAATTCAAAACAACGCCTTGCCTCCAGAGAGATCAGCCGGACATGGCTCTCTACCAATCTGCTTATCGACATTCTTCACGGGCACCTCCGAAATGTAACACCGCATATCAATTCGTAGTGACTATCTCAACCGGACAGATGCCGGGATGCAGCAAAAATGCCGAGCATAAGACAACGTGGAGAGCTTGGCCTGGACATTATTTAAACCCATTATAATCCCCGGGGCAGAAGGAGAAAGGAATCATTATCAGCAAAGACTATTCCTCCCCAAATCAACCCTTGGAACCGCGCAGATCGCACCCGTTGATCAAGATGTTGTACAGCAAGGTACGTATGATCGCGATCGTCCAACCCAATCCCCCCCCCAATCTCCAACTCCACTTTGTCACCCGTCTCATATCGCGTCCAGATAAGATCCTAACCAAAAACCACAGCTCCTGACCCTCACCACCCTCCTCCTCCCCACCGCCCTCGCCCTCCCCTCTCTCACCGAGCGCGCCTGCGACTACACCTGTGGTAGCAACTGCTACTCCTCCTCCGCCGTTTCCACCGCCCAGTCTGCCGGTTACGAGCTGCACCAGTCCGGCGAAACCGTCGGCAGCAACAACTACCCTCACAAGTACAACAACTACGAGGGCTTCGACTTCCCTGTGTCGTCCCCGTACTATGAGTGGCCTATTCTGAGCTCCGGAGCGACCTACAGCGGCGGTTCTCCTGGCGCGGACCGCGTGGTGTTCAACGATGACAACCAGCTGGCTGGTCTGATTACCCACACTGGAGCTAGTGGCAACAACTTTGTTGCCTGTACTTAAATAGGAGTGGGTGTCGGATATATATTGTGACAAAAGGGACTGCGTATGTTGGTCCGGATTGGATGTATATATTTTCCAGTAGGGAATTTGGAACTATCAAGACTCGAACAGCTTCTTTGTTAATGTGTTTGGGTGTATCCTTCGGTTTTAAGCATTATTGCTGGTAAAAATAAAGCCGAATGTAGTTCCATGAACTGAACTGTACATACTCCGAAGTGTTTATATATTTATATGCCTCTGGAGCCGTTTCATGCTTTCCATGGGTTTAAGACCGCTATGGATATGATACGCACACTAGAGTTCCTGTGCTACTAAAACCTTCTCTATATAATTATAATCACAATCCTCTTTCGTTGACCTAACATCGGAAGGGGAAACAAAGGCATTACAATCATATAAGGGCTGTACAATACTAACATCGACTACAGCAAGGTACTACCACGTCAGGCGAAATTCACAAGACATATATTCAATGATGGAAAAAGTCCATATCTATTGACCGACTAGGCAGTGCGTCATCACAGCGCACCTCGCTGTTCAAGTCGTGGTGATATAATAAACAGGGTACTGCGAGGTGCGTGTATCTTGAGCAAGCACCAGTCCACGTCTGTATGCATAGAGTGCCCGTTACAATGTCCTAATATTCTTATCGCTCTAGTAGCAGGGGTATTATTTCGAGAGCAAATCATCAATCATCTGTATGAGAGCGGTGCAACTGAGTGTACAGCGCGTTGGGGCGGCGAATTTTACCTCGGATGTAGCTTACAGAGGCGATAATTTAGGCTTGGGGGTGAAATGAGTACTCCTGGGTGAGTTAGCTTGTTCGGGTAACGTGGGATTTTTTTTAATCATCCTCTAGGTTTGGTTAGTAGCGGAAATAAAAGAGACCAGAATGCCTAGTCCCAGGACTGTTGTAAACAGGGAGAGATATAGGGCATGCACATGCTTGATGAAGTCTTCTAGGACGATCAATTTTGGCGGATTCCAGGTTTCTCGACTTGATACATCGACGATTTTGATCAAATCGCGCTGTTCAATCTGAGGGGGGATTGGTCGTCCCAAAAATGAGATTTTGTCCGGAACGAGGAGGTATGAAGCAAATTAGATAGCTTTCGAGAGGACAGCAACAGGTAAGTGTCGGCAATATATCCACATGTACTTACACCTTGGTGCAACTGGAAAGGGGCAGGGCGTCTGGCAGAAAGTTGAGCTGCAATGACATCCAGACTATCGCCTCGTCAATTGGTGAGAAAATAAAATAGACCAAAGGACAAAACACAAAGGCAACAACCATGAGGTGTGAGAGGGATCGGCCTATTCGAGGCTGCGATGACTTCGTCGAAGAAAGGCTCCATGGCGAAAGCATGCGCTCATGAATTGCACATAACTCCGTGTATCAGGCGAAATCCTGAATTGCAGTTACTCAAGATACGTAAACCCATGGCACCACCACTATATTTGAAATAGAACAAAGTTTAGGCCGGCCCTTCAACGCATGGCACAAAATCACCGAGCCGCCTATTGCGTTTGTGAAACGAAAGACACTCATAGGTATCCTTTACCCAGGCAATTCATTTCTCCTACCGTGTTATTCCGGTGAACCTCAGACAGGGTGATGGAATAGTTCTTTCGTTCTTCCCATGGTGCGACAGTGATCGACTTTCCAGCATGTAACCGGCAATGGCAGCGATGATCATCACTCCACGTACAAGTAGCCTAATAAGATCGACGTCACCGATCGTCCTCGCACTATGGGTATAGGGCTAGTTTCAGGTTTTCCGAAGTTCTAGCGATCGATCCTAGTTTTCAAGGCGCAATGGGTGTAGCACTAGCTTTTGTTTGATCCGTAGTCGGTCATGTCGTGAAACGGTCAGGGTAAACTCTAAAGCGTGCCTGGAAAAGCAGGACAGCTAGAGTTGAAGTCGGGTCTAGATCAGCAAAAGAATCATCAGGTTTTCACGATAATCCAGTACAGTTGCATGGTACAGCAAGTTCTGCGGATTGCGCGAGCCAAGGTACGAGGTATGATTGAGGCCTCGGCGACTTCCTATTTTTAAAAGGACAGTGTGTATGTCAACACAGTCACACGGAAATCATCATTTCGTGCTGGCTTCAAATAAAGTGCTGCCACAAAGTCAATCTTCGGGTGAGAGAAAGCATAGATAATCTAAAATTGGGATCGTTGGATTTTCTTCGAATTGGACGGATTTCAGTCACCGAGCGTCGCACGCCAATATTATGACCAAGGAACGGGCACTAGTGATATAGGTATCTTTGACAGCGTGTCTCATCCGAGTCCTTAGCGATCGCAATGCTTTCCTTATTAGACAAGAATATAGCGCTAACGCAAATCTTGCCATCAGATTGCTCTAGATCGAATAGCACAACTTCAGAGCTCCAGACCTTTCGTAGTCCGGACCCCTAACTGACTCGCCACCGATTTCGCGCTACAGTAGCTTCGGGCTCCATGTTCACTACTAATGGCCGTATAGCGACTAGTCCAGGATCAACGTGAGCCATTTATGCATGGGATCAGAGCACAATGTACTTACGGAGTACGGAGTACATACTAGGGCAATGTAACCTTCGACTAATAAGATCATGACGAGCAGTGGGATGTTGCCTCTTGCCGCCAGCTCCCAACAAACCAAGCGGGGCGTTTATTGGAGCAAAATGCCGCTATATTCGGATAATTTCGAACAAAAGTCCACTCCTGTTATTTCCGGAATCTTCCATTCATAAAAAAATCATAAACTCGAATTCAGGCCAGTTCGAGCCGGGCGAAATTGCCAAAGTATTCGGTAATAATAGGTTCCACACCGGGGGGATCGCCTCGTGTATGGGTCCGGCGGATGTGACCCCAAAGTTGGGAGTCACGACTACAAACTAGGACTTTGTCAAGGGCTGCAAGGACCACCTGGTATGCCAGGGACGGTATTGGCGCATGTCGCCATCTAACGCGATCGAGCAAGAAGGAGGCGCCATGGGGTTTCAACCCATTCCCACCAAGAAAATCTCATGTAGTCTGGACGAGAGAGATGTAACCAAGATTCCAACACAAGGCACGAGCGTTAAGCAAACAGATCCCGCCTGTTGAGACCGAGGTAGACAGCTGAATGCCCATGGAAGCAAAGCGATCGATCCCGCGAGGAAGTGGCTTGGGAAAAATCACAATGAACGGGACAGAGGGCAATTTCGCTTCCCTCGATCTTTTCCTGCGATAGGCTGTGAGGTTGACTGTCGTTATTACGAATCAGCGGAGCGTCGGAAGGGTTCTTGCCACATCCGTACCCAAAAGTGGGAATTTTTCATCGGAGGGACTACGGAGGACCCCGTTTGGGGACGATATGATGCCAAGCGTTCAGCCTTTGGATCCGCACGCCGCAAGCCCGAACGAGAAAAACCACTGGCCTCGCCTGTAAATTGAGCCAACTGTGCGGGGTAATCTGGGAATCAATGGTGCAATGTCTCAGTTCATGAGGGTCGAAGCAGGGACTAAGACTCGGGCCAAGTGCCGTTTAGGCGAATTTCCCCCAGACCTGAGAAGAGGACAAATGAGAATCTGGGGGCGGCCCGGAGTTCTGACCCCAATGTTACAGCACTAAAGCCATAGCGTCCCCGCCATTGAATCCTAATTGATTGGTTTACAGAGAAACAATTCGCTCCCTGGGGTTCCTATTACTCATGGTTTTGGGCCGGCTGCATGCTTGTACAACGGAAATTGAGGGTGGTCGTGAGAAACATGCCCTAACATCCCCAAGCTTTTGCTGGAGGGGTCACCGTCACGTTCTCGTCCGTCCTTGCTTCGGAGCCCTAAGAATGTCACAATGACATGCGATTATTCCAACAACGACGATCCAAGCCGCCCCAAATCTCAGTGGCACCAGTCAGAGAAGTCCAGACCAACCGTCGCGGCGACGATCCCTACGACTTACCCAAATATTAATTAAACTCATCCTGGTAGCTTCATACACCCCGAGGCCAATCCCATGGGGCAAATGATGGGCCTCTGCAACCTAAACCCAATCCTGCTAAGAATAACCCACGGGCTCCATTCCCCTGACCCATTCTGGCCGAGGCCGGACCTGACCACGCATGTGAGCTTCATTTCGGTCCGTCGTGTATATATAGAGACGGTGCGAAGCGCCTCGATGGGAGAAAGATCAGATCAGAGCTCTCCATTCTTTTGGCAACGTTCTTAGCTTCTCTGCACTCGGGCACTCGTTTGGTCTTCCCAATTATACATAGATCACCTTAATCTTAATTCAACTTACCAGTCTTTCCCGTCAAGATGAGATTCTCCGCCATCTTCACCCTGGGTCTCGCCGGCGCTGCCCTGGCCACCCCTCTCGTTGAGCGTGCTGGCTCTTCCCCCACTGACATCATCGCCGATATCAGCGACAAGACCGATGCTCTCGACTCCGCCATCAAGGCCTACAGCGGCGGTGATCCCTCCAAGGTCGAGTCCGCCTCGGCTGACTTGGTCTCCACCATCACCAAGGGCACCGAGACCATCAAGGGCGGTGACGAGCTCAGCACCTCCGACGCTCTTGCTCTGCCTGGACCCGTCCAGGACCTGACCAAGAAGGTCGAGCAGGCCGTCGATGACATTATCGCCAAGAAGGACCAGTTCGTCAAGGCTGGCGCTGGCGGCAAGGTCAAGGACTCCCTCAACCAGCAGAAGTCTGCTGCCGATGGTCTCGCCGATGCCATCACCTCCAAGGTCCCTGAGGCTCTCAAGGACATTGCCAAGGACCTCTCCGCTGGTATCAGCAAGGCCATCCAGAAGGGTATCGATGAGTACAAGGATGTTTCCGACTCCGCCCCCTCTTCCAGCGCTGCTCCCTCCGAGAGCGCCTCTGCCACCGACAGCGCCAGCGCTACTGAGACCGGCAGCGCCTCTGCTACCGGCTCTGCTTCCGCCACCTCCAGCTCTGTGATCCCCACCTCCTCCGGTGCTGCCAGCTCCTCTGCTGTGCCCTCCGGCTCCAGCACTCCCACTGGCTCCGGCTCTGCCTCCGCCACCTCTCCTCCCTTGGCCACCGGTGCTGCCAACAAGGCCACCATCGGCTACTCCCTTGGTGCCGTCGCCATGGCCGCCATTGCCGTCGCTGTCTAAACGATGAATTCCAATGGGGTAATCCCATCGTCCTTCAACGATTTTTGACGATGGTGACGAAGACAAGCGCCATGACCGGTTGGAACGATTAGGAACGCAATGGGCTTGTTCTGTATATTTTATTCTGTCTCACCGATTAATGTAACGGGCACTGCCTGTATATACCGTGTTTGAAATTTGCTATAGTCTAGTAATGGATTATATTTGCCTATTCACAGGTTTTCCTTGTAGTAATCACTCCTGGCGGAGTGGAACAAGATTTCTCTCTTCCGCGCTCTTCCGACAGGATGAAAAGTTCCGATTCTTCTGTATACCCTTGGAATGTAATGGCAAAAATATCGACCGTATTTCAACACCAGCCGGGCTAGCTCAATCGGTAGAGCGTGAGACTCTTAGTCTTCACGGTATCTCAAGGTTGCGGGTTCGACCCCCGCGTTCGGCTTGTCTTTTTGCTTTTTAGATCTCAGTTATCGCTCCTGGGGGTTTTCCGCAGTTAACAACATGAATGTTTTTTTTTTTGGTTTACATTCAACCAACTACGGTGTAAATGGTGGATATTTATTACTTCAACGGTTTAATTCTCCGCCAGTACGTTCTGGTTGTTTTTTGTTTTGATATAAAGGTTCAATGTCTTGTAGGTCGGGCTTGCGCTGCAGTTGAATGCCGATCGGCAAACATATATATATCTACCCTGCCACATAGACATAACAACCACGGAGAGATGGCACACATGAAAACAAATCTACTAGCTTCGTGGACAAGCCACTAATATTATAAACTTATCTGCAACCTTTCGCCTACACTTCCACCCTTTACACCTCCTCGGTTGTGGCGGCTAGATCGAAGCCTTTTCGTTAGAATATCCTTTGTGACGATCCTAATGTGACAACCCAGATATTGCCAGAAAATCAAAAAAAAAAAGACAAAAAAAAGAAAAAGAGAAAGAGAAAGAGAAAGCAAGGTGGAATAGGACTAGCAACCCTACGGAGTAAATACTAGCACATCGACCACTGATTGTCATCGCCCCCTGATCCGATAGAATTTGTATCAAAATGCAAAATGGTTTTGTTATTTCACACGGAAGTTTGGATCGGAGCGGGGGTGCCCGACCCCTTTACGGGTCCGATACGCTTCCCGAGTCCGGTACTTGAATTGAACCATCAATCAGGGCATGTCCATCCGCCCGATACCACAGGGCTACACCTGTCTTGCGGCCAGGTATGTATATTGTACATAGAGCTTATGATCCGCTTCTGGAGAGCATACTTCCTGCTCCTTGGAAGACCTTGTCGGATGGTGAGGCTGAAGACAAGCAAGCTGAGTGGAGGGTCCATGGTGGGGCTTCGCAAGGAATAATGGATCGTAGTGGTGGAGTCGGATACACAGTCAATGGACCTCGCGATTTCAGCCTACGGAATAGGCAACGTGTTGTTCAGCTTCGTGCATAAATCCTCCAGAGTAAGTTAGTGTGTTGCCTATCAATCGAGGATGTGGGCTTTGATGGGTCTCCATAACAACAACCTCGCGAATGATTTGAACAAAACATTCCAAAATCCCCGATTAGGATTTACTGTGTACAGGTATTGGACAGGGGCCCTTGTGGGTGGATTACCTTGGCTAGAGTTAAATTTTTGCCCGAACGTCTTTTGTCTACCGAAACTCATTCGCAGCCCGGTGGTACTCCCAATATCCTAACCCACGGAGACTCAGAATCCATATCACCGTCCGGTAGCAGACTGCTCCGCAAATTCAGATCTCAGCATTCAAGGTCTGAGCATCTAATGTCGCTCGCTACTGGCTTTCGTGGGTTTAAAATGGACTGGAAATTCGCCCAGCGCCACGTCTTACGGCTTGCCGTGGCCACAGCGGCCCTCCTTTCGTTGGCATTCCTCTACATCAATTCCAACGTGGGACCATCAATAATGGAGGACGCCATCCGAGTAAATAACAAAACACAGTCCTGCATAGACTTCGACCCCGCAATCGTATCCGAGAAGCTGCATTCAACCATAGAGCTTAAGGAACACACTTATAATAATGCTGAGATTTCGGAGTTTGTCTGCAGTATCATAAAGCATGATATGAGTCTTACTGCTAAACTGGACTGCTCCGTGTCCGTTGACTCCCGATATGAACATCTGCGGCCCTCACCGTCCGGGCCCTCCCGGATTCAATACTACTTCGCATTGGATCTCTACCAAGCTACCCACATCATTCTTCCGCTCATGGGCGCTATAATGGAGGCAATCCGCTATCTAGGGCCCGAGTACTGTGCGCTATCGATCGTGGAGGGCCGATCGACGGACGGTACATACGCTATTCTTGCTGGTTTAAAGTCTGAGCTCGCCGCCATGGGCGTGCCCTATTTCCTCTCCCGAAGCTACCTGGACCCCAAAGCTGGGGGGGAAAATCGCATTACGGCATTATCGCACCTCCGCAACCTCGCCCTGGAACCCTTACTGGAAGAGAGCAGGAGTAAACATAGTCGGCTTGCCTCCAAACCTACCATTGTCTTTGTGAACGACGTCGTGCTCTGCGCTGAAGATATCCTTGAGTTACTACATCAGCACACTCTACAGTCCGCATCAATGACCTGCGCTTTTGACTGGAACACCCACGGTAAAAAATTCTACGACTCCTGGGTTTCGCGCTCCATGTCGGGCAATCTGTTCTTCGAAGTGACTCACGATGCCAAGCATTGGCTGCACGACGACATGTTCTTCGACCATCTTGACAGTGCGGCTCGATGGGATCAATCTCTTCCGATCCAGGTTTATTCCTGCTGGGGCGGAATGGTCACCCTAGACGCGGATCCGTTTCTGCGGCGAAGCGTTGCATTTCGCAGCTCAGACAAGGACGAGTGCTACATGGGCGAGCCAATGACACTCGCCAAAGATCTCTGGAAGTTGGATCGGGGCAAAATCCTCGCCGTGCCTTCAGTGAACGTCGCATACGAATACAAGGAAGCACAGGAGGCGAAGGACGTGCGCGGGTACGTCCACAAGACTGTTAACCACACCCAATACAACACCGAGGCGGAGCTAGTGAAGTGGCAGAGCGCCCCTCCACCCATGGTGAAATGCATGCCAGTGTTCGAACGACAATGGTGGACGTCACCGGTTTAATGAACTTCTTATATAATTGTATCTTAGATTACTCAATTGATCTCTCTATCATGCTACTTTTCGTTAGTCCCCTTCCCCAGATAGCGGAATGGGCACTTCCTACCTCCCAGAATGTTAGTGAGGCTGACCGTTTCCCAGATGACTTGGACTGGACATAGAGCGTAAAGATTAAGACTCAGGATTTCTATGTAGTCATTGTGCATGGACGCAGTGGGTTGAAGATACATGACTTGATAGCGGCCTTCGTATGCTTTTGTTTGCCCGGCACTAGTTTAGCCCGATGTTAAGCTGTCGCGTGGCATCATACCTCGTATTTCTCTTGGAGACGAGGCTTACATTGGATACTAAGGTCTTGGCCTGCTTGACATCCACAGACCACGACCAAATCACAATAAGAATCTCGGCAATCGATCCGCTTGGCTGCATAAACGGGATGGCGCCTTTGTATGGGGTATAAGAATCAGGCGTTCCGTTTCGGAAAAGTACCTTTGTGAAGTTAAGCGATTACGACTTCGTCGCTTTTGCTCTAGCCTTACACCCCGTTTCGCTGTTTTTAATATCTAAGCTTGTCTTTTCTATCTTTCTATAAATCACTTATCAAGTTGTTTTATACATTGTTCCCAGACACTTCGCATTGCATACATGCGAGTCTATATAAATTTAGATTCATTATGTATTGGCCTCCTGCTCTACTATACTGGTGGGCTCTCCCCAGTTGCATCGCCCATCAAATCTCACGCGATGACCACGATGCATCTCCCCTAAACAAGGCCTTCGAAAAGAAAGTCAACTGGGCCCTAGAGCACTTCAGCATCCCTGGGCTCGCAGTATCTGTAGTCCGTGGAGAAGATATCTTCGCCAAGGTTAGTATACACATAACGACGCCAATGTCAGTCGCTGCCTCTCACACGGAAACATAGGGCTACGGTATATCCAACACGGAGACATCAAAGCCCGTCACAGAACACACCTTGTTTGAAGGAGCCAGCACAACCAAAGCATTCACGGCAGCAGCGATCTCCCTTCTCGTAGATGACAACGAGAACTACCCCGAGATCCAATGGGAGACGCCAGTGCATGATCTTCTACTGGAGTTTGCTCTCGACGACCCATGGGCCACGACTCATGTTACACTCGAGGATATTCTGTCTCATCGCTCAGGCTTACCACGCCATGACTGGATCGCCAACGCAAATATCACCATTCCCGAACTTATCTCCAAGCTGCGCTATGCGCCCTTAACAGCTCCTGTTCGCACACAATGGCAATATACAAACCTCCTGTATATGACAGCTGGCTATCTACTTGAGACACAGACCGGCCAGCCACTGAAAGAATTCCTGCGCAGCCGAATCTGGGAACCTCTCAACATGACAGAGACCTATTTTACTCCCACCGATGCCCAGGCGGCAAACGAAGACATCGCCAATGGCTATTACGTCGATTCAGACCACCAATTCAAAGATGCAGGCTATCCATCCCCGAAGATTCTCCGCGGGGCGTCGGGGGTGCTCTCTTCCGCAACCGATTACGCCAAATGGCTTCGCGCCATGATCCATCGCAGGCCACCCCTATCTCCGGCCGGCCATGCTGCAGTCACAGGCGCACATAGCATTGTTCTCCCGACAGTAGTTCCACCATTTTCAGCACCCAGTTTGTACGGCTTCGGCTGGATCCTGCAATCGTACAAAGGCCACGCGGTGGTCCAACACACCGGCGCCATATATGGCTTCGGATCCATGGTAATCTTCTTACCGGACGTGCAGCTCGGGATCACGATCCTAGGAAATAACCTGATGTCCACGAACGCGGTTGCAAGTGTGTTAGCCTACCACATCATCGACGAAGCTCTGGGCATTCCAGAGGAAGATAGATTCGATTGGGCTAAAGAGTACCCCCTCCCCCCTCCCCCCCAAGTCCAGCCAAGTCATACCCTGCATTCTGCCCAGACCTGACTGACTGACACTGACAAAACCCCAGAGCCGAGAAAGTCCTCAACGTGACAATCACCCCCGATCCACGATCGCTGTACCCAACAATCCCCAACCCACCCCTCCCTCCACCTCTACCTCCAGCCAACATCGCGGGTTTATACACCCATCCCGCCTACCCAACCCTCAACTTCACAGAAAGCTGCTCGCAGAAATCCATCATCCCGCCCTTAACCAACGCCACAACGGTCCCGAGACTCTGCATGTCTTTCGTAGATCCCGCAGAACTCCCAGACTCGCTCATCATGGAGATTGTGCATGTCTCTGGGGATGACTGGGTCTTTGGATCTGAGTATGATGGAGTTGCGACGTCGACGAAAGTTGAGGTTAAGGCTGGATCAGATGGGCTGGTTGAACGGCTTGGGATCGAGGCGGATGGAGCTATGTCGGCGTTGGGGGAGAAGATTTGGTGGGTTAAGAGCGATTAATTTGTTCTCTGGGGTGATGCATATGTCTTAATTGTGGTCATGCTGGCTTGTGTCTATCCAGGGTTCGTTGGTGGGAAGGTATATTGAGTTATTTTGAACATATTAAGACATGTCGATCTGGACATAAGGGGCACTAGCTGATTATCGTGTCTTATTTATGATGGTATCAATAATAATATCTAGAGTTATATAAATTTGAAGAGTTATGTTCAACAGTCCATCATGGCTCAGTGTTTGTCGATAACAATCTCGCTGACTCGGCGTCTTCCAACGTGCCCCGGGTATAGTTGTCGAATTTAAGCTCCCCGACGAGCGTTTTCACATTACTATGATACGTCAGTACATGCGAAAGAGGAGTCACGAAAGATCCTACCTCAATAAATCCCTCAAAGTAAAGCCCACCACGGACCTCAACACCTCCAGGGTGACAAACGCCGAAAAGGCCGGATCCTGCACATGGCGAATACTCAACAATTCACCGTCAATCCTCTGCAAATGCCGGGCCAAGGGGAAAGAGCCACCGGCAGACAAGTATGGGGGCAGCGGCTGGGCGTTCGCCAGCGAAGCCGACAAATGGCAAAGCAGCGAGGTGACAGAGTGAGAGTGGAAATCGGCAGATTGTAACGCGATCGAGGCTAGCTGAGAGACCCATCTTTCCTCCGAGGGACGAGAACTTTCCGATTCCCTGGACAAGACATTGAGATGCTGAGTTGTGTGTGCCATCAGCGCCATGCTGGTTAGCATGCGCTGGATCTCGGAGATGATGTGGTCGTAGGTTGCTTTGGGGAATTTGCCGCCGATTGGGGGCTCGTACGTGCTGAAGTGGCTGTGCATGCGGAGCTGGTTCAACAGCATCATTTCTTCTTTGAAGATTCTGTGCCCCGATGTTTCTAGCTTGTACGATGCTGAGCGGGTGTCTTGGCCAGTGCCTAGTTCGCCGTTGAGCCACAGCTCGACGGTGGTATGCATGCAGCTGTAGAATTTGGCGAGGACGAACAGTGCTCGACCGACGGATTTTCTTAATGTGGATTTCGCGGTGATCGGGTATGGGAAGATGACCCAGAAGAAGGAAATGGCGCATCCGGCGGCGACGGCGGCGAGCTTGTAGGGCCCGAAGAGGTAGATGGGGTAGTATGGCTGGCCGTTGGAGGTTGCGACCTCTATTCCTAGTTTGCGAACCTGGGTTGATTAGCGATTTTGCGTTGTCCGTGTGAATTGATAGACCCACCTGTAGTTCATATCCAACGATGACATTCAGAGTGACGATTGAGATGACGGAAGCGCCGAAGTATTGAGGGACGTTCACGTAGAAGTAGTACTATTGAGCGCACGTCAGAAATAGAGTGAGTAGAAAGTGGACGAACTCTTACCTCGAATACATTGGCCAGATATAGAAATACAATGACACCGGGGGTTTTCTGATCGACAATGTACCAGACGACCAGACTCAAGACTAGTGAGACAGCGGTAGCTACAATACGGGTGACAAAGCCGAACATAGACTGCCCACTGGTTGGATTCATCCCGATCACAATGACAATCATAGCCCAGATGCACCTCTGGTGAATGAAGAAGTTCTGGGTCTGGTGTAAAAATGCCAATATGCCGACTGAGAATGCTGCGGCCGCAACGCGAAATCCAAAAATACTTTGCTCCGACTTGATAACATGTGAGATAAAGCGAATGATAGTGCTCGCTTTCTCCAGGAGATTAGCTGGAGGTAGATGCTCGGGATCAGGGAATCGGTCGGGTTCATCCTCTGCATGGACTGAGGAGGGATTGGATTGGGAAGACTGCCTGCTGTCGGAGCCACTCGATTCATTCTTCTCAGACTTTAACGATAGCCATTCTCGTACAGAGCTTTGCATGGGGAAGATTGGTCTGCTCTTTGTCATTGTTCCGTCCGTAGTTTTGCTATCCGCGAATTTAATTAGATCGAGCACCCCGTTGAGAAGACTCTCCTGTAGGTGGCCCATGTACAGAATTAAGAAAAACTCCTGTCTAACATCAGAGTCAGGCACGACGGCTCTGGAGTCATTCGACATATCGTCAACCTTTTCGGACGCCGAGAATGCTTCAAGGCTAGCCAAAGATCGTGGGAGATCCTTGCGCCGTTCAAAGTACTTGATCCGTTGTTGTTCAAATCGAGACGTAAAATCTGAATCAAGTGGACTAATTGCCTCGCCTTTGGACTCCTCATCACCGCCTTCGTTGGGCTTTCTCTCTAGTTGCTTGGACTTGGCTAGCTCAAGTGCCAACAAAACATACTGCAATCCTGCTGTTGTTAGACGGGTCGCATCAGTCAAACGCTCATGGAGAGTCTCTGAGACTTTCTCCTTCTCTGATTGCTTCAGGAGCTCGTCCCCAGGTTCACCTTCCGACCCCCTGCCGGTCTCCCGTAGCCCTTCGTTCTTGATGATCATATCCAGAACATCCGGCAGCTGAGCCATTCCAGCCAGAGGCAATAAAATGCTTCGTAATAACCCGCCAATACGGTTTAGATCACTTGCTGACAGCTTTCCCCATGCAAACTCATCGTTAGCATAAAACAGATCGGACTGTAGTTTGCCATGAAGGGCATTCAACTTCGTGATCGACGCCGTTAGCTGTTTCTGTCGTGACTCCAGATCAGATCCAGGGTTATTGTCAGCATCGCGAACCGTCTGAGCCGTCCGCGTCCTATTCAAAAGCCCCCGACCCCCGGCCAGTAACTGAGGGGTATGCTCTACGAATGCGATCTGCGATTGCAGGACTGCATCGATCTGCGCCACATAGCCCTTAATATCGTGGAAAACGTTACGTCGACTGGTAATGGGTAATATCAATAAGGATACACCCGTCGCGATGGCGAAACCGATCATAAAGCCCTTCAGCAGTCTCGAGACGAATGCCAATCCCTCGGATACTGTCACGAAGGTCCCGGCTCGCGTGATAGTGACAGATGCAAAGATCGAAAAGGCAACCATAGGGTCCTGCAATTCCATAGGGTGCCACGCACGGATGGTGTTAGCTACCCTGCTCTGGTATTAGTATTATGCTTTGTGAATACCTCAAGGAAAACAAATGCCTCGTCAATAATTAGTGGCGCGCACGACTGGAGGGCAGGACGAACCATATCATGAAGATTAACCAAATGGCAGATACGGCACAGGCGTCACTACTATAGCCATTCTTGACGCTCTCACTGGCATCCGAAGGAGTATTGTGCTCTCTGGCTTTAACGGCACAGTAGATCGTCAGACAGCAAAGCGACGCGGAAACACAGGTTGATAGTAGATCGAAGAACATGATCTTCATGAACTTGGCGCGCGGAGTCAACGCTTGCGACAGTATCGAGATAAGGGCGGATAAATATCCGATGGTCAACGTGATGTCCGCGACAGCATCGCTCTGGTGTCTGGAGCAAGTCAATCATCGTGTTCTATGCCCAGCGAAAGCTGTATACGAACATTGCGATTACGATCGTTGGAGGCAATGCACCTTTCAACATCATGAGGAAGGACCGGGAGTCCAGCCCCAGGCGTGATCTCCATGTTGCCGGATTCAATATACTTGTGATACTCAGCATTGCTCCAATTGATGGCGAGTGAGGGGAAACGGTGCTTACCTTAAGAGTTTAGTAGATTTAGAGTTATTACTGTTTGTTTGAGGAGCCATGCTAGGTATAGCGGACTGCTAACGCACTCGGTCCGGTATGTAGCCACCGTCGCCGTATATGTTACATGGAGGTTTGGATGTGATGGAAAGAAAAGTTTTCAATTCTAGATTTAGCTACCAGTATCACGAACTCTAAACAGCTCGCATTAAATCGGCGGCTGCAAGCGGCTCGGGTTGCCGTGCCTGCCATCCATGGCGCGTGCCGAGCCAAATGCCGACATAAGGTTGAAAGCCTCTGCGCTGGGGACTGTCCTCTACTTAAGAGCTAGTTATAGACCAAGCGCCCACCTACCCAATATCTCGGGATATATTTCCGGGTCCTCGATATAACACGGATATGTACTCTCGAGGAGGAAGGTGATACCAGTTGTTGAATCGGGCTATCATCATATGGGCATGTGCACGTGACAAATCGATTGGCTGTGGGAGCTTCTTTGAATCATGCAACTAACGGGGAGGACATTAGCGAAAGGCGCGAAAGATCAAAAATAAAAACCGATAAGCGGAAGATAATCGAGATCATGATACATGAAAACAATAACTACTCATGTGTAGATATTGTTCTCAAGACTAGCCATGATCGCCATCCAAACCCTTGGCGGGTGAAGTCTTTACCGTTCTAGGGAAGTGTTCACATGACGACACGAAGGAGCCCTAATTTGACTAAAACGGCCTCTTACGACTACATATATTGAAAGGACTTCATCATACGCAATCCTGCGTCAGTTTAGCTGGAGAGGATGCCGTGTAACGGTGCATGACAAATATTCTAGAGGCTTCCCCCGAGTAAGGGATAGAATGTGATTTCATGAGAATTGTTGCATTAATTCAACGCACTCTGCGTTGTGAAGTGACAGAATACAATCGAAATGATCTACTGCGTCGTCCAGACTATCAATCAATAGGGCGCATAAAGAGAAAAGTTTAGTGTCCTTCATGTTATCGAACTAATGATTCATTGAGTGGGATCCCATCAGCCACAGCGGTGGGGAGTTGGTGGAGAGGTTGAAGATCCCACCGGTCGAGAACAACCATAATTGCGATTCCAACTTGAGTAACGTACAGATGTCCTGTACGCTTGATGAGAATGGGAAGAAATGGATGCCTAGTATCGGATCCTTTCTCAACATTCCGGAAAAGTGACTGAATACTACAGTGACTGCCTAGTATAGTCTGGACGGAGGGAGAATCATAACGCAAGAAGGATCAGCATGACACCGCAGATAACAGCTTAACGGGAACACTGCTCACTTACCATACCATACCGGTCCCTATGACATAATGGGTGGGTAAGGGCGGTCGCAATGCGTAATAGACGATACGGCTGGAGGAATCGGGGCTTCGGCGAGTCTTCTCCGAGGACCGGACTCTCAGCCCCTGACATCAATTCCACCAATCACGGCTGGGGATCGACATGGCAGAGTGAGGCGTCATTCCCCACTGACCTCTCTTGCCCTACCTTTTCTTTTTCTTTTCCTTTTTCAATTAATTAATTCATTATTCTTTTGGTCTTAGCTTCACCCTACAGGGAGAGCCATGGGTGACAACAATGAACGCCCCCTTACATAGTCACCAAATGGAGAAAAAAAAAAAACCCACCATCATCGTGCGTAACTTGAACTCCTCCCAGTTGGTCATTCATTCCAGTGGTACAGTGTCAGGGCAAGATCCGGGATGAATGATGACTGCAACCATGGAAGACAAAACTATCACTGATAGAAGATATCTCGGAGATAAGCCAATCACTATGACAGAATAGCCGATCGTTCAGGATTGCTGCTCATAGGGCCGACTAGAAACCATAGACGTGGCGCAGTGTCCCAACCAAGTGCTCATTTCAACCGTGTAATTATTTTTAACGTCGTTCTGGTCCATGGATCCAATGAGTTTCGCATTGCGATGATCATTCCGTCTTGGCAAACATCATTAGCTACTAAGCAACTTGCCGCCAAGGGCCTCTTAAAACTGAGGCAAATCTCCGGGGAATCCCCTGAAGCTTGTCCTGTTCTTTCCATTCCTCTCTTTTTCTTTTTCTGGGTTTTTGTTTCTGCAATATCTGCAATTACTGCCTAGGGATCCGACCTAGTCCCCTGCCCCTGTGACCACCGATCTCTGGTTCTGAAATACATGCGTAAGTTGCCCTCCTGCTCCACTCCATTCCTCTCCACTCTTATCTGCTTTATCTGCTTTTCCCGTTCTGGATAAGAGCTGGCCGCCAGCTTCAAAGAAGTGAATTTGCCCTCTTTACCCCCAACTGGGTCGAATATCAAGTTTTGGGCTTTCTTGACTGACGATTTGATGCGACCTCTAGACCGGATTCACTCGTGGGCGAAAGCTCACGCGTCCTCTCGTGGTTCTGCTCCTGAGACTCAAACTCCCTCCAGTGCTCTCGGTCCTCAACCCGCTGTGGGTGTGACCGCAACCTCCAAGCAAAATGGACAAGTGACTGATCCCGTTGGGACCCTGGCAACACCAGGGTCGAATCCTGAAAAATCCGATGGGGAACAAGAGTCTACCCCCAACCGAGGACTTTTGGTCCGTATGAAGGATGGCAGCATCCGGTTCGCCAGACATACGAAGCATGCCCTTTGTCACAGCTGGGTCAATGTTCTGCTCGTATTCGTGCCCGTTGGCATTGCTGTTGAGGCTGTTGGGTTAAGCCCGGGTCTTATCTTTGCCATGAATGCCATCGCCATCATTCCACTGGCCGGTTTATTGAGCCATGCTACCGAAAGTGTCGCTAGTCGTTTGGGAGACACCATCGGTGCTCTCATCAACGTCACTTTCGGAAATGCCGTAGAGCTAATTATCTTCATTATTGCACTGGTCAAGAATGAAATCCGAGTGGTTCAAGCCTCCTTGTTAGGCTCCATTTTAGCAAATCTGCTGCTCATCATGGGAATGGCCTTCCTCTTGGGAGGTCTTCGTTTCCAGGAACAAATCTACAACAGCACTGTCACTCAAATGAGTGCATGTCTTCTCAGCTTGAGTGTCATGAGCTTGCTTTTGCCGACCGCTTTCCATGCCTCATGGTCAGACAATGCAGCTGCTGATAAGTATACTCTGAAAGTCAGCCGCGGAACTAGTGTGGTAAGCGGCGAATATTCTTGGTGCTCTCCAAATACCCCCCATTAATGCTTGTTGAATAGGTCCTGCTTCTGGTGTACATCCTGTACATTGTCTTCCAACTCAAGTCCCATTCCTACCTTTATGCTAGTATCCCACAGCAGATCATCGATGAGGAATCCCACCCTGGTGTTCTGGCCGATTTCATGAACCATTCATCAGATTCCTCCAGCAGTTCATCGGACGAATCCGACGACACGACAACGTCGTGGAGCACTGCAAAACGTATTAAGAAAGCGATGAAGTACCGCAGACATCGAAAATCGAGCACTAGCTCCAAGGGCACCGCCTCCACTCCATCATTCCGCAAGCAGGTTCTGTCGGAAATGCCATCGACGGGAAGCAGCGAGACGCCCGACTCTGTTCATCGCTCAACGTCGATCCCCACGGAGGATCCCGCATCCTGTGCTATTGATATCGGTGATGATCCTCGCTACGACGCAGACAATGATGCGAACCAATTCGAACCCCACTTCCGAGACTTCGGTCAGGAATCTAGTAAAGTAAAGCTTTCCAAGAAACAACTCAAAGCCAAACGACGTGAGATGCGGAAGCAACAGAAGCTTGCAGAGAAGGCAAATGAGACGACCGCTATGGACAAAGCCACCAATGCTCGTCCATCCTTCAACACTCATTTATCGGAGCCTCCTCTGGAGCAGAGTGGATTGGAGAAGGGCCTACAGGACCTAGATTCTCCCAAGAGACGCACTCCATTCCGTCCTGCTATCCCATCTCTGTTGTCAAACACTGTTTTCTCTAACTCCCAAACCCCATACACGTCCGGGGTGATCCATCTGGAAATCTCAACGGCCTCCGACGTACAAATTCCCTCCCATCTCGAATGAACCGCCCCCCGCCTGTCGGAAATGCGGTTCAATTCGCCCGTGGCGCAGCCCGAATGCCCACCGCTGTCAACCCGCAGACGCTCCAACCAGCACCGGAACACCCAGAACCGGAAATGTCACGCACGGCTGCAGTTGTCATGCTGCTTCTCTCTACTGGTTTGGTCGCTGTCTGTGCTGAGTTTCTAGTGGACGCAATTCCCGAGATGATCGAAAGTTCATCCGTCAGTGAGGCCTTTATCGGTCTCATCATTCTCCCCATTGTTGGAAATGCAGCGGAACACGTTACCGCTGTTAGTGTGGCTACAAAGAACAAAATGGACCTGTCGATCGGTGTCTCCGTTGGTAGCAGTATCCAAATCGGTGAGTTCCATCAAACCTATATCAAAAGACATGTATTAACTGACATTTGACAGCCATTTTTGTCACCCCTCTGGTGGTTATTCTCGGCTGGTGTATGGACAAAGACATGTCCTTGTACTTCACGCTGTTTGAGACTATTTCTCTCTTCGTCACTGCATTCGTGGTGAACTTCTTGGTGTTGGATGGTCGCAGTAACTATCTGGAAGGCGCTCTTCTGATTGCGGCCTATGTTATTATTGGGTATGTTCACGTATCTAGTACCGCATGCTTTTCCGTTCAGTGCTAACGTTTTGTACAGTGTTGCTGCGTTCTTCTATCCCCCTGCTAATCTATCTAGCGATGTTGCTAGTGCTGGGCATTAGTTACACACAATATCCGACGGTTGATGCTCATGGATATCGTCGGAATATTCTCCTTCTTTCTACCTCACTACGAAGTTAAATGTAATAGTTATTATTTGCCATGGTAGGAGAAACGATTTGGATGAGATGGTACATAGGTTTATTCTTCTCGGACTGGATGGCGTTGGAACACTACCAGAGTGAATTACGTCCGAGCACCTTGCAGTTTTCGGGCATGTTTTCCTACTTATAATAGTTATCTACTTACTACAAGGGGTTCTCTGTATCTGATTTCCAGATCCGGTGTTTCCCATTGTGCAGCACACTTCTGTATAATCCTTGTCCACAGTCGTAGTTGTAGGATTCATTTACCCATCCAGTCGAACAAGACACAACGATCATGCCTCTTGGTGAATATCGACGTGTATACCTTCAGGAAATTGAACCCCCTTCAGGTCATCAACGGAAACATTCTCCGGGGCGACGAATCTACGCATCATTAGTATAACCGGACCTAACCGAGACTATAATCATACGAAGTAGTATGTATAGGAGGCATGCTCCTCATGGAGATGAATAACGTCTGTTCCGTGGCCCCCTTTTCTGCGAATTTGTCTTTGGTCCTGTACTTATGGGTGAGAAAGGTACATTGAAGGGTCGATTGGAAGGGCAATCGATGGCCGGGAATACATTTGCTCAATGATGCTTCCGTATTGCTGATAGATTTCTACGGAGTCGTAGCGGATTAGGATTGTCTATTGGGCATTAGTATGTTCAACCTTCGTTAAATGGAATGAATTATGACTGACAAACCGGCGCATTGCTCTGATTAATTCTTCTTTATCGGGATTGTATTTCTGTAGTGCTTATTGCTTTGTTTGTGTAGTGGAAAATTACATATAGCGGGGTTCATGAATTGGTATGCTTCCGTCTTGTGGGATGGCTGTGCTGATGACATCATCGTCGGCTAGGTCTTTAATATCGCATGTCCAAATACTCGAGCTGGAATTATACATTAGGATACATCACAGAGTGATAGCAAGTCGTATCTAGAAATTTGCTAGCACTATGTTCACAGTGGGCTTTATTGAGAGTCACCGGATCCTCGCGTTGAATACTTAAACGCGCATGTGCCACTTCTCATATTCATTTAGAGCTCTGTTATATGAAAGACATACGGGTTCTAGATGAGAGACTGGACTGCACGAAAATAAAAGGTTACTCAGTAAGAAGCGATGCAGTACTCTGAGATTGAAGAAGACTTAACTCCATCCACCTTCCAATAAGCCAAGCCCGACCTTTCCAATAGCCTTGCCAGATTCAAGGGTCCTATGTGTCTCTTTAATCCTTTCAAGATCCAATTGCAGTCGCCTCGCCAAGTGGCCTTTAATCTTGCCTGCATAAATAAGAGCTGAGAGCTCTTCCAAAATTTCCCCTTGATCGGTTTCTAGCCCATGGTACATCCTCGATCCAAGCCAACACCAGACGAAAGTTGGAGACTTGGACATAAACTGAGTGCCATACATGTTTATATCGGTAGATTGAGCGATCGAGCAAACCTTACCCAGCGGAGCAACGATATCCGAACAAACACCAAGGTACTGTGCCGTGGAATGGGCGATGTACACATACCTGTGTCGAGAATTAGCATACACCGATTTGTGAGAGCGAATCACTGCTTATTTGATATGCACATCAAGACGAAGCTCATCAATATGCTTCTTCAGTCTTCCCGATGATTGATAATGCAAGTCACTCCCATCTTCTTCGTGAACCCGGTCGTCTCAGGTCGTGATACCGTGGTAATCACGACAGTTAAACCGAGTACCCACCGCGATTTGCGATGCCATGGCCCCGGCTCCGCTAATTATCAGGATACCCGCCTTTTCTCCCCTTTTAATCTCCACTCGGTCTAATAAGGACTTATAAGCGGTTTCGTGTTAGTGGCATCGCGGCAGCTTCGACAAAATGCAATGATTTCGGCTTATGCCCGACGGTGACCTCTGAGACTAATTGATACTCGCTGTAGGCTCCTTGTTTTGTCGGGGATGATACATAGAAGACTTCGTCACTGGGCTTGAATCTGGTACATTCCGGGCCAACCTCTTGAACTGTGTCAGCGCCGTCATACCCCATTATATGGAATGGGCGAGGAACGAAGTTATAATAGTCTACACGTACCGGATTGGTATATTATTCTGCCCGCGATGGAACTGATAATACCTGGTGCGTCACCATATGTTCCATTCCTGACATGGTATCATTGGATTGGCAGCAGAAGCTTCTACCCTATCGCATTTGTGAGTAGACTTCGGTGAGTATAAGTTCGTGGATGATGGATCCTACTTCATAAGCAGCTCCTTTCCTTGTGGCTTATCCGGCTTTGGAATCTTCCGGTATATCAAATTCTCCACGGATCCGTACTGTTCGACTCTGACGGCGTTCATAGCTGGTAGTTCTTGAAGTAATAATATCTTTGAATTTGGGGTGGCTGTTAGGGCGAAACCTGCGAGTGTCCGAATAGGGATTCAGTTAGATCTACAAGGAGGGTGCCCGAATGATGTTATGATGTTATCTGAGGTATGCCCTAGCTGGTACAATGACCCCCGGGAGATAACGAGCCTTTTGTTCATGTTTATTTTAATTTCTGTTGAGTGTGAGTGACAATACGCACTTATTGATTTACTTAATGCATGAAGTACAAGGACTCTGAGCCACTCTCCCGGCCGTACTGACTTGTTGACTGAACACCAAGTTTAATCTTGGCATGATTAGGGCAGTTTGCTAATATCTAGTTTACTAGATATAATAATACACTTCATAATTTGCCACTAATAGTTTCTATCAACTTATGCCCAAATATACAATAGAAGGTGGTAGGGAGAAAATGGAAAGTGGAAAGCTAAGTTCAAATTAATCGGCACTGCACCTATATATACACTTCAAGATTCCCAAATAAATGGGGGTAGCCGTTACCCTCATTTTCAAAAAAAAAAAAAACCCCCCCCATGGAACAGCCCGCCTGTCTAGAAATTCCTCTGAACCAGGATACTCTTTAGAAAAAGCCCACAACTAGACTCCTATCTCCACCGCCTGGTAGGTCTTGGATGCGCACCTATTCATTCGGCATATCGATTGAGAAGATAGTAAAAGGCGAGTAGCTTTCATGCGATAATATTTTGTATGCCAGCCCTATGTGCATCGGAAACGGACACTAACTTTGTGCCCTTGAGCCCGGAAGTGAACTATATGAAGGCTATTTCGATACTAAGACAGATTAAAAAGTAGTGAAATTGATGTTGTTCGATCGACCAAATCTCACGATGCGTAAAACTGGACTAGATGGATGGACTTTGTACGGCAAAGCTAATAGTCGGCATGGTGAAAGCTCCTAGCTCCTGGCAAGTTCACGAGAAAATGAATACAGTCACACACTGCAATCCTTCCACCCTTACAGGGAGCTGTTTTACCTAACCGTCCAAAGCCGCCCGTTCTAGCATGATACGCCAATCAAGAGGGATAGTTCCTGCAGTGAATGCCCAGAATCACTAGGGAGGGACTACCAAAGGGACAGGTTGTCTGAATTCTTACTGGGATGCTTGAATCTATCAACATGGTTTGATGACAGCGCTAGGCCGATTCAGGGCTTAAGGATCCGGATGGAACATTGCGACCACTTTCGGAATAGAGCGTAACTACCTGGGATGCCTGAGCCACTGAGCCGTTCAAACACGGCTATCTGCAGGCCTAATGAACAATCATTGGTTTGGATTTTCAGATTGACCGGGAACTGCGAGTTTTATGCAGCTAGCGCCTAGCGTTGGACTGAGTCCACAGGATGCTCCAGGCGCAGGAGCGCAAGGCTTGAGAATAAAAGATAATTCGCCCGGCATGACAAGAAACGAGTGAAAAAGGTATAGTGCTGGAAATAAGTGGGGTTTGTACAGGGAAGACTGTACACATCAGAGCAAATGGATCATTGCTACAGATTTTCAGGAGCCTTCGTGCTGAATACTTAGTCGGTCGGTGTCTTAAAAGCCACTCCCCCAAAACAGTATCATCGCCAATATATACTTCTTCGATCAGCTATAGCTCGAGACCAAGGTGTTCTTAAGGCAGGAGCATTCCGCTTCTCCCTCTTCCTGTTTTTCTTTCCCCTAGATTTCTATATCTACTATTTCCTTCAAATATCTTGCTTCAGTCCTGTGTACGAATCTAGGATATTATTCCTCGGATTTTCATCCGTATTGGATACTCGACTCCAGTTGTTTCGTCGCCGGCTTTTCCCTTCATCGACGGCCTTTTACCACGGAAAGCCACCGAGGCTTTCATTCAAATAATCCCTTCTCACCAATATGGCCGATGCCCCAGCCTCTTCAACTGCTAGTCCTCTCTACTTTGCACCTTCTCCTATTTCTATCCACAACATAACCCCATGTCCGGGGTGTGGAAACATTGGGCCTCTGACGGGAGGTTGTAACATGAGTCTGTCATCTCTCAATGCAGCGTGTATGCCGTCTACCTTGTTCAACTCGTACCCCCAATCGCCAGACGACCATTTATGGGGTAAAGAGTTTATAAGCTCTGGCTCTGCTGTGCAATGTGGGCCAGAAGTGGGCGTTAATATGCACCTGCTGACTAGTTCACCATTCAACGAGGTTATTACTACCCCAGGGAACCATACCGAGATTTCCAATGCCAACTTCAATCGTGGTCTTAGCAATACGCGAGGTAACACCACGTTCGAGGGAAATGCCGCTTTAGATCAACATGCGCATCTAGTAAGGAACGCCATAGTTGGCCCCAACATGCTGCCAGCCCAGTTCCAATCTAGAGTTGGACAGCATAACATCAGCACAAACGCAAATAAAAGGTACCGCTATTGTAGCTCTGTACCCAATTCCTATGGCGGTATACCTAACCGGATATAGTGAGGCGAGTGCGCGATCTATTCTCCAATGCAGATGGGAGGGCTGCACCTATACACGACACTTCAACCGTGAAGCAGACCTTGTGCGGCACATTAGGACTATTCATATCTCTCCTGGGTCTTATAAATGTGCTATGAAGAATTGTTCGAAGTCCTGCAATCGAGGGGATAATCTGAAAGAGCACATGCTCAAGGTTCATCAGATGTCACATGATGCTTAGGGCTTTTGGGCCATCTCTTATCTGCATGCTTGCCTTTTGGTGTGTTCTGTGCACTACCATGTGTTTTCGTGATTTAAAATTTCGGGATATTTCTCACTACAGCTATACATATGTCTCCGAGTACTAGCTTTAGAAAATTTCACTTGCGCCTTTATATTGAGCACGCTGTCATTGCGTTTCGATAACATGTATATCACCCTTGCTATTTCCCAAATATCTGCATTGCCTTGTCTTTGCCTTATTTTGCCTCTCTCCTCTCCTCGATAAACCCTGAAATATCACCAGAGATGATCACACGCTATCAATGGTACAACGTATCGTAAACTCAAAGTTGCACAACACTATCTATTCCTATCGTATGGAGACATGGGTCTTCAACTAAGGTTGGCAATATCAGCATGGACCGGGAATTCTACCCTGGTGAATATACTAAAACCTACTGGCTCTGTTAGTAGAAGAGTTGAAAATAAAGTATAAACCTCTCTTGTTGCGAATCTATCTCTTACAATTGCTCTCCGGTAGGCAAGTTGTACAGATCTATAGTACCCCATACAGTAAGATTGGTCGCCGGCATCTTGCTGTCATAGCCGAGTATACAGCAGAGGCGCAGGCGTTACTTTTCGATTTATTGCAGGTTTATCAGGTGTGCAATGTGTGAACAATTCCAATCTTACAACGGTTCGTACTGCCAAGTATAGGCCGTTTAAGCAAATCGAAAAGTCACCAGAACATATACATTCCCTCTTTCTCAAGACTAGAGTGCAATGTTATCTCTTTTTCTAGATTGGTGGCGTTGATGAGAATCTGACTGCGATTCATGGAGATTGTGTAGTAAAGCGACGACCACTCGACTAAAAGCCAATCGACAGATGATCTAACCTTGCACCTCAATATATCCAACAGCTGAAACATAACAAAGTTCAAGCTTAGTTAGATATGTTCTCCTCCATCCAGTCCATAATCAAATCCGCAATCTGGAGATTATTCTTATCCTGCATCAGCATATGACTATTCCCGTAGATGCCCAGTCTAGGCAGCTCCGCCACAAACGCTCTTCCCCCGGCAGCAGTGAGTCGATCCGCGAGAGCCTCACAGCCCTGAAGTGACTGTGGCCAGAGTCGGCGAGAAACCTTTGCTTGATCAAGGTAGTCGCCATAAACAAACAACGTAGGGATTGTCGCCAGCACAGCTATCTCTTCATCGGTTGGCATGGGACACTGTCCCTCGACCGAAACGATACCCTTGACAGCTGAAGGATCATTCAGGGCTGCACGGAAGGGGAAGAACGCCGATTCCGAGTGTCCAACCAACACCGCACCGTGTACCATACTAGCTAAGTTCGCCAGATTGGCGTAGATGGGATTCGGATCCGGCAGGATGGTGTTCAAATCCGGGATCACTTGCTTGGAAAGTTGTTCCATGGCCTCCAGAGGAAATTGCTGGCCTGGGAAAACCTGGGGGTAAGAGTATCCGAAGCGGAAGAGATCCCAGGCGCGCTCACGACCCGCGCTCTCCAACCTCGGCAGGGCTGATGGGGCTGCCTCTCCAAGCTTCACTCTGTTGAAAATGGTCGGATCAAAGCCAGAGCGAGCACGAGACGTCTGATCGGGTACATAGACGGGGTGACCTTTCCGCACCAGATATTCGGCCCAGCCCATGCGACCGTCGGGGGTATCCTTGTACGTTTTCCCGCTGAGACAACAGCCGTGGACAAGAATGTATGGGAGGTCGTTGCTCATCGGAATTTGGTACTCCACGTACATTTGGTCCACGAATATCCAGTCTTCCCGAGGATAATCATTTAACGGGTCTGAGCGGTCTCCAATATTCACTAAAGCCTTCACTTCGCGACCACCGACGAAGAAGTCGCCCGCATCTTGTAAGATGAGAGGTCCATTGCGGTGCCCTTCGATATGCAGGGACGAGGCCGCCGCTAGTGCAGCGGAAGCGACAACACACAAAAATGACAACATAAGCATCATTGGCGAGACTATTATATACCTTCTGATGAGTATTTCACATAACTGAAGAGATTCGAAAAGCCAGGTCACCCGCTTTGGTGCTGTATGGAATATGGACACCGTCCGTAGTGAACTGGTCGTAGGTATTGGAATAGGAACGTTCGTCACATCCACTCGAACCACGGAAGAAAGAAAGAAAGAAAGAAAGAAAGAAAGAAAGAATATCCCGTGCGTCCGATACACCAGGTGCCTTGGAGGGAATATGAGCCTCATCAACTCCCCGGGTCTTCTCGGTTCTTCCTGCGACCGAGTTCTATTTTTATCATCGGTCAAGGCAAAATGTGATAGACCCCGCTCGGCTGCATATCAAGGAGGCTGGGTATCCCTTCGTGTGTGCGCTAGACCCTAGTAGCCCCTTGCTAGTTAGTCGATAGACTCGAACTTTGCTTTTTCCATTGGTTAATTGCCTCGATAGCTAAATACATAAAGCCATCACGGCTACCATGTGCTGGCAGGCAAGGCAAGCCTGTTCCAATCAATCTTTCGGTCTTTATGCTTTGCCAGAGCATATATCCACATCAGATCGTGTTAATTCTAATCTATAGGATGAATGAGATCTGCAGTACATAGATGCGACCTTGAGATCTAAGATACATTCTTCATCGGATACACTATAAAGACTATCACTTAGATACAACATTATGGTGCAATACCTCACTCTTCTAGTGATGAAGAGCGATCTACAGAATCATGCATATCGAACATGGCTAATATTTTTGGTTCCTCCCCGGGCAACTCCGTCACGGCCGTAGGGCGTGCAGGACCCGCATACAGCTGAGCAGCCGGTGGACCCTCAGCTCGCGGGATCCTACATAGATAACTCACAACCCCAAGAAAAAGAAAAGCCCGCAAGACGCCGCAATCAAGGTGCCTGGGAAACCCTCTAAATTACCGATCTCCTTGTTATTGCGCAAGATTTTCATTTCATTTCGGTTAGCATTCAGTCCTGGTTGTTAATCCCGTGAACATATTTGACAACGTCAGCCAAACAAGATGAAAATACTTTGTCTCCATGGCTTCGGGACAAATCCGGGTGTCATGAAGCGTCAGATGTCGCCGCTGATCAAGCACTGCGACCCTACATGGCAATTTCATTTTCTGGCAGGCAAGGTAGAATGTCCAGCGGCGCCAGGTAAGTCCCAATATACCGTGTTGGTAGCGTCTACCTGAGCATGAATCTGATCCTTACTAAATCCCTACAGGCGTTGCCGGCGCCTTTCCTGGTCCCTATCTCTGCTGGAGTTTAGACTTTGATGCACTCACCACCAGAGCAGCCCTTGATCTGATTCATGAAGCGTTTCAGAGTGAAGGCCCTTTCGATGGGGTCTTCGGATTCAGCCAAGGGGCCTCCATAATAGCCACCTATCTCCTTGAGCAAGCGGATCTATATCCGGACAGACCTTTGCCAGTTCGGTTTGGGATTTTCTGTTGTTCGCCGCCAATCGTCACAGCAGACCAAGCCTATATTCAGAATCTATACGGCACGCTCTCTGCTGAGGACATCCAACGCCTCCGGTCAGCCGAGGACGATCAAATAGCCCAACTTCCAGACCCAGTCCGGCGTGCGGCAATCATGCTACTGGGGGGATTAGCTGCCACGGAACCGGTCCATGGTAAACCATATTCACACTTTCTCGATCGCCCCTCTTCTGAGATCCCTTGTGTGGCGCTTCCAGATCAGTATGCGGCGCGTCTTTCCATCCCGACGCTCCATGTTTATGGAAAGGATGATCCGCTATCAATGCAAGAAGCAAGTATACTAAATGGGTCTTTTTGCGACCCCAGGTGGCGAAAGTTTTTCAAGCATAGTGCCATCCACAATCTTCCTCGCTCACCAACGGAGGCGAAGGAAATGGTATCGCTCATGGAGTGGGTGATTTCGCAGAGTCAACGATCGCGGCTATGAGTGCCAGTGGACATAACGTCTCTTGTCAGACATGGAATACTATTGCCTCAGCTTCTTTGGTTTTGCGAATATGACTTAGACCACACGTGATAAATAGAAGATACAGGTTCTGTCTAGAGAATCACGAACAATAAATGTGCACCGTTTAACTCAGATCAAAATACCTGCCAAAGATTTCGTAAATAGAGTACTGCAGAGAAGTTCATCCATTACATATGTGATCTAGGTTGAGCTCTTTCTATCCATGGTAGCTCATCCAGGAAACAGATATTTTTCGGTCTTCGAGGAATTGGACGCATCTAAACCGAAACAGATGACCAAAATGCTTCATCCCACCCCTTTTCATGATATCTGGGAGCATTTTGGGGAATTCCTTCAGCATTAAACCTTCTAATTGGGGGGGTTCCATACGATCCGTTACCTGTTGCTGATGAGAGAGCTCTGTAACCTTTTTCACCTGCGAAAGCCGAGCCTCTTGAACTTGGTTAAATATAGCACGCATCTCCCCAGCTGACAGTGGATGGATGAGGCGGACACCGCCAGCATTAACCGGTTGGCAAGACAGGGTGCACTTTCGAAAGCCTGGTTTTCCCCTTGGGTAATAATGGAGACCATCTGCCGGCAGAGCAGGATATCTATTAGTTGATAGAAACGTAATATATCCGAAAAGTTCATAGCTGATGCGAAACATCGCTAATGATCATCATCCGAGCCAAATGTCATTTTTTATAGACAACTTCTCCCATAGCTGTCAATATCGCCGAGCGTCTTGTTTTGAATAGATCTGGAAATAAGATATTCGAAGTAATGATCACCCCAGTGTGCTCTTGCCATATTTCCCAGGTTACCTGGGCAAACTGAGAAATATCAGTACCGTAAAAAGCGCGGCCGGAGTTCTTAAAGAAAGACCAGTACGTTCGGTCTTCAGGTTAATTTCGAAGGGCGGTAAATGGACCATGAATATGCGGCGGTGGTATTGCTACGCGGCTGTTCGTACGTGGTAATGAGAGCGATATACAAACAAGTAAAGGGTCTGTTTAGGTTCTACATATTCAACAATTAAGCAAGGCCCTAATACTTTTCAGACAAACGAGAACGGCTCAGCCAATAATTAATAGTACCCGTGCATGCTTGCATAGCAGCCCACAGCCCACAGCCCACAGCCCACATGTTGACTGAGGAGAGGAGCACGGGATGCCATCAAGTCCAAACAACCCTAAGCACCCGGCATATATAGAAGCCGATATAGACCTCACTGCAGAGCACGGAAAAGTATGTCACGCACAACACTTGCGTCTCCTATCGTCGCAAGAATAGTTTGAAGATTAGGATCACCATCGGCGCTGGGGTTGGCAGCTGTGGCTAAGTCAATCTTGCCAAAAAAGTCAGCGAACAGATAAGACTCCATGTCACTTTTCAAGACCTTTCGAAAGGTTTTCACTAGGTCTTCATCAAAAGTGCCGTTTTCTTTGAGTTTGTTCAGATGAGCTATGGCGTTATTTCGGGCTTTGTGCGACGATTCAGCAAAGGAATTTCCAAATGCTTTGATCTTGTCCTCGGTTGTGATCTTAAGTAGAGAAGCAAATACGTTGCGAGCGTCCTCTTTCCTTTGAGCCTGAAGAGCCTTTTCGAAGTCATGCGGGCCATGTTGGCTTTCCTCCCGACCAAGATGCTCGGCATAATCCTTCAGGAGCCGTGAAATAGCTTCATCAATAGGCAGCTGAGGTAACGAGTCATTAATGTCCGAGGTAAATTGGGGATAAAGAGTTTTGCAATGAGTGCTTTTCTAACCTTTTCAGCCAGGACGTGCGACAGTGAGAGCGCTTGCTCAGAGGATAGCGAGAGACGGGTCTCGATGTCCGAAGCAGTATATGAGGACTGGTCCATTACGTATGCGGCGAGACATTTATCCATAATGTCGTGCACTTGCTTGATAACCGCAGCCGAAGGCTGTCCACCTGCTCCAGCTTCATAGCTCTCTTTGATCACACTCTGTAGCTTAGATTCGAAGCCAGGGTGGAAGAAAGGCGCTTTGTCAGAGTTGGTGAATTCATGCCTTGAGCCATTGTATATGGTACTGTTGATATGACCCTCCGGCAGTTGTGCCGTGATACCGCCATATTTCCAGTTCCCCATCTTAGGATAGTAAAATCAAGCAAGAGAGAGAGCAAGCGAAGACTTTAAACTCGCTTTGACCAGGAGAAGTTTCAAGCTTAGAATAGTTGTATAGGAACTTCTGCCTACTTATACTTCCATCCCAAGCTTGTTGGGTCTAGTGATTCGAGATCTCGGATGCGCTCGGCTGCATTGCAAAATGACTACGTAATGTACAGATAAAAACTCATGATTCATGGGAAGTACAAGGTTCAATGAAATACCGAACTCGGCGGGGCCTCTTGTGATGTGTCCCAATATCTCTTTGATGTATGAGATCATTATATGATGTAAGGTTTATTGTGAATGAGAGACTACGAAGAAGAACAGCAACAGAAGGGATAAAGCTAAATGGATTTACAAGAGCGAACCATAGGCAAAAGTCACAGGAGAGCAAGTCTGCAACAGATCGGCAGCTGAATGATTCGACGCAAACGGCAAAAGAGTTCCCAATGCATGTATAATGAGTCAATGACCCACAATATTCATAGTTTGATAGCCGCGTACCATGGTTCGAGCCTCAATATGACAGTATATGTCACAATACAAGATGGTTCATATTAATATAGTATATCGCTAGGTTATGATATAGCATCAAAGGCCTAAACTTATGGAAATATACAAATATCGTAGAGCAATACCTTACTATTTGGTATGCCACCCTTTTGCCACTAAAACTGTAAGATAGGAGCGTGTAGGTTGCCATATGTTTTAGCCTCAAAATCACGCTCCAGGTGGATGAGAATCATGAGATTATGACAGTAAATACTCCAAATGGCTGCGCAGACTATTACACGGATAAGTTTTCCTTTCGTATATGGTTAAACATATTCCCTTTTCCATGTTTTACCATGCAAATTAAGTCGCAACACGTATTGATGACGATGGCCAGAACCCAATTATAACACAGATTTTGCTACACATGGTGTCAATTTAGGATGCTTTTGAGCACGCCATTCATTTGCCATATCCTGATTCTTGAAGTCTGCAATGTAGTATGGCATGGGAAGTTGTAAAATGTGGTATTTCTTGGACCTCTTGGCAGGAGTTTGTTTAATCAATCGAACCAGGAGCAAAATTAAAATATCACCCTATTATCCTTTCTCCTCGCACCTTAAACCATCATACCCATCGCAACTATAGTAACGTCTTGTCGACGAACATGCGTGGATTGTTCAATCAATTTTCTTAGCATATGGATGTCCCTTCTTGCGCTCATCTGCAAGGAAAGCAACGATAAGGAACTCTAGTAAACCAGTCAGCATTTTTCAGCAGCCATGGTAACCCAAGGACCTTACCCCCAAGACTCAGTCTGTTGTCCCCGCTAAGATCTGAATCGCGGAATACCTCTGCAAGATCTTTAAAACTCTGTTCATCAGTGGGATTATAAGCTTGAATGAATTCATGTAGCGAGACATGTCCTGCGCAATTGTTATTAGAATACAGACGGCAAAGGTGTAATCTCTTAGTTCCTCACCGTCTAGATCCTTGTCCTGCAGATAGTTCAGAATGCTGAAACCAATTAGCTAGTCGTAACCAATTATTAAACCTACGGTGTAGAAAGACTTCATCATTTCCTTGAAAAAATTGATAGAGTAATATTGATTTTGATCAGGTAGTCAGCCAAAAAAGAAAGGGAGCGGAAGAAGGGGAAAAGCCGGTGATGGAGATGTTACATCTGGATCCTTTTCATCCAATTCCCTCAGGATTGCTGTCCGAAGCTGACGTCTCTGCTCGAGGTCGTATTGATCGTTTGTCGGTGGTAGTCTATATCTTCCCCCTTGCGCCTCCTTCAACGCCTTGTGCATACCCAGATACATGGCTTTGTTTGGAACAAAAATAAGGGCGAATCGACTGAAGTCTTGGGAGGCAAGATGCTTCTAGTACTAACAGAGTTGGGTTGTGCAAATTGAAACTGAAAACTGGGTAGCTGAGCCCTCTTAAATATTGATTGGGGGGGCTGAGACAGCTGACTGTTCCAAAAGAGGACACTCTTGACCGATACCAGGGAAATAATGTAGGATGTATGTATCTGAGAGCTGCGTATGGACTGTAGCTTTGTTCTGCGACATTCCTTGCCGTGACCTGGGGTCGACTTTTGATTATATCTCTAGGATCTGCTATCTTGTTCATGCCACCCCCACCTGATGTGATGCAATGCCACGGTTGCCTCTGTGAGTTAGGTTTTGAAAGGAGAGCGCTGTACTCCAACAGGTTGACTGCCAGTTCATTGATGCATGCGGAAGAGACGTGTGTATGCAACCACGGTCGCTCTCAGCACTGGGTAGAATCCGTAGGATAGCATTTTGAAATGTTCTCTTGCTTACGCTAGAGTTTCCAAAATTTAATCATCAGGGGTTATGGAGAATTAAAGGATAATTAAGTTTCGCGGTAATTGTTACTTTCTCCAATCGACACCTGCACTATAAGCTGTGCCTCAGGCATCAAGTATAGCCGAACTATCGAAATCCCTCAGACAATAAGCCTTTAGATAATTCGGCACCCTGGGGGCTATACCATGATATAGCGAGGATTACAATAGGCTCAGTTGGTTGAGATACGTTGATTCCTGGTGTTGCCACCGATGACATCTTCTCAAGTGGGTTCAGATGAGCTTGTAGCGGACACGATAACACCCGACGCCCCATTACCCCTGAGATTTGACAACAATATGTGCCACTTGCAATGCCTTTAATAGCACCAGGGAACGCTCATGTCATTCAACAGGGCTTACACAGTGGGCTTAAGTACAGCAGAGTGGACAGGAAGCCCAGTTCTCCACACCCTATGTTCGTATGTACTGTACTTATCAGGCGATCAAGTAGTTATAGGTTGTGTGGATGGATAATTGGGGAGTGATATATAACTGGCTTTCCAAAGTAGATATAGCATTAACTTATACATCTACGTTAAATTAGTAACTACAAGTGCTAGGTGAATTGCTTCGAATATCCGGCAAAATAGCCTACACAGCGTGAAAGGCTATACGGCGGACTAAAAGGCTATTTAAGATAACAGGAGTCACAGAGTTGAGTCCGTCCCCATTGCGTCGGTTAATTTCAATTTGGTGGTCGATGAGTTTCTCGAGAATTTCATGTAGGAGCTCTACCCGATCTCGAAGCCGCACAAAACGCTTCTTAGTACCTATACTATCCGTGCCATCCTCGCTGTATAACACCAGGTTAAGATTTGCCTCATTCACAAGCACCTCCATAGCAGAAGAGGCTGTATGCGGGTTGTTTGCTTCACTCAAGGTTTCGGGTCTGAAAAGGAAGGCGAAATGAAGGTTATCGGTTCTATTGGCCTCGAGAGACACGGAGAAGATGAAGCAGGGCGCTAGTGCCGTTCACTAACCACCCCGCGCTTATCTTCCTCATCCTAAAGAATTACGTATTTCTTGGATATCCAAGAAAGCCTCGCCTTGTAAGAGTCTCGAGGGAAGTAGTAAGGCTTGTCTTTGTTTCCATAGGCTGGACTTTGGTTAGATTTAATTAATTTCCCCTGAGACACAAATATATCTTTCAGTTTACAGCTGTAGCCAGGATCTGGAAGCCATGGCCTTTGTATCACATAGTTTGTGTCTCTTGTCCCTAGAAAGTGTCAATATCGCGTTGTATTTTGTATCTAAGTGAAACAGAGAGATAGGTGAGCAGGAAAAGAGAAAGGAAATCATTCTCCCCAACGCAGCATTTAACATTGGCACACCAACCAAGGATGTGCCGGGTTTCAGACAATTCAGAAAGGCCAACAGACCCTCCGTGTATCTCTTGGCCCTCAAGATATGAAATACGCTCTCCGTTATGTTTGTGGAGTAGGCACCAAATAACTAGATCTCCACACAACTGGGTTGGAACAAGAAGGCCGGAGAATCCTTTGATGAAAACCTTGTTGCCAAAGATATTGATACGTGGAGTTTGGGCTAATCCTGCCATTATGTCGAGTGATACTTCAAAGCCTGTTTCGAGCTGCTGTCGATAGGATATGGGATAGCCTTTACCCTAGCAGGATTTCTGAATAAACGATGCCAGCATTGGCCGTTTAACAATTCCCCACCATCGACGTGGGAGTCGATGATGAAGTTGATGTGACAGTACGGTAGAGAGAGTGATTCTCTGGCTAGATTTGTAGACCCGCGTTCGGTCGTTAGCTTACTGACAACAGGCCTGCAGAGGACGACCCCGGCCTCATAAGGAGATGTGCGAAGGGCCGCACCAAGCCACCCAAGTTGCTCCCCAATCTCCGCGATGCACTCCGCTATTCCCATCACCTCGATTTCAAACACAGCTTTATCCAAGCACGCAGAAATCTGCGTTTTATCCAGCAATATGCCTGTGAATAATCACTAGTGGTGGAATAGTTACTTTGGGTCGCTTCTCTGCTACTTACAGTGGAAGGTACAATTTGGGCCTCCACGGACGACATCTTTTACCAAACGAAGAAGATGAATGCCTGTTGAGGGCCATGTTTGACAGAGATACTGGACAGTGGCCATAGCTTGAGCGTCCTTAATTGACCCCGTAATGGTGATCGCCCGTTCGATCGCGTCATCTGCGCTTTCCGCACACTCCTGCCCGAAAAGAAAAGAATGAGGATCCCAATCCACAATGAACACCATGGAATGTGTATCAGGTGCAATTTTCCTGCTGACGATCTGGGGCTTTGGCAAGTACTCCAATATTGTACGTCGTCATCAACAACCCCCTGAGACAGCTCCCTACGGATTCTCTGCAAAAGCCAGTCGTAGGCTGGCGATCTGGTAATGAACCCCTGATATGCAGCAAATTCCGGAAGGGTATCGAGGTCGTCAAATGGTTGGTCCAATATGTCATCAATATTGTCGCTTTCATTATTGAGAATACCATGCAGCCGCTCACTTAGCATATCAGTCGGATCATCGTTATTAAACGTTGGTACCAGTCATGCATACGATCACCCAGACTCATCTCATTTGAATTATCACCGAGAACTGCAGGCCGGGTATCCTGCTCCTCTCTACACCTGTCCATGAAGCACTGCACTATCTCACTGCAGGGGAGGTCAGCCCTTATGTTTGGTAAGGGTAAGCGACGATAGGTGTGACCTCACCTTCTATGCCTACGTATAAAAACCATAACATCTCGATGGATCTGTGCCGGAGCACTCCACCCTAACTTTGACGAGAACTTTTTTAAAAGTTCAGGAAGCACATTGCATATCTTATCGGCGCTATTATTGTCGAATGGATTGGTGATAACTTTATTATATAAGTCTTCAGCAAAGGAGGGGATATAAATTTCGTTTTTGAAGGTTTCAGGGTGTGAGACCTCTGTGTATATTGAACTAGTTTCAGACATAGTAATGACTTCTGGATGTCTTACGAGATCGTCTGCAATTTCAGTGCCGTGGTATTGGTGTTCACTATTCTCGGAGCTATACGTCTCATTGGCAGGATTCCTAGAGTCTTTGTGCTGTCGCTTCCTCTTAAAGGGGCTACCATAGCTCCTTCTTGGAAGCGAGACATAGCCTGAATCCGTAGCTGCTGTGACAGGTAATGCGTTAGTACCACTGAATGCCAGGTTATTGTTGTCCTCAATATCTAAGCCTATGCACATGTCCTCGGTCTCTTCAGCAAGGAAAGCACTAAACGCCCATGGATCTTTAGTAATGGCCTCTAAGGATGACGCTGACTTTGTCTCTTCAGTGTCCCCTTTCCCATGCGTACTTCCAGAGAGATTGGCTGCCGATGTAGTTAGGTTGGTTGATGGCACATAGTGGTGGGATGCGGGAGAAGTTGGTCTCTGGCTGAACTGGCTCAGCAATCGTGCCACAGGTGTAGCAGCTGCGGTGACTGGGTCAGTGCCTGCCTCCTGTTTTGTCGCGCGCCGGGATATGCCGACTCTAGGAGGCACCATAGGCGGGCCTGCTTCCTGGGAGCGTGTAGCATCCGTTTGCTGTCCCTGTACATTCTCGATGCTACTAATAGATGCGGGCGGATCTAGATTATGTAGAATATAATCTGGATTGCACCGTAGATGCATCATGCTCTGACGCGTTTCATGTTTGTTGCGGAGGGGTTATGGTACGATCTTCGGTTATCGTACTGTTAAGGTCGACTTCAATGTTCTGCGCGCTTTGTGCATTTATACTAGCCTGTCTATGTCTTCTCCATTGACTAAGTGCGTATGAGCGAAAGAAGAATGTCAGAGGATCCATATTCTTGCTTTCAAGATATTTTCTTTGCTCTGGAGTCATATTTCCTAGTTTTTTCTTGATCCTCTCCATATCCTCCTGAGAGGTCTGAGCTTGGAGTTGGTCGGCAATAGAACAGACGTAGTCATAATCTCCAGCTGATAGTGTGCTGAGATCATCTGCCAGCGGTATGCTACTACCGGGTCTCTGTTCTGCTTGTGGCGGCGGCTGCTGCTGCTGATGTCTCGCCGCCTGTTGAGTGGCATCAGTCATCCCCATTGGCATTCGTTGTTGTCCAGGCATTGAAGAAGCTTGTGTGGGATGACCCATCTGTTGAGGAATTGGGGCCTGTCCTTTACTGGTTGTTCCCTTCATATATCCAGGCTGAGCTATTATGCCGCTACTCTGTTGCAACAATGCCGCCTGTCTAGCCCGGATATCTCGAATATGCACTACTTGATCATTGCATTCTTTGTCATAGTGGACCTCAATTTTCTCCTATTAAAAGGAGTCCCCTATTTAAGTAGAAGAACAAAGTGTACCTTCATGTTTGCATCCTGGAAGGCCTTCTGCTCAAAAGTTAGAGCAGCTCGGATGTGGCTCTGTAGGTTGGCATCCGGTTCCGGTTGAATTAAACGAAGGGATGTCAACCTGAAAATGGACGGTTAGTCTGCTCACTGGAGTGAAAAAAAGACACCTTTAATATTGTCGGCCAGGAATGTACTGAAAACGACCGGTCGGCTACAGCACGCAGACCACTTACATTTGATACACATTTGTAACCCGCTCTTTGAAACTAACATCGGCTCTCCAACCGATGGAAGAGCCACCCTGTGACTGCACGGCCTAGACCAGATAGTTCATCACCTGGTCATTGTACTGGTTCTGTTGTTGCGAGGCTGGCATCTGGCCATGCGGCTGAGCTCCGCCAGACATGCCCCCACCGACATTAGATAATTTTACCGGAATCATGTTCGATGAATCCAGATATGATTAAATGTCTTGAGATTGCCTAGCTAAGAAAACCTTCGGGGAGTCGCAGCATACATGAAATGTGAGAATCGAAAGATTATAGAGGGAGCGGGTTCGCGGCAACTGTGGTGTCACTGTTGCTAAAGCTGCCTGCTTCTCGATTATCTACTCATAGCCTTGTGCAGTGAGTTAGTGAACTAACTAATTGATTACTAGTTAATTGACTTACTAGTTAACTAAATGTGGAAATGAGACTAACTGTACCTTGTCACTCTCCTACTAGTTATCAGTTGGCATGTTGGTCTATAGTCCTATGCTTCTACCGGCCCACAACCAGCAGAGACCCAAGAATGGAAACGATTCCTGTTGGCTACAAATATGAGCAATGGATAATATAGCATGTATTCGTTCGAGGATATATGTACCCGAGAGAATGCCCGAATCGTATTTGAGCTTCAATTGTCCAGGGTGCAGCTGAGTGCTAGTTTGTTTGTCTTCGTTTCACATTTATACTCTATCAGAGTTATACAATCCACAAACCATATCTACCACCACAATCAAGTCTCATATGATCGTTCGACAACCAACAAAGTAAACACTACGCCTACTGCAACCTTTCTAGAAAAGTATAAACCGCACCGGAAACCCCCTCAACATCTTCAAACAAATGCCAATGTCCGACAGTCTCCAGCACCTGAACTTCAGAGTTTTTAATACTCTCCCCGTAAGAAAAGCATAAACTCGGTGGACTGATAGCATCATGATCACCCGTGAGGATTAGCGTCGGACAAGTCAAGCTTCGTGTATCTAGTGTCTCCTTGGCAGACTTCGCCAGAGCCGTGCATGCTTTCGCATATCCCTCTGGGTCTTGCCCGAGCAATGATATGCGTGTAGCTGCGACCGCTAATGGATTGCTCTCCCTTGTCTTGGGCGATAATCCCGCGTTCACAACAGCGTCAGCAACCGCCACCATGCCCTGATTGCGGACCAATTCGGCACGCGCAAAGCTTCCAGCACTGCCGGCTTCCGGCAACGGCGATGGGGGTGGTCCCATTAGAATTAGAGAGGAGACTAATTCTGGATTTTCGAGGGCAAGCTTCATGGCAACGAGGCAGCCCATCGAGTGAGCGATGATTGTTGCCGGTTTGCGATCGGGACGAGCGTTGTGGTATACCTCGCGGATGTCGGAGGCGAGTGATGCGATAGTGATTTCGCTGAGCGCGTTGGTTGGGGATAGGCCGTGACCTTCGAGGTCACTTAGGTAAAGAGCATGTGTGGATGATAGTTTCGCGACAAGCGGACTGAAATAGGTTGATGAGCCGCCGAGGCCGTGTATGAAGACGATCGGCGGTCCTTCGGTTTGTCCTTGGACTTGAGTGAAGAGCTCTTTGGTACCAACTTTCACGAGCCCTTCATGGCCTCGAGCCTTTTGGTTGGATACTGGGATTGAGGATTGGGATTTCACGCGCTCAACGGTTGGGTTGATGGTATCGGTGGCTGCCATGTAGTTTGTGAGGGTTCCCAGTCCGGTTACAGAGACTTTCACTTCATCTCCAGCTTGGAGGAATTTCATGGGTCGGAAGCCGAATCCAACACCGTACGGTGTGCCGGTTGCAAGGGTGTCTCCTGGTTGTAGTGTTTGGCCCTGGGATAAGCAGGAGACCAGCGTTGGGATACTGAAGATTAGCTGGTCGAGTGTGGCCTCCTGCCTCTTCTCTCCGTTGACGAAAGTTTGCAATTGGAGATTGGTAGGAAGGTGCTCTTTTGGAACCGCAACGGGCCCAATAGGACAGAATGTGTCTGGAGACTTGCCGATGTAGAATTGTTTATGGTCTCTCTGCTTTTCCCGGGCAGTGAAATCGTTGATGATGGTGTAACCCCAGACATAATCCATTGCTTCGGACTCGGGGATCTTGTGTCCGGCTTTGCCGATGATCACTCCGATCTCGCCTTCATAGTCTGGTGTCTCGGTGAAACCAGTATGAAGGAGGACCTGCTCTCCATGGGCAATGATAGACGTTGCGCGTTTGGTGAAGATCACTGGGAACGTTGGTTGATCGTTCTTATCTGATGAATCAAATCCTGAGGAATTGAACTCTTTCGCATGTTCGACATAGTTCTTCCCGACTGCCAGGATATCCCGGCCAGATATCGGCGGGAGGAGTTTAACTTGAGATAAGGGGATGGAGTCCCCTCTTCCTAGCTGGATATTCTCCTCTCCCGCTTCGATCACTTGGTACAAATCGGAGATTCGAGTGCCGGACAAGAAAACAAGAGGATGAATCTGCTCTGTCGACAGGTCAAGATGGCCAATTCGATGCTGCCCGGAGTTGGGGTCGATGTAAGCGCAGTAATTGGTAGAGGGGGATGTTGCCATGTTGGTTTCATGGACCACTTCGACACAGGATTGTGGTGGTCTTTGAAGAGCACCCGAGTCTACCGGTTCTACCGCAGCTATTTATTCAAAGGCAGGCATGACGGTGAACGACGGAGATCCGCTTTTCCCCGCTGTCACGCCAAATCCCACCAATTAATGCCGCGAGGGTGCGCTATCTCCACATGCCGTCATGGGGGTAAACAGAGGCACTGGGAATAGAGTCATGATTTGCTCCACGAAACTCGAGCACGCGGAGGAGCCAGAATCCGAGAGCTTTTATAAAATGTTTAGCTGAATTCATTATTGAATAGCTGTAGTAGAAGGAGTCTAGCGCGTAAAATGATAGACCCAACCAATGACTCAGGAAGAATTGTCAAAACCAATATGTGGCATCGTATACATTGACAGTAACCAATGTTTCGTGCTTGTTGGAGGATAGCGTAGTTAGTTTTCTTTTCTCTGAAGTTAAGATTATAAGGCAACATATAATTGAAGTCAATTCTCTGGATTCTGGGTATAATGGAATGTATGTACCGGATGATAGTCAGGTAATATGTGCCTCTATCCATGCATCATGTAAACTTCTGAGCAAGTCACCACTAGAGAGCTTCCGAAATATAGAAAAAGACAGCCGAAGAGGATACTACCCGAGAAGATCCACTACCAATCGTCCCCCAAAGTACTCAACCCTACATATCGTGGGGGTTCTTGAAAGCGATGTAAAACCCCGCTCGTCCGTCCGATTCGGAGGGGTCTTCCATAATGTTGCAAATGCTCTCGACCATGGAATCGCCAAAACTGCCACGAGCAGTCCTGGCCGACAAAGCTTTGGATGACATCGACACCACCGGGATGTTCTCGCTGAAACCTGGTGCAATCATACACCACACTATCAATAACAATCCAAACTTGGAGATCGGTTCGGGTTGCGTCCGAGCTTGAGCGCCACCGTTGGTCCACTCGGGACACTATGCTCGGGTCGATATAGGGTAAATCGGAGTCGGATATTGATGATTCTTGGAAAGGAAAATTTTCTCTCGGGAGGAATTGGGGCAATGACGTGGTGACAGGGGCTATGTCTTCTGTGTTGTCGCTATAAGTGCCGATCTTATTGGAGGTTGGCGTTGTACGGGTTGAGTGTCCTTCAACGAAGGTTGTCGCATTGGCACGCTGGTGAAGACCCAACCACCCCATGATTGTGGTGCGAGAATTGGAGGAGTGAAACTTGCTTTGAATGGAACCATTAGTAGCAGCGCGTCTCTGAGGAATGCGTCTACTAACGGCGCCAGAGCCATTGTGAATGATCAACAAGTAACACGCCTGATCGGTGTTTTAGCAGATATGCAGAGCGGAGAAGAGCGGCGTTCAGCGGACAGTCTGCATAAATCAGTAGATGATTATTGGTGCCCGCAGGGATCCATGCCAACCAACAGCTAATAACATTGCGAGGTCAGAAATGTTTACGCTGCAACTTTACCGAGAAGGAATCAGGATGGGATGCTTCTTTCTCTAGTTCGTGGCATGATGCCTGGTATATATAATTTCAACCATGGTCCTAGTTGCTGATTAGACACTACGTGAAAACAGAAGACAATATGGCTGCAGCACAAGTACCATGGACATCACCGGAACATGTATTAGAGGTCTATGAAGGGCCGCCCAGGAACATCGAATGCTTGAATAATCTAAAATTCGATGAGAAGCTCCAACCCAAGCAACACTCCATTGCGGGGACACATCCCGCGTCGAAAATCCTTATCACCGATGTTCAAATTATAGAGGCTACCGGAAAAAGCCCGTATCGTGGGGATGTCCTCATCGTAGGTAGGTATATCCGTAAACTGTATCAAAGATAGGCTCTGACCGGACACCAGGGGAACGATTTGCACACGTGGGCGAAGTGCCGGGAAAAGCAGACTTGCTCAAAAACCCAAGTGTCAGGGTGTTCTATGGGAATGGACGAGCTTTGATACCCGGTCTCGGAGATGCCCACACACATCTGAGCTGGAATGGCGGTGACCTTGGCCGCTTGGGCGAACTAGCAATTGAAGAACACACTCTTTTGACCGCCAGGAGTGCACGTTGCTATCTTGATTCTGGCTACACTATGTACTTTATTCCACACGTGGAGCGTTTCTCTCGGTCATAGATTGCTAACTGTCGCGGTAGGTGTTTTGGGGCAGCGTCAGCCAAGAAACGTCTCGATGTTGTTGTCCGCGATGCGATTAATGTGGGTGACATTCCGGGACCTCGTTACCTCGCGAACAGTCAAGAAATAGCTCGTCGAGATGGGGACCTTGTACCGGGCATCACTGCATATGCCGACGGGCCTGAAGAGATGCGGAAAGTGTACGTGTACTTGCCTGGTTAAAGGAAAGCTTTTGGATTCCTAATTACCTATCTCCAGAGTGCGCGAACACGCTGAATTGGGTGTGGATCAAGTGAAACTGTCCATGTCAGGAGAATCGGTATAGTCTATTGAACAGCATTACCCTCCGTAATACTCATAACCGTCTAGATTACCGAGATTAGAGATGCACAGGACTGCTACTTCTCTAACGAGGAAACGAAGGCATGCGTTGATGAGGCCCACAAGCATGGAATCCGATTATGCGCCCATGCTCGGGCACGCGATTCTGTCAGACAATGCATTGATCATGGAGTGGAGGTTATCTACCATGCGTCGTATATCGATGAGGGATGTGAGTAGCGCATGAAGAGGAAATTGGGCGAAGATATTTCATACTGATTGTCATTTACAGCTATGGATCTGCTGGAGCAAAAGAAAACGCAGCATGTCGTAGCGCCCGGTTTGAACTGGCTGGTGGCAACACTCTACGAAGCGAGTGCGTTTGGATATGCCACGGCAATAGCTGAAAAGGTGGGATACAAGAAGGAACTCGAGGCTGCTATTCGGGCACTTCGAGAGATGCACAGAAGGGGAATTGTCGTGCTACCGGGAGGGTGAGTATTGAGTCTAGTCATTTAGTCCATTCCCATCAACTAATAGTGCAACCGTATAGAGACTATGGTTTTGCCTGGACCCCACATGGCACATACGCTCGAGACCTCGAGCATTTTACGAAGTTTCTTGGGTTTACTGCCCATGAAGCCATTATCGCAGCAACCTATGGTGTCGCAAAACTGTTCATGAGGTCGCATGAGATGGGTCAGATCAAGGCAGGTAACTATGCTGACTGTGTTATCGTCGATGGGGACCCATTGAAGGATATCACGGTACTACAGGACCACAGTAAACTGGATATTATCATCATTAATGGCCGGGTGCATAAAGCGGGTCGGAAGGAACTGCTCGTCCCAAGTAGTTCGGGCATTTATGATATCCAGCAGATCCGCCAGGCGGTCGAAGAGGTTGAGATCAAGGTCCCGATGCAGAAGGCCTATTGATGGCATGTGTTTTACTAGGATGATATTTTGGTGATAGGACCCTATTTATTGCCCTAGGTTCTTATGATGACAATTCGTTGTGCTTCTTCCAGCATGGGTATATTAGCAATACCGACCATGATGAACCTGTAAATCTCTGGGCATGTGTATTTGAACCAGGGCCCATCTTAGTCGTATTTTCGCACCGAGTTCCCATACAATACGCATAGACAGGAGACTATAGCCATTCTCTACGTAACATACTGACTGACATTGAGGTCGTTATTACTGTAAGTGCGGTTAATTTCATGCTACCCCGCACACTAGCAACTGGTAATAATAGGTCAGAGAGCTTGAAGCCCCGAAATTAAACCACTTGGCGGGTCTTCTTCTAATGGCTGCCTTTTTATAGGTGAAGACGCCCTTTTATGGAGTCAAATCCCCTCACCCCGAGACCTTCCACCTTTGATTTTCTCCGGACAAATGCACTTGTGGGCCTTGGCAGCACAAATTTCTTCAGCTTTCTGCTATTCCGGGCCATCCCCTTTCGGATATATCGGCCTAAGAGCTAGTCTTGTCGAGTTCTAGCACACGATCGCTGTAATGACGTCCAAGCGGCTGCCCTTGAGTTGTGAGAATTGTCGGCAACGCAAAATTCGTTGTATTGGGACTGGGCTCTCACCTTGCCAGACATGTTCACGGCGTGGTTATGCATCAAGTTGCCGGTTTAAGCGTCAAACACCCGCGACAAGTGTGAATGCGCAAGGTATACAGCCTCAACATACACTACACCCAGCTCTGGGGCTTATGGGAAATGTTGCCAACTTGGAAGACTTGTTGAAGCAAAATATTGCCTTGACCACCGCATTGTTGAGTCAAAGAGGCGAGAGCCCACTCCCTTCGCCAGTCTCCAGCCCGGAGGTCGCACCCCCCGTACAGCCTTCACTTGAAGAAAAGCCACTTTATAGCGCGGTACCCAGTCAGACGGGGCGCTTGGTCGTGTCCACTTCGAACCATGTGCGCTTTATTCCCTCGCAGGATGTAGGGGACTCTGATCTCCTCGAGGCTATCCAAGAGCCTACGTCTGGCTTTCCTAAGGGATTCCCATTTTTCTCCGAACAATCAAGCTCTGTTTCCGATGAACTTTTGGACATGCTTCCCCCTCTTCTGCATCTTGAAGAACTGAAAGCAACTTTCTTTCGAGTATTCTCACCTCTTTTTCATGTTCTACATGACCCGACATTTCACGCCAAGTACCAAGCCTTCAAAAGGAATCCCAAGTCCACCCCACTGACATTTGTGGGATTGTTATTCGTGATCCTAAGCCTGGCAGTAACCGCACTAGACGATGACCATCCCGTTCTGGCAGATCTGGGCCATGACGCGAGTCACCATGCGAACGTGCGCAGCCTTTCGGCAAAATACCGCTCGGCAGCTATGCGCTGTCTCGCTGCCGATAACTTCATGTTCTGCCATAACCTCTGCACAGTGCAGTGCCTGGTACTCTTGATCTACGCCATGAACCACGCCCAGGAACCGGCGTGGTCATTGCTCGGCACAACACTACATATCGCCGTTGCTATTGGGTGTGCCGTTGATCCAGATCGACTAAATGTAGACCGCATCGAGGCAGAAGAGCGTCGAAGGTGCTGGGCGACACTCCGAATGTTGTATACTATTCAGAACACATGCCTGGGGAACCTCATGCCATTCCGTGTGGAGGCAAATGTGGCTCTTCCAGCTGACATAGAAGATGACGAGTTGATGACGAGCAATCCGAGTCCCCAGGGCGAATCAGTAGACACGCCCCCGACACAAATGACTTATCTTCTATACAAGTTCCGTCTCTACGACCTGGCAGTCGACATCTGCCAGCTCTCTGCGTCATTTGAAGCACACGACCGCGCACGTATAGAGACTCTAGATACAAAACTCTCGCAAGAACAAGAATGTCACCTGGCTCGCTTCAGTACCCAACTGATGCTGAAACCGTACGACCAAGCCCACTTCTACATTCTGGCCATCTATACAAACCATTTAATCCTCTTGCTGCACCGATCGCGGCTAAACGCAACCCATATGGCAGAGGAATGTATCCACCAGAGCCGCGAAAGATGCCTAAAGGCGGCCACAGCAACTTTGTCTAATTTCGAGGCGCTCTGTTCCACGCCCACGCTCAAGTCATATCGATGGTACATGGATGGTCTTGGGTCGTTCTACGCCTTCTTTGCTATAACCACCCTCCTTGTACTGTGGGGAGATCCGCAACTCGAAACGGAGTGTAATCCGCAAACCGTCGTCCTTCTTGTTGGGTGCGTAGATAGAATGAAACGGACTGCGTCTCGGAGTTCCGTTTGTCAAAAAGCAGCCAATGTTCTCGACCCTTTAATCCAGGGTTTGGCGCCTGGAATCGTCACAGACTGCAATGGAAGCGCAGGGTCGATAGGGCTTAGTGAAACCCCGAATCAAGGCTTATGGCCCACATACCCAGGGTTGGAGAGTATGTTCTATGACCTGCCGTGCGAGCAGTGGTTGACTCCATCGGAGTTTGTGTGGGGCGCCGCACAAAACCTCTGGGATCCCTCATCCGGGAGTGTATCGTCGTTATGATCCTTCTGTGCGTTCTGCTTTACACCATGTAACCTTCATCACAAATTAGATATCCTGCTAAACCCGAGAGTATATTTGTAAAAGTAAACATTGTTTTGCGGATGGAGCATCCCAGGAGACCTCCTCTCCTCTTTAGGGTGAGGCGATTGGTAATCTCACATCGACCTGCAGCACTTCCCGTGGCTTAGAGTACCGAATGACTTGGGAAAGAAAGTAGGGAGATATTGGGTGTATTGCTGTTGGTGAGTATTGTATGTCTAACTTCTAGTTCTGGCCATGATGTATGTCGATGCTTATGTAAGGCCAGTCTGCCGTGGTGTCGATTGTGCCTGAGGCACTCTACCTGCTTCGGAGGCAGAGTTGCCCCGCTCCGTTCGGCATCCTCATAACTCATAACTCCGTCTGCCCTACGGTAATTTTTGAGCAAAAAATCTTGAGAAAGCCATATCCGAGCTTCGATCCAGAGGTAGCTTACGCTGTTAGAATTTAGCCCTACAAGGAGATTACGATGACGGATGACATCAGATATCCACCAAAAGGGGGAAAGCCAAGAAAAACTAGTCAGAACCAATCCAAATTAAAGGATGTATTTTTGGAACATTTTACTGCAGGCCAAAAACGAGCAAACAAAAAAAATACCCGAAGACACTAAGGCTAAAACCAAACCGGGCTAGTGCAAAGGACCCATTCTAGAAAAGTCGAAGGGGAAAAAAGACGAAAGAAAATGCCAGCTCATCATCCGAGGCTGCCCCACTACCAGTCATCCACAGGAGGGGAGTAAGAGCGCTCCTCAGGAGGAGGCTCATCGTAGTGGTGGTAAACGTGCTGCTCTATGATCTTGTGCTCGACTTCTTCTTCCTCTTCCTCCTTTTCGGACTCGGAGCTGTCACCACCTGTTTTGTGTTAGCTTTTGTTTCTGAAATATTTCTCTGTCTTGTCTTCTTGGAAGGACTGGGGTAGAATGTAGACATACCAAATTCATGGTTAAGAACAGCTCCGGCAATACCACCAACCGCCAAACCTCCCATGGCTCCCATGAGCATCTTCTTCCTATCACTCTTCTTGCGCTCTTCCTCGGTCTCGCCCTGCTGAGGAGGAGGGTAGTAGCCTCCCTCCTGGGGAGGGGGACCGCCGTAGTAGCCACCGGGGGGAGGGCTAATCGGACCGGAAGGAGGGGGGCTCATGATAGCGGGAGGGCCCCCCATGTCACGCGAGGTATCGCCAAGAGGCTGTTCCCACTGGGAGTTGCCGGTGGCTACCTCAACCCAGAAGGCGCGGCGGGCGTTGGGCTCCCATTCCTGGACCCAACCCATAGGAAGAGGGGGTGGGGGGAATTGAGGAGGACGGGCAGAAGGTGGTGCGGAAGAGTAGGGAGGGCGAGAGTCGAAGGAACGGTCTGATTCGTATGGTGGTCTGTCATAGGGGGGGCGCTGGTCTTGAGGGGGCTGCCCATATGGCGGGCGCTCGTAGGGCGAACGCTCGCCGGGAGGAGCCTGTTC